CCAAATAGTTTGGTGATTCAAGAGTAATTCCTTTTTTTAAACTGAGATTCGATTTCAAGCATCTTAGAAATATACTTCCATTGAGATGCTTCGGTAATTCTTCGATAATCTTAGAATAAACAGCAGACGCTGTAAATACATCGCATTCGGCCTATAAATTTTTTCCAGCAAAATGCAAACGCGTCCATTTGATAAATATGCGATAACAGAGTATTATAACCGTCTAACAACTAAGTTTCTGAGAAACTTCTCTTCTTTTCCAGGGTTTATTCAATGCATATTTCCTTATATGCCCCTGGTATCACTATTTAAGAATTTACTACTGAACGGTGATTGTTGATTCACTCGGAATATGTTCTCGTGAAAATGGGATTTCGATAATTATTGATTGCAGGCATTAAAAGCATTTGTAAACGCGAATGTTTTCATGTATTTTGCTTTAATCCAGTTCATAACACCTCTAGTGCTTGTGTAAAAGATGACGAAACCAATAGTTTTCGGCGAAACTACAAACAAATAATCACGAGGAACGCAATCCGATAATCGAAGTTTCTTTGATTTTTAAGATGTTTGCTGAGACTAAAACAGATCCATTTAGTTCTGAAATTAAATATGCATGTAATTCTACTACGAAAACTATGTGTTCCATGAGGCCCGACAGTTTTCTTTAAAATCTTGCAAAGTAAAATAAAATTGTTCCCGATTAATCAAATGTAATAAAGGTAAGAGATTTTGAGTCAAACGTTTGCCTAAGCTGCATGTCTTGCTACGCCGATGTTATTTTTAGGTGTTTACCTCCTGAAAAAGTAAGAATTCATTCTTTAACAAATTGCCAATTGTTTGAAGCCTTTTTCTTTATATATTTACATGTTTGAAATAAAATTTTAAAATTCAGGCGCGCTTATTTTCTGCCAAAGTTTTAAACGGAAAGCAATCGAAGTGCGGCGGTGATTAAAAATTGTACGTAAAGGAAAAACTCCTAAAGCGAATAACAAATATAATTGTAGAGATGTTGGCATATCACGTATGACAACTGTTTTGTGGTCTTCAATTCGGGTATAACTTTCATAACTGTTACTTAAAAGGGTGCCCTTTCTTCTGCTCGTAAAGGTATCGTATTTGTTTCATGGGCATTAATACAAGGTATCTTATGAGAAAAAGCGTGTTACAGCTGAAATGTCCTGCTGAACGTACCTCATGTTTTATGCACGGTCGTTCGTGAAGGCCGCAGCATCGAGTCGTTCTTTTCATCCGTCAGATAAACGAGCCGTTCACATCACTAAATATTAAACCATATTAACACCATTGAGAGCTCATCACAATATCAACTTTTCCGTCGCAGTTTTTAATGCCCCGAAAATCACTCCGTAAATGCCTTTTGTACCTTAAGTGGAGACTCTATTGATCCAAGAAATATTCAAACAAATTAAAACGAAAACAATTTAATGATTCTGTTAAAAGTCGAGCGCCCCCTTCCGGGAACAAGCCTTGTGAAATAAAAGAGAAAACAAAATAGCTAATAATTATCATTTGAAAAATGCTAGTAGCCTATTCTTACAACGTGATATTTTTCTGAATACAAATTAGCAGCCGCTAAGATATTCTTGAAAAAAATAAAAACCTTAACTGAACAAACTAGGATGAATAAAGGGTGAAAATTCAAACCTTAAATGATTGTCCAAAATCAACTGATGCAGAATTGAACATTTTTGCGAAGAAGACACCTTTTCGTCTCCCAGTTCTACAACTTATATCCAAAACAATGAAAAAAAATATGAAGGCCTTAATATAAAAAACCCTACTTATTTATTATACATCGTTTGAGGGGGCCGTTTATTACTGTTTTTAATTAGCAAGCTGACTGATGTTTCCCCAAAACTCTGTTTGTGTCAAGCCAGGCTGACAAAGAAATATGCAATCTATTAGAAAAAATTTTGTGCGTTTTAGCATGGCTCCATTTCAATTTCAATTCAGACGAAACTTAACCTTTTGCCTCGACATATCCATACAGACGATAGCTTTTGTTTTCAACTTCGCAAAAACCTGTTCAGTATCATCTAAGATTAAATGAAAGTGCTCTGTAAGCAAACTCGTGAATTGACACATGATTTTTTGGATTATGCTTAATGTTATCTGGTTTAGGGAATTTTGTGGTTGATTGTCATATCTAGGGTACGAACAGTAGTTCAGTGTTCGCTAATGTAGCAAAGAAACAAAGTAACGTTGGGATAAGAAGGCATTACAATTGAAATGATCATGCTATTACATTTGACAAGGGTGGATGATGTAATGTGTTTTAAACGTATATCATTTTTGTTTCTGGTTCAAAAGAAAAGGTTGGAAGTAGATGTGGGTGAAAAGTGAAATTTACTGTCTATCATTGTAAATATTAAAAATAAAGGCAATACTGTCTTAATGAAAACATTAATGATTCCTTCTTTATCAAATGAGACAAACGGGGACGAGTTTTGACTGATATAACTAAGCCACAACTGCCACCGTCATTTTGGATCTCCGCCTGGGTAGATTTTAGTCACGTGCTAGGCAACGTATAATCAATAACAAGAATTTCATTTCACGCCTATTTATCAATTTTGTGGTATATAACTTTCGCATTTTAGTACGTAATATGTATTTTGAATCTTCAAATTGTCTTGAAACTTAAAAGAAAATTGTTCTTTAAAAATTCAATGAGAATCGGTAGCTAAAATTGTTTAGTTAGGTGTTATTTGATTTTCGTGTTAACTTGTAATGTCGTCAATCGCCGGCATCTTTTGTTGCTTCACACAGGAAAAACACACGATACGAAACGTAATGATCAATTTTGTCCTTAATCTCGCGCCATAACAGAAAAAGCTTTTGAACATCTGTAAACTCCGGGCGCTTCGCAGTAAGTGATATTTTCAAGGAATCTTCGGATTGTTTTCAAGTTATGAAAAACGAAGCTTGTTCTGTTATTTCAGTGTGAATCCTTGCATGCCTGCCAGTCGCTGGCGCCGCTTGTTGACACTAAAACGAAAAAAAAAACTCTTTTAAGATTATCATTGGCTTCTTTTTCGCCCCACCACTATTCTTAGTAACAAAGGTCGCCATTTCGTTTGTTTATTGCTCGCCAAAAACTATCAAATGCACTCAAAAGCCTAAAATCGAAAAAAAGTTTACAGGAATCGACCAATCGAGCGAGCGAGCGAGCGAGTGCCATTCCCCACATCGTATCTACAACTCGCTCTTGCGCATGCGCGCAATTTACGAGTTAAAAAAGGACCAAAATACCACCCTTTAATCAAAACTATAACTAAATTCTCAAACGTGATAGGTTATCACAAGCCCAATTTGCGCTCTAATAGGACAGTGAACACGTCATGCTTGTAATTGGACAGTGTAAAAGGTCAGTTAAAAGGACAGTTAGCACGTCATGCCTGCGTAAGGGGACGAAAAGCGTCATGCGTGCGCGCTGCTGTCTCGCATTTCGCCGAGTTAACTGTTTTATTCCGAATAGCAGTCATGGTAAAGCAAGCCTAAAACGGAAGAAATCGCCAGAAACTACAACGGACACACAGGATGTGAGTAAGTGTTATTGATTTTACGTGTAAAATATTCATATTTCGAAATATTTATCGTTGTAAATCGACCATATTTCGTTCCTTATACTATTCCTTATAACTTGTTCAAATTTTCAACGGTTCCTCTCGTAACTTAACACCGAGTCACACAACGCGTGACGCGTTCATGATTGATGGTTGGCTTTTTCTCGAGACGTGAGCTTGGCCCGCCTGTGAATTCAGTTGCTATCAAGTGGTTAATATGTACTGTTGGGTCGATGGTTGCGTGCCGTGAAGTTAAAATCGCAGTCAATGTTTTTAGTTTCGCAATGCGTACAGGTGTGGTTTACGAGTTATACTTCTGACGTTGAAGTACTTTGAAGAGAGTCAGGATCGGGAATAAACCTGATGATGGTTTAGTGAACAATAAACCCGGAACTGAAAATTATATTCAGCACATTTGGGCATGATATCGGGATAAAGCAGCAGGAGTTGGTTTGGGGCTGCAAAGTGAAAGCTAAATGCCATTACATGAAATTCTTGATTTACTCGATCACGATAAGTCATAATTTCTGCAATTTCCTTCTGCAAATAACATCTTTCTTTTACTTGTAATTTTTTTCCGAAAGAGGGATCTAGCATGCCAAGCATTTATGCAAAGAAATGACAAAAAAAAACTTTTCCTTTAACTTGACTTCTTCCACAGAATTTACAACGATCAAAATATCTCATTAAAACCCATAAAAGCCCCGTAGAAAAACAAAACTATGATAAAATATAAACCTTCTACTATTGAACAAAAGCATCCTCACGTCTAGCGGATAAATTTGGCGAATTACTCAGCTGCACCTTGCATGTACCTTGTCAAGCGTTCTCTCAGCCAATTAGAAAGCTTAGGGTGAAAGCGAAAAAAAGGCCTCTTAATTCATAAGACCTCGTTTTCATACAGAGCCTGTGAACAGCGTTGTGATCTGGAACAGTGTTTGCTCAAATTTGCCGGTACCAGTGTGCGATTATTACGTCATTATCTTGGTTTCAGTTGAAACATAGCAGCTGATCTCCGCATGGTTCATTGAGCACTGTTTAACGCAAGCGGGTGGCAAAGGGTACCAAACAACCCTCCAATGGAAAGCGAATGAAAAATTATTGAAAATTGTTTTCGCTTGTTCATAGCGAAACATTTACACTTACGAGACGATTAGAAAGTGTCATAATCAGCAACAAAACCGCCCTTAAAAGCTTAAATCAAGGCGTTCTTAATCCAACTTTACGCCGCACATTTTGAAACGTTGAGTTTGGACCTCGTTCAGGACATATTGACACCATATATTTAACCACACAAGTTGAGAAATTTCGTCGAATACAATATCTGTCATGGAGATTTTTCAAGAGCATCGAGAGAATGGATGATGATATCGACCTATCGACGGCCCATTTAGTAAATAATGTTTGCTGAGAATGCCCTTCGATACAGATTGGTTTAACTCGAGGGGTTTTTATCCCTTAGACACGAAAGGCGCTGACGAGTACTTAGTGGTCGTAAAAACACCACAGAAATCTTTCTTTGAGATCCTACAGAGTGGTTTTATAAGCTCTCATAACATCTCTAACATGTCTTGCCCGCAGCAATCTCCGAGAAAGAAGAAAGCAAAAGAAGCGAACAGCGACGACGAGGAAGATCAAGAAGAGGATATTCCAACAACTTACGAATTGTGGCAAGACTTCCTACATAGTCTGACCCTTCACGGGTTTCGTTTCATATTTGAAGAAGGACCCAAAATTCGTCGTATTTTCTGGCTCCTCATTTTGATTCTTGCTGTTATGATGCTACTTCTGCAAGGCAAGAAAAGCATACAAAAATTCTTCGATCGCCCGACAACTACGACAGTGCAAGTGGAGTTTTTGGATCAGATTGTATTTCCTGCTGTTTCCATCTGCAACTTTAATCTGTTTCCATATTACCTCATAAATGGCACCATAGGAGAAAAGGTAATGAGACTCCTTTAAGACTCAAGCTTATTTTTTATTTTGCTAATTAATTCAGAATTTGGTAGTTTGCTCCAATCTAAGTCTTCATATGTCAACATGCAAATTACCATTACTGGTATTTGTGGACTCCTCCAGGAGTTTTACGAGAATTTGTTACAGCACTGACAGACCCTTACAGTGTTGGGAATTTTCCTTGAAGATTCATTTTTCATCTCATGTTATAACTGCAAGAAACATTTCAAGGATACTCTAAAGTGTGATTATTCTAAGAGGAAAAAAAAGCTCAGTCAGCAGGTACCATATTAAGTTTGATTTTTTGTTTGAAGGACAGAAAGCCACTAGTTCAAACAGCATAAATATATGTTATTCACCAGCCGGAAGGTACGTATTGGAAGAAACTGTGCCCGAGGTCTTCAATACCTCCCGCGGCCGTAGGCAGAGAGCGGTACTCAGGACTGAAGGCACAGTTTTTCCAAACATAGACAGACCGACGCGAGTGAAAAACATTTTTTTTTTTTCAAAGTGCATGCCAAAACAGCTGGAATAATTTAGGGCTATAATTCCTTGACAATACGGGAATATCCTCCATAAACTGGGAGCAGTTTATAAAGAAAACAGAGGTTTTTAAAATTATCGAGAGAGGCTTCAGCGAAACATAATTATTTGCGTATAAATGGTACAGGTAATTTAAACGGCTTCTAAGCAAACTTTGAAACATTTTTTCATAAGTATCTGTCACGATCTGACACCTGTCAGTTAGAGAGGAAAAAAAGGCGCATGTTCCCTTTTGAACGAACAACACTGGTATGGCAACTGTCTATCACGGCGATTATTCTTATGAAACACTTGGCTATCAGAACGGAAAGTATTCTCATTTCCAACAACGATTGATCTTTGAAGATTTGCCTCTCTTTGATTTTAAATGCCAGGGAAAGTAAAGTTTTAGTAAATTCAATTGCATGTTTTGAGGCTGTGATAGTCTGCTTGCTTGTAAGCTGCAATGGCTCTTATCTTTCTTCCACAGAAAAACTTAAGTCAAATGAGACGCCTTTTCTAGCTAGACATGGGGGGATTTAACGCGACTTTTACACAACAAAATCCTTCGGTTTCTGTCGCAGAAATGTCCAAATTCAAGACACCTACGAAAAAAAAAAAACCGGACGTGTATTTCTAGTGAAACTTAAAATTCGTCCAACGTTTTACAACGAACAAATTGTTTTGGAGAGTTAATTATCAATTATTTATCGGCTAAAGGTCGTGACAGAAGTCTTCGCTTAAAAAAAGCTGCCCAGCCGGCAAAACAGCATGCATTTATGTAAGAATTGCAACGAAGCTAACGATGTTCTCCAAAGCGACTAAAACAAATGACTTGGTTTTGTCAACTGAGTTGATAATGCAAATTGGCCACCGTAAAGAGTTCTAAAGCTAATGTTTCGAGCGTTGGCCCTTCGTCAGAGCGAAACACGAAACAGCAAATAATTCTTAAATGATCCACTTACCTCTTGCTAAATGTTTCGGTCGTAGCTCACCATATGAAATTTCTGACATGACAAATCCACTCGCTTGCAGACGCAACGGTCATTTTTATCCGTTATTGTGACCTCTGTCCACTCGCAAGCGATTCGTAGACTAAGTATAAATTGTTGAAGTTTACGGATAAATTTCTGGTTTCGGTAATGGGGAAGCAGCCAAAACTGTTATGGACCTTATGATCCAACAGCAGCCAGCGGCTATGATGGTGATCGAGATTTGGGAGAAATAGGAAGAGCTCACCGTCGAAAGGTGCGAAAAATAACATTAAGACTGACTGCTTCAAAAGTTACTTCGGTTTTAAACGAAAATAGGGCATCTTTTAGAAAGATAAGTAATTTTCTCTGCAATGTAAACACCTCCCAAACCCAGATTTTCCTTTCGACTGCTGTAAAGGGTTCGACTTCATTGAGAAGGACGACAGCGAGGGTTTGGTTGACTTTCCTTGCTCTTTCTTAAAAAAATTTAAAAATCTAGCTTCAACAAACTTTTCCTTAAACAAACCCGAGTGAACTACGTATAAATTGGATTTCTGGTTAAGTTTTAAGGTTCATCAAGAAGGGAGTAAAATTGAAAATAATTACCAACCTGATTTCTCTGTACTCGCGTCCATTTGTTTGCAGTGTGCAATCTTTCGGAGCCGTTTAAGCAAGAGTTTAAAACTTCCGTCGGTTTTTTACTTGTAAATGAGTTCAACAACCATTTGCATTTACCACAAGTTAGGAAAAATCTTAGCAGTTCATTAGGTGTTAAAATATTCCATACGTTCCTTTAAAATGGCCTTTGAACAAGAGAAAATTACTCACGTTTTACAGTAAACGGCAAACCCTTCACTCCGACGTCGCAGACAACACAGCTATGGCGGGAAACTTCGCGCGACGGCTACTGGAAATGCGTGAGCATACATTCTCAACTTCCGCTTGTCGTTGTAGATATTTGCAGACGTTGTGTGAGCTTGAGAATTCAAAGAAGTTTAGACAGGTTTCCTACCGAGTGATCCAATTCAGGCGCCTTTTGATCTGCATACACATTTATATGTTGGGGTTCATAAACACAAATTTGATGATACAGTTTTTCATTTCCATTGAAAGGAGCCCGGTAGTCTTTCATGAAGATTTAAGCGGTTTCCTAAAAATTAAGTGCAAGGTGTGTGTCGCAGTGTTTGCCGTTACATAACTTTCTTTTCTAGAACTTTTTACACAAATCTCTGTTTCCGAAATCAAAGCCGTCCTTGTTAGGCATGAAAACGATATAAGAAGTTTCAACATTCCGGTCTTAACTTTTTTTTTTTTTTTTTTTTTTTTTTTTTTTTTTTTCAAAGAAACAAAATGCGCGTTAAAATTCTTAGAAAACGCTTCCAACAAAGTAATAAAATTAATTCGATTGACCAAAGTTATTGTCGCGACAGCATTTCATGACTTTATTCTTTCCTTTACAGGTTATGTCCATTCTTGCACCTCAAAAATACATCGACAACAAGGAAGAAGTGCTGTTCGCACGTTCACCGATTCCGAACTTTCTTAATTATCTTCGTCGCCGTCGGCGTCGCCGCGAAAAGGACACGAAAAAAGGCGACGACGACGATGACGTCGATGTTCTCGACGACACGTCGATCGATATAGACGATTCTTTTGACTTTGCTCAGTTCGTGAGGACTCATGGGCATCGGATTGATCACATGATCAAGAAATGTAGATGGAAATCACAGCCTTGTGGACCAGAGAATTTCACTGCCGTGATAACTGAATTTGGTCTTTGTTACACGTTTAACTCAGGTGGGAAAGCTGAAATTTAGTAACTAGAATGTTTTGCAAAATGTATTTATTAAGATTTGCCTAACTTGGCTTCTAAAGAAATTTTAGGTATTGAGACAGGATTCGATTAATTGTACTTGACTGAGCTTAGTAAATAAAAAATCCCTTGCGAAGAGTTCTTATTGGTTCCTGGTGACATCTCTCCTCTACGCTATTTGACCGATGTGATTCTACACTTACTAAATCTTAAACTGGTTTGTACACTTACTTCATCTTAAACTGGTTTGATAGGTTTGAAAGGTCACCCTCTTCTAAAGGTGCAGCGTGCTGGAGTAGACTATGCCCTCAGACTGTCTCTGAGCGTTCAGCAAGATCAATATTATGGGTCACTCAGAGATTCGTCTGGGTTCAAGGTCATGGTGCATGATCAAGAGGAACCACCGCTGATCAATGAGCTTGGTTTTGCAATTCAGCCAGGAACTCATACATTCTGTGGTCTCAGGAAGGAAGTGGTATGCAAAACATGCTGACAAGTAATTTACTTCGAAGGGGAGGGGGGTGCTTGCTACTAATAGACTGATATGCCATTGAGTGGGGTTGCATTTTCACCACCCCTTTGACTATAATGGAAGATTCGCGTGCAAAAATTTTTTACCACGAGTGACTAAGATGGGATCTCTAATTGACCACATAAAAGTTTATAATAAGAAGGGATTCTGGGAGGCCTGTGGCACATATCTATCTATTATTTAGAATGTTTTGTCATTTAGACTACATGTATTTCTCAGTAATCAGTTTCATGGTAAAAACTCCATCCAGGAGGTAATCTTCGGTTGCAAGATAAGTATCCCCTTAAAAGAGGTACTTCTTACAATGGAAAAATACAGAGATTAGTAGAACATTTCAGAATTTGGACGTTTTCCCTGGATATAAATTTACGCTGCTCATTGGTCAGAGCTGCTCACTTGCGAAATGGGGGTATTGTTTCTGTTTGCCTTTGAAAGGATTGTTCAGCAACGTTATCAGGTGCACAGGGGCAGTTGGTGATGTCCAACGGTGTTTGACAAAGAAACCAATGGAGCGAAATTCTGCACACGGGTGCGCAAGGCTGTGCAAAGTATATGGCGGCGGAGTGACCATTACAGCAGTTGAAAACTTGAAATTAAGAACTCTTCACCACGTATAGTGTTAAATAGCTTGTCTAGCCTGAAGTGAGTAGGGGGAAAAGTGTTGGGAACTGGATCTTAAACCTGCGAATACAATTGTCTAAAAAAAGCTAACATGAAAGTTTTGGAAAAGCAGGCTTGCCATGTCATGCTTAGAGACCAGTTATCATTTATCGATTTTCGGGGAGATCACATGGTTCTCTGGTTGAACAGAAGTGGGATCATTTGTCGCCAAAAACTCCTAATGGTGTTTTGGAAGCCGATATTCTGCTGAATGGTCTCGACTGTGGACAATGACTTAAAAAGTGGTGTGCATGGACACGCGTTACATACATATCATATTTTCGTTTCAGATGCACAATCTTCCGCGCCCATTTAAAACAGCATGTGAAGACAAACATTTAGCCGGCTTTAAAAAGTACACAAAGTCGGCTTGTCTACTGAAGTGCCGCGCTGACTACATCATCGGCATGTGTAAATGCAGATCTTACGATTTGGAAGGTAAGATAACTTTTATTCTAGTATTTCATGCTTTGGGAAGGAATCCTAATTATTTCTTAGCTTCAGTAACAAAATATTACACTTTCAAGGTAGACACGAGTTCGAATCCGTTCGAGGCTTGAAATTTGTTCAAGCTTCTTTCCTGCAATTGCTTATATTTCAGCTTACCTGCGAGAATTATTACTTTACTTGTTTTTCATCTGCAGGTCGAATGAAATATATATAACTAGAAATCCTAGAGATTGTCCACTTCTTAGCCTGACATTTCAATAATAACTGAATTTATTATGAAAGCAATCATCATTAATTTTCTTAAGTCCAAATAGTGCATTGAGGAAATATGAGGCGCAAAGTGTAGAATAGTCAACTGAAGATTTTGGACTAAAAAAATTTGTGAAAAAGGGTCTTAAGTGGGTGCTTGAAAAATTTCCTATTTCTCTATAACGGTGTTCGCTGCTTTCATCACTTCAAAATAATGGAAATGTGGTGAAATAGCTCTGTTTACCGACCAGCTTTTGCGTTATTGATTTTTCTTACAGGCGAAGCTCCACCATGTTTACCGCAACAGGTGAAGAACTGCGTTTGGCCCGCAATGGGTATGTTTTTCAAAATAAGTCGATCTGGATTGAAGAAAACAACACTGAAAAAAAGACATCTTTAACGCATGCTCAGTCTTGGTCGACGCAATGATTACAGTCACAAATAATGACCTAATCATATTCCTAGAAGTGTTATGATCTGTAGTCTAATGGATTCATATCCGAGGCTTTGGAAAACTACTCGAAAATGTAGAGGTCATCGTAAAATATCTTGAGCTGTATAGCACAGGAATCATGAAGTTGATTTACCAGGAAACAAGAAATAAATGTGTCTCTATACAATACAAGCGTAATCATAAGAAATTTGTCGATCAATTTCTAGAAATATTCCGAAATGAAAGCAACAACTGCGAGTGCCCAGTCCCCTGTGAGATCACAAAATATCAAGTGCAACTGAGCTATGCCCAGACCCCAGCGAAACATTTCTCCGAAGTTCTGGCGAAGAGAAAACATGTAAGGAAGGACGTCATGAGGCATTACTTGAGGTGAGTTCAAGCTTTGGCGGTGAGGGACCTGAGCATGTTTCGAGTGAGTTTTCAGTGCCTGGGGTCTCTACTGAAGTTTGGATCCCGTTTAAGAAATAAGTTGTTCACAAGGGTAAAGATAACCCGCTCGAGAGCTCTGGATACTCTGTTCTAGATAAGGGGTCCCAAAGATATGTTCTTGCTGAGTGGAATAACCCTGTATGATTATTTTCCTTCGGGGAGAACAGCAAACGGGATACCAAGAAATACCTTTGTTCGACGAGTTTCTTATGAACATGTAAGCGCTGTTATCAGTTCCTCGACAGCTTCTTGTTGAACCATCAAAATCCCTACTTTAAGTTTGAGCGAGCAGATTTTTTGCTCCCAAACAGGAAGAAAACAAAATTAAAAATTGTACGTTATGAAAAAGTAGACATTGGTAGCCGGTTGCCTAATTTCTTACTGTATTACTGAATATACTAAGAGAGTTTATCTCAATTACCCTAAACTTTGACAGTCACTGTTATGATTTAAAGAGGCTTATGAAGTTGGATATTTTAATAGAGACAACTTCCTCGAGTTGGATGTGTACTTTGAAGAGATGCAGGTGACGCTTATAACTCAGAGGCCAGCGTACGATCAGGAAAGCTTATTTGGTGAGTTTGCCGACAGCTAAAACGAACGTGCATCCTTATAAGAACTCACGAGGGGTACAGTGTCGACAAAAACACGAACACTTTTCGTTTAAACAAAATTAGCAGAGATGAGGTTCAAATATACACAGATTTTGGAAGATTTCCTTGTTATTCTCTGCGTAATCCAGACGCGAAGTGAACACATTCGGCGTTCACTGAAGAACCTAGACTGCTCTACGTACATTCGAAATGTCTCTTCGTCTGACAGTAGCTTTATAATGACCAGCCCTTCAAACATTATCGTTGGTGCAACACTTTTTTGTCTTAAAAGCCTGAAATATCCAAGCTCTTCGAATACAATTAACCTAAAGAGCTTTCCATTTTTTGTGTCTTCAGGTGACATCGGTGGTCAAGTTGGGCTGTTTCTTGGCGCTAGCATTCTAACAGTGTTGGAATTTGGAGATCTACTGGCGAGGATTATAGTCAACAAGATCAAAAGGAATCAACGACGTCATGCTCGGACAGTTTGACGAAGTCAAAAGTGGTTTGATTTTGCTTGAAAGAGAGGAAATTTCACCCGATAAGTATTTCCGATTCACTTAAATGGCCGAGCAGTTTTGGATTCCTAGTCTCGTTACAATTTTCTCAAGCCTCGGAAAATAACCAATATTTGATAACCAGCAGTAGATTGACTGAAATGCTGCTAACAAGCGGTTCGCCATAAAGAGTTGTATTTTCATTTTCGATTATCCACAGGGAAAGCAAGTCCTCGGTTAAACTGTAATGGTAGCTTAGCTTTCAAACAAAACACCTCTTTCGTGTTTAGTGATGTAAAGGAGGTTTCATATCCCATAAAGTTATAGAGGAGAGATACCTGTTTGTTCATACGTAAAATAATTGTTTACAAGAGTTTCAAGGCTTTGGAACTAAGGATGGAGTATCCCCGCACGAATTTTGTCAGGTACCTCATCATCGGATGCTTAATCAAGAAAAAGTTGATGAAAAGATTTAGCTTTTGTTATTTTTACATCTTGCAGCTCAAAGTTGTTACTAATGCGCGTTCAGAAGAGACTCGCTTGCCAAAATACTCGGTTTCTTGTAGAAACCCTCAGACATTTTTTTACTACTTCACCCCATGTGAGCGTTAGAATAATTTGAATGAAGTCAGGAACAAGTTTTACCACTTACTGGAAAGTTTCATTTGTGCATGAGCCACCATTAGAAATATATATAGTTTTGTAGAGAAAAATTAACGCTTTGTTACATTACATACCTGCACGACCTACTGTGTATAATAAATGAACAGCGAAAAGACAAATCGTAGAAGAATTCATTTTATTCTAAAATGTCAAATTTATTGGAACCCCCACAAAGAACTACTGGACCATTCATTACTTACACTTCTTTACAATGACTACCATGATTTCCGTCCTGACGTTAAGTCACTCCCGTAAACCAGAGTGTAATTTGCCAAATGAAGCAACTTCGTGGGCGGAAGTATCAACCATGGACAATAATAACAGATCAATCCTGAAAATTACACAACCTTCTCCGTTAAGATCAATTCTCCTCTTAACTCATAATACCATAGTAATCGATTTTTCCCCACAACCATTGAACCGATCTGTCATGTCGTTCATGACTCATGTTTTTAAGAGATTTTTCCATCACCGATTTCTTACATATTTCTAAATATCGAAGTATTGAGATCAATATTAAGCTGGTCGCTTTTTATATTGAAATCGCTCAAGCGAATAGTATAATATTCAATTTCATTAATTTATCTTACATTTGGAATACCTATTTTGTTTAAATATACTCTGCACACAAAAATAATTCTTGATATATAAAATCTTTGGAAAGAAAATTGTATTGCTTATTTCATCTCCTAGAGGAACTGCGATACACCTGACTTGACATTTTGCAAGACATGTCACAGTACAATGGAAAAAAAATCCGTCTGTCCCCAAATTCATTAGAAATCTTCAATTGTTTTATGAAACCATGTTATCTGCTGTTTACTGTAAACTTATATTAGAATATCTATCTTTAGAATGTAATATTATTATTGTTATCATTTTCATCCTAATCATCATCATCATCATCATCATCATCGCCGTGTCGTCGTCTTCGTATCATAATGTCGTCGCCGTCGTCTCATCATAACGGTCGTCATCGATAATTATCATTATTATCATAATTCTTGTTGTAAATATCATCATTATTACTGTGATCATGCGCGCCCTATTTACAGTCTGCATGTGTCTAGTTTTCCTCAAAAAAAAGATAAAAGAAATGCAACAAAGCTCCGTCGATAACCAAAACCCATGCTGCCAATGACCCTTCATTAAAAATAAATATATTATTCTACAGATTCTATGCCCTCCCCTTAAAGTTATCCTTGAACCCAAAAAAATGAATAATAGTTGACTTAATTTGATGCTAAAGCAGATGATACTTGCCAAAGAAAATGAGATATACCGAGTAATCTTGACAGCTTCAGTCTGTCAACGAGCGAAAATTAGGCGATTCCTACATCAGCTAACTACCCAATCAATAAATACCCTTCTGGGCGTACAACGGATAAAAGCCGAAATCAAGCTGCCTACATATGAACAACCGACGTCGACTTGCTATCTCGACTCAGCCTCCTCGCTTGATCTCTTGGCCTCGTTTATGACGTTCGCTGCATTCTGTGCAATCTTAACGGTGCCACATCTTACCAGGGGGTTGTCGGCAGGATTAGGGGAGGGGAGAGACAGGCGTTTCCCACCCGATATTCGCATCAACAATTCCAGATAATGTTCTTCGTCTGAAAGAAAAACCATCGCAACTGTGAGTGAACTTCACAAACAATGTCGCTATGAACTTAAGAAAACCCTCCACATCAGAAGATCCATTTCGTGGATCTCCATTCCTAATCAGATTTATCGGTTATTCATTCACCTATAGGTTGATCACATACCTTGATCTCTGTGCCTGGCTTTGTACAAGTTGACAAGTTGAAATGCAAGCAACACGTGATCAGCTGATGGTAAACCAACCTTCATGATGTACACACGCTGACTCGTTACCAAGGCATTCAGTTTGTCTTTCGGATCCTTGTAACGAAGCCTCAAGCAGCTGATAAATCTGTTGGAGAGAGAGAAAAGCTGTGAACCGACAAAGGTCAAAGAATCTTAAAAGACTCTGTTGGCGCAAAGGTATGGCTAGGTAAATTGAAAGTTTTCATTTGAGGAAACCGCACCATGAGAGTAATCCCTTCTCATTTTGCAACTTGGGTTGCGAGGTTACACAAGCACCCTCAAAACAACAAAAAAAGACAAATAAACAACAAACAAAACAAAAATGTTCAACCTGGAAGTGATTGGTCGAAACAAAAGTTGTCAGTTGTGTACTTTTACATATTTTCTGTTTATTTTTTATATCCTACGATTAATTCTCGTCTTACTTTTCTTTCTTATCAACTTCACCAAACAAGCTAACTGTCAGCCTCTCTAAGAACTCTTGCCCTTTTAGTTTTCTTTGGGCATCTTTCGGCACCATGTCCCACCCTTCCACTGACGGAATGCAGGACAAGCTGCTCTCCTCACTTTCTGAAGAATCATGGTCCTCGTTATATTCAATCGGTATCAGTCTTCTCGCTCCCGGTACTCTCTGTTGAGTATCTGCAGACGAGGCTGTCGAAGAATTGGAGACCTAGAGCAAATGCGTGAAGAAAAGAATGACGTTTGAAAACTTCTTTGTTGCCCCATTATGTAACGCAAAACTAGTTTTCAGTTACAGGAATTGGGTCCTGATCTCAAGTAATCCACGACGTCACGCCACGTCAAAAACGTCACGTCATTCTGTGAACCAGGCTCTTAACCTGCTACCGCTTTTGACCAAACACCAAAATGAGGTGGTCGTCAGATCAAGAGCACATCATAAATAATTAACAAGCTACCTGCGATTTTCCTTGACCCGTATCTTTTGAAGGACTGTAGAGGAAGCTCGTTAACGTCCCAACAACACCACCTATAGATTTCATCGATGAGCTGGAGCGGCTCCCAGATGAGGAGCTACTTAAAGTGGGACTGTTCGATTGTGACTGAGAGATGCACGCACCCCATGAATCCGCGAACTGCAGAACAAACGTGAATGATAATGAGACAACGGAAACGAGAGTGACATATTTGATGGCAGGGTGGCGTGATATTTCGTAATTTTGCGCAAGTGTTTACGGGTTATGCGACTGCAAATTTCAATTCCAGAGTTGCTTTGATTCTGTTTCACTTCACTCTGTGATTGGTGGAGAAATCTCAAACAACCCTCTATACCAGTAAAATGCAATTCTAAACCAACACTATCGAAATAAGCTGTGTATTTGTGACTTAAAGGGAGCTTTTGCTACCGTTTACCACTTTTTTTTTTAAGAAAACTTAGACGAAAAAACTAAAACGAATGCGCCACAACATGGCAAACGTATGGAATCGTGTGATTCAGTAAAGACATGACAATATTTCAAAGGTCGTAATCAGACATTTTGCATAGGTTTCCAAACAATTTACTGGTTTTTGTTTTGCATCTGATTGGTTAGAGAGTGGCGCGTATTTTCTGAACCAATCATGGAGCAGAGTAAAGCCAAACCGAAGCAACCTTGAACACTTTTCGACATTCACAATGAAAACTGCCTTAAAAGGATTTACGAAACTATCAAGTACAACACGTTGTACTTGAACACTGTTGTACAGTTATAACATGCACCTTGTAGTAGGATTCAGCCAGTCCACCTCTCACGTGTCTGACGAAGCCAAAGTAGTCACCAGTCTCCCTCAGGTCGGCCAGTCCATCGGAAATATCGCCTTGCAAGCTGGAGAGGTTACCAAGGAGATGGAGCGAGCCAAGAAGAGAGGTGGATTGACGACCAATCTCCTGTAAAGAAATGGCAGAGCTGGTTACCTTTCATTAGCAGCATCATTCTAAAGCACGTCGCTTGCGGACTGGACCAATACTATCCCCGATGCTAATCTTTAGACCCCGCACTCCCCCCAATCCGCCCCTCCCCACCATCAACATTTCGCCCACTTTCCTTGAAAGTTTGTAACTATCCACTCTCAATTCGGGTAAAGAAAGGCAGGACACTGTAAGATGTTACGGTCTTTAACGAGATTAAAACATGATTTGCTTTGAACATCCCACCTCCTGCAAGTCAAGTAGTCCTTCTCTAATCGATTTCTTCATTGTTAACCTCAATTAATGTTTTTTTAAAAATCATTATTGCTGAAATAATGAAAGAATAAAAGGAAAAATTCAATAAAATTGGACACCTGGGGATTGCTGCCCACTGCCAGACAGTCCCTTATTTCTCCTTGTTTGTTTGTTTTTTCTTACTACTTCGATGCTCTTGGCGGATGGCACCTTATGCGTTGACTACTGATCTCAGGTAAGTCGCAATCAGTGTTGTTAAACTTGCCTTAAGTGTTCTGCTTGAATATTGCACCGTTCATAGGATTATCGGAAAATTAGCTCACCTTCAAATAATGTCTCCTGAAGTCTCGACCAAGGGCAACCGCTGTCTTGTAAGTAATACCCGTTCGTAAAAATTCTCCTAAAAAAAAAAAAGAAAAGAAACGAAAGAGTTGACTGGATTGGATCGTTGAATGGAAACCGCTAAAAGAACTATTCAAATCTCAATCCATCCTCAAAAATTTACATTTACATGGGATGTGGCTTCTTCAATAACGATAACTACAAAAAGGCACATCTTAGCTCAGTTAGATATTTAGATATGTCTCCTTAGATTCCTCCGACATAACTCTAAGATTAAAACTCCACGGTGCATGAAAAATTCCCGCATTCATAAAAAAACACAGCGCGAATAAGATCGTTAATTAGCAGTCCAGGTGATTTCAAATGATGGAACATTACATTCAAATCTTAACAACAGGTGAGATATCCCAAGGCCGGGCGAAGATTCAAATTTTTAATTTTCCCCGCTAAAAGTACATTACATATGACAGAGAACAAAAGAAATCCACTATGATTTTTTTCATTCCTTATCCCTTTCACTCTTGTAGGTGATCAACATCGAGTTTCTCCTTTCAATATCACCCCTCAATCACACATTAAGATCGCGAGAAAAGAGGAAATGATCACCAACTAAAGCAGCTCTTGATTGTTAAACAAATTCTCCTTTCTAGCACCCAAGGAAATGTATAGAGAACAGTACTGAGAAAATGCATACTGATGTTAGGACAATAAGGATTAAAGATCTATGTCAGAGTAATTATTGTTCTTATTTAAGATAAGAAATGAAATCTTACTTACCAAATTGCATGCTGGCATTCTCCATCAATGGTGGAAAACCGGCAGGAATATCCAGCTTTGTTTTCAAACTCTGAAGATCATCTGAAAGCTCGACGGCGGGATTACAAGTCACCACAACTCGAAACGGTTCCACATGTAGCTTTTCGAAATAAAACGGCTTTGCCGTGACAGCAGTGGACGGACTTTCGCTCGAGTTTTCTTGTTGTGCTTTTGTGTCTTCGCCCCACAACTGGGTCTTGGTTTTGATGCCCGCAAATTTCAGAAGTTTCAGAATGAGTTTCTCTTGGAATGTGACTGTCGATTCGCCTAGTTCCAAGCGAAGTTTCTGTTGCAAGGACAAAACGTGAAAATACCGTATTTCCTCGAATAAGCGCCCACGCTACTATGGGCACCATCCCCCGTAGAAACGCCTACCTCCTAAGTCATAATGTAACACAAGCGCCCTTTTCGAAAAAGAAGCCCCTCCTCCCTCACTTTCCTGAATAGTAGGGATACAAGGAAAACCTTCTTTCATTGCCACCTTATTTGTGAGTTTTTGAGCTTAAACTTTAGTGTAATAATGCAAAACGGGCGTCCTTCTCGAAAATGCAGCCCTTCATTTTCCTAAATAGTAAGGATACAACAAAAATTTTCTTTTAAAGCCACTCTATTCATAACTTTTTACGCTTCAACTTCAGCGGTATCAGCTCAGAAGAATAACTGGCGTCCTCCTCGATTGAGCGCCAATCGCCCAAGAAATAACAAGAGACATCCAAATTTCAGCTGTCTAGATAATCAAATTGATTTCAAACTGTAGTTTCACAAAAATCTACGACACAAAGTATTGATCTGTCAAAGAGATTCACTTCTTCACCACACAGCGGGTCATGTAGACATCCAGTTGAGACGTACCTTTACAACTACTCTCCCCGCTTCATTCTTCGCATCCTGCAGGAATGAAAACCGCAGAAGAGACTGGGAACTCATACCGTTGGACCGCTCTTGTTGAAAAGCAATGATTTTATCCGCGCAATCCTCTACCTGTTGAAAGTAACAATTATGGGTCAATGAGAAAGATTATAATTTTAGACATGAGAAAGCTAGAGGAATCGGTATACAAACACTAAGACAAAAGAAGTAACAAAAGCAGATCAGAACTCAGGGAGACAAGGATATCTTTTTCAGAGAAAAGATGAAGGCGAAGAAAAAAATCATGTATATAATCAAAAACGTGGAAAAAACACGAATAACCCAACACATTCGCTTAACCCTTCATCCTAACATCAGAATCCGTATTCTCCAAACTCCACTCGATACATTCCCTATGGTACTGAGTAGGAGAATTCGTATCACAATCAAGAGCTTCTTAGATTGGCGATCATTTCCTTTATTCTCATAACCCAAGTGAATGATTCTGCAGTATTACTCTAAGGGGAAATTAGATCCTCGTCACACTGAGGGTTTAAATGATTACTAGGGTATTATCTAAGGCGAAAAATTGCTGTTATGGTTCAACTATTTGAAAATGGCTGAGGTATAAAAGCAATCTTCTGGATCTTATTCGTTAACTCTGGTGCACTCAGAGAGAACCTTACAATAAGCACTATGACAAGGTCTTAAAAACGTCTACACCCTACATCAGTATGCATATTCTCCGTACTGTTCTCTACACATTTCCTAAGGCGCTGACAACGAGAAGTTGTTTAACAATCAAGAGCTTCATTAGTTTTTGATCATTTCTTTTATTCTCGTGACCTAAATGTTTGATTCAGGGGTGATATTGTGAGAAGAAATTAGATGCTGGTCACTTAAAGGGTTAACAGACTTACCTCAAGGTCTTTCACACTCAGTTCCACGGTTACATGGTGCTGATCTCGGTTAAAATCAACCTACAGGAGGTAAACAAAGACAAAAGTAAAGATTTCGTTATGCCCTCAGACAAAACAAACGAGTCCTAAAAAATGTCCGCACACATGAGTTATTAATTAAAACAAACATGATTTCGATGTTGTTGTTTTTTTAATCTCAGAATCATGCATTACGTTTACATAAAAAAGAGCGGAGTCAAGTCCAAACACATGCATTTTGAAGGACATACAACTTTTAAATGTGAAATTTTCTTAACAGTTCTCTGAATCCAAAACATTTCGGTGGAACATCAATCACAGAAATGAGGACTCCTCGACCTCAGCTTTGAGTTACTTCACGAAGTTTTTTCCAAATTTCTCTAGTTTGATTAAAACTAAAGCAGACCTGTCATTTCAAGGAAACTGCTTTCTTTGTAAGACAGTATACAATCAGAGTTTGTTTTTCGCCAGGTAAAACCAAAAGCAAATAAAGAAACTCACAAAATAAAGCTACTATTTTCAGTAAACAGTAAGAACAAAAGTGTTTACCCGTATGTCATCGACACTGACAATCAGAAGTTCATCGTAGACGTCTCTTTCCAAAGAAACTATCAATCCTCTGAGACTTATGAAAACCTGGAAATTAGGAAACAATGTACTTGTCAACAATATTATCAAGGAGTGAAAAAGAACATTGGGGACCTTAAGCAAAAACACGACGGCGACGGCAACGAGGGCGAGGCGAAACAAAATATCTAACGAGCAGAACAACAGCTCAGCACGTGCGTTTTAAAACTTTGTATATTTCTTGGATGTCCTCTGCAAAAAGACCAAAGTGAAATGACCCAACATTTACGTGGTCTGATGACAGAAACCCTCAGGGGAAACTTTCTAAGTTTTTTTAGAAACTCAAGGCTGCTCCCACAACCTATGCTGGAGAAAAAAAATCCAGCTATTAGCGAAAGGAAATTCTAACTAAAAATATAAATTCAATTTCTAATCGACATCTTTCTCGGTTTTGCCGTCCTGGCTACAAAAGTTTCCTTAGGGTAAAGTCTTAACAGCGTTGCTGTCTGGAAGGCTCGTGCAGAAGAACCGATATAAGGGAGTTTAAGATGTCACTACGTCGACGTGTGGCAAAACATTGCTGAAAATATCGTAATTTATTTTCCTTTGCGACTTTCGCCAGAAGCTCGAGGCGTTCAATGTTTCCGAAACGTTCAAATCGGCATCATGTACGTTCATTCAGTTTCTTTGCTACTTTCACGGGACTGCTAAGAAATAAAAGTTTCTTCTTCATGTTTTGCGATGTTCTGCTAATTAAATCTTCTGTTTTGCGATGTTCTCGTTGCCGTCGCCGTGGTGGTTTCCTTAAAGTCCCTACCAATGGCTTGCCCGCAGGCTATTATTAATTTAGTGGCAGTGAACCCGTTATGATACCTGACTTGGTGAGGATTGTTCTTCTGCCTCCTTCTTTAACAAACCGAACAAATCGCGCATTCGACTCAGATCCAACAGGCTGACATACTCCTACCAGCAAAAACAAAAAAAAGGTGTAAAGAAATTGGGTAAAATCGACACCAAAAAAGAAACAACAACAACACGACCTTCCGCACAGCAGTCCGGCGCTCTACAACCCATGCTAACCAAGCGATCTATCACACATGACACTGGTAACATTTCTTCTCTTACGTATCCCCTAACAGCAATGAACAATGATGCCACAATAATAAACCGTATACTTGTTTGTCTCACGAAGAAGTCACTTGAGATGTACATCGCGACGTTCGACCACTTACTGCTAGTCTTCGTCGGGCGATGTGGTCGACTGCTCAAGGGAATAGTGACAACATCATTTGCTTTATTTTTCTTTCTTTTAGTTTCTGTTATTTTCAAAAGTGGCATGGAATCGCATAACATTTGTGATACACCTTTCATTCATCCCTTCAGTCTATTTCTGTGAAGCCTCCATGTCCCTTACAAGACAGTTTTCCCCACAGCTAAGAAACCGTCACTCTTACCTCTTGAAGTTTCTGTAATACTGGAACGGAGTCAGGTCTGAGAACTACAGAAAAGTTCTGATCTGATGTTATTCTTGCCACTTTGGAATGGCCTGCGGAATCACTCCCCTATTGCGTAGAAAAAAAATCACTTTTTTACTTGTTCTACAGTCAACTAGAAAACGGGTGAAAGATTACCGATAGTAGACCAAGGTCCTTATGAGATGGAGTTAAAACGGTAAAAATACGAGAATTTTCAAGGAGAACTCGCAGTAAAAGCAACCAAACTGCCGAAAGCGCGGGTTGTTTTAATTTCTTCCTCTGATTGGTAAAGAGAGTGGCGCGAGGTTTTTGGACCAATCACAGAGCGAAGTAAAGTAAATCCAATGAAACCTTGGATTCCTTTCGACACTCAATTTAAAATTACTCTCAAATTACTCACAATAAAAGAACATTCCCAAGGCTTTGAGATCCATTCATTTCCAATAACGGCATAGGGATCTTTTTTCCCCTCTGAGCTGGGGACATAAGCTTGTATTCCCACGGAAGCTCTATACTGAGTCTGGAAAGAAATAAAGCAAGTACTTTAAGATGCAATTTATCATGTCGTAATAATTACTAAGTTCAATACAGTTATGGAGTGATAATAGCAATACTGAGAGAAAAAAAATTTCAATTAAGTTTCGAATGTAATCCGGGAATGCTTTGAATGTTTTATTTTGTTACGCGGTTTGGCCTCGTCATGAGTGGCTGTTATGATTGCTTTGGTTGGTTTTGCGACACATAATCGAAAAGTGCTCCAATAATTAACACAGTAATGATAATAATAATAATAATAATAATAATAATAATAATAATAATAATAATAATATATATATATATATTTTTTTTAATTTTATGGATGAGAAATATCTTTATTTCAAGTGCTAAAATCTATTTACAATGGAATCTATAATTCTATACTTTTAACACATGTCGATAACAATAAAATTCTAAACATAAATACATTACTAATATGTTTGCGAAGGAAAAAAAACATAAAATGTATTTAAAAATCTGTCGACTTTGATTGAAATAGGTAAGATTTATCTAGGCTAAAATATAGCAATAAAGAATTCAAGACTGGTTTTGAGAAACGTAAAACTAGGCGATAATAACGCCAACATCAATGTCATTGTTCTTCATGTCACGCTGAACTTTCCCAATGCTCCTGGAGCCTCTTAAACAGACAAGAGCAGATCGCAAAAGCGCAAACGACACTTGAGCTCTTACCCAGGAGATGGCTATGGAATATTGCTCTAAATAATAATAACCATTGTTGTTGTTGTTATTATTATTATTATTATTATTATTATTATTATTAATTTAAGAATGATAGATTTATTCAATACTCATAAAAAAGACCTATGTACAGTGCTTCACTTAAAAAGAATTAAATTTGTACCTTAACATCTGTTAGAAAGAAGAAAAAATCATAATGTCTCAATATCTCTTGAACTATAATCCACGAAAATGTTTCTCTACTAATTATACTCTACTTATTGTTGTTGTTGTTGTTGTTGTTATTATTATTATTATTATTATTCGTGGTTAGTGCATGCCGTACGCGGGAAAAAATTCACCTTTTTTCAAAAAGAAAAAATGAAACCTTAATTAAAAGAACCTATAATGTTTTCCCCACCCACATTATTAGTGTAATATCTGCGCATGCTTCCAATCCCACATCCAACAGAAGATGGATGTCAGGAATATGTTTTGTGGTCAATGCTATAAAAAAATATTGGCAACTGCCACCAAGAAGTAATATGAATGAAAGGAAATCAGAGAATATTGCGTGGATCTTGAATCTTACTTTCTTGGTTCTCTTAAGGAGCGAGAGATTGAACGACGCCATGATGTTGACTGCTTCATCTCCATCTTGAAAGCAAACTGAAACTTTCGAATCATCCGACTTGACATTGACCTAGGGTAGGAAAGAAGAAGAAATTGCATTAACGTCATAGAATTCTGTTTTATCCTTTCTAGGCTAGCAGGCCCTCAATATTAGTGCGGTAGGACGCTTATTTCTCAGTCTGCGAGGAGATTGCGACAAGTTGGGTAGAGGTCACTAAAAATGAATCAGTGCTAGACCCCTGACTGACCTCTCGCTGACTCGCGTTGCTTTACCGAGGGCGAAAATACAAACTATGAGAAGGACAGCTCACCTCTAATAACTTGTCAGGATTAATGTCTGTTTCATCGCGACCCTTTGATTCAGATGACAAAGCTGAAACGAAATACAAAGGAAAAAGTGTGTTAACCCTTTAACCCCCAGGATCTCTTTGTTAATTCTCCCTTCCAGCTGCTACACATTCCCTTGTAAATCAGTTGCAAGAATTTAGTGCTAGATCAAGATAACAACTTGTACCTGATACATTTGAGTATTCTCATTACCTGTTTGTTGGACAGTGGATAGATATTGTAAGGAGAAGTTACGCGTGAATCACTTCTAGGAGTTAAAGGGTTCATCATAAGCTCGCAGGTTGATGCCATATCATGTCGCGATGCAAAATAAAAGAGGCCTGTGATACAGCTTTTCAGATGGTATTAAAACGGAAGCGGCTTGTCACGGCGGTACAGCTGTTCGTTAACTCTTTGACTCCTAAGAGTGACTAGCATCTAATTTCTCCTTACAAAATCACCCCTGAATCAAACATTTAGGTCTCGAGAATAAAGGAAATGATCACCAACCAAAGAGGCTCTTGATTTTTAAACAAATTCTCCTTGTCAGCATCTTAGGAAATGTATAAAGAGCAGTATGGAAAATATGCATACTGATGTTGGGTTGTGAAGGGTTAACTCTTTCATTCGCCACATCAAAGAAGTGCGTAAGTTTCTACAAGTTGTTGTTAGATTGATTCAGTATTCTCCAATCAGTAACTTCCTTTTCCTCTTGATAATCATACTGTACAAAAGTATGTTGCTTGAGATCAAATTTTCACAATGTATCGACATCAAAAACAGATTAACTTAAATAGATTCCCTGCATCGTTTTTCAATGAGCAATTCGCCTTCCCGCAAGGTTTCATGTGCATAACAAATCGCTACCGTTAAGAGCCTACAAAAAAGTTTAAAATGAAATCAATTTGGTCTTACATGGCCCAATATCATAAACATATTTTTTTTTTTCTGATTTGTTACCTAGCAGTATGTTTAATATTGTTTTACAATGAAAATGATCTATATGTACTGGTATGTACGCATTTGATTAGTTTTCATAATTATTTTTTATAGAAAATGCACAATATAAATATTAAATATTATTATTTTTATTAGTATGTACATGTAGATGCATGTAGACTTGGAGTACATCATGAAGTCCCACTCATTTGAAAAATTTCACAGCTGTTTCAATGTTACCTTCTTTAAGCTGACAAATCCAGGAGTAGAAATACACCACTAAAGAATTCACTCTGCAAGGACTGACAAATATCTGTAACCCATGAAAGTTCATTGTAACCTGTGATGGACCTGATTTGTGAAATGTACCTAAAAAATCCACAAGTGGCATCTTGAGGATCTGAAATGTAATAAAATACAGTACATTTAAAGAGATTTGATTTGACCAGAAACTAAACAAAGTAACATTTGATAATATTGAGGTCTGGGTACTAATGTTCAAGTCATTTTGGCACATAACAAAGTAACTTATTTGATAATTAAACGATACATGGTAATTAACCTTTAATCCCTAAGAGTGATAAGGTTCTAATTTCTTCTTACAATATCACCCTTGAATAAAATGTTTCGGTCACGAGAATAAAGGAAATGATCAGTAACTAAAGAAAATCTTGATGTTTTTACAAATTCTCCTTGTTAGAACCTTGAAAATGTAAAGAGAACAGTATGGAGAATATGCATGATGATGTTACAGTGTAAAGGGTTAAAGTTAGGTGTGAGTGGATAGGTCGAGGCAAACAGGTTTGAAAGGTGCAGTATATTTCAAACTCTATAGAGGAAACAGGTCAGCTCAGGTAAAGTCAAGACAGGTACAGACAGGTTTGACTACAATAGGCAACTCTGGACAGAAAACAGGTTTGGTCAGGTCAGACTGGTTTGACAGGTGTGACAAAAGACAGGTCAGGTCAGATCATTGCCTTCAGGAGTATGTCAAACCACATGACTGATCAAAATTTGTGCAAATTTATCTTACCTTTTCTCTTCTGGCCAGTACAAGCCCTGGATCATAAGGCCCACAGCAGTATGTTATTTCTCTCATTTTAATACATAATGATGTGGCCTCTTTTGATGGTACCAACAACCCATCCACAACAGCAGCCTGATAAAAGAAATCCATGTAAGCAGATTGAATGCTAACTGTTTTTCTAACTGTCCAGCTATTGAGAAGTTGTAGACTCAACCCCTCGGGATAAGAGGCAAAGTGAGCATGCTCAGCTCTAAATAAAAAGGTCTGAGTTGAACCCTGGCTGAGATGCTGTTCTATGCTCTAAAAAAATTTGGTTTGTTTTAACATTGGCTCATAGCACCCATGGGTATGTATAGAAACACATTTTCAGAGAAACTAGACAAAACCCCACAGAGTAACCTGTGATCTATCAGCATTCTGTCAACACCATAATATATGATTCTTTATTTTCCAATAGTGACTGTGCTAAACTTAATTCCTCTTCATCACTTTGTCATAGATAAGTGCAATATGCATGTATTCCTCCACACCACCAGCAAGTGCAACAGAACAGATTACCTCAAACATTGCAACATAGGAGCCTCCCCTATGCACATGTAGTCTGCTTCCAATTTGTACATCAGTAGCATGCAGCAAAGTAAAGGATGGTGGTATAATCTCACTGGAATTGCGAAGGTCACTGCTGATCAGGTCACTGGGTGAATGCTATCAATCAAAACGGAAAAGGTTTAACATTGATGAAGTTTGCACAGCCAAACACATTCCAATTAATACATCTCCTTAACACTACTCAAATTTTTTCTTTAACCATAAAGTAAAGAACATCCTCCAGAGATCAATTCAGAAAAATAATCATCATCATCATAATCATAATAAAAATAATAATAATAAAACTTTAGGTCAGTGCCAAATGGATCCAGCTTTACAGATAGAAGCCAATTGGGGACATAATTTCACTGAAAATAAAACTGAGTAATTTAGAAGCTTACATTTATATCATCAGTACATTGATCACTCTAATCTAAGATCCAAAATCTAAAATCCACAATCCATAATTTACAATTTTCAATCTACAGTCTGAATCTAAAATCTAAAATCATAATCTACAAAGGTGCCACAGTCACCTGTCATTTAGTTATTTTACAACGTTTTTAAAGAACTGAAGGTAAGGCAATTGTTTGGCCTAGTTGTTTAGAAGTTTATATTTAAATCTGCTATTAAATTTGCAAAACATCTGTAAGAAATTATTAAACCCAAATATTACACAGAATTTATATATGAAAATTTAAGTACAATACATACTTACAATATTCTAATACCAGTGAAAAGGTATAATTATAAAACATTAATGTAATTAATATATGATATAAACATTAAAACCTCACCATCTTCCAGTGAAGAGTAAAGGAAGTGTAAACATCTGTTGTTGTATCCTAAGAACAGAAAATGAATTAAATTTAAAAGAATCAAGATGTCACGGAAGGCAATTCACATTACGTTAAATTCAAGACAATACTGCCCAACATTTTCATTAAAGGCACTCCTACAGCAGTATTTAACGAAGATCAGTAAAATTTATGAACTAGTATTTGAACAAACCTCTGTATCAGTAAATATTTCTCTGTGGACATCCTTTACAGAAAACAAAATTGTGATATCCCTACGAGAAACAAAAAATGCCAAATTTACTGCACCAAAATTTGGTAAATTTTAATCTGGTCAAAGAGTGCACAAAACTGCAAAATTTTCCTTAAATAAATATATAAATTTTTTATACAACTACTTCTAAAATTCCACCCTACCTAACTTTCAGAAAATTCCATTCAATTTTCTTTAATGATATATCTTCAATTGTCTGTTGAGTAAAACAAAAGAAATTTTATGAAATGCATAAGTCAGAAAATGCTAATTGCTAATAAAAACAGATTTATGCCCAGGAACCAAAACTCTATTTTATTCATTAGTCACTTGCTTGCAGTTATTGCAATTACAGTAGCTAGCAGAAGTCAACTCGGACAAACATAATCTAAACTTTCCTTGGTAGTTTTTAGTTTTTTTAGTTCCTCTCTGGTTATCAAAGCCTTTTATTGGCCAACTTCTTCGTGTCAAGGTTACTTTAAAGCCTTGTTCAAACGATTTTGATAGATGAAAATAGTTTCAACTTTCACGCATGTTTTAACCCCTTTCAACCCAACATCAGTATGCATATTCCCCATACTGCTCTCCATACATTTCTTAAGGTGCTGACAAGGAGAATTTGTTCAACAATCAAGAGCTTCTTTAGTTGGTGATCATTTCCTTTATTCTCATGACCTTAATGCATGATTCAGAGCTGATATGGTAGGGAGAAATTAGATGTCAGTCACTCTTAGGGGTTAAAGGGTTAAACACCAACTATCGTTCACTATCATCGACTATTACAGTGAATGATAGCTTTTCATTCAGGAGTTTGGCCAACAACTGGCTCAAACTGAAATGGCAAGTGGTAAAATGACTAAAGTAGCCGTCATAAGTTCACAGAATTTCTAGTAGTTCAATCCCATCATCTCTTGGTAGGCTTCAGTATCTTCAGCTTGCAACTTCTTAAATTCATTTTCAAATGCCACCTAAATTGCTGACTTCAGCACATGCCATATTTGTTCACAGTAATGTGATCTCATCATGTGATTTTGTCAACTATCATCAACTTTCATGAACCATTTGAAAGCAAACATGATAGTCAATGATAGCAAATGAAAGTTGAAACTATAATCAACTATCATTGGTTTGAACAGGGCTTAACAAGTGGCTATGGATGCCTACTCCTCCTCAATGCAGAGGTGCAATGACACATTTAGCTCTCTCATTTAACAATAAAATTATCCTGTCCAAAGTCCAAACCTTGACCAGTTGGACCAATACCTCAACCATTAACCCTTAATGCTTAAGATCTCATTTTAAAGTAATATTCCCTACTGTCTGCCATACAATTCTTGTGATGTCAGTTCAGAGAATTTGGTATTGGATCAAATTTATTTTTCTTTATTCTCATCACTTGTCTGCTTGATATTATAAGAAATTCTATCTTGGTCATTCATGGGAGTGACAGGGTTAAAATCATTACAGCTTTTACTAGAAAGTCTAAATGAGAGAGCAGCATGCAGGTGTATCTTCACTAAATCAGTGAAAGCTGTAGCTTACATCGGAATTGTGGTCAAAATTATTTCAAACCATATTTTTATTTCACTTAATATGAAGATTGCACTAATCTAAAAGGAATGAAGAAAGAAAACTTCCCCAGGTTAAAATCATTTCAACGCACAACTCACTTTAAACAGAAACATAGGAAAAAATTTATCTCATACCAGTCCTGAGTTATCTTCCCAAAGTACTCTTACACCTTGAACAGATAAAAATCCAAACTCTCTGATGGTAATTTCCACATCACAAAGTCCAAACCACCACACAAGTATAAATGACAAGATATGATTCAGAAACCTGCCAGGAAGTAAAACAAAATAAACTTAGCCTTCCAGTATACATTTGTAAAGAAATGATATCAACTCTCAACATAATTAAGGTTACCATATAAGAGTACCAATTAGAGGTGCATATGATGCACTGATGTCAACATATTGTATTTACTTTCTTCTGACACGATTTCATCATGACAGTTAGAGCTAGAGTTAGAGCCAGAGCTACTGGTCTGTTAAGATAATTTGGTTATATCAACCGATTTAATGATGTAAATTGGCCATTTTAGGGGGTTACTGCAAAGCTACAGGTCTGTTTCCTAGCAGAATCCAGCTGTCACAAGTGAGTAGCTATTATCTTTGGGGATCTTCCATGTAACCTTTGCTTTTTGTTACAGCTTTTAGCAGCACTTCTGATAAGAAAGCCTTCAAGCACTCACTGATTCTTTAAAGAGTTATGGAGAAAGTTTGCCACTAGATTTTTTAATGAAGGTTGATGTTATTCAGTGAATGACACAGGTATAATAGGAGAAAAAGAACTTAGAGTGCTCCCAACAGACGTAGAACCTTTTGATAAGCACTTTGGACACTCTACCCCTGAGCTATAGGAGATGCATTGCAAACTAGGCCTCACTAAACTTGTAAGTCACTGTTTGTAGTCTGAGAACACACATGTAACTTTGACCATTCACCAGAACAGATATCACCAACATGTGGGAAACATTTTGCAGAGAAAGAAATGTTTTCTTAATGGGAAATTTCTCTGAGTCACAGGGCTTACCTGAGAAAATCAAGTTGACAACATTCTACAAAATCAATATACATGTATGTTCCCTGGGCTCTCAGACACTGCTCAGATTGCAGCTTGGTCAAAATTGCAAAGCATCACTTGTACAATAATGTCAACTAATAACCTTCAGAAACTTGTCTCAACATGCAAAATAAATACAAATATGCAGAACATACAAAAGATTCTGCAAAATATCAAAACTGTGAAAAAGAGACATGAAAATGGACATGAAGGATTCAGTTCCAAGTGGTGTTGCATTAGATTGAATTTCATAATTCTGAGATCAAATAGAAATTACAGCAAATTACCATAATGTACTGAATAGTGATACATTAAACTTCCTTGTAGCAACAATTCTCAAATAAATCTGCAGAAATTGCAGACAGGAGACTACCTGCTGTTGAAAGCTTTGCCCTCAAAAGAGCAAACTACATTTGTTATGAAGGTTTTACTATCGAAATATTAAACATAACTCGTTCTCTATGTTAAGTTCGAGTATCTGTGGCAGAAAAAGCAACAAGGCGTGGTTTGTGCTGTAAAGCTTACATATGCATGCAAATCTCGACCCTTGGACGTAGTACCGGACTCTTGAGTAATGGCACGATGATTTCAAATTCGAAATTTTAATTCAAAGTATATCCTCCACTAGTTGGTTAATTCGAAATATATAAACATTTAGAACTAACTTCAAAATCTCTCGTTTAAATTTGCAAATAGAGGAGTTAGTATACATAAGTGAGCTTAGAACTTCAATCAGGGCTAACAAGATTGGATGAATTTCACAATAGAACGAAAGCGAATATTGTACAAGAACATTTAACGATAACTTACCAAGTGCTAACACGAACCCATAAGAGATATATCCTCAAGTATATGTTAATGACCAAAAATATCGGGCCAGTAATCCCAGAAAAAACACCATTTGTAGATGTGGTGATTGTTCTCAACATGCCTGATGTCTGTAGACGACAAATTCAGTTTCGATAATTTCAACTTTTGTAAACGTCTACTTGCGCTGCTTGAGTGGTTGTGTTGTTCTTCTGTTGTTGATATCAGCCTCTTCGTCACAGACAGTTTCAGTTTGAGCTGCTCAGTCGAGTGTTTCTTGACGGAACCAGTTTTATAAATGATGTAATTCCCTCATAGACGCCATTGTTTTGCAAATGAAATTCATCTTTGACCTTCAACCATCACGTGCCCATTAAAGCATCACACCACATCTAGTATTTCATTTTGGTCAAGAGGTCTTAATAAAAAGACGCTCATTAAATTTCGAGCTATATACTTCCGTTCAAGGAGCCAAAGTACGAAATAAACGAATAGTTGATCAGATGACAAATAACCAAATAAAACGTTAATTACGTTCTAGACAAGTTCAAAACACCGTTGAAGTCTCTTTCCATTTTCTCATTCATGTAAACTTAAGAATCTGTCTTTTAGTGGAGAAGACCGCTGATAAACACCGTGACTGGTTCGTTTCAGAGAATTTCTTCGCTCAACTCAGTTTGCCTATGATACTTATTTTCCCTTCCTCAAGATCCTGAGGCTAAACTGCAGAATACCCGGCCACTTTGGTCCGCCTCGCTTATATGTGTCGGGAGGCTTTAAAGATCGAGGCATAACACAATAGAGGCTATTCTTGTTCGATGACATGTAAATGAGTGGCCGGGTATTCTGCAGTTGCTCCGATCCTGATTTTCGATACACATCTAATAAAACTCATAAATTAAAAAAAAAGACATAACTCCGGAAGAGAAAGGAGATCACAAGGAAAATTGTTTTAAACGCTTCTTGTTCTCGACACACAACGCACTTCTCCCCAACAATGCCTTGTGCGACGATGATATTCTCTTATAGGGAAAGTACGGTCTAGAAAAAAAGTTTATCTCAATTACAAGAATCTTTCCACAGAAGTTCGAAAATAACCTCTATTTTGTCTCGTTTGCCTTGCAATTGCGGCAATAGCGCTTTGAAGTTGTTCATATTAAGAGCTTTTGCAATTTTAGAAAAAAAAACATTTAATGGAAGCGAATAAATTGAAGGTCGAAGTGATGATCGGCGACCACGTGTGGTAAATTCTCAGTCGCCATCCGTGACCAAAGCCGATTTTCAACATCGTGGGCTTTTCCCAACTTAATTGCATAAATATATCTTGCCTTTCCTAACTCTGTTCCAGGTCCACTTAGTAAACTGCCTTTACCTCACTGATCGCAAACTCCTACGAAAAAAAAACTAAAGGACCATTTGATACGTTACCGGCAAATAACCCAGACAAACACGATTACAACAATACAGATTATCTATCGCTTAGCAGGCGCCCACATTCGATTGGACACAATAAAAGCTTTCATGAGCTTTTCTTGTGCATTCATAAAGATTTGAATAAATAAATTCATATAAATCATGTGACGACATTTTTGCAATAAAATTTAGCAAGATCTCTAGAGGTAATATGAAAAGTGCCATAGACAAACGCAACAACCAGCTGATATCGTGAGTTCATGTCGCACGAAGTGGGGGGGAGGGGAGGAGGGAGATGCAAAGACAAAGAGGTGTTGAAGATGAGTTGGCTGGATGGAACGAATGGCAAGCTTGCTGCAATCCGGATCGAGATCATGAGGTCCAAGTTCTGGCCTGGTTCTTGGAGTTTTCGTGCCGTGTTCTTAGGCATAACATTTACTTGCGCAGTTTCTTAGCGACAAACTATATCCAGGGGTTGATTGTAATAAACTGCATGATCCTCGTCAATAACTGTTGAGAATTCCCCCTCCTCCTCTCTCTAATTTTCAAATTTTGGTAACAAGAAAATAGGCCCTTTTGCAGTTGTGTACTTAGTTGCCAAGCCTTTGATTTGGAGTGAAGCTGAAGGTGACCTTGTTGTGATAGTGACTAGTATCTAGCTAGCGTGATAACAAAAAAAAATTTGCATTTTAGAAGCAGTAATGTTTGTATCATAACAAGGTCACCCTTAGCCTCACTCCTGTTCAATCGCTTGGCAATCAAGCACACACCTTTGAAATATACTATTGGACCGACTGAAAAAATCAACCCATTTGAAGAGGGAGCAGAGTGTTTGAACAAAACCTGGCCATGGAAAGGATTATTCCGGCAACTTTGGTGTTGTCCTCCCATAGATCAAACAATAATCTTTTCGTTTCAATTTTTACACTTTGAAGCAACATTTCTCGTCGAAAATCTTATCGTGACGTTTCGGCTTTACGCAGACCTGAGGAAAATTGGAACCTTGTAAAACTAAGCGTTAACCACAGAATTTAATCTGAAGCAATTACTCGAGCATGGGCAAATTTTAATAAGGGCTATGATTTTGTAACAGACAAAAATTTTCAAACGCTAAAATTTATAATTTATTTATGTTAGTGTACACTCTAGAAGTTTCCTTTTTCAGTTTAATTTCTTCGCCATCGCAATTGTCTGCTTTTATGTTGTTTTCGCCTGACGAATTAGATACTGAAAAAGATATCTTGGTGAAAACACACGGACTTGACTATCCAATCAAAGCGATAATCAAAACAATCGCAGTCGGCGATGAATAATTGAACGCAATAACACAGTGAAGCCTACGCGTTTGCAAAGTTTGATAGCAAAGCGCCAAGACCAAGTCTTCAGTGTATCTGGCAAGGAAAAACAGAATTTTGGAAAAACCTGTTAATTCTCAGCTATGGAGTTAACACCTACTCAACGAAAAAACTTGGTTCCTTTTGTTCTGTTTCTGGCCAATTTAATCTATCTTTACTTAGGAGGGCTCATCTTTGAATCTATAGAGTACGAACCTAAAACGAAATATACAACGACAGACGATGTGAGTTTGTTTTTGGAAACTTTGAAGGAAACGTCACTTGGAAAGAGAATGCTGCCGTCAGATTTTGACAGCAAAGAAGTTGTTAAGGGTTTACAAACGGACTCATTGAAAAATCTTAATGATAAGTTTGAGAAAATTCAAAACGAAAGGATAATTGCTTCCAGACCGCACTGGAGTTTTTCGAATTCGCTCTTCTTCGCCACAACTGTAGTCACAACAATCGGTAAGGCTTGAGTCACAATTTTACTGCAACTACTTACTCATTTTAGTTAACGTAACTTAACTGCTTAAGAAACATTTTTTTTTAGGCAAGCTGGAAAACATTCCAATGGCGATAACTTAATCTCTGATGATTTTAATTTTCAGTTCCGAATGAACTAATTTTATTGATATTAGAGTATTTCGGGTTAGTGCTGGAGTTAAATAAGAATATACGAGGGTGAGATGGAAATCTCTCTCTTCTTGCATGGTATCAAAGATATACTACCTCGAAGTGATGATAAAAACATACACTCAAAATGAAAAAAATCATTTATCTTTGTTATCAGTTGCGGATGGATAAAAATAAAACAATTCTTGAGAAAAATAAGAAATCTTTTCAACAACTCTCCAGGACTCCTTACATAATTTGAAAATATTTTATTGAAAAGTATCTATTTTATAAACTTCACCACAACTTGCGTGGTTCTCGATGATAACTTTTTCAGTAACAAAAAAGTATATATCCCCAAAATCAATTTCGGTTAAAACGCTCGTTGACATGTAATCAACATCCTGCTTTCACATTGTTTAGATTAAGAAATTTTCTATAATAAGGAAGATGTTATCTTACTAACGACAAAATATTCTATTGGTTCTGGAGTTTTTGTCCTGACCACAACACGTACGCTTCTTCCCACGGGAACCCTCGGCTTATGCACGAAAAGCAATCATAAAAAACGGTTTTGAAGGTCGAATTTTAATCTGGAGTGAGGAAGTTTGGTGAAAATACATGAAAAACTATACAAGGTCTCATGATAGATAGATAGAGAAGAGAATGAGGAAAGATTGCAGCGTTAACAGAGTTTTAAGAGGTCACACTTAATAGCCGATGAAAGGCGAATTGTAAACAAACACATTTAGATCAAGTGAGAAACAAAACAGCTTGATGGCGGTTGAAGGCTTGGACCCGCGATCAAGTAGACTGGGTTCGAGTCCAAGCCAGGTCATAGCGTTGTTTTCTTGGCATGTGCAACGCACTGTACTATCCGATCCTCGCTTCATCCAAACTTAAGGGAATACCACGTTTTTTTTGAGAAAACGGGATGATTTGCTGAGAATGACCTGCGCGTTGGACCTGCCACCCATCCAGGATAAGCCGGAACAAGGATGGAGACGATTGAAACGAATTTCAAACACTAATCTTGAAAACTTCTACCTAAATTTCTGAGATGCTAATCGACATGTGCAATTATTCAAAAAGTGATTTTTACTTTATTCAATTATTCAAAAAGCGATTCCAAACTGATAGTTAACGTTTAATGGACGCCTTCTAAAAATTAAGGCACAGAAAAAGAGCGAGCAGTTGTGATAAGGGTTTCAAAACCTCATTCAAATCGCCTACTGGTGATGCCCTTATACTGCGCTGGTAACTTTATTCTTTTTCATTTCTTTTAGGCTATGGTAACCTAGCCCCGATATCATTGGGCGGTCGCATGTTCTGTATTATATACGCTCTCATTGGAATACCTTTGACCCTGATGTTGTTAGCCGTGGTGGGAAATCACATCGTACACTACCTAAACAACGCATGCGCTTGGCTAGTGAACCGCATTCGAGCCTACCATAGTAACTACGAGTTCGAGTCTGCAGATACACAGATCAATGCACCTGTCTGGATTGCATTGCCGATCATCTTCGTATTTTTAGCGATTATGTCTTCGATGTACTGCGCTCTGGAGGGATGGGATTTTGGCACGGCGCTGTATTTCATCTTTATCACATTTACGACCATTGGATTTGGAGATATCGTGCCTCGATCTCAAGCGGTAAGTATCCCCTAATTGGCTCCGATTGACGGGCCTGTCACACAAGCCAATTTTCACACTAGCTTGTTATGCAAATTCTGTTGTGACAGAGTACAAGTTTGAGGAAAATTGGCTCGCTCATTTACCACCTCAAGTTCTCGTCGCATTAAGCTCTACGCGAAAATTTATTTTATATTTCTGAATTTTTTTTAATATCATTATTAGAATTATTGTTGATATTATTATCATCGTAACTATCTTTGTTATCCAATCATCATCAGTTATTTTCATTATTGTCATTAACATTACCCCTGTTATCATAATTATTCTAAGAAACCTCCTTTGCTAGTTAGTTGCTGATGCATTTAATACGATTTTCCGTCTTTTTCGCTAACCTACATCTATTCTAAAATACAACCTCTTTTATACACCGATCAATTTGAAGTTTAAACATCCCCCCGGCAACCCACGGGAATTTTACCGTCGTTCATGCTCAGGGGGGTGGGGAATTTGAACCTTGCCTAACTAAAGTGAGTCATTTGAACCGGACCTGTCAAGTCTTTCCAGCATAAGACACGTGTTTTAATGGACGAGTTTAAATGTAAAGAGTCTGCTCTTGTGAGGGAATGGCTTCGAAAGACAACTTCCACGTCGAAGAATGATGCTTATAAGCAGAAACCCTAATGGCATGCAGCAGCACCAAAAACTGATTCTTGTTAAATTCGACAACATTTGTTGATCACACAGTCAACGTTCAAAATTTGGTCGGGCATTTGAACGCAGTTTTGGCCCGGGGGCGAGAATTGAACCAGCCAATCTTCAAAATTGCAAATGCCAGGAGGGGTTGCCGAACGCGGGATGTTGAAGCTTCGAATGGATTAACGCATTTTAGATCATCCGCGGAGGTCTTTCTCTTCGTTTTTCCATTAGACTTTAAGGATTTCTTATCAGGCTTCACACTAACATGTTGTCTACGTCCTTTCTTAATTGGGTTCATATTATCGTTTATATTATCCTGTCCCGGGTGTTCAGCTGGTAAAGCGAAGTGCGGTAGTAAACGGCGCAGGAGTAGAAGAGTAAAGAAAATTGAGGGAAGTTTGGGTCGGGTAGCGCAATGAACACACTCCCTCGTTTTCACTCTGCTGCTACTATCGCGCCGTTTACTTTTCTGTTCTATTTTATGAATCAAAACATGGTTAGAAATTAAATCACTGACGCGCGATCTTGTCTCTTCGGCTGTTTGGAGGTAAATGGTATTTGCTAAATCACCTCCGAATCAGCTAATCAGTGCGAGCGAAAAGCACCATTCACCTTTATGGTATACAGCTATTTCAATTTACGTTGTCGGATCAAAGCTTCAAGGGTACGGGACAAGACCGAAAGGCGGTATGGGTAGATTAAGCACTGCCTCCATAATCAAAAATTCCACGTGCTGATGCATTGCCACACTGTTTGCTGGTCTTCCAATAATTCCTGCTTTGACGTCTCCAGAATTTAAAACTTTTGAAACATAACGTTCGATAGTTCTTGGTGACATCCATAAAGCAGCAGCAACCTCATCCACTTGAAACCTCAACATTTCTTTCGTCCAAATGGCTCGCCATCGGAGATCTTCGCTGTATGGACGAGGCATTGTTAATTTTGCTGATAATTATTCATTAAGATCCCATATTCCCCTTCGGTCTTGTCTTGTAGGCTTGATGCTTTGATCCGACAACGTAAATTGAAATAGCTGTATACGTACTTAGTCTGGATATGTAATTGATGAAATATTTGTATTGTGTTTATCTCTCTTCTTTCATTTCCCTTCTCCAATAAATTCACTCACTTGCCATCTCAAGCTTTTGATCATCAAGTCCATCGACCAAAGGCGTCACTTGGACAACATGCCCACACCCATCATTACCTGTGCCACCAGCTATCACATCACAATGGCGTACAACATAGTGACACCGCAGTGTCGCTGATGCAATGTGATTATAACATTTCAAAACTTGCACTAACTTTACCACTTAACTATCTCTTCTTAGACGAGCAGGAACGTTTCTTACAGCGGACCGCGTATAGGAGAGGTTCGCCAACCACTCGCTCTTCATGTGCACAGCCTTTCTTCATGAGCACCTAGCCTATCAACACGATTGAAATGATTTTCCTTGTACGATGATATCCATGCTTGACTAATTATTACATTAAATGCTAAACTAATTCCCCCTTTAAAATGCGCACTAAGTATTCTGCCAAACACCTGAATATGGGGTCTGTGTCTATTTGCTTTCGATGGGCCGTAAAGATAAAGCTCACTGAGCCACCTATATTTATTTATTTCTCTCAATTTTCTCAATCATATCTGAGGAGAAAATAAATGAAACGCTGAATACTTGTCTGCACCTGCACATGCCCAAGCACGAACACATCACGAGCAAATCACGTGCATGTTCTTGTCCACGTGACATACCTGTCATGACACTGAGGAAAGAAGAAAGCTTAGTTAGTTCACTAGTTCAGTTCTTTTTTTTTTTTTCTGTCTTGCCACATAAATAGTCAGTTTTAGTGTAAACTATTGCATGTGCATGACGATAACTGCATGATTTTGTTTTCTTCTCTCCTCAACGTCCCGAACAGCTTGCATTGATATTTCAGGGTATCTGGATCAACCTGATGCTCCTATATATCGGATTGTCGATCGTCTCCATAACCATCAACCTCTGCGCGCAGAGCCTCATGGCTCAGCTGAAAAAGACTGGTCTCCACACGAAGATCCTGCAACTCTTCTCAACGCAAGTGGACTCGGCCGAGGGCATCAACGTTCGCACACAACAAGGAGAAACCGCTGATCGAGATCAGGCTCGCAAATCCAATAGGAGAAAAGGTAAAAAAGGAGAGAGGATAGCGATGTCAGATCTTGAGCCTCGCTCTGATGGCGAGAGGTCTGGTCCTGGCCGAGAGGATGAAGAACATTCTACAAGGCTGAAAATAAATCGAGAGGCCGATGGCAAACATTATGGAACCCTGCAAGAATAAAAAAATTGAGATTGTTTCCACAATACATACAGGCTGGAAAGTGTCTGGCGTGAAATGAAACCCAGCATATCACACGTGTAACTGAAAGTACTCATTTACTGTATTACGACAGTCACTACTATTGGCGTTTATGAAACAACAGAGTGAGCTGTCATGATCAAAGAAAATAAATGCGAGTTTGTGAGCGTGCTTGGAATGCGGTTGGATCGATACAAATAAAAATTATAGCCATTTGGTAACTAAAAGGGGTAACTCAATTTCAAATTTTGTGCGATGAAAATAATTTGTGTTTCATTGAGTAGATGCGATGTGCGATGCAGAGGGGGTGGCAAAACAGTACTGCTTCAAAAACTTGAACCAGCTTTGGACCAGCAGTAATGCCAAACCACACTGATCGCATGGTAAGAGTCTTAGCTCGCTCTATACCGAGAGCTTTATTTTTTCTTTATTTGATCTATTTCTATCGGTCTGATCAAGTGTCATGCATAGTTTTGAGAAAATAGACTATTGAGATTATCTACTGAAGAAAACAATCGGCGTGTCAAACACTACTCCGAGCGCGCTTTTGAGGGACTGGGATGTAATTAATTAAAATTTCCTCCCCGCGAGGGCGACCCTAAAATCAGGAACGGCGGAATGGCGGAATGGTGGAAAATGACCCCAAATCCTAAAACAAGGAACGGATGTCAGGGCATGTTGCACAAATTTTGTACAAAAACACTCAAGCGCTTGGCTCATTCATCCCCACGACGATAACGTGCGGGACTAAAATTAAGTGTTATTAATTTTTTTTCTTTCACCGAGTGGTATGAATGATAATGAACCATTATGCATGAAAGATAGCTGCGTTTTCGCGTTGTAAAACTGTTTTGTTACCTTTTGTTATGCTAAATTTGCCATGAGTTTTAGTCGCGGCATAAAAAGTCGCACAGCATGTGAAAACCAACTTGACATACCACATTACAATAAACAATTGTAACTTTGATACGTTTCCTGGTCACGTCTGCATTGATTTATTGAAACAATAATATCTCATATGCTTGTAAATGTGAGAACATCACAGGAACGTTTTTAGGCTTCTCAAAATGTAACGACGTTCAGCCCCAGCTTCAAACTTAAACCAGCGTGAGAGCAAGCCCTCGTTACGAGCCTTCAATACGAGCGTTTTTTCATCCCCGAATAAGTTTTGGGACTTGAGAACACAAGATCAAGAGAGATTTGCAGGGTGTCACGCGCGTGGGAATTTCTCATGGCGTGAAAAGACAAAAGGAAGTTAGTAGAAAGAAGCCGTCAAGAAGAATTTGAAGAATTTCTTCGCGACCAGGTGTCCAAAACACCACCATCCTACTGTGAAATTTACGGCTTACATATCAGCGGAAGAAATAAACTTTATGGACAAAAAAAGAGGCTATTTCACCAATTCGTTCAGCGGATTTCTTCTGTTCCTTAACAAATTGCAAATCGTCAACTCTATGGTGTTTAAATTGCCCTTCCTGAAAGGGAAGTGTAATTCAGACGGATCTTTGGATTGTCATGGTTTACCATTATTCGCATGGAAGCAGTTGCGAGACAAAGAAGAGGCTATCGGTCGAGGATCCTATGGTTTGATTTTTGTGGCGAGAAACAATTCTGAGAAGGTCGTAATCAAAAAACTGTTAGGTGAGGACGAGAAGGAAAAGCGTCTTTTCCTCAAAGAGGCAAAAATACTCCTGGGGATTAAAAGTGAACATATCGCTAGGTTTCAAGCTGTGTGCATGGAACCGTGTGCAATGATGCTTGAAAAAGCGAAAGCGCAGCTATCTTTCATGCATGATGGTTCATTATTATTTATACCACTCAGTAAAAGAAAAAAATTAATAACGCTTAATTTTAGTCACGCGCGTTATCGTCGTGGGGATAAATGAGCCAAGCGCTTGGTGTCTTTGTACAAAATTTGTGCAACATGCCCTGACATCCGTTCCGTGTTTTAGGATTTGGGGTCATTTTCCACCGTTCCGTGTTTTAGGATTTAGGGTCATTTTCCGCCGTTCCATGTTTTAGGATTTGGGGTCATTTTCCGCCATTCCGCCATTCCGCCATTCCGTCATTCCGCCATTCCACCATTCCACCATTCCACCATTCCACCATTCCACCATTCCACCATTCCACCATTCCACCATTCCACCATTCCACCATTCCACCATTCCACCATTCCACCATTCCACCATTCCACCATTCCACCATTCTGCCGTTCCACCATTCTGCCGTTCCACCATTCTGCCATTCCACCATTCTGCCATTCCACCATTCCACCATTCCGCCATTCCACCATTCCACCATTCTGCCATTCCACCATTCTGCCATTCCACCATTCCACCATTCTGCCATTCTACCATTCTACCATTCTACCATTCCACCATTCCACCATTCCACCATTCTACCATTCTACCATTCCACCATTCCACCATTCCACCATTCCACCATTCCACCATTCCACCATTCTACCATTCTACCATTCCACCATTCCACCATTCTACCATTCTACCATTCTACCATTCCACCATTCCACCATTCCACCATTCCACCATTCCACCATTCCACCATTCCACCATTCCACCATTCCATCATTTAAGCTTTTAGGGTCGCCCCCCATCAACGCCAGAGCGTTACCTTTTTCGTGACCTTACTGAAATTTTTGAAATGGCGGACGAATCAACCCGATTGATCATTAAAGGCAAGAGAATCTTGCTGCCAGATTGTGTTTCTTCGGGAAGTATAATCATAGACAAGGGGAAGATTGTTGGAATAGAGAAAGGAATGGATACCGCTCAATTACCTCCACGGACGAAGGTAAAATGGGGCCAGGAGGAAGCGCTACTGACCAATATTGTAACCCCATCAAGGGTCATGTTACCCCACGAGAGTCAAAAATTTTTTTTGCGGTGTATCATGCCGGTTGATTATCAAACGTTCCACGAGATTCTACGCCTAACTCATGAAATATATGAGTGCAAACTTGCCCATTTGTACCGCGAAATTTACCTAAACAGGCCTTTGTGTTGCTCGTGAACGATGCGGTGTTCCATTTTAATAGTGGGTTTGCTATACGGGACCCTTTTTCTTAATTGAGCAAACAAAGTTACTTGTGATGTGTTGATTTAAGCGAAATGAAATGCTCTTTTGGTTATGTGTGATGTTTGGTGTGCCAGGAAAGTGAGTGTGCAAAACTTTGTCAATGATCCTTAAATTTCTCGATTCGAAACACTTGAAGACCAAACTTTCTTGCGTCGCAGAAGATTGAATTTCCTGCGAGACCTAACATTTATCTTGGCGGTCAGTTTTCAAAGTTCCGAATTTTTTTCCCCTTACTTATAATAATTTTCACTCTCCTTGAGCAGTCATGGTCACTTGCAACCACTCAAATTCAACTAAGAATTATCTTTCAAACAAAATTTAATCTATCTGAGGGTATTAGTAGTATATTTAAGCAAGTTTTTGTATAGTATGTGGTCAGTTATGACATAAAATGGTGCTCCCAAGAACTGATTGTTAATTCTCCCCTCTAGCTGCTACACATTTCCTTGTAAATAAGTTACAAGAATTTGGTGTTAGATCAAGATTACTTCTACATGATACATTTGAGTATTCTCATTACCTGTTTGCTAGATTGTTGGGAGAAGTTACTTGTTAATCACTTCTGGGAGTTAAAGGGTTAACACAGGTCTGACAGTGTTCGGCTTACAGGGTGGAATCTAGGGGAGGAGTGCAGGGGATGAGTATCCCCCTCCCCTTAGATAACATGAGGCTTTCTGTTTTTCAAGCCAAAGAAAGAAAAAAAAAACTTAACTATTTGGTTTATTGATGTTGAAGTAAACATGAGTCAAGGTTGAAGAACTGATTTTTAAACACCATAAAAATGGTAGTTTGGCAATGACATTTCAAGCATTAGCTTATTCGTCAGAGCAGACATTCCTTAGCTAAGCACCCACTCCTGAGAAAACTCCTGTATGTGCCCCTGTCTTCTGTAGCTCAATTTTTTCCAAGATTGCAAAGGCAATTCTTATGAAGAAATGTGCCCACCGGGCACCTAATTACCTTCCTTACTTCTCTCTGATGATCCCTTTTCTCACTTGGTTAGCACACTAGTTAGCAACACTGCATCCTTATTCCTAACAGAGCTGATCAATCCAATCATGGTACAAGGGTAAAGGCAAATAAAATGCTCGGTTACTCAAATTTAGTTCAATAATTCTGTAAATAAAGCAGACAGTGCTAGGATTTCCAGTGTCAAATGAGCATAATGAAGGGAGAAACCAGTATGCTGATAACATTTCATGTGTCTGGTTAAGTTCCTCACCTCACAAGCTTAATACCAATCCAGTGCAATAAGAATATCAATCAGTGTACAGGATAACACCTCTTGGCAGGTCATAGATGCTGGAGAGCTGGTAGTGATGCCAGGAGTTGTTGATAGTCATGTCCATGTCAACGAGCCTGGGAGGACAGATTGGGAAGGGTTTGCAACAGCAACACAAGCTGCAGCATCAGGTGGAATCACTACCATTGTGGACATGCCCCTGTAAGTACTAATTAACTCTTTTGATTCCAGGAATTAACCATTAAGTTAAATCCTTTGGGCTGGTTATTTACACAAGGTCTAACCCAAACCACATTTTCATTCAAGAAGTGTGCTCAGGTCTTCTCTATGAGAGGGTTGATTTAAGTAATTAAATGTAACGCATCAAGCTTTTGGCGAAAGTCTTAGAGAAAAATAAATTATGTTTTTTCAGCAACATTTTACTGCTCATCGCAGTAGTGACATCTTAAACTCCCTTGTGACTGTTGTTTAAGACCACAACGTAATAATTTAGCCAGGGCCATAACATGACCCATTATTAACCCTTAACCCCCTAACATCAGTATGCATATTCTCTCCATACTGTTCTCCATACATTTACAAAGAAGCACATAAGGAGAATTTGTGTAACAATCAAGAACTGCTTTAGTTGGTGATCATCTCCTCCATTCTCATAACTTTAATGTTTGATTCAGGGATGATAAAGTAAAGAGAAATTAGATGCTAGTCACTCTTAGGGGCTTAAGGGTTAATCAAGCATGATACTCAGTCTTGCACCATGTCTTCCTCACAGATCATTGATTGTAGAACTTGATTAGTTAGGCTTTAGATTCCTGGTGTTATCAAAAGAAAATTAGGGAGTGGATGAGAATTTAATGCTATCATGTTAAAATATTCACTTTCCATGATAAATTGAATGAAGATAATTTGATGTGTCTTTTGTATCAAAAGAAATTCTATTCCTCCCACAACTACCCTGGATGGATTTTATACCAAACTTAACAGTGCTAGGAGCAAATGTTGGACAGATGTTGCATTCTGGGGAGGGGTGGTACCAGGAAATCAGGTATTAAAAATATGAAGTAAAGATTTTAATCACTTGTCTGCCTGATATTGTACTGATATAGTAAGGAGAAATTTCGTCTTGGTCACTCATGGCTATGAATGGGTTAAGCCTGACTGTTGCCAACTGAAGACATCTGAATAAGATGTCAGTCTATGCTTTTGTTAAGGAGAATATTTTTCTTTGTTAGGCTGAAATAAAGCCCATGGTGAATGCTGGTGTTAAGGGTTTCAAGTGCTTTCTTGTGCACAGTGGTGTTGATGAGTTTCCCTCTGTCACAGAGAGTGATGTGAGGCTGGCCATGGAGCAAATGCAGGGAACAGATGCTGTGTTTCTGGTAATGTTTAATTATTATGACTTTCTTCTGCTACCACATGTTGGTTGGAATAGTTTTTTTGAAGGTCATCTTTGTGATAGGCCTTTTAGCCATTTACACCCCAACTTCAGTAAACAGGTTAGTCGGCATAATAGGAAGTTGCAAATTACATGTAATGTAAATTATTAATCGATCAAAGATTGATTGTCCTCATTAATTTATGGAAGATGCAATTTTTCGCATCAGGCTATCTATTGATTAATTGACCAATTAATGATAAATTCTTTTTGGTATCTAGCCTTTAGCATGCATATTCCAAACTGTTCTCCATAAATTTCCTGAGGTGCAGACAAAAAGAATTTATTTAACAATCAAGGGTTAGTTGGTGATCATTTCAGTGGAATTAACTGGGTCATTAATGGGAGTTGGCCACCCAAAAGCTGACATTTCGACTGTTGGCCTGCATTTGCTCAGACTAAGGGCCAACACTTGAAGAATCAGCTTTAGAAGCTCTTACAGTGGACCATTTACATAATTGTCTCAGTTGATTGCACCAAATTATCCTATCGATTACAACTTGCATCTCAATCTCTCAGAGGTAGGCAAAAGAATTGCAGACTACTCCATGAGGATCAGGGAGAGAAAAACCAATCTTTGATCTGTTTGAGTTCAAAAATAGATACAAATATAACAACAGAGAATCTTGTAACAGGAAATCCTGTTTACTTTAATTTTTGTTGGAAAAATTACTTTTATCGGCATAAATCTGTAAGCAAAGGCCCTAAAAAATGTTTGTCATCTGTCCTTAGTTCCATGCAGAAGTTGAGATTCCTCAAGAAACAGACAATGCAAGTCAAGGTAGTGCCATCTTTTTTTAATGTTGATCGAGCTGGTATCACTGGTTTTATATATCAGTGAGTCATTCCCATTAACCTCATTGATCATTATCCCTTTCACTCTCATGATCTCTTTGGTAATTCTCCTTACTGTCTGCTACACATTGCTTGTAATTTTAGTTTTAAGAATTTGGCATTGAATCAAATGATAATCCACCAACTGTCTACTTGAGATTGTATTGATATTGTAAGGAGAAATTCTCTCTTGGTCACTTCTGGGGGTGATGGGGTTATTGGTAATGACTTGTCAGAACACCAGAGCAGAGTAGGTGAAAAGCCAAGGCATTGATAAGATATTCATTGTAGGATCCATCTGTGTCCTTCTGGCATTTGGTTGGAATATGCCAATCCCTGTATATTATATATAATGATTATAGGACTGAGTGGAGTCCAATTCTGTCTGTAATCATACTAGTGATCAACAAAATCGGACGGCCGCGAAGCGGGCGTCCGATTTGTTAATCACGAGTATGATTACAGACAGGTTTGGACGACAGGAGGTCCTGTTGCCAATTAATCAAAACTATGACAAAACAGCTTCAAAAAGTTGACTCGCCGAAATGTGAGACAACTGCACACGCACTTGACGCGTTCTGTCCACTTACATGGGCATGACGTGTTAACTGTTCCTTTCACTGTCCTATTACACTGTCCAATTACAAGCATGACGGTTCAACCTTCATTGTTAGAGAGGGAGGGGGGTAGGTTCTGTGTGTACGTCTGATTTAGGTAAAAAAAAAAAAAGTAATCTTTAATACATGTGTGGTATAAGATATGTTTTCAACTGTTCCAAGGAGTTTTGACCTCCATTGTGGCTTTTTGTTTTAAGCTGCTCTGGTGATTTGAAGCAAGTGCCAAACGGCCGTGAAGCGCGAGTTACGCGCGAGAGAAGGAGCGTGTTCGCTTCGAGCCTACCCCCGCTCACCTTTGAAGAAGCCAAAGATTTACGCTTGCTCCGTGAGCCGCAGGCCTAACCACGATCTAGACAGTTCTGAGTAGAGTATTTTTGTTGTTATGTTACAGATCCTTCTAAGTACACCACATTTTTGCACTCCCGACCGGAAGCGATGGAAAACCAAGCGATTGAGCTGGTTATCAAACTTTGTAAAGAATACAGGTTAGTCGGCATAATAGGAAGTTGCAAATTACACGTAATATAAATTATTAATCGATCAAAAATTGATTGTCCTCATTACCCAATGGATGATGCAATTTTTCGCATTAGGCTATCAATTGATAAATTGATCAATTAATGATAAATTATTTGCGATATCTAACCCTTTACATCATAACATCAGTATGCATATTCTCCATACTGATCTCTAAAGATTTTCCTAAGGTGCTGACAGGGAGAATTTGTTTAATAATCAAGAGTATCTTAACTTGGTGATCATTTCCTGACCTTAATGTGTGATTCACCGTACAGATCAAATACTTTTCCTTCTATCATTGTGACGTTCTGTTTGTATTTCAGAGTACCCTGTCACATTGTGCACCTTTCTTCAGCAAGTGCCCTGCCCATGATCAGGAAGGCCCGCGAGGAAGGCGTCCCTCTCACGATAGAAACCACGCACCACTACCTGTCACTCCAAGCTGAAAATGTGCCTGATGGTGCCACTCAATTTAAGTGCTGTCCGCCTGTACGAGATGGCAAAAATCAAGTAAGCATAGCTGCGTATTCAACAGGAAGCTTAGTAACATTCACGCGCGCATCGTTTCAAAAGCAAGAAAAAGATAAATTAGGGAAGCGCGGTCAGCTGGTTACAATTTATTGATCTATTTGGTTACTTCATAGGGAAGTTGGAAAGTAGTCTTCGACCTCATGTACGTACTCGACCCAATTCTCCTGACGTATGTTCCAAAATCTCGCTAAAAAATACAATAAGTGGAACCGCGTTGTATTTGTTTTCCTCTCTCCTCACAGGAAGCTCTATGGGATGCCCTTAAGTCACGTGACATTGACTTAGTCATTTCAGACCACTCTCCGTGCACTGAAGATCTTAAGCTGATGGACAGAGGGGATTTTATGGCGGCCTGGGGAGGAATATCAGGGGTGCAGTATGGTGAGTGCTTATTGAGCATATGCGCACGTAAATATTGTTCAATGGACAAGATGTACCACGGTTAATTCCTTTTTCTTTTTTCAGGGTTATCCATATTCTGGTCGCAGGCGTGTAACCGAGGTTTCTCTCTTCACGATGTTGCTCGTGTAATGTGCGAGGAACCCGCCAAGTTAAGTCGTTTGAGTCATCGGAAAGGAAAGATTGCTGTGGGCATGGATGCGGATTTTGTGCTTTGGGATCCGAATTGAAAGAACGAAAAAGGTTATTTCCAATGGACTTGATTAAAAAGGTTAATTCCAGGCGTATACGAATTTCAAACCCACGACCATTTGTATCATAACTAGTTCGGACAACACGTGTAACGACCATTTGCGTTTTGACAAGGTACGCAGTTTTTGACTGGCGTGTTAAAGAGAATGTAGTGCTAGTTTTCTACCAGGTTGTAACGCACAAAGGAGAAAAAAGCAAGCGGTGTCACATAGTTTGATGTGGTTTACAATGTAATCTTCTTCTCGTAAAAGATACACGTGGAAGTGATTTTGTTCACATTAAATATACCTCTTACCAACCGACCCTGTTCGAGATTCGTACTGTAACTTACAGACCGAGTTTTTTTCCGCGCGGGCCATAAATTCGAATAAAAAATGAAGTTCCATTACTTACTGTACGAACCGAGAAAACGAGGTTAGTAAGATGTTCGTAATGTATCTCTGGATTCAAATTGACGGGGAAGATTCCAATTGAAACGAACTTTTGAATTTAGCGGGCTGTACATTGAAATACGGCCCGCTACATTGACCAATCACAGGGAACGTACTAACTGAGAGATATAATAAAACTATTTATGTATTTACTTTTTCCAGATCGATCAGAAGATAACTCGACATAAAAACAAGGTACAAAGGCTTGGTGATTGATTTTTAAACATTGAACAATGATTAAATCACAATCTTACTATTTTTGCTTTTTGTTTAGTCATGACAGATGAGGTCAATCAAAGCACTGTTAATGCTTATCTTTTTTTTTTGCCTGGACAGTGTGCACATTTAACAGCTTTCATATATAGCTCGCGTCCAAATGCTGTCCAACCGTTCCATCTAATTAAGAGGAGGACAAAGCTTTCTCTCTCTTGTCCCTCTTCACTCTCTATCGCCTCCGATAAAAAGCGAGCGCCATTTTATAATTTGGAAAGTGTTAAATGTTTTTTGTTTCACGGGGTAAGGGGTTGGGATGGACTGGGGAGGAAGGGAGAGACATGGTAGGTCAGCGGATGGCGCACAAGAATCGGGACTGGTTCATGTTTGCTCCTTAGCGAGACACCAGTTACCACCCCAGCTGGGGAATAATGGACTGGGGAAGAATGGGTACTAGCAAACTGTCAGGGCAATGTGCAAGGCGGGTTACTTCGCGATATGATTTAAGTTGTGTCATCCTATGGAAACCGGGTTGAGCTCTGGCATAAATGAGCCGCTAGATTTGTTATACTTCACCTGCATTTTATTTTTTGTTTTTATTTTAATTGGCAGGTAACTCCATACCACAACATGACGTTGCATGGAGTCGTTCACAAGACTATCTTGCGAGGAAATGTCGTGTACGAGCGGGACAGAGTCTGCGATATTCCAGCGGGTCAGCTCATACTGGAAAAACCTTCACGAGGAGACAGCCTGATAAAATGAAAAATAAAACAAAAATATTGATTGATGTATTGAACACATCCTAACCCTGAAACAAACATACAATGGTCCTTCCTGAAAATTATTAATTAAAACTTGAAAGCTAATCGTTCGTCTGTGACTAAGAAATTGTGGGCTTTCGCTCGCAGCACGTAAGTTATCCGAAAGCGAGTTCCATTCCTAGAATTAAATTAAGTGTCTAGGAGATGGCGTTACAAGTTTCCATTTTATGGCAATAAAAAATGGATATAGAAGATGGAAATAGCATCATTTTATAATATCAAAGCGTTGTAATACTATAGGAGACTAATGATACACAAAATTTTTCGATTGCGTGACATTCTTAGAAAAACAGGGATTTTCCCGAGGAAATGAGTCATAGCATTGCTATTTTTTTTAGGTCTTGTGATGGTCGCATAATTTTTTTCTCATAAATGGGAAATAGTAAATGACTTTATGGATTTTCAGGAAAGTATATTTAACGTAGTCCGAAAATCAGTTTATCATCGAAGGTATCACATTCAGAATACAATCTTTGATATACGCAAAAGGAACAATATACAAATATCAACGAATGATGAAAATAAGATATTAGAGACTTTTGAAAGGATTGAGAGTGAGCTACCTCAGATCAAACATAAGAATTCGTAGCACGCGAGATTTATCTTTTCCGGCTGGGCGGGTTGAGATGGGGCACTTCGTATACCTTATGTTTTCATTTTTGTAAAAGAAAAAGAGCATAACTTTCCAAGAGACGAAAATATCGCATTAATTCACCGTGGGAAAAAGAAAAAAACTAATTAATTTTTCATTAATTAATCTGATCTCACACGAGACCCAGTAGTTCCTAATAGAGTTGAACAGGGGAAATGACTGCAGAGGATCATTAGAATGCTACAGATCCAGAGCTTCATGGGGGATCAGGAAAATTTTAGTGGAACCAAAATCCTCTACCTCCCACCTTTAAGTCTCAATGGAGGGGAATTACACCAATGGACCAGCTAAAAAAAAAAGAGTCATCTCATAAAAAGCGACTGGAATTTAAAACCTGCCGCAAGAGAAAGTAAGATACAACGCAACTGGAAAAGTACACTGGTGAAATAAAAATTCAAGGTCAAATCGACTTTTGTTATTTGAAAAATAGCAGTCTGGAAACTTTTACACTGACTGATGTCTTCTTAACTGGAGGTAATAGATAAGCAAGAGTAGATCTTTTCCATCCCCACCCCCACCCCCTTTTAGTGTCAAACATTGGTCGTTATTTTTTTAAAAACAAATTTTACTTTCACTTGGATAAAAGAACGCCTTGAAAAAATAAGTCCGCAAAATAACCAAGTAAAGAGTTCCAATATTGGAGCTGGTGTGAAACCTCCTAGGTTTTTAAAAACTAAGTAGTTTCAATTTCAGTCGCGATTGTAGAGAAAAGTCTGCTCTCTTTGTCACCCGGAGGTGTACGCTCTTCGTTTATGTCCATTCAAAGAAACTTCTCTGTGATTCTAATCCGTAACCTTTCGACACAATGTTTCCGATTTCAAGATGTTTGCTCTTCTTTAACAATACAAGCTGCTTCAAAGCTGTGTAGTTCACTCTCTTGTATCCATCTTCACCCGTCACCACCGCCCACGGGTACAGTTTTTCTACTTCCTGAGCAATAACGCCATAATCTTGTCCTCTCTTACCCAGTTGCTCCGCGGCTTTTCTAGACCACCTCCAGCTGTAACCCTGAAGACCAATGTGCTTGAATTCTGAATACGGCAGGATTGTGATGTTCTCCTTCAATCTAGAGTCACTTAGGACCCCGAACAGAACCGCACCGCCTATAACACCTCCCAAAATATCTTTTCGACGTTTTGATTCAGTCTCGTGTTGCCTTTGAGCTTCTCTTATTTGATTTAATCGTTCTTCCAGAATTTCTCTTTGCCTCTCTGCTTCCATTCTCTCTGCGCGTTCTGTGACGAGTCTCTCTTCCCTGTGAATTACTTCCTCCGTTGCCTTCCTCCTAATCTCTGCTTCTTGCTGTTCCAATATTTCTTCGTCTGGACTCAGTTGCGTTTCCCCGATTTCGTCTTTCAGAGCAACAACCTCAGCTATATGTTCACGGGTATCATTGATTTTCTCAGCCAGGGAGCATTTCTGAATAAACTGCTCCATTGCGTGATCTTTGGAACGTTTTATTTCTTCTATTTCCTTGGTCAGTAGTGGTTCAATGATCTCTCGGAATCCTCGATCACACAGATATGTTTCAAGGGCAGTGTATGTATTTGATACACCACTCCAAGGATTTCTGCTGATCGCAACGTGAAGTTTCCTAATGAGATCAGCCATCTTTTTCCCATCAATTACTTCTCCACGAACATTTTTCTTGCAAGGAAACCGTTTAAAATCCGCTGCGAGGGACGAAGCTATATTTGCATACACATCATCTTGTGAATCACGCAATCGTTTTGAATCCTCCACGTGGGGTATGTTCCTGACCTTGATGCGATCTCGAGGGAATAATCTACCTATAGATTTTCCGATGTTACTTCTATCGTTAACAATCCTGTCCTGAATTTCACTTTGTAGAGTGTTTCCCGGTGAGGGAGGAAGTGCATCGCGTAAAATCACCAATAATCCCGGATATGAACTAACATTGTGCACGTCATCTTCCCAGAACAGTTCGCTCACTCGAGACGCTCGATACAAAAACTTTACGTTGTAGCTACTGATTCTTTCTCTGGCCAATAGAGCTAATCCAGAGGAAATGAGAAACGTGAAAATGTGAAGTGAATCGGTAATCTCGTTGTCCTTAAAATTAGTTCCTTCTGTGTCGATCAGAATAGTGTACCCACCACGGTTGTTCATATCTGGCAAAATCGACATCCACACTCCACTGGTACACGGTATACTATTTTCGCAAGTTTTAAACACGCTCTGAACGTCAGCCGTTTTACTTCCATCTAAAAAAAGCCTGATCATATTTAGGGTCGTAGATTTGCCAACATAAGCGTCGCCAACCACGCTAATAATTCTTAACGGACCTTGGAGTGCTTCAATCTCACCAACAGCTAAGTCATTCAGAATAAACTTCTCGCTTTGATAATCGTACGTCAAAAGCGGTTTCGCCAACGAGCTGTCCATACAAACCGCGATTGAAATATTGCAAACTAGTACCAGAAATTCTAATTGAAGGTCTACGTCTCGCTTCATTCTTAAGCTAAAGATTGAAAAAAATTCCACGTTCTGGCGATTTAACCTTTGATCACTCAGGAAATTTGTTCAGTTTCGGTTTACTGATTTGCATTAGGGGGTAACCCCTTCCTACATCAAGTTTCCTTATTTGCTAGGGGGGGAAATCCCGGGAAAAACCCCAATAGTTTACCGGCTTTCATTTTAATCAATAGCTGCTTGATAAAAGACCTAAGTTTGGCAATAAAATTTTAACTAGAGAGTTACACTTAGACAAAACTCTGCCGCGTTTGGGCAAATAAGCGAAGTTTGTAAAACCAGCAGGGCAAGGGTCGGGAGACTGTGTTAATGATTGATCGATCTTTCTTGAAAACTGTTCTGCATGGTATGAAAATATGTGATCATGTAAAAACCGGTTATTCCCGTTCTTGGCTAGCACTTAGAGGTAAACCCCAAGATGTAATTAAGATCAATTTCATTTACTCCTGATCTGCTGTGGACGGCTACCTATCTCGCTCGCACGGCGTCAAAAAGAATGGATCTGCTTCGGTCTTTCATCCTGAGCGTACATGTTATATTCAACGTTTGTCCTGGAGTGTATGGAGGAACAGCACAACTCCTTCTTAGAATTAATCCCGATAAGAAATCTTACGAGTTAAATCGGGGTTTACTAAAAATTGCTGAACTTCCAGCACCTATCCAAATCACCGCTGTGGTCGGTGATGAAAGAGTTGGTAAATCACTTACATGGAACGCATGGACTGGAAAGAATCGATCCTCTGAGCAAGTCTTCCAAACCGGTGACAGTCTTACGCGTGTCACGCAAGGAGTGTGGGCGTATGTCACACAACGTGAGAACAGAAGTGATATTTTGCTGGAAGTGGAGGCAGCCGATATAGGTGACGATAGCTTTGTGGCACAAATTTACATGTTTGCAGCGACGATTTCATCCGGCTTCATCGTTTTGGCGCGCGATTACGTTAAAGACAGCGATCTGGAGACGTTGAATCGTATGGCGCGTCTAAATGAGTTTGCTTTTCCGAGAACTTACTGTGACAATTTTCCAGAGGTTAAATTTGTGGTGAGAGGTGGACCCGGCGGAAGTGAATACTCGCGATCGATGAGAAATTCAGTATTGGAAAGGTTAACCCCAAAGTACTTCCCAAGAAGCAAAATTACTGTCAGCCATATTTCACCCGTCATCGATCGTGAAGTTTTCAAGGACTTTGGAAAATTGTCTCAAAGTAACTTCATGACTTCCATGGAAAATCTTACAGCAGAAGTTGAGGGGTTTCCCGTTAAGAGAAACCTCGAAGGAATCCCTATGGATGGCAGCGAAGTTACAAAACTCATTGAGCGATTAGCAGAAACCATAAGCGCAAATAACGGGTTTGATTTTGCAGATATTTACAACGTAATCGAAAGTAATATTTGCAAAAGGAGTGAAAAGAACCTCTTTGGATCCCTTTTAGAGCTCAAATCAGAGCACATAGAACTCCGAAAGAAAAACATTTCGATCGCGTTCCTAAAACAGTGTCGTTTACATAGTGCTTTTGTATCTGCCAAAGATAACCTGGAGCGTATCATTCTCACAAAGAAGTCAGAGGATATGAAATTGATTCTTGCCGAATACAAAAGAAAGAAAGTGGAGAGAGACATCGAACAAATTGCTAAATTGGAGGGGGATTTTCAAAAAATAATTGCAGAAAAAGATCGGAAGACAGAAGAAGAGAGGGAAATGAGGCAAAGGGCTGACCAAGAAAATCAAGTCCTTCGAATGAAAATCGACGCCTACATGGAGTTATTGAAGGAAGAAATGAAGCGTGGAGGATGGCTGAGTGCTCTAAGAGAGGTGTTGACTCATGATTATCCAGGCGGCGCCCAGTTGCTTTTCGATGAAATAAAAAATCTTAGGGAAGATATAAAGAGAATTACAGAACCTGAAAAAACGATTTCCATTCAAAAACTTTCTGAAACTTTCATAAAAATTTTAAGTTTGTGCAGTACTGCTTTAACATTAGCGCTGCAAATAAGGGAAATCTATCGCCAACCGGTCCCGAATCAGTAATCGGTTGCTTTCTACTAGCTATTAAGTTTATTTGCCAAATTCTTAGAAACTTTAATATAAATTTGAATTATGAGAAAAATTAAATCTTGAAATGTTGACCAAAGTTCACTTGCGTTTGTTTGAATTAGCGTTTCGGAGCAAATGAGCAGACGAATTGAATTTAAATTCCAGTTTATTACTGAGAATTTAAAGCTTACTTTGTTAAATTTGAGAGTTAAATTTTAAATAGATTCATATTTTACGTCGAAATATTTTTTTCTGGTTTGTTTGTTGCTTTGCTTTGCTTTGCTTTTTTGTCTTACGGCTTTTTTTTCTCGTTTGTTTGTTTTTGCTGTTTTGACTTTATTCAAGAGATTACGAGACAGTTTATGTTCTCCGACTTTATTAAAGTAACACTGAACGTATTTAGGCGTCACGCCTCCCAAACGGATATCGCTGACAATACAACTGTCAGGACGACAGAGAACTTTTCACATGGCCACACCAGGTGTTCTTTGCCCATCTCCTGCTCCTAATTCCCTAATGCACTTTTCCTCGTCGAAACTAAATAACATTTTATTGAGCTTTAATGTACCTTCTAACTTTGAACTTATATGTAGCTTTTATGTAGATCAAAAGGTTTCTCAAGCCGAAAGGTTACCTTCAACTTCATAGCCTATTCCAAGTTCAATTGATTTCATCCCCAGTCCCTCGCACTGTAAAGTGGTGTGTGGGGGTGGGGGGTGGGTGCAGTAAAGGAAACAACTGCGATAATCAAATATACAAAACACAGAGGTCATATAATTACAAGGCTGATCTCCCGCCAAGCTATTTTCTTTCCCACTCGTTTATCTTTCCCGTGCAGCAACTCTGAAAGCAAATGAGTTTTCTTGAGCTTTGTTGCATTCTTTTCCACAAAAACTTCAGAGTATCAGCAATGTTCTCCAATACAAAATCATGAAGTATATTCCTATAAATTTGTATATCATACTCGTGTTAAGTAATCTACATTACTGATTTATTACCATACATAAGACTAACTATGAAAACTCTGATTGGTCGAGAGCATACAGTCACTATACCATAGCGTGTGAAGTTGAAATAACCCAACGGCTGCCGAACGTTTACATTTTTCGGTACATCACACTGTGTTAAATACGTATCAATTATGTTAACAGATTACGAGCAGTCCGTCCTTTGTGATGAGGTCCGTCACGCGGGTCAAAGAAAGAAGTGGGAAAAAAATGATGTAAGCGCGCCGCGGGGAAGTCTGGAAGTGAGGCTCTCGAAAAAAATAAGGCACCGATTTATCCTAGATAAAAACTTACCCTAGGAAACTCCGAAAGTAACTTATTCACTAACTTAATACATTCTTCTTAAAACAACAATTCGTAAAAGTTCTATGAGCGCTGTACTTAGTCTGTTAAATGCACTTTAAAGTGAGACGTAAAATGAAGACGATTTCTAAGCAATGATTACTTTGATTGTGCCATCTTTAAAACGAGGTATTACTGAAATGCGTCCCTCAGTGGTTACTGCAATCCTTTCCAGCCAAAGAATCTTTTTTTCTTGGATGAGAGTTCGGCAAGAAAACTCACCGTGTTTAGTGTACTGTACTGGTACTGTACTGTGTACTAGATTTCTTCATGTGAAAGAATGCTACCTCTTGAGTAATACCAGCCGCTACGACTTTTTGACTTACCCTGTGAAATGCAACTGTTCGGAAATCGTATGATCCATGAAGATCAAACTTGATCAGATAGTCACCGTGCTCGTTGAATATATGTACACAGTCCAAAGGAAATATGTCAAATACACAAAATACAGCAGTGATGTCAGTCGCTTTCCTGAATATTTGTTCGACAAAACTGCAATGAACCGTCCATTAGTCTCATATACGTCTTCATTATGGTAGCCGTCTCTATCCAAGTCGCTCCGCATTACCATCACTCTTCCACTATCACTGATTGACAGTTTACACAGATAGTAAGAGTCGTTTGGGCTCACGCGAAACCTTGGATATTGATCAGCGGTTTCTTTTTTACTTTAAAACCCAAAGCCAAGTTCTCATGACCAAAATTTTAACAAACATATAAATGTTGCCGTTTAAATCTGTGGTCAATTGACCGGCCAATGAGTAAGCGATGCTTCTTCACCACTGTCATCAACAACAAAAGGAAGTCTGAAACGTTGCACAAACTTGTCACTGTTGTCAAATAAATAAAGGGGTAAGTTTCTAAAGAAACTGTGGTGCTGCGTCGGTGGGAGAGTATAGCAGGTAATTTAGTGTTAACAACTGGGTTGAAAACGTAAATTAGCCACCGTAAAGGGTAAAAAAGCTGACGTTTCGAGCGTTAGCCCTTCGTCAGAGCGATTAGAGGAATTGTGGGTACTAAAATGGGACCCAGCTACGCCAATCTTTTTGTAGGTTTTATCGAACATCAATTTTTTAGCCAATACCACGGCCCAAAACCTCAACTCTACGGCCGCTACATTGACGATTGCATCGGCGCTACCTCCTCTACCAAAGAGGAGCTCACTCAATTTATAACCGCCGTCAATTCCTTTCATCCGGCTCTTAAATATACCTGAGAAATTTCCGACACTTGTTTGGCCTTTCTAGACATCAAAATTTCAATTGAAGGCAACGGCTTATGTATTAGTGTTTACTACAAACCTACAGATTCACATAGTTACTTGCTGTATTCATCCTCACATCCATCACACGTCAAGAACTCCATACCTATTTCACAGTTTCTCAGACTTCGTCGTTTATGTAGTGACGACTCTGATTTTTCCGAAAAATCAGAGGCAATGTGTCAGTTTTTCGATAAACGCGGCTATCCTGTTTCTGTCGTTCAAGCGGGCTACCACCGTGCCCAACAAATCGATCGACAGGCAGCACTACAAACGGCCGAGAAGGAGAACACTGACCGCATTCCATTTACTCTTACATTTCACCCTCACAACCACGCAGTTAAATCTATCATTCTTAAAAATTTTGAATTACTCCAAAACGATTCAGAGACTGGCACTATCTTTTCGCAACCCCCACTTATTTCATTCAAACGTGACAAAACATAGGCAACTTTTTAGTCAAAAGTTCATTTCAAACCAATGACCAATCTGGAACTTTTAAATGCGCTCGCTCACGATGCAAAACTTGTCCTTTCATTCATAACGTAGAGAAAATATCGGGACCCAAAAGATCCATTTAGATCATTGATCACTTTACGTGTACCTCCGCCAATGTTATTTACTGCATAACTTGCACTTATTGCAATAAGTTATACATCGGCGAAACAGGAAGACGACTGGGTGACCGATTCCGAGAACACCTTCGCGATGTGGAAAGAAATGACAAGGACGCATCCAAACCAGTCGCTAGACACTTTAATCTTCCTAATCATTCTAAACAGCATATGGCAGTTTGCGGCCTTTCCTTACATCAAGGCAGTTCGGAAAGCCGTAAAACACTAGAACAAAAATTTATATTCCAAATCGGCACCCTTAATCCCCACGGAATCAACGACCGCTTTTCATTCAACTAATTTATTCCTGTTTTCTCGTCACCATATTCCCACCAATGGCGTAGCTCCACTTTCTACATATAAATCCACACACAACACAAATCCACACACACACAATTCCTCTAATCGCTCTGACGAAGGGCTAACGCTCGAAACGTCAGCTTTTTTACCCTTTACGGTGGCTAATTTACGTTTTCAACCCAGTTGTTAACACTAAATTACCTACTGTTGTCAAATACTTTGATTGTTCGGTCATCGTCTGCTACGATACACTGCCCGCTTGTGTTGGTAGCGATCTTCCACAGTCGATTTCTACTGTACTGCTTTCCACTATCCTGAACAAGTATCATTAAACGCTTCCTCGCTCCATTCCTTGACTACAAAGGGCTTCAACAACTATTCTCTCACGCAGAAATCAACCTTCCTCTCTTCAATATCAATTACCCATAGGCCAGCTGTGGCAGTGCTTCTTTGCCGGAAACTGTTTGGTACAGCTTAGCTATAAATTTTACACTTGCATCGAAAGGCTACAGACACCACTTTTGAGTGTCTTATTCCCATTGAAAAAAAAGACAAAATCACAAACACACCCACATACAAAAATTTAAAATTGTAGTTAACAAGCTTTTTCCTTAACTCAAAGTCTTCACATCCTGCTGCTAAATCACTTCGTTGGCCGGGACACTAGCTCAACCCAGGCCTCTCTCCTTACTTAGAGCGCAAAACGAGTGGTCTTATAAGCCTTTTGCATTCGAACCATCAAGCACCGCGCACAGCGTTTCCCGCTTTAAGCCGCAGAGCAGTGGGCAAACAACGGACAAATTGACAAGGGCTGAACTATTTGAATCGGTTTTTATTCATCCTTCCTTAAGAATTATTCTGACGCGACAATTGTCCTAAATAAAATGGATAACTCAAGAAGAAAATCTCAAGTGGAAAGCCCATTTTACATGCAAATTCCCGACCTCGCGTCTAAACCGACGGTCACTTTTTCAGACAACCAAAAATAGATTTTTGAAAACAATTAAATTCATAGACTTGTTTTCGTTTGCGTCTTCCTAAAGCCCGGTAAAACATTCCACGATGGAAATAAAAACCATTTCCCATTAACTCATACGTAAAACTAAACCGGTAAAAATTATCTGATTTGAATTCCTCAAGCATTGCTATCCCGTTAGATTCCGTACAGGATTCGGACGTCTACGGCAAATTCTCGGAGAAGCTTCGCAAGTTAGAAATGTTACAGTTCTTGGAATGAGCGACTGAAAAGAAAAAACTGTACAAGGACTAAGCAGTAAACAAAATTTGCCCCAGTTGAAACAAATTTGGGCTTAAAAACTATCAGTGCTTCCACAGTTTTTTGCTGATTAAAAAAGCCTAAAATGAGTAACGAAAGATTGACATCTTTTCAAATCTAAGTGGCCTTGTTCCAAACATAAGCATTGGTGGGCAAAACAGTATTTTTCAAATAAAAAATAAACAAACTTGAACTAAGAAGTAGGAGAGCGTACAAGTTGCTTAACATGTACTTTTATCAGAGAACACCAGTTTCGTAAAATCTTCGTCAAATACGAGAATTTCCCGTAGTCATATCACGAAGCTTGTGTCATTTTTAATGCATCGAAACCTGAATTGAAAACGTGAGAACAAATGTCGTACCTTACCACCAAAGTTGGGTTTCGGGTGAAAAATGTTGCCTTGAACAATTTTCCTTCTTATAGACGACAGTGCTTTGTTTCCCTTTCAATCGTAAATAAGGAGCAACCCGGTAAAAATTAAGAATAAAAGACAATCGCCTAAATTCAGACGAGAGTAAAAATTGGATTGCTCAACCCTCAGGAAAATAAAATAAGATTGAATAAAATTATATACAATTGACGAAATTAAAATATGTGAATTGAAAGTATTCGAAACTACATCGGTTCGCTACTATAAATCTCGCTCCATTAAAACCAATGGGTGTTTAAATATGACTAAAACGTACACAAAATAAGACTTCATTTTGTTTTAAAAACTATTTTGCATGCCTCAAAGTTTCCCAACCCAAATTTCCCTCAACCGTACCAACGACTCCTAAGTAAACGTAAACCCATGAATGTAAGAAACTCATATACATTTGTAATCCCAAAGGGCATACTGTTATCCCAGGGATATACGCTCTTCTATCCCTTGCCTACAATCAAGAAAGTTATACTCATATTCAGGGCGTGGCTCACATAGTGCCCTCCCCCCCCCTCCCCCAATCTATGTATCCCCACAGATGAAGGACATTTGTCCAATATTCTTGAATATGAGTATAGAAATTGCCACGGAGGAATTACAAGGAGTCTTTCCGCGTTAGAGAATCCAAATGGAAATATAAGATTGTCCACAATTTTCTCGTCCTACAATTGTTTCCTCCTTTCTGTAAAATTTGTCCTTCTCACCGCTATCTTTAGTCTGCGTCAAGAAATTTACAATGCAACTGTATCACTTCTGCAACACCTGAGCTTAAGTGACACTTTCGATTCGGCGGCAGTCGTGAGCCATAAGTCACGCGTAAAGCAATAGACGAAAAATGATTCACAGTCGTGACGCTACTTGCCCTGTCCTGGGGCAAGTTCACCGAACTTAGGAAGCCGATTGTTTTCTCATCTCCCAAGGACTACCTAAATTGATCAAAAGAAAAAAAAAAGATGTGATTAGACGCTGTGTGAATGACACCTGCGTGACACTTGACCCTTTACCTCCCAAGATCTGATTGTTAATTCTCCCCCGGGCTGTTACACGTTGCCTTGTGAATTGGCCTTGACAATCTGGTGTTAGATCAACGTAGCAAACATCATCGTGATAATATTGAGTATTCTCGTTAACTGGACTCTAGAGAATGTATTCATATTATAAGCAGTATTACATATTAATCACTTCTGTGACTTAAAGTGTTAAGGAGTAGTTGAGTTTGATTTGATCATTCTTACAATCAGAACCATTCCTTGACGATAACGATTCCTGAAGATTGTATTAACAGCACATGCTCTCTCTAAACGAATCCCAGACAAATTTCCCTAACACTTCTAACAAAGACATCCTTCTTGGGAACGGCGAACCCTCGCAAAACTCTTGTCGATAAGATTTGAGGAGTGCGGCGGGGAGTACAGAAGAGAGAAAACATCTTTGGAACTGGGGGAATACTATCATCTCCCCGGTCAGTTCACGCTCAGGAAACTGGAATATGCGGCAGAGGTGTTCTACAGTCCCGGGACTTCAAAAACGTTTTCGTGAGACGGTTGCCGATGGTGTAATACCCGGATTTGCCCGGCTGTGAAGCTCTCTCCCGTTTGGGAGAATTCTAGTGGTATGCTCCCCCAGAAAAATGTTTGAAGCCTAAAAGCTCGCAAATGTAATTTCCAGAAATTCTAGGCATCAAAAAGAGGGCTGTTTTTAATAATTCATTAACACCTCTGTAATTTGCCTGTCATTCCTGACAAGTCACAATGCTGCATTCGAGGGTAAACGCAGGAAAAAAATCTATAGCTCGTGGGGTCGCTCTCGTTTCCAGGCACTCCTGTCGGCTTGTATCGCATTCGCGTGAAAACCCTTTGCGAAACCAAAACACGTAAAACACAGTAACTGGCTCTTACTGAAACACTTGACAGTAACCCCAATGACAGTATTATCCATAACTTTACAGTTCTACCTCGGCAACTCGTGACTTCGAAAGAAAAACAACTGCTCACCATCTGCACTGTTGACTAAGTTCTGAGAAGAGGCGGACCGTCGGTTAGTTCTTTTTAAAGCTGCTATTTCTCCTTCCCGGCCTGAAATCTTCAACGGTGACCTTTGCATAGAGTCCGGCATCGAGGGCAGTTTTCTTCCTGAATTTCCCTCGCCCATCATGTTAAGCCGATCCACGCTAGCTGCAGCGCGCATGTGCGCACTAGAAGAATGAGTGACTGCGCCAGCTGAAGCTGCTGAGCCGCGTCTTCTTTCATAATCTGGCGAGGAATGGGCGCCATTTAAACTGAAAGAAACAGTGGAAGGCAGTTTTTCATTAAGCAAAATGGAAAAACAAATTACAAAATCTTTCGTTTTCTCATTTGAACTAAACAAAAAAATCCACCAAGAACCCTTGAGGAATAGTGAAATTGGAACAAATAGTAATGTCAATGAACTGTCGAGGAACTTGAATCTTATCATGCTAACTCCTCATGATTATGGACAATGGCCGAGGCCAAGTGATTCAGTGCAACAACATTTTAGAGATCACTAGTGCCAGTCTCCGCCAACCCACTCCCCGACTCGTCTGAAATCTTCCCGCGGGTACAGAAACGCGCATCCTGCAAGGCTGATGATGTATATATTTGATAATGTACATATGAATAGATAGAGTAACAAAGATGGTAACGTTTTACCTCGATCGTGCGATAAAAAAAATAGACGCCTGAGATTTGATAAAAACCGTGCGAATAAAAAGAAAAATGCTTTATCAACTTCATGTTTAATGTTTAGCAACCCTTTTGCTCGCCTGTCGACGCCACTCAAGTTTCTCAAAGGCTTTAAGCATACGATTCGTCCTTACAGTATCATCTCTACAACAAACGTTAAGGTCATGAGAATAAAAGAAATGATCACTAACTAAGGAACCCTTTGATCTTTAAACAAATTCTCTTCAACAGAACCATAGGAAAAGTATAAAGAACACCACGGAGATAATGCATACTGATATTTGAGTGTGAAAGGTTTACGTTAAGTTCTTCAGACTTCAAATATTCGAAGACATAGGGTTTCGTGAAACACTTTTTGAGATTGAACTTCGCATTTCATTATCTCTAGCTAAGCACATCATGCTAGATTCGTTGATCAACCTTTCGGCTGTAAGTTACACAATGGATTGAAAGTAAACTTCATTGTCACACGAAAGCGACAAGGCTGCGTTTGTTTTGTCGCGTTCGGTTTACACTCCGCTTTCCGAATCAGCACACGTTCCTTTCCCGCAAGCCAGGGACGTGACCATATCTCAAACATACAATGTTTTTCTTGCTTTAGAATATCCGGTTTCAGAAAATCCACTCCGCACGCCTCTATACCTTCCCTCGTTTCATTCAAATTGTTTGGACATTTCGATGGTGCAAGGTTCACATTCGCACGGTACATTGTTCCTTCGACGATCTGACTAGCCGCAAAGATTGTGTACGGAAGATAAACGAACTTGAAAGGTGGTTTAGGCTCTCGCGCGTTCTCCAGCCGTACAGCCTGTTTGAGACCCTCTAAAAGTTCTGTGTGTGCCGATAACTTATCCTGCTCAATGTTTATCATGGCACCAGGTATTGTGGCAGGCTGTACGAAGCGTATAGTCCCAAAAGAAAAGCAAAAAACGAGGAGAAGATGTATTTCAAACACAGCCATCTCGAAGCGTTAAACTCGTTCGAAAATGTATTATTTATAATCTGATCTAAGAAGTGAAATTTCACACTTGATGTGACTAGATAAATGGAGATTACACTTACAATTCTAATACCAGAATGTAGCTCTTAGCAATACGGCCACTAAACAAAAACTACCCTCAACTCCTCAAGAACAAAAGAAACGTTTTCGCTCTATTTCACCTCTTAAGCATGCACAGGCAATATTAAAATGCTTTCAAAACCGCAGCAGGAAGGAGCAGGTACATACATGTTAAACACATAAATGTCCCGCCTCTATTGTCTGGTATATCCCGGCGGAAAAATCTAAAACTATGTAACCTGACCAGTTCCATTCCATGATAAAAGCTTCGCCAACAGCTATTCCAAATATCATTCAAATACACTCTTCATATCAAACTTCAACCAGGAATTTTCAAAATTTTTAATTTGACTTTTACATCGGTCTGCCTTGGAACATCATGTTCTCTCTCTCTGGTGCCGGGTTATATACACATGATTTAGGTAGAATGGGTCACATGAGCTTTTGCAGTTTGCTTTCTTCATTTCCCAACACTTATATACAAGGGAGATCAAAACTCTATACAAAAAGTTAAATTTGGCGTCAAAAGCCCTTCGAACGACCAGCCCTAAAAACTTAAGCTGTGAAACAACTGGTTTTCTTTTCACGACATTCGCTGAGAACTATTGGAACTTTCAAATCGAAACAAAGATAGGAAACCAGCTAAAACGCAAGAAAGGTCACGTGATTCCAAAGCCGGTTGATTCCAATTCCTAATAGCCAATCGCTGAGGCGTAAAATGACTTACCTCGGGCTTCCCTGGGGGAGAGGCCGATTGAGTGACTCCGTGCTCACTGCATTTCGTATCCTCTTGCTGTACGATACGATTGGTTCTGAGCCTTTCCCGCCACGAATTACAGGAGTCACTATGGCAGCACCGTTGGGTGAGCTGGGTAAACTCGGTGTACTTGGGCTATTGGGAACGTTAGAACCCATGACTGCTCCACCAGCCAAACGAGTCATTCCTAATAAGGCACTTCCAATTCCCGGGCTGCTGCCGGGACGAACACTGGGTGAGGATGGCTGCTGACCAGGACGGATTGGTTTGGCTGAAAACGGTAAAAATGAGAAACAATTAAAGTCAAGTGTTGACTGGAGCGATTGATGTAACACTTTTAATTTAGGCGAATTCATTGAGATACAACTGGTCTTCTTTTCACGACTTCCGCTGAGAACAATGGATCCAAATCGAAACGAAGATACGAAACCAGCTAAAACATGAGAAAGGTCACGTGATTCCAAAGTCGGTTGTTTCGGATTCCTAACAATTAATCTATTAATACACAGACACACGGCAACATGGATTCTATTTGTTCAATCAAATTGAAGCATTTTTAATCGAGCGCTAAAAGATTTATACGAACAAACAAGGTAACCAAGGTATCCAAGGTAACCAAAGTATCCAAGGTAACCAAGGTATCCAAGGCAACCAAAGTATCCAAGGTAACCAAGGTATCCAGGGTAACCAAAGTATCCAAGGTAACCAAGGTATCCAAGGTAGTCAAGGTATCCAAGGTAACTAAGGTACCCAAAGTAACCAAGGTACCCAAAGTAACCAAGGTAACCTAGATAACCAAGATATCCAAGGTAACCAATAAGGGAAGCGCAGATTTAAGTGGCAAAAACACAACGTTAGATAATACTTCACAATGAAGTTACCATGAAAACTAAATTTCCAAAGCTCACGTGTTTCTAATTTTTCGCTCATTTAAATCTCATTTCCCAATTCCCTTCCTCGTCCACGATTCTTGAGTTTACTAAACAGAGAAATTTTGAATTGAGTTTTTCTGTAACCAAAACCAAAATTATCACAAAGGCCAATCAGGAAAAAAGGGAATGTCACAATGAGTCAAAGAGAACGTCACGTAAATACATATGGCCCACCGCAAACACAGGAAAACGCGCGTGATAAAGTTGGATTGGTTTTAGTTTTGCGCTCACAGAGCAAACTGAAGCAAAACCAATACAGTTCCATATTTGTTTTCATCTTTAACATTCCATCGAGAAGTTCTTTGTCCTCCAGAATTTATCAATAAATTGTTCAAGCGCAGGAGATTTTCTTTATTCTAACTCTTACCAATATGTCCCTGGGCGCCTTTCCGCACAGCGGCCTGCTTCTGTCTCATAGATTCCCGGATTCTCTCCACCTCCTTCTGGTATCGTGCCCGGTCCCTCTGCGCACCTTCCTTGGCCTCTTTGAGAGCCTGCTCTAATGACTTCACCCGCTCTTGTGTTGCTCGCAGGCGCTTCTCCAGTTTGGGTAATTCACACCTCAGGTCAGCATTATCTCTAACGAGCTGTTAATGACAAGAGACACTAATTACTTACGTGGTATAAACTAACCCAGAATATCCCAATCAGATAAAACAGCTTCTAACTCTGTTTAATTATGATTGACTCGGGCCTATATAAGAAAATCAGACACATATTAGCGCAATATTATCGCCAACAACTCTACAAGGTATGCGACCAATATTGAATCTATATAAAAGCGAGCCATGGCAGTTCTTGTTACAAAATGTTCAACTCGTTTCGAGCGAAAGTTGCAGAACACCTATATCATAACTGAACAGATTGTCTTCGTGTAATGGCTCAGAAAATTGAAGATAGAGTTAATACGCACCTTTTCGTGGGTTGAAATTTACGTTTGTAGAAGAAGGGGAAACGCAGCAAAATTCAACACCGCAATCAAGTTAAATTGCAAAAGGTCTATACACTCTCATTATGTATGACTTCCCAGAAACTTACATGTTAAGAACACTTTGTTCAGCGGCCATTTCTATGGGGTATGCGTCCTCGCTAAAGATTTTCAAATTTCATTCTTCGAAGCTGTCTTTTTTAGCCAATGCTTAGCGGTGATGAAGTTTCCAAAAGAAAACGATAGCATTCTTTTCATTTTTATTGAAAATTTCCCTTCTTTTTAATACATGATCTATATCAAAGTACTTACTTAGTGTTAAATATTTTGAAAAAATTCTTATCGGCACGACATGGCCCAAGTAAAAAAATTTGACCGAATTTCAACAGGCTTCTTTTTTAAATACGATGTCCCTTTACAATAAGTATAACAACAAATGAAATTTCCAAATAAAAGACTTTATAAAACGGTAGTGAAGGCAGACGCATGTAATTACATTGACGGGCGATCTGTAAAGATTACACATCAGAGGATAAATTATATTGACCTCGAACAAGCGTACTTATTAATGTTGTCTCGTTTCACTGAACATCACGTCGCAAATAGTTAAATTAATAAACCCAACAGTAGCCTTTTTAGTTCACAGAATTGAATAATAAAAATATTCAAATCTCGACAAATATCGTGAAAATTTGAAGGATCAATTTACCTTGTTTCCGGTAAAGTTAGAAATAAATTAGTTTCAAATGCTTCCTTGTGGCGAAATAAAGTACCTCTTGTTATCGAATTGTTATTAATTTTCTCCCCCGTTCTTTTTAATTCCATTTTTAAACCCTCCAAAACCCCTTAGGAAATCGGTAACCCGACATTTTAGACAATTTCAATACACAAATTATTTTGATTGTAAAAATAATGCCCCAAATTTCCAAGAAAAGGACGACGGGAAGTCCCTGCCTCTCAAATGACGTATCGAATATATCAAAATCTCCGGAACTGATCGATTCTAACAAGCATAGGAAAGAAACTCGATCTGTTGCTTTAACATCTTCACTCTCTGTAAGGCTTTCCGCTGTTTGGAATAAAAAATTTAGGAATTAACAATTGCAACAACTCTGAGCCACAAACAAAGACGGTTATGATCCATGAAACCTTTGCGCTTATATACTTAGTGTAATTGCAATATGATACCTACAAGTACGTGCTGGCGGTTCAAACTGACTCGACATTTGCGGCTATTGAAAAGAATTTCGCGGAAATTTAGAACAAGTTAACAGAATCAATACAAGCTGTGTACTTTGACTTGCTTGAAACTTGAACCCTAAAATCAGTATGCATATTGTCCGTAATGTTTTCTTTGGATCTCTTAAGGTGCTGACAAGGAGAATTTGTTTCATAATCAAGAGCTTCTTTGAGTAAGGCTCCGCATTTCCTTTATTGTCGTGTGCTTCAGGGACGATATTGGAAGGAGAAATTACAAGCTAGTCACCCGTAAGGGTCATTGATTTTAATCACTTTTGAGTCTCATCCACGGCTTGAGACACCAAATCTATCTCTCGAAGGCTCTGTCGGTGGGCTCTGACGAAGGGCTGACGCACGAAACGTTAGCTATAAAATCTCCTTACAGTGGCCAATTTACATTATCAACTCAGTTGATGAAAACAAAGTAACGTATCTCTGACGACTAACTTGAACAAAATGAAAAGGAAAAACACATTGAACTCTGCCACTGAAACCACATAACATGCCCGTATTTGCGCTTAACAGGTTGTCTACCGCAGTTTCCATCATTAGATGAATTACGCAGGCACATGAATTGCTTCTAACTTATGATCTATCAGAGGAGAGACGCCTAGATAACCGTTTTATTAAACAAATAGACTCCATGTTGCCGTGGGCTTGCCCGTACTACATTACGAGACGCTAGAACGTGTAATGAATATCAGTAACACGTGAGCTAGGTCTCGTGTGCCACTATTTTTGCTCTTAAAACACTTTGACGTCATATGTGATCAGCTACTGAACAGACGCACCGCACCATGGAATCCATTTGTTAGGTAGATGATAACTAAGTCTCCTTCATTAGTCCTCCAAACCAAAAACTAACACACTAGTTTTTTCGCGAGATCTCTCAGAGGAAAGCTTGTCCACGAAAACTTTTGCAGGTGTAAATAACTTGCTGGGACACGTACAAGAAATTAAAACGGGCTTAGGGAAAACTCCAATTCAGTAAGTTACCCTTTACAAGTGTCTTCGACATCCTTTTTTTGTTGCTGTCCGCGGTCAAGAATTTTTTTGGCAAAGTGGATTTTTCAAAGATAATTTCTCCGTATCAGTAAAGCTTTAACTGATTCAGACGTTGTGAATGCCGTGCAAAAAGGACCTTTGTGGGAAACTTGCTCACAATTTCGAAATATACTTTACGCAGCTTTCGGCCAAAACAGCAAATCACCAACAGGAACGAGATGAAATACCATACTCTCACAACGTGTTGAAGACAACATACAGCGATGTAATAAAGAGAATTTATGTTTCAAACGAAAGGCAGCAGTACTCACTTGTTTATGGACCTTCGTTAGCTGGTCCAAATTATTCTCTAAAAAAGCAATCTTCTGTTTTTGTGCTTGGCTTCCTCCTTCTTCCTCTGAGTCAGTATCCGAGTTGGTCTGGGAAAGAGGAATTAGCTATGAGTTAGTCAACGAATAAAAGATCTACAGATTCACGTGTTTGACACGCGCACGGCATGAACAGCACTGAAATGAGATGACGATATGTCGTAGGCTGACGTGACAGATTGTGTCGGAAAGGGGGGGGGAAGGGAGGGAGGGAGATGGGTGGGTGGGGTCAGAAATGCTCCTTGTCGCTTGTGCCTCAGGAAACTGGGATATTCTCTGAGGGTACATGTTACTTGGATCATGTGCATAACTTTCTTTGATTGAAATAACTTACCACTTTTAATCGGGCCTGCAAATCTTTGACGAATAACTGCCGCAGTCGATACAGCGTCGCCAACTCTTTGTGCTGAAAGCAATATTTATTTAGTTAACACGAGTGTCTGCATTAGACCACTGTCGTGGTTTCAATTAAGATCCTTCCACAGATTACGAATGACAACGTTGCTAAACCATGTTAAGAAAAGACCACTTTGAGTATGAGGGTCGTAATTTTTAAGTGGCGTTAGTGTCGAGAAGGACAAGTTGCCTAACTCCATTTTCTCCACCAAGAATCATCCTTCGCCATAAGAGGTTTAGTACCACCCTGGATTACTACGACTTACGATCAAGAATGCAACCATCATTTTAAATGAAAACAATCATTCAAGATATTTCTAACTTGGTTGTTTTGGGAATTGCTTTATTCAATTCGATAAGTTCCAGGTTTTCCATGACCCATATGAACCCTGAGGTACTTTCGTCGTTATCTTGCAAGTAGTGACTTGCGATAAGTAATGACTTAAAACACTCCCTTCAAAACAAGCCGTGTGTCAGAAAATACAATGAAAAGATCGTAGTACACATAACTAATCAGGGGTTCCAAATAACTTTTTCCATAAGCCGCGGCCAATCGTGTAATAGGCGGTTGTGCCCGGAAAAGGGCTTAAAGGCAAAAACCTAAACTAGGCTAAACAGACGGAGATAAGAGGTCTTTTAGGCGGTGGTAGACCAGCAGTCACCAGCTTTTATCGAAACCCCTGCATAACATATTACGCATGCGTTCTTGTCTTCATGAATGCACATACCACAGTCTCCTCAAGTCCTTTGAGGTCTTTCTTGGCCTGTTCTCTTTTCTCTGCTTGGATGCTGAGGAACAAAACTTTACATTAAAAAAACCCTCAAAGAAAGTACATCACGATATTAAGAGTTGCTTCTGGACTGCCAGAAAAATCTACGATGAGCTACGTAAGGCACTAGTAGGTTCATTTGTGGCATGCGTCCTGCGTACCACTAGGATCAAAATGTCAAAATATTTTTGAAACTAGATAGAATGAGCTTTCTCGTGAAATAAATTACTTTAAGAGTATATCTAATAAGGAGTTTTCAAGAACAGGTAATCATCTAAAGTATTTCTCTCTTACAAAAATACACCTCGTTTCAAATACTCACCTCATTTCGGCCAATCGGCTTGATTTCTCCTCAAGTTCTCGTTTCAGAGCTTCATTTTCAAGCTGAAGTTTAAAAAATATGAACATCAGCGACAACAATAGTAGCAAAGTTAAAGTGCATCACAAAGTCCATAAATTTTCGATGAATAATAGAAATAACCAAACATGGTAATTCAGGACAGAGCGATTCATACAGTTAGGAAGTACTGACCATAAGGTGATCTCTCTCCAAACCTTGCTTCTGATTGGTCCTGAGAAAAAAAGCAGAGGTTTGATCGTTAGATAACGGTGGACGCATCAGTAGTGGGTCTCAGAGAGGTTTCATGGGGTATATATGAAATACACGTCAGAATTTGCCATGGTAACAGGACATCAACCGAAAAAGTGACCGCATACTCAACAATTAGATTCAACCACTTCCTACATGTTCACTTCAAAAACAAAACCAAAAGAAACGAACCAATAAATAGATGGCAAGGTTATCTTAGAAACCGATAGGCGACGAATCTTGTGAATTGAGATCAAGAACAGGAAACGTCTTTTTGGATTGATTCTTCCATCAATGCCTGGCCAATTAAAGTTACTCAAACATGTCCCAGAATGCTACAAATAAACGTCTCCGAGAGTTTCAAATTACAAATTTTCCAGGGGGGGGTGGGGAGAGAAACAGGCCCTTGAATCCCTGATAAAGGCAACATGGGCAAACACTTGCTTTGCAACAAGCCACCCTTTCAACAGCCTACTCAGTTCATATTATACATCTACTTCATTTTCTAATGACGACCTGAGATTCCTTCACAGAAATTAGTGCCATCGCCGATCGTTACATGAAATGACCGGAAAATAAAAAAGCAGCCGGTTAATTCTTAAATATGCTTGGCTGAAAGCGTAGCATAGTAGTAAGCGAGGGTGGCCGTCTCTGATTGGCTTTGAGGAGTTCACCCTGAACTTCACACATCTTGAGTCGGATTATAGCTTGTTTCAGGCGTTCAGTTGGTAAAATGAAGTGATATAGTAAACGGCGCGATGGTAGCGAAAAAGCGAGGAGGTTTGGGTCGGGCTGTGCGACTCGACTCAAGTCTCCCTCGTTTTTCCACTCCTCTGATACTATTGTGCCGTTTAGTATCGCGCTTCGTTTTAGTTTCTGAACGCCTGGAAAACGCTTCTAGAATTACAATCGAACGAACTTCTTATCGTAAGTTGTCATTTAACAAACTTACTCCTTGATTGATGCAATAGTAGCCTGCTGTAATTCAATCTCATCTCTGAGAGTCGACAACTGTTTCTGGTGTGCCTCTCGATGACTAATCATTTGCTTCTCCAGTGCAGACTGCAACGAGACACAAACACCACTATATCTTTAAACTAGATAGAACTATACAGAAACAGACCGCACTTTCTATTGTTTACTGACCAGCTCGTGTTTTACAAACTCCTTTCTCGTTCTCCCAGCATCGCAGGTGGGTTATTACGCCGGTAAACCAATAGAAATTACGATCTATTGCTTTTATAACACAAAGTTTAATTTCTATGGGTTTACCTGTGCAATTAAAGGACAGGTTTTTGACAAATCATGACACTAGCTGTCTCACATTTATTTCATAAAAAAAAAAAAAAAAAAAAAAAAAAAAAAAACGATAAGCACCGAGCGCTTTAAAATCAGGAAATTCCCCAGCTCATCGATCTGTGATAACTTACACACTAGAAATTAATTCTCCGAAATTAAACTAAGGCCTAGTTCAAACGTCGATCTTTACATGTACCGAACCTAATTGCAATTTGGGTCGACTTAAAATTAAGACTTTGAAAAACGTCGATCCGAATTTAGTCGATCCTAATTGAAAACTGAACATAACTCATTGGTCAGGTTACTGCCTACCAAAATGGCGGAAAAAAAATGCGGGAAGCACAACTTGTGGAAATGAAGAGCTTGTTTTTCTTGCAAATGCGATTAAGGTGTCGAGCAAGGTCTATTTGTTAAAACTTTATTTTGAAAGCCTTCTATTATTGAAAATGGCATACAAAAGTACATGTAAGACAGGTATATTTTGTGGTTTTAAAACAAGTTTGCACACCTTCCTCCTTTCCCGCCATTTGTCTGAATGGTTCAAGGCTTTCGCGCATGGCACGTAAGCGAACTTTCTTGAATTGGCCATAATTATTTTAACGTATGTATAATGTGTTGTTCGGTAATATAAATTTTACGTGAATCATATTGATCTTTTACCGTTCAATCCGTAGTGTTAAACGGCACTGTCGAAATATTGTGCTCAATGATATTTGTTTCTTGAATTTGAAAAAGAAAAAGAAAAAACAAGACTACAAATAACTGACAAAATCCTTGAAGTGTAAAAGTAGTTTGCACGGGGAAAAAAAATTCAAAAATCACGAAGAACCTACATTGGTGCTCTGCATACCGACAGAACAGAAGTTACGTGACCTATTATCAGTTTAAATCATTTCTAATCTTCAGCAATAATTTTTCTCTAGACCCAATAACACCGTTTAAGGATCCGCCAAGGCTTCAACCCTTTCCTTCGGCAGCACCACATTTTGAAACCATTGCGAGTCTAAATCGCGTGCGAGGCAACAATACTTTAATTCCGGGTTGTATTAATATTTACCACCTGCTAGGATTAACGGAATTGGAGAGTCCTTCCCCACATTGGAAACCTCAACGAAGACAAAATAATTTCCAGAATCGTCACAAGTTTTAGATTATATTTTAACCGAGAAACTTCTAGTAATCTGTCTTTGTTTATAAAATTTTCAGTAGAGACTATTTATAAACCAATGAATCACTCTGTCAAAAACCCGCCGACCAGGTTAGAGATTACGATTTAAAAAACACAATCAAATACAAAACAAAAAGATTTTTCTTTAAAGATCAGCCACGTGAGCACGATAAAAAGTTATTAGGCAATAGGAACTAAATCAATCGGCTCATAACAAATCGAGAATGTGCCAAATCACCACAGCCACCGTAACGTTTACTTACAAATCACTTTCTGGGCATGTGTAGAAAGTAGAGACAAAAACTGTTATGCAGAGAAAGGTTTCTGCGAGAACACTTGAAAACCCACAAATATTGAATGTTAACGACTTAATCTTCCAATCCCAATCGAGGTTTCAAAATAAACTTATCATTTTCAAGTATTTTCATTAAAATCTAGTCGGGCTAATTAACTACTTCTCTCCGAACTGACTACCAAATTGAAATCCAAACAGTGGATTGTTCAAAAACGAAAACAAATCTTTTAGAACTATGTTTTGGAAGAAGAAAAAAGAAGGAAAAGAATAACATCTTTTTTTTTCTGAAGAAAAAAACCAAATGTGCGTTTGTTTTAAAAAAAAAAAACGCAAATTGAAAACAAAATGCTCGACAAGAAATATTCAAATTTGAGAAACTTTCTATTCGTGAGTGATCAAAATTAGATTTTTCACTGTAACTTCTAAAACCACTGACATCAATAATTCAAAACAAGGCCTTAAACGGCTAAAATCTGCCGTGATGCAATGTTTCTTTTCTACACAAAGAGAATTGTGGCATCCAATTGCCCTTTAATGGCTTACATACATTGTTTCAGTTGTACGACTTGAAAGCTCGGGTATAACCCAACTTTCACTGTCGCCTCGTACAAAAAAGAAACGACATACAAAATTATTTTATATACAAACCCTGGGCTTTGCGTTCTGAAGCACTTCGTCAATAACATTGTTTAACGAGTCTAGGATACAATCAATTGAGGATTCACTGCAATCGGAAAATCGCCAACCACAGTTCTTGTTTGTAAAACCAACGCCAGAGTATTGAATGTGTTTGCCCATGTCATCGATCTAACATCACGTGAAACCACGCAGGATCACGAAGAATTTATATCACATTTTGCACGAAACACTAGGCGCCTCTTTTTGCGCTAACATCGACGCAAGTTTTCTGCATTAAATGCGGCAAATTGCGTGTTGTGTTTTGACAAATCTGCGAGGAGAGTGAAATGACATCATTTGCAAGTCAAATCATCAGTGCAGGCGTTTTTAAACAATAGACATATCAAGCACATTGTTTAGCTGAAAGGTCATTTTTCAAAATGCGTTGAAATACAGAAATTCAAGGCCATAACTCTCAAATGGGTCAACCTTTTATTCCTAAGTGACATATCGCCAAATGCTGACTTAAACTGATTATTTTCGATCTCTCTTTTTATTGAACGCTCTTTGAAATACACAATCGAAAGAACAACAGAGCAACATCAAAGCACAAACAACGTCGCAGTTTTTCTTGAAAAAAGAAAAAAGAACTACAAAAAAACTTAGTGCACCTTGTGAAACAAACCACAGAATTCATGTTCAACGTTTTTAACAAGACCGGATTGTTTACTTATAACGTGTCGCCAAACTATCGCTAGCCGAAGGCAAAATTTCATTGGGAAAAAAAATTTACCAGCCACTTCAAGATAAACCCATTTTAACGTATAAACCATTCATTCTCAGAGAGAAAAGTCAGAGAAAATTTCTTGAAAATGCGGAAGATGCTCAATAATGCACGATAAACTCATCTGCTAAAAGCTTCTCAGGTCTCAATGAAGATTAATGGGAAAAAATGTGCACAATTTTCCTTCGAATTCCTTTTAACATAATGCACAAGTTTCACAAATAATACTTAAGGCAGCGAATTAAAAAATAATTTCAATAAGTTTAAGAAAAAGTTAAGGTTAAAAACAAAAACAAAACGTGATTATTTAAAAAAAAAACCACTTTGCTTATTACCCAAAATAGCAACCAGAATTCATCTAATTCTATCTATACAAGATGCATCAAAAATTTGCCCCTGTCACTTTAACAGTACTTTTGCTGACAAGTTGCTGTTAAACGTCGTGTGATTTTCAGTGTGAAATGTTTCAGGTATATAGGGCGAGCGGGAAAAAAACTTATTGGCGTTTTAAGAAAAAAAAAGAAAAAAGAAAGAGAGAATAGAAGAAAAAAAAAAAAAAAAGGAACAGCTCTGCTCTCTGATCTTTGGTATTATCAGGTCATTTGCTGTGTTTCGCCTGGATTGGCCAGTTCTCGGTGAACGACCCTTCTAAGAGGAGAGGGAAATGTCTTGCGGCCAGTTCCGAGGGCGGGAAAAAGCACGCGATCTGAATTACACGATTGGTCGAGAGCAAAAAGAACTCACTGGATTGGTTTGTTTATGAAAAGTACGGGAAATATGTTAGTGCTGGTTGTGAACGCGGTAAAAGGCGAGACACCTGATTGGCCGAAAATACAAAGCCTTATTCTGATTGGCTCCTTGATGCTTTTAGTCCTCCTAGATCGCCTAGATCGATATGTGAGTGATTACATGTCATTAATACAGCAATCTTTTAGAGTAATACCTGAATTTCACCCGCTGTGTGAAGCAAGCCTGCGTGCTCCTCCTCTTTGTCTTTCAAAGCCAGAGCGTGCATCTGAGCTGTAAAACAATTGAAATATTTGTGTAAGAAATCATTCAGTCACCCGGCCATCGCTTTGTCACAAGTAACGAAAGCCTGTTGAAGAAGGTTGACACACAACTTCGCAGGAAATAATAAAGCAATTTACAAAAAATGTAACAAGAGAACACGGAGATACGTTGTTTTACACCGCGTTTCCATTCCTGTATATTTCTTCGTTGCACTTAAAACCCTATTAGCTTATTCAAGCGCATACGCTTACCGAAAAAAAGTTATGTATTTTCCATGTTATACGGGCCGTAGCTTTCATCGATCACTTGTGTGAAGGAACACATGTGTCCCGTAAGACAAGTTATTTCCCTGAATATAATCCACTGTTTACAAGTTTAATTTCCTGAGATGTTTTACATCTAATGGTAGGAATGCCAATTCTGAGAACTGTCTAATCGGTTATTTCTTCATGAACCAATCCACGAGACGCATTTGGTCATGTGTATCAACTTTCATATCACTGGTAATTGGGTCAGCCACTCAGAGTGAGAGATGAAAGATCTTAATCTGACAGTCGAATATGAACCAAGAAAAATACACGAACGAATGTTCCACAAAATAAAACTGTCATACCACTCATTGAAAATCATCGGGAAATTAAGCTAAAAATCGTTAATGCATTATTGGTGGTGCATCAATTGTTGCGCTTAATGTATCGAAACAAGGTCTGCAAATTTGCAGGAGAATCATAACCTTTAAATAGATCAGTCAAAAAAAAACATTCAGTCTCATATTGCATGTTCGCACACAAGTGTGAAGTATATTGGACTTCTATTATATTTCGGGGGCTTTCAAATTCTTAACCGTTACTTGATAAGTGCCTTTAACTTTTTTTTCGTATATTTGTGTTTTATTTTGTTTTTTTTTTTGTTTTTTTTTTTTTTTTTTCAATGAGTCAACAGACTCTTCGGACAAAAAGCTCAATAGCTCAATCAGCCAATAGCTTGTTACAACAACTTATTTCCCGTTCTCAACAAGCCCACAAAAATTCGTCCATTCCTTCTCGATTGTTAACAACTTAAACTAACAAATTCGGAAGGCAAATCTTCCTTACTGCTAGCGACATCTTTCTCTTTTGGCTTTTCCAGGGAACTTAAATAACTTCCAGATATCTCTTAGTAAAATAACCCTGATCCTCATTAAATGTCTGTTGGACAAAGCAATCAAGGTGTTTGTCGAAACGAAGTGCGGACCACTCCGAGGAGAGGGATAAAAAATAATGTACAAATAGATAAACAGAGAAAGAAATAAACGATGAAGCTACGAAACGAGATTTTTTCATACAAGTTATTTCCATTCGCTCCTTCTACTACGGCTAACGGACTCATTTGCTTTTTTTGAATAGTAAAAGTCATGTAACCGATTACTGCAAAATGTGTTCAACATCAGGAAGAGATTACATAGAACTTCTCCTCACAATTTCAAAACAACATCCAGCAAAGAAGTAATGAGAGGAGACAAACTCATCAGCGAAAGGGTGTTGTCTAGATGCGACACTAATTTCTCTTTACTAATTCGCAAGGAATGTAAAGTAACAATTTTAAGTGGCTGGAAGGGAAAATTCCTAATTACATCTTAGGAGCAAACAATCTTGTACGTTACCTTTTGCCTTTAGTTTGGCTATTTCTTCGTTCAGAGAATCAACGGCTTCTTCCAAGATCCTCTTTTTCGATTCCATCTCCTTCATGTCTGCTTCGAGTGTTTTCATCTTAGCTTCATACTAAAAATAAGAAAAAAAAAAAGGCAGGTCAATAAAAGACAAGTTCCTTGTCTCCAGAAAAGCGCCTGCCTGTGGATTGTCGTTAAACCAAAAATCATTACTACTTAACTGATTAAATAGAGCTCTTTCGATTGAGTATCGTAAATATTTACCGAACTTACCAGAACAGCCAATCAGAAAAAGGCAAAAAAAAAAAAAAGCCAATGAGAGGGCAAACTATGTAAAGTGCGGGAAAACGCTAGCGACCAAGGCGTGATTGATTTTAGTTTTGCCTCTGATTGGTTGAGAAAGTGGCGGTAGTTTTGAGGACCAATCACAGAGCGAAGTAAAGCATAACCGCAGCGATTCGGAATCACTTTCGTCCTTCATTAAAAAATGACTCTATAAGCAAAGTGCCTGTAGGATTACACGTTAGTTTACAGAGATGAAGGAAAAATTCTTCTTGGCGGATAGTATGCTTCAATTTCACAAGTTCGTCTTTGCAATCTGTGTAAATATTTCCATTATTAGCTATCCTTCCATCTTCTTGGTTTTTAACCGCGTCTTATGTGTTTTGCCATCCTACAGATCTAGTATTTACTACTCTCCATATAGCTGGATGTCATTTTGCTGGAAAAAGAAACTGATTCAAAATATAATAGTGTACCTGTGATATGAGAAGCAGTGATTGATTGAGTTCTTTGTTCTTTCCATCCAGTGACGACTTTAAATCACTTTCGGTTATCTCTAGGTTACTGGAACGCTACATGATAGAGACGAAATAAAAACAAATAAACAAATACGAAAAAGCTAAATAAACAATGAAGCAGGCCACAAAACAGCATATTCAAGTAACAGCGTAGATTCCTTTGCCAGAATGGACGGCAATTTAATCTGTCAAGAACGTAGTTGATTGCAATACTTACCACTGAAAGGGTTTTAACCTCCGATTTTATCTTGTTCACATACAGTCGGGCGACGGTAAAATCTTCGTCCAAATTACCACTACAATCAATATTCGGTTTCTAAAAAGGAAAGAATCAATCGAATCAAACACAAAATATAGCACAAAATGTAGTACACATACTGTTCGAATCACAGGCAATTAGAGGTTACATGTAGATATTGTAACCAGTTCTGACTGATTCACCGCCGCAGGACACCCAAGGGAAAAAAACCAATCAAATCATAAAACTGATGAAAGGCCATGAAATGATAATAAAAAAAAATTGATCCTTGTGTAGTTCAGGGCTCATCTTAATACCTTCATTTCAGCCGCGTTTCCTCCGATAACGTTACCAATTTCGCCCTGGAAGAAGAAAAACAAATAAATCGTTTATTTGTTATGAAGACACCACAAGACGAAACAGTTCCGCACATATCCACCCACCGAAGGTAGCTAAATTCAAAACAAAAGTGGAGACCCTCGAAAATCACGACTTTACGAAGTGTCGACGTTAACACTCACCAGATCTGACAACAGGCTGTTCATCATCTCAGCTAGTCTCCTCCTCAAAACAGACGAACTGTCTTTAATTTCTAACAGTTCCTTGGAGACGTTGTTGAGTTGCATCTGTTAAAAGATATTCATTTCGTTTTTAACATCAATTTTGCATCTCTGGTGTTTAAAGATAGCTAGCACGATGGCCTGAAGGTTAGCACACTGGACTCCTTGAAGAGAGGGTCTGGGTTGGAGATTAAGCAAGGTCAATGTGTTGTGTTCTTGAGCCAGATATTTTCATCTGACATTGCCTTTTCTACTTTTTTCAAGTTAATGGTACCAATTTTAATTTGGGAAAAGAGGATTCATTACGAAACTAAAACGACACCTTACAGAATGAACAAAGCGGGAAACTTTGCCCAGTGCGGGAAAGATCAACTTGAGACCTGGTTGTTCTACAAACTTGCTAAACGACTTACTATCAAAACACTGAAAAAAAAGTATTTCCCACAGAGGGATACATATCCGATGAATAGCGCTATTCACCCTTAGAACAACAGAGGCGTGATACCTAAATACCTAAAGTTAGGGGTTCCAATAACCGCAAGGCGAACCCAAACACAGGAGCTTGCTCGCAGACTACACAGACAGTGGTAAGAGGTCTCAAAGGTGGCGGCAGACGCCGGTTACCAGCTTTAATTGAAACCCGTGTAAACTAAAAAAAACACCGAAAACCGAATACTGAATACCGCAACTTAACTGAGGAGCAATACAGTGAATGAATATAATAAACTGCCACAACACTCGACCTGTTTCTGAGATACTTCTTCTGACAGTTTTTCATTGTCCTTTGTTTTGGTCTCAACCTCTTGAAGCTTCTGATCATAATTCACCGCCAGCTCCTCTAGAGCTTGCAGCACTTCTTTGACTTCAGTCTTTGACGTCTCGCTCTCAGTCTGCATGGAAGAGATCTGCGACTGGAGCTTTTCGCTGTCAACTTGAGTTGTCTTAAGGGCTTCTTCTTGGTCAGCCATTTGTTCCTTCAGCTGGTTGATCAATCGTGCCTGATTTTGAATTTCTTCATCCTGCAGATTGAATGAAAATGAAAATGACGATTGATTGTTAGAAACAGTATATTACACCAAAACTACACCCTCTTTTCATCTCTCTTACAAAGTTTCTTTAAATTACCTATTGTTCCAGCCAATAAAATGCCTTCTAGATTTGAAAAGAATATAGAATTTGTATGGTTGCGGCTATATGTTACACCATAGTCAAAGAACTGTCTGTTAAGTCAGTTAAGAACAATTTCAGACTCTCATTTCTTCGATGAAAATAAGCTACAGGAGTATTTTTCCTGCCACATCAGTGAAGGGTTTTTCAACTCACCTTCTCATCCAGCTGAATGTACAGCTTTGATTTCTCGTCCTCGAACTTTTTCCTTTCCTTGTCGCTGACAGCCGGCTGTGATGGAGCCAAGAGTGCCAGACTCTCAAACACTTGCGAATTGCGATTATCTTTTGCGTTCGTCGTCTGTTCATCAAGGGGGACTGACTCACCTGCGGGAGATGCAATAATTCCATTAGCCCTTTTTCTTTAAGATATGACTTGGTATTTTCTCAAATCGGTTTGAATTTGTGCAAACGATCGCAACGACAATGTCACTAAAAAGTGTCACTTTAGCGTGTTTCTGCCATGTTTCTTGATGACCTTCCACTTGTTACATCTTTGTTACGGCCCTTAGCTACTTTACAACTTCCTCGAACTGATTTGTCTGTCTATTCTCGATAGCTGTCTACTAAATTAACCCTCGTTTATGTAACGAGAAGTTACAAGTTGATCATGGAAAGGAGGGTGAAAGCTTGTCAATTCTCCCTTACCTCCGCGCCATCTTTGCAGTTCTTGTTCATATCTGCCCAGAGCTCCTCTGAGTTTGGAATTCTTTTCCTTCTCCTTCTCGAATCTTCTCTTCCACTCTTCAGCCGTGAGTTCCTCATTGACTACCACAACATTCTTGATGGTTTTTGCCCTAAGGTGTTCAAATTACAGTCTATAGGCACTGTGCAACACTAGACTTGAAAAATATCCCAACTACTTGTTATGCGCCTTGCTTGAAAATTTTCAATTTTGTGCAAGGGGCCTTAAATCATCCTTACATCTTATTGGTGTTAGCTGCTATTGGAAATTTCAGAACAGTACATAATGTTCAACTGTAAACTTACCTCTGACCAAACATGAGAGTTGATCGTGTTTCTTGCTCATTGAAAGATGATGGAGAGCAGCAAATTATAATGGTTGTTCTGGCGTTACCACCTGTGAAAAGAAAAATTAAAGCATAAGAGATTGGCCGATCCAGAAAATCATAGTTGAATGTCATCCCAATGAATCTCGTCGATGACAATAGACAAGATCAAATTTTTCTCTTGTTACTGATGTTACAAAAACAACAACAACAGCAACAGCTGCATGGCCACGCTCACTGTACACTGGTTTATCATGTCAATTTTAGAAACTAGGCAAATTTTTGAAAGAATTCATTGCAAGCCCTTGTCTCCTACATAAAATAGAAATTTTTTTCAGAAAACTTGCTGAGTTTGGTTCCATATCCAATGATGCGTGTGTATCCACAAAAAACCTTTTTTGTTCTGTGATTGAATGAAAAATGAGACAGAAGGTTCTTAAGAAACAAAACTACAGGACTGAGCAAAAAATCAAATCAAGCACACCAGTTGCATGCAAATATTTCATTAGCTAAGCCTTACCTAAACTCTCTTGTAATATTCTTGTCATTTTACTGTCTCTGTAGGGAACATGAGTTTTCTAAAGGAAAAGATTGATAAAAAGAAAACTTAAATTCAACACAACACAGTCATGAGTTGCAACACATAAGGTGCACAATTGGGGCCTCCAGATTCAAGAATATACCACAACCCATCAAGTTGATAAAACATGATTATCATGTACTTCATTTGTCTAGGCCCAGTTGTTCAAAGGGCAGATAATGCTATCAAATGGATACATTGCTCTCCAGTAGGACAATTGTTAAGAAAACAAACTGAGCTATCCATCAGATAGAGACATATTTAGTTGATAGCGCTATCCACCATTAGAACAACTGCAGCCTGGCCCTACACTTCCATCTCCTTACTGACATACAAAGGTTAAGTGACAATTATCAAGGTGCACTGTACTAACACGACATTACAAGTGACATACAACTTGAGGGCAAAATTTTCCCCAAACTATTACCAATTGTTTTAAAGACTGGAGGGAAAAAATCTATACTCTCCATTTTTTTATATCTTTATCACTTTCCCTACTTTTTTCCAGATCTAGGAAACTATGCTGTAGCTTTCAGATTTAAGTTTTTTTGTTAAAGAATTTTTGCACTGCCCATGAACTAGTTTAATAGGTAACAATCACATGGATACAAATAAGAGGAAAACAGCTTACCGTTCCCTCAGCCAAGGCTGAAATAACATTTCCTAGAGCAGAGAGTGACTTGTTAATGTTCTTAGCTTCATCAAGAACAGCCCCTTCTGCACCAGTCTTGCTGACCTGTAAAAACAAGGGGGAGGGGTGGGTGAACAGTTGCTCCAATACTGACACTACAGGTATTCTGTAACATCAACATGTCCTTGGGTCAAGTATCTACAAAACAAATTCCCACCAACCTTCTCAGATCCCGCTAAATCCACCAGATAAAGCTTGCCACTGAGCTTCTTATTAGTTTCTACGTTTTCTTGTTTAATGTGGAGAAGAAATATACTATGGCTCCTTGAACTGTGTTCATTCATGTCTGATGAGGCAAGATTCATTAAACATGGTAAGATTCCAATTCCTAGCTTCAGTATCAAGACATTAGTTTTAATCTGTAAGAAGCAAGCAGTGACTAACACCTAACTTCTCCCCACAGTATCATCCCTTAATCAAACATTATGGTCAGGAGAATAAAGAAGCTGATTGCTAAGTCACAAAGCTCTTTATTGTTAGATAGATTCTCCTTAAAATTCTCATAGGAAATGTACAGAGAACAGTATGAAGAAGTTGCAAACTAACTGACTGTAAATCTATGAAAATCCTACATGTGAACTGCAGATAAAGAAATGAATACAGAGGCAATCTTCACAGGAATAAACACTACTACTTAACCAATGGTTAAAATAAGGCCTGAAAAAAATTCAGGCCAGTATGGGAATTGAACCCATAACCACCAAGATACCAGTACAGAGGTCATGTGTTCAAATCCTGTTCAGGTCTGAACTTTTTTTTTTTCCAGGCCTTATTTTCTTTACTGTTTAAGTAGTGTTCATTACTGCAAAGGTTGCTTCTATATTCATATTCAACTTATGTACTGATGTTAGGGTGTAAAGTGTTCAGGCATAAAAAGCGTTTTCACCATCCCTGGACGGAATACTGGCCCATCCCATGAAATCCCCCTTGCATTTTCTTTGGATCCTGTAGCAGTTTTTCATTACCATTTATACGCAAAACAATACTTTCCCTTTTAACAGAGCAAGTCTTTAAGGACTTAATTTACATTAGATTTGGATGGCCTGTTAAAATTTTGCATGGAGTAAGTGTGCATTATTTTCTCTCTTAACAGGAAAAAAAAAATTATTGTCCAGCATGTGGATGGCCAAAGATCTTCCATTTTTAAATTTTAACATTCTTACTACTGATCTGTTGACATTGACATAGGGTTGATCAATCTGTCATTAATTCTTTAACCCCTTAGGGTGACAAGCATCTAATCTCTCCTTACAATATCACCCTTGAATCACACATTAAGGTTAATAATAATAATGAGATTAATAATAATTAATAAATAAATAATAATAATAATGAGATTAAAGAAAATGACTACCAGCCAAAGAATCTCTTGATTGTTAAACAAATTCTCCTTGTCAGCACCTTAGGAATAGTTTAGAGGACAGTAAAGAGAAAATACAAACTGATGCTATGGTGTAAAGGGTAAAGAAGACCTACTTGTTACTGCCACATGGCGATTATTTTTTCCCTCATCAATAATTTCCATGACCTCTTCTGGACTGGACACAAATCTCTCACTCGCTCCCTGCAAAAAGTTAAATTATTGAAATTCTTCTGTTCAATCATGGTGGTATTTATATCGAACCCTTTTAATCCCAGTTTAAAAGGGATTTATAGTCATGATAGCCCCCCCCCTCCCCCCCCCTTGTTGATATGCTTTTTGTTCTTATAACCTGTTTACTTGTGGAATGTTATGTACTTGTTGACTGATTGGGAGGGCTGGCTAACAAATATCTGGCTCCAGATCAGGGCAATGGTATACCAAAAGAGTTCAGGGGAGGGGAGGGGACATTCCTGCACCATGACCAAGAACCAACTATTTTGCCATCAGGGCTGACAAAATTTAGTCAATAAGTGATTTATCATATGATCAGTGGATGACCATGTTTGAACCAACAGTACAAGTAATTAGGAAAACATTACACACACAAAGGTAGACTCACTCCAAGAACTCCCTGCAGCATGCTAATATCAATTTTTTTTCACCTATTGTTTTTTTTCTTTACTCGCACGACAGACTTCTGACATGAAGAAGGGTATGAACTTGAAAGCTACAAAAATTTAATTTAATCCTTCAAGTCGGAAACATGTGACTCAAAATTCATTGATAAAGTCTCACCTTTACAAAAGGAACTCTGTTCTTGTCTTCATGGACTGCTAAGTTTGTTTTGGTTACTGGAAAAAGAATGTGTGATATACACAATTTACATGTAATGAGTAGAAAACATACTGACCAACTAAACAGGAGTTGTTGAAAAGCTTTCATGCAACATTTAGATTTTTGCAAAGACAGTTTAGATTGAGAGTCATTAATTAATTAAGCTAACTAGAGTAGATCAAAAGAACCATTGTGGCCAATCAAAGTAAAGGAAAACATCACAAAGAACCAACCAGAACTCAAAGCACATGTGAACAGCCTAAAATACACAAAACACAGCCAACAAAGTCAGAGTTCAGTTCATTTTTAGTAGTTTGGAGTTTGGTGTGGCAAACTATCAAAGTTTGTCAAAGGCAAATTTGCAATGAGGTCAAACCTCCATACACCTTCTGAGATCAATCAAACACCAAAAAGAGGAAAACTTGTAACATCCTGGAATAATTTGTATTGATTGTAAATTAAATACTGTGTTTGTTTAACAAAGCAACAAGAATTGTGCTGACAATATGTAATTTATAGTTACTGATAAAAAAGTGTATCCTACCATCCAAAAGATCTCTGATCTTGTCCAAGTAAATCTCAAAATAAGAAACCTGCAAAAAGATGGTATTTATTTGAACTGTTTTTTTTTTTTTAATATTTTATCACTATATTATTACATCAAACATAGCACAAGTGCATTAATATAGGTAATATCATGATTTTGAGTGCAATTTGGTCCTAATAAGCACAAGTAAATTATTCAAAGACAACAAAATTGCACTACCCTGTAGGGCAAGTACAATTAGCAGTCTTCCAAAAAATTTACAAGTGTTATCACACCAAATTGTATGATAAAAAATTGGTCAGGATAATAATGTTATCAATAAAAAAACATCACAGAGAGTCAAGACAGATGTAAATTTAGTCAGCACCCACATGCTATTTGTAATTTGCACTTTGCACTTGTATTACATAAGAATGAGCTTGTTTTCAGCCAATCAGACACACATAATTTGTTCCTGTACATTATTATCATAGTGAAAATATATAATTTCAAGAAAGTGAAAACTTCAGATTATATAACATAGTAACTTAAAACTTCTTTAACAAGACAATTTACCTTGATATGAAACTCCAGATTTTCATCCATGTTATAAATGTAATTAAATATGTCTTGCACAATGCGAGGAATGATTCCTTGATTAACTGGATCATCAAGGCGACCCTAAAAATGCAAACACATCAAACAAGTTAATAATTACAAGCACCTGAACACTCCCTTGAGAGGGGTTGGGTAGGAGGAAACTTCTCTTGACACTGATGAAAGGTTTAATACCCCCAACTAGGCAAATCCCCATGGAATTTACAGTAAGTATAGCTGTTTGTGAAAAGTGAAGTTCTATCATTTTGAACCTACATGTATTAAGAACTAGCATGTAAAATAATCAGGGAGTTGAAATATGCAAAACAGGACTGCATTGACCAAAGATTGAAACCACAATCAATGTTTCTAAGTCTTTATTGACCTAATGTCTTGGTCTGAGCTGTCCAAAGGGTTCATAGGCCAAGCAACATCTATCAGATAAAATTTCTAACTCAAGGATAGCATGCTGTAGTCTATATCACTAACTATCAAGCTAACCCTGATTGAGAAGTCTGACACCCAACCATCATCTCCAAGATAGCTTTGTCCTCCCCTTAAACAAATGCATCCTGTTTAACTAGCCACATTAACTAATAAAGTTGTGTATGATATAGGTTGCAAATGTGACTGTCACATTTTCTTGAAAACCAAGAAATCTTTAATTCATAGCTTACCTCCATTGTATGGGTTTTCCCACTGGATGTCTGTCCATAAGCAAATATTGTCCCATTGTATCCATTAAGCACATCTGTGAAAAAACAAAATTATTGTTTCAAAACTGAAAAAATGCATTTTCCAGCTAAGTGAAAGTTATGCACAGAGACTATCCGCAATTTGTAATGTTTAGTTTCCCTTGTACTATTAATACATTGCAATTCATTTATCCTAATGCTGCCAATTTACCTCATACTGTTGTATAGAGCAAGGAACTGAGAGAGTTACATGTAAGCGTCTTGCCCAACTGACCCAACCAGAGCTCAATTCGAAACTGGATTTCTTTTCTGATAAGCCTATCCACTGGATAAATCTCCATCCAGTGGACAGCACAGTGCTTTTTGCATCCACTTATCCTCTGGATAGTGGTTTATCCATTGGGATGCTAAAGAATCAAAGGTTACACCTGTATACTTGTCAATTTCTCTAGTAGTTTACCAGGTCCTGGTTGTTTGAAGGTTGGATAACACTTTTTACTTGATAAATCTCTATTCAGTGGATATTGCTATATGTTTTGCCATTACTTATCCGCTGGAGAGCGATTTTTCTGTTGGATAGCATTATCTGCCCTTTATACAACTGAACCCAGTACCCTATTTCAGTCAGGGGTGGAGAGATGCACTGCAATAATTGGAGTCCTGCCCAACACCACAATAACCAAGCCAGGGGTTAGATACAAGCATTATACTAAGGACCAGGCCACCAAGTCTCCTACACTAAGGCCTGGTTACATTTCAAAGCACTTTACAATGGAGTGAGGGTTGACCTTGATTTACTTTGCCACTTCGTATCAAAAGAAGTGAGAGGTCACAAAAGTGACCTTTCAGGAAACTCCTATGTTCAGTATCAATAAATTCTAAAGCAGACAGAGAGGTACAGTAAAGAAAAATATCAATCATGAAATGTCAATTGACAGCTGATTTTTTTTTCAAATTCAACCCTTTGACTCTTAACCCTTTCACTCCCACAAGTGACCAAGACAGAATTTCTCCTTACAATGTCAATACAGTATAAGCAGGCAGGTGATGAGAACAGAGAAGAATATCAATTATGGGATTATTAGTTGATCCAATACCAAATTCTCTGAACTAACATCATAAGAATTGTATGGCAGATAGTATTGGAGAATTACTAATTAGATCTTGGGAGTGAAAGGGTTAAGAGTAACAAGTATCCACTTTTTCCTTGCAATATCACCCCAGAATCACATATCAAATCCACAGGACTAAAGGATATAATCACAAAATTAAGAAGCTTTTAAAAGAACAGCATGAAGGATACACCTACTGATGTTAGGGTGTAAAGAGATGAGAAAAAATATCAACCACAGAATATTGTGTGATTGAACAAAAAAAAAAGATTTTAGAACTCACAAAGGAAAAATATCCCAGAGTAAAAAGGCATATGAAGCAGTGCATCTGAGTGACACAAGTGTAAAATAGTAATGATTTTAATGGCTGCCTTGCATGCCCTCGTTAAGTGTAATAACAAAAATTTCAAGAACAATTATGCTTTCTTATTGTTTTCTGTCTAGACAACTTCATCAGGCTTTCAAAAAAGGAAACCAACTTGTTCATCGTGAAAAAAACAGACAAACTCTCCAGAATATGTAAACAAGTTTCAAATAAAATTTAAAAATTTTATAACATTCTCAGATCACACCCTACCTGTAGGTTGGTAATTAGCAATCAGTAAGACATAATTAAATAAATAAATATTCATGCATGTAGCTTTCTATATAATCAGCCTCATGAACATATTTTTTAAAATGAAAGGTCCAACCATTATCAATCTGAAAATCTATAAATTACAGTGTTTTTTTTAATTTTGAACTAAAAAAGGTAATTCCATAGACAAAAACAACTACATTGATTTCAACTGTTCCAGTTTGCTGTAACTAACCTGCTGATATCTTGAAATATTTAAAGGAAACATACTTTTCTCCAAACAAAAATACAACAAAAATGTTTTCTGAAATTGGTGCACAGGCAACATTTAGCAATCTATTCCTTTGATAGATTTTAATACGGAATTCTTCACAGAACAACCTTGAAATTATGACTCTTAAACTGATGTTCAGAAAATCATGCAGATATGTTGATACACTTTACTCAAATCAAGCCAAGGATCCCTAGCAGAGGTTGTATACAGCTCACAAGCATTACCTTACACCAAACAAACTTCACTTTTTTCCAGATTCAAGTGTAAATGCAAGGTGACATTTGAATTGATGCTTTCATGAGACTGATGCCAATGTAGAGTGCAATACTGTTTGATCTGTATTATCTTGTGTACAAAACAAAATTCATTGATATACACTTAAAAGCTGGCAGAAATGGAGCTTCAACACAAAGTTTGCAATAATCGAAAAAGCTCAATTCTCAATTTCTCCTCAATTCACAAAATTAATGTATTTAATGTTCACATGATCAAGAAAAAAAAGCACCTCTTTCCTCGCACTTGAAAAAAAGAGCTGGTTTAAACTTGGTAAATACAGGTTGAGGCATAGCCAATACCAAACACTGAAAAATTAGTCTTAACAATTTGTACACCAACTCATTTCCCTCGAGGGAAAATATATTCTTTAGAGAACTCTTCTGAGTGAGATAATGACTACCAGAAAGTCATATTTCGATCCTTTGATAAACCTTTTTTTTCAAGTAAGATACCCCTCAGAGAAAATTATAGTGTAACTTACATGTAAATTATGTAAATTTCTTGAAATTGATTACAGTGCATGCAAAACTGAATTGTGTGTGAAGATTTCTGTGTACATAATGGGTATCTGTCTGGAAAATATTCAAAAGTACCTTAATTATGATGCTAATCTTAAGAGAGCTAAGAAACGGAATGAATGTTCGAGAAACCATTTCATTGACAAGAAAAGAAAAATACAAAACGCAAAAAATTCGACCTGTAACCTTTTTTTCCTCATTCACACATTCCACCCAAAGTTCGAATTTATGTTCGTGAAGTACTTTATATCATCCCAGAAATTCAAAGGAAAATTTAATCAAATAAACGGCAAAACTCGTGCTAAAATTAGCTTCATATCGATCGTCGAAAGCCAAAGAAATTTGGTTATAAAAAAATTAGGACACCCTTCATCTAGGTTGCTTTATCAGATCTCACTGATCAGCGATCGATTTTCATAACAAGATTTTAGCTGGCATGAATTACCATACGAAAAGAAACAACATTTCAACTATTTGGGACACATCTAGAATATTACAGAGCTGTTCAAAAACAGGGCTAAATACGCAAGACAATCTGATTTCCATTGATGCGAAAAGGTTCGAAATTCAATTGATTCGAAAAAGAAGCCAAGAAAAGGCAAAACATGAGAAATTAATTCAACAAAATGAGGACACAGAAAGAGAAAACTACCCTTTCAGTGAGACCATGTGATCAAACACGAATATGTAAAGATCGTTTATTGCACGAGTGTTAGGTAGTACTATGGCTCACGATGGAACAATACGAAAAATCTCCAAAACACTCCAATTAATGCGTTGACTCTAGATGTCGACGAAATACAGCCTTTCTCCTCAATATTTAAGTCTCTCTGAAACTGTACCTAGAATTGTTAATTTTATGGTTATACATATTCAAATGATTCTCCTTTCTCTCCAAGAGAGTTGTTTACCTAACGAGTGTGTCCACTGGAACCGCGCATAGAATTTCAAAATCTCACGAGAAGAAACTAATGAGATAGACTAAATACGAGGCCGGGCACTTCTAACTCCCCAAATTATCAACAAAAGAAATCCGATATATGTCTTTTATAAGCCACCAATGCAAAATCAAAGCCACAGTAAATGAATTAATAATACAGGTCTAAACTCGTGAAGAACATGGCAACTGCAATCTCCTGCCAAAAGGAATATTGACAACTTCTCGACTGTAAAGTTGACGGTCAAGTAACAATTTTTTTTAACTTAGACAAGATTTAAAGCACTGATTCCCGTTACCGCTGTTTATTCAGGTGCTCGAAAAACCAATAAATCTTTGTTGGATGACAGCGACAGATATTAACTCGTTTGTAAGCAAAATCATGAAAACATTTTTGCTAGGTAGCAATGAGTAGCTAGGAAGAGAGAACTTCTTTAATATGGCTGCTCTTGGGTAAGATCGTTCCCCGAATAACCTTGTGTTAACATCACTGTTTTATCTATATTTTGCGGACCACGCAGACACTGCGATTCATCTGAAAGTATGAAACATTTTTACAGTCGCAGAAAGCGTTGCGCTGAAACTTAAATTGAAAACAGCCAAAAAGGCCCGTTGACTGCATACAATATCCTATCATCACGTCTCGTAAACTTCAAAGACCTTAAATCCTTAACGGTTAGAAGGCAAGGCAGCTTCTAAGAATCCTGTTTTCGACGCTGGTGTAAACTATTACCCCACTCGGCTACCAAATAACAAAAAAAAAAGGTTTTGCATAAGAACCATTTACACAATCTACCTTGTACGATGACCTGGGCAGCTTCCAAATAAACTCTTTCCTGCGATGTGTTGGACTTGAATACGCGATCAAAGGTGTATGTTCTTCCCTAAAACACACAAGACAAAAATGAAAAGTTGTCGACGTCAAAAGTAATACCGGGATTATTACAAAAAACCTTGCGACTCAATTATGATAGAAAGTGGTTGGCTCACCGCATGAACACAAGTATCCGAAGTTGGAGTTGAAACAACACTCTCCCCTCCTGCCCGAACTTCTGCGTCGGATTGTGGCCGAAACCGAGCAAAAACCTTGATATTACACTCTCTGGGATCAGGATTCATGACTATCGTAGCAAAATTTCACAAAAACCTCGGCGATCTGCAATAAATGACCAAGTTTCGTATGTGATTCATCGGCAATATTCCTCGTACGCGTACAACATGATTGCCGGTAAATTCACTCCATACGGCCAAACGACTCCAAAATGGCCCCAAGCTTTGCTTAGATGTTTCCCTACAGAGTTATTAGTGTACAAAGATGACTTCTCGACTGTTACGACAGCTATTTCCCGATCATTTTTCCAGATAACGCTATGAATTCACCTAACGATCGATCGCTCCAAGTCGGCCATTATGTCCACCTCGGTTGACGCAGAGCATTGTGGGTAGAAATACCTTCGACGTTTCGAAATGAAGGCAACTTTTTCTCGCCCCGCCAAGCCAATCACATTACTGTAAAGTAAACAATATTCGATTTAATAACATAATAAATAAGTGTGAATAATCATTTCAAAAGTGCTGCAGAATTCTGCCAATTATATCACACGTCTGCATCGTAGGAACAATGAAAGAATCAGCGACTCTTAAAATGCAGGGCAGAAACCACGAACCGGAAGTCACAACGAAATTGCGGTTTTAGAACCTCGGCTTTTCTCAAAAAATCCTTTTATCGGGTCTTGAAATCTTCACATTCTTGAGATCAAGATCCGTATTTCTGTGCAAAGATCGTAAATTAGCAAGGACTTAGTGGCAGACGTTTCGGCAATCAATGATTAGGCTTCCACTTCCAAACGCCCTGAAACAAGTTTTATATCTTAATTTCAGAATTTTCTCTCAATCAGCGATAATTTTGATTCTTATTTTAATCCTCTTTTTCAGTTGAGCGAGACACTGACTTACAGCGCTAACTAGTATTATCTTGAAAAGATTTTATCATGCCTAAAATCAGATATCAAACTCTTGTTATGCGTGACAGCTAGGGCGGTGAAAACAATCGCTTAAAAATATTGGCCCCAGGCAAGATAAATTTGCAAATTTACATTTGCCTTGTTTAAGACCATTACATGAAGAATCATTTTTTGCAATATATTATTCAATCCAAGCCAATATATCTATTGAAGCTTTATGTTGGAAATATCGGCTTACAAAGAATCTCTTATCTTTCAGTGACACGGTTCTGATGAAGTCATTTGTATAACCAAAACTTCCTCTCAAGTATAATGCGATCGCAATTTTAGATATTTCAATGGAAATTCGTTTCAACATGTGTGCATTTATAACGAATTTCAGACACGATCACGCCTTGCCCGGCTGGCAAGAAATTGAGAGTGATAGTTTCAAAAATGATGTGCGTGAGGTAAGCAGCAAAAAAAGATGTCGATTCAGTTGCTATATTTGGCTCCGAAACATTGCATGCATGCAGCTGACGGCTTCCCCAGAAGAATGGTGCCAAGCTGGGAAAGTATTACGCGGTTACGAAAAACCTCAGATGAAAAGGGATAAGGTTGTTCCTAGCCAAAAACAGCTATTAATTTATTTGCAGCTCAGAAGAGTTTGGTTTCGCATGCGCTCTTTTTATTTGAAGGACTGCGATAGTGTGGCAAGACGGACGGAGGTAAAATGATCGCCGGATTTGAGCGCCCTCGAAGAAAAGAAGGCTTGATTGTAGGTTAGCTATGATTTCACTTTCCTTGTTGTTAGATTCAAAAAATTACTCTGAAAATAATGCAGACCAAAGAGAAAAAGTTTGACTGAAAAGTTTGCAAGTTACAAGTGTAGATCCTTACAATACTGACAATACTGAAGAGATAAGAAGGAAGATCAGGCGATATACTGTTAACAATATTATTTTTTTTTTAGTCTACATCGCTACTAATATTCCTAATTTACAATTAGGTACAAAAAAGTGTGTAAACGTGAGATCCTTCATTAAAAGAGATAGAATAATGAAGTATAATTTAGGAAATGGTACTACTGACAAAGCACTCTTTCTATTGGTAGGTTTCTCGTGAATCGATCCGGAAAAAAGGCTGGTACCATTTCCGTTTCCGCCCAACACTTATGACTTCCGTTACGAGTGGGCTGCTTCCAGTTAACACACGAAATAAAAGAGGAAAAAATTAATGTATTGACGAGGATTTAATAATCGTGCTGACGCTATTTTTATCACGGGTATGGATCCTGAATTGAATAGTATTGGATCTAAAGCTATTCCTGTAGGAAACGTTCGGTGAAAGGTTTAAAGCAGCCTCACGGCTGTTTCGCGGTGGAAATTTAGTTCGCGCATGCGGTGTACAGGAAAGATCGAGTTAATTATTATTTCTCTGGTTAATACCAAATTATGCATTTGCATAAATCTAGCGTCCATGGCAACCTCTTGGGCTAAGATATAGTTTAGCCAATGAAATCTTGCTGCGTATCTAATGTATGCGGGTGAAATTTAGCATGGCGGATGCTTACACATGGAAGAGGCATTTGCCGTCGAAAATTTGAGTAAAATCGGTCAAATTTTGCCTGTGTTCGACGAAAACACGTTGCTATGGTGGAGTCTAGCAAGCACACCCTATTAAATCAACTGAAAACTTTGATTTCAATTTGGAAAAGGCTCGAATTTTTTCCAGCAGAGTCAAAAGAGAAGACTTGAAACCTTACTGAACAACCGACAGAGGTAAGTGTTTTAATCCGAATTGTTTAAGACTCCATTCGAGGCGCTTTTAATATGTTAAGATCGGCCGTTATGCGACTCCATTTTGAATCTCGGAGGTACTGAATTTCAAGTGAAACAGTCTGTAAACGACTGGAAAGGTTTAGTTTTGGTTCCAAAGATTGTAGTAACACTTTTATTCGTCTAAATTAGAAGTTGAGCAAATAAATTACACTATATTTACACACATAGTACTCGTTCTTAGTCATCGAACCGATACATTGCTATTGAAAAGGAAAGAGTTTTACTCGTTCGCTTTTCGTTTTAAAATTCTTTCTTTAGGTTTGGGAGCTTTCCCTGCTAGTTCCGGACTCGTGGCAATGTGATGGTTGACAAGGATTTGACGCAATCTCGTGTCCTTTTTCTTCACATGGTCAAAATGCTGGGACTGGGTATTGAATTCAGAGTGTATTCCTTCAATCCCTTGTTCACCGTAGAATCCAAGGCCCATGTGCCATTGTCGAAGAAAAGGGCAAACATGTTCTTCTAGCATATGCAGCTTTGGTGTGACTGTCATGTCTGGAAATTTTTCCCTAAGGAACTGAAGAAAATTTGTGATGTCTTCCTCTGCAACAAGAAAACAAGAAAAGGTGGACTTAAGACATGATCTTATTGCTGTATTCATGTTTTTCCATGAAAGTCAGGTTTTTTCTTTCAGTTACCTAGCTTATCAATCTTGCCATCATTGAGATAGTCTGCACTGTCATAGACAAAGTGGCAAGCAGCAAATAACTTAAAAACTTGTTCAAATTTCACGCTAATTTCTCTTGCTTGAGAAAGGAGGGAAGGACACAACTCCTCTGTTTTTGTCAGCACAGCACTGCATTAAGTTTAATGATGTTGTCTTCCTACCAAAAAAACAAATGCAACAATTCAATGAAATTTTGTGACTCAACAAATTCCTACTCTAAGGGTAGAATTTGTGTTACCTTGCAGCAAGTGTGTACATGATTACCAATGAATGATTTTCCATGATAAGCTTGTCTATCAACATTCATTTTCTTGAGAACCTCATCCAAATGAACCGATAGTGGTCCATTGGCTTTCTCAAAGGCAGCCAATTCCATTTGTTCATCTGCAAGCTTTTCCTATAATGTTGAGATAATACTATTTAAATCTGGGTTATTTGACTTACTGCTTATTACAAATAAATGATCTATAAAATAAAATCATAACTTCTTTAACTAAAAAATTAAGATGGGTTTGAAACATGTAAAATGGATTTGGAGGATTGTACAGCTATGATACTGGAAAGCACCAATATATTATTTTTACCTCCTCCTTTGCATTTCCAAGGAGTTTTGGCTATCTCCTCCTGTAGTAGTGTAAAGTAGGCAGGCATGATATCAACATTAGTATGCAGACTTTGTAAATTCAGCAACTCCTGTAAATAATTGGTTTTTTCATTAAATTGTTGTGCTTGTCTGGTATGTAGTTGGGCAGCTCTGAATGCCTGGATTTTCTCATCATTCTCTTCACTGTCTCCTGCTAGAACCATTTGAATTTTTTTGTCCAGCTCAAAGCACTGGTTCTCTAGTTCGTCAAACAGTTTCTTAAACACACCCAAGCTAATGTGAAGTCCAGGAACACAAACCTGAAATAGACAACCATTTAGTTAGGTGGCCTGTAAGTCCCTCTTCAAAGCAATAAAATAAACTCTTGTATCTTACTTTGTCCAATTCAATGTCCAGCAGTTTCTCGTGAATCACATTGTGATAAAACTTCTGTCGACTTGTAACAGAGCCATCTGCTACAAACTTATCATAATCCTCTTGAATGTTTTCAAGACTTCGTTTTTCAGCATGCCTATGTTTATGGCAAGAGACTTGCATTACTTCATGATTTATCTTGCACCAAAGACATGGATATTTGCCTGCAAATACAATTCTTATGGTGGAAACCTGTTTCACAGAAATAGTTATGTAGAGTAGAGGCTACATTTATATTATTTTATTGAATTGCTAAATCATTATTATTTGTATATGTGAATTATTGTCTGGATCATACCTGAGGCACCAGCTATTCCAAACAGCTTGCATAGGAACTCATAGTCACCAAACAGGAAAACCACTTTCTTTTTTACCTCTAGAAATGGGCAAAACAAAAATAAAAATTTAATTAATATTATGCTATTTCAGGTCTCTATTCTCCCGATTAACTAAAAGTGTGGTAAATTTTTTTTTTCACTTACGCCCAGGTTGCTTCTTTCAAGGTGTTTACTTGTTCTTTATATTTCATTAAGGCTGTCTTTAAATTAGCCCAACTATCTTTTGCATGGAACATGGCAAAGACCACTGTGTTGGTTTTAGAATTTGGATGCCTCAGGTTAGCAATCTGGAAGGCCATTTTAAATGACCCACCACCAGCATCTCCTCCAAGTTTTATGTGCACTTTATTTTCTGGGATTGCATTGTTCCATGTCAGCCTTCCATTCCTAAAATGATAACCAACTATAATTAGACTATAATTCACAGCAATAGGCAACAGAAAATGATAAGCAACTAGCACAAAATATGTGTGGAGTTCGACATTTTGTCTGGACTGGTTGATCAAGTACCTCTTTGCAAATTGGGCACATATACTCATGCTTGATGTTTTCAACAAACTGTTCTGGGTAAAGAGGTTCTGATCCTCTAAAGCTTTGTAGATTCTTTACCTCCTCATAGAATGAGAGTGAGGCTGGGTCAGGTTGGAAGCTTAAAGTGCCAGACATTCCTTCCACCATTTCCACTTGTTCCTTGGGTTCAGCTGAGTCCTCTCTGGGTTTTATTCCAGGTTTAGTCTTCTTCTTCCTACCAGGTTTCTGTTGATCCTTAAAGAAACTGCAGATCTTACAGTTTCCAGTGCGTTTGTGTGGAGGCCACACATTGATTGCAAGGCGTGTGCCTCCTCTTAAAAGCAAGCTTGTAACACTTGTGGCAGAACTTAGGAGGGCACATGTCAAGGTCATCTTTACGAACTTTGACACCAAAGGCTGTGAAAATAATCTCCGTCTTATCGGCGCAAAGAAAACTGTTCTCATACTTATCTTTTGCCTTCTTCAATCGCTCTCCACAAATTCGGCAAATTTTTTCCAATATTTGTTGATGTTCAGAGAGACCAAAGTTAGCCATCTGAATGCACTAATCGAACCGAGTTGTGAACTAAACTTGGATTAAGCAACGCAGTTCTAAGTTGACTCAAGATATGTTCCGAAGTTCCTTTTTCCGGCCTTTTATTGCTTCAGAAGGGTACACCCTTAGGGTTTGTACCTTGTTTCAGGAAGGGGTGTCTATTTATCTCTCTCGATCGGTTCTTCAGGGGTGCGGGAATATTTGCATTGTGTTATTGCGTGTAGTTCATTCCATTTGAAGGGAGAGGGAATATTCGCCAAAAACCATGTTAATCACGGCCAAGAAAAACGATTTAACTATCAGATCAAAGCACAAATGGTAACATATAATTGTAAGGTTTATTATCCGTGATCATGATTGAAATGTTGACCGAAAGAAACGTCTTGTCCGTGCTTTCACTATTTCACGTAGCTCCCCGTGACAGATCGATGACATACACTTTTCGAGGAGGAAATCACACGCACGTAGTTCGACTTTCTTGCACGTAACAGAAGGCCGTCGTCATTTTATCAGTTTGTCATAAATCGTGTATTCTTTGTTTAGCCCATGGGTAAGCATGAGATCATTCAGAGGATAAATTCGCGTAGTTTAGGGGCATTAGTTCGAGGTCAAAGGGAGATGGACGCCATATTTACTATTTCGGTGGTGATGTGTAATCGCAGATTACACCGCTCAAAACAATTCGGATTAAAACGTCATGGTAAAGAAACTGATGGCAAAGGAGAGACGTAAAGCCTGAGTTGTTCCTTTATTGAAAGAAAAATTCGAATCAATCAGAATCTTGCCTGAAAATAAGAAGACCTCAGAATGAGTCATCTCGCGTCAAAACAAGATGCCATTAAGCCGTCGCATAGTTAACTATCCCGCACACGCAATCTTCCCTAGGAGGACATTAACCAGGGAAGCAAAATACAATGTCTGCGCATAAGTTAGCTATTTCCTTGGGCTTTGCGCATATACTTTTTGCGACCTAGTTATCAGTGGGCTCTTTCTTGTTGAGCCGTTAAACGTACATTTTCAGCGGTTTCAAATTGAAAATGTCAATCTGACATGCGCGAACTAAATTTCCACTGGCGGGCGTTTTGAAACAGCCGTGAGCCTTACATTGGTGCAAAATTAAGCAAGCTCCGCACCTGGGGGAAAATTAGGAAAAGTTGGCCGAAACTTTCATTCCCGATAATACAAAATTTCAATAAACGCAAGGAAGAAAACTAATTCATTCTAGAATAATTTTCACTTCTGCGACACCGCTGCGATGGCTTTCATCCCAGTCGATAAGCGGTTGGTGATTTTTTCATTGATCTCGGGCGGAAGATAACCATGCCGTCCAGTCCCCTTCTCCAAGCAATGTAACTCGTCCCCATCTCTCTCCCGCGCACACGAATAGGAAAATTCAGAAAAGGTAGCAGAGTAAACCGAGTTTACAAAACGAAACCACAGGACCTAATTTTTTTCCACTCGACACCTGCTGGCAAACAAAGCTGGAAAAACAATGGGAACAGGTAATGACAACTGGCCCAGTTCAAATTAATTTTTTTTTCATTAGTAATTTTGTTCAATTTTTGGTTTGATTTTAAGTTCAAGGATTTCTGTAAAAAAAAAAATCGCAGCATGAGAGGATTGAATGGGTTAATTTATCAACATGTGCCGAAACAGAAAAATCTACGTCGAAAAGAAAATAATTCAACGAATGGAATCGAAAAGTAAGCCTGACTAATTCCAAAGAAACGAGACAAGGCTATACAAATGGTTTCATTAGCAATCTTTAATTTGGAATGACTGTGGTGAAAATATTTATAAAGCTAAAACTTAATTAAAAAATAAGTTAAAAATAATACGTTCGGCGAAGCGAAGACTTGTCTATAAATTAAGGTGTGAAAAAATTCATGGTACGCAAAGCGTAAAGAGGAGCGCCGGTGTCTCCATGGATTTGGAACCACACTCTGCCAACGACTTTAAATGGCCTGAGTCGACACTCATTAGCGGATTATAAGTTACTTATGTTTATTTTTAAAAACTTCCTTGCAAGCATAATATTACAGAGGTTAATAGACGAGAATTTTTAAGCATGTTCAACGTTCTCAACGTTTCAAAATCTTAAAGGCTGCGAGAAGGCTTTCATTATCATCGCTGGGAGACATGCGCTCCTCCAAGTCGCCGGAGTCGGGAAGAGCTTTGTTGCGGAGCTGGCATTATCATTGCTACCAGACCCCTAACAGACCCGTGCCGGTTCGTGTTGCCAAAGGCCTTAAAGTATTAAGCCTGTATCATGCGGTCACCCACGGGGAATAGCCGCTCAACCCTTTACAGCCTAACATCAGTATGAATATTCTCCACACTGTTCCTTAGACATTTCCCAAGGTGCTGACAAAGAGAATTTGATTGCCAACGACTTTAAAAGGCCTGAGTCGACACTCATTAGCGGATTATAAGTTACTTATGTTTATTTTTAAAAACTTCCTTGCAAGCATAATATTACAGAGGTTAATAGACGAGAATTTTTAAGCATGTTCAACGTTCTCAACGTTTCAAAATCTTAAAGGCTGCGAGAAGGCTTTCATTATCATCGCTGGGAGTCATGTGCTCCTCCAAGTCCCCGGAGTCGGGAAGAGCTTTGTTGCGGAGCTGGCATTATCATTGCTCAGGCCCCTACCAGACCCCTACTGGTTCGTGTTGCTAAAAGCCTTAAAGTATTAAGCCTGTATCATGCGGTCACCCACGGGGAATGGCCGCTCAACCCTTTACAGCCTAACATCAGTATGAATATTCTCCACACTGTTCTTTAGACATTTCCTAAGGTGCTGACAAAGAGAATTTGATTGCCAATCGAAAGGTGATATACCAAGGAGAAATTAGATGCTTATCACTCTTATGGTGTAGCGGGTTAATACAGGTTTACCGCTTAAAACAGGTTTCGTAGTCTGCTGAACTTTGAAGTCGATAATTAAACATCGTCTGGGGCGCTTTCAAGTTAAAAATTCCAATATGGAATAGGTTTTTCTCGTCGTGCCGGAGGAGTACTGGAAAGGGGCGAACTCGCACCAGGGTGAAGGCCCTCAAAACCCTGTTAATAGCTTGAAAGAATAAGCGTCCTCGAGATGAGGTTGGTGTTCAAAGTTGACTACAACTAAGAATTGAACATTGCCAATACCTTGAATCTACCCGCAATCCCAAAGAAACTTGGAGATTCGTATAAATAAACAACAGCCTCTATTTGGCACGGAAATAAAAACGGATATTTGTCCGCAGACATGAACTATTCCACGATGCGAACGGTTATCTGCAAACGAAGCTCCAGGAAAAATGTAAGCGGTGAGAAAATAGTGAATTGGAAGGAAGAATATGTAACAGTGCTGTCCTAAGTTCACGCACTTAGAAATCATATGAAATACAGAAAGTAATACCAGAAATACTCGTTACTGAGGAAAACTATCCATAAAAAGACTTGGAGCAATACACACACAGGAAAGTATGCACACGAAACATCTGATTCTCATGCATGTTTATCTGTGATGAATGGTAGTGTTATAGATACAAGTGTATCACAACCAGATACGACAGCCACCAATTTCTGGAAGACAAAGTTTTAATTTCCAATTTAAATCAACTATCAGCCTTCTTCAGTTCCTCCACCTTTGCAATATAGGCTGCTTCAGCTTCTGCTTTGGGTGTACCTGGTGAAAGAAAAAGTAGCAAATGTGACACGTTAACAAGGGGTAATGTCAGCAATGTTTTGAGTTGTCTTCTTTTACAACTTGCACAGATGGTAAGCTACCAAAAGAGAATTACCAAAGAGGGAATGAATTTAACTGAGTCTAAGATGTTACATATGTAACATGTCAGCTGTAATTAAGCACTGTGGTTACAACAATTACTCCAACGAGTAATAAGTCAAGTGGAATTACTGTGAGCTTTTGCAAGTATTGTTGAGACAGGGTCCTGAACAAAAAAATATTCTTTAATCACCTTTTGGCACCTAAGAAGCACAAAATGGTCACCAAAAATGAAATTTAAAAGTTGCATCTGAATGTACTTGTGAGTACCACAAATTTAGCTGTACAACAACACATGAAAAAGAGCAACATACATCACCTATGCATAATGCATGTTAAAATGTGGAGTTGTTCAATGTCAACATAGTTTATTTTTGCACATTTCCTTTTTTTTCTCTGAAGATGGAAGTAAAACTAGAAAATATGAGGTACCTGTTGAACTTGACTAGTTTAAATGTTATTTTAGAACATACAGAAGTAAAGTCACCAAGGTGGCTACTTGACCAGAACTTTCAGGCACCAGTTAGAAAATGTTAGTTGCATTAGTGCCCATATCAATCACAATCTCAATTCCTGTGAGAATTGTTTGGTGTTCCATTTATTAAATAAGCAATTATAAGTTGATTGCCAGGGATAGGGAATAGATCTTTCCCTGAGACTTTTAGTAAACAGTAAGAAAAAAACCTGAAACACATCAGAAGTAGCTCTAATGTGAGACAGTTATAATACTCCATAACAAAGTTTAATTTTATTACATGCTGTTTCCAAAGCTTACAATTCTACCTTGAATAAGCATTTTAGCTTAGATTTTGGATTACAATGGTTTGCAGTACCTTTCTTGCCATTCCAGGCATCCCATTTGGCTTTTCCAGTCATATCTAAAAATCCAGGTCTTTCTGCCAATAAGAGAAAGGTTGCAAGGAAATTATTTAGATACTACACCATAGAATTGGAAAACAATTGTTTACATTCATCAGAACTGCAGTTAATACAAATTGGGTTTTAAAACTTGAAATAACAGTTTGCATTGGCTTAAGTCTGAAAGGAATATGAGGATTATTGACATATCCTTTGTGAATTTGTCCTTCTATTGGGACATCATTTTGGACACCTGTGGTATCAGCCTATGTGAAAAACTACAAAAGCTCTAAAACTGGGCAGCCTGTATTTTACTGTGCATAAACAATAAGAAGGATATTGATGAGATGCTGGCAAAACCTCAAAGACTAGTACCTAACTCTGTTATGATGAACAAAACTTGACATGGATTGATCTCTGAATATGTACAATCTCGATTATCACTCGATTTTGAGTATCACCCAATGATCTTACTTCATCACCTCACACCAACTATTGAGGTGCTTTGCTGTTGAACAGTCATTTTCATGAACTCTAATCAAAAGTTTTTATTTAAGCAAATTTAAATGTAAACTTCATTATTATAGCTTTAAATGAGATACAGTATTCTAGGAAAGCAGCTTTCATCAGTGATATAAAAAGTTTTTATTTGGATAATAGTGTATTAATTATAAGTTAGTTTTTCAGTTGTACCATAATAGTGACCTTCTCAACACTGCTCACAAATAACAGCATTTCACACCTTTGGCTAAACTTAGATGTTCTTAGAATAAGACTTTGCCTTAAAATTATTGTGAAGGAGGCACATTTTCAAGGGAAGATGCTAATTCAAGGATTTATTAGACATTTATATCAGTCTTAAAAGACTATGAATAGTTCTTGAGCAAAATAATTAAGTTTGCCATACTAAAACTATAGTCCTTTGTATACAGTCCCATGTTAATTAGATCGTCTACACCTTGAACAATTGAGTTTTGACAGCTCTGCTTCCAGTTTTTCACAAGTTCCACCCCAGTTTGCAAAAAAATTTACCATCAATTTAAACTGAGCAAGAGCACCACAAGACTTTGCTTGTGATGCTACCTTTTCAATATCTTCACTCTTAAGATGCCTGAGATGCGGCCTTTTTAATCTTTTCACTCCCAAAATCTTATTGATAATTCCTATTGTTCCCTGCCATAGATTTCTTATGATGTTAGTTCAGAGAATTTGGTATCAGAGCAACTAATAATCCCCTAATTGATATTTTTCTATATTCTCATTACTTTTCTGCTTAATGTTGTATTGATATGGTGAGGAGAAATTCTCTCTTAGTCACTTATGGGTGCTAGGGATTAACCATTTACACCCTAATATCAGTATGCATATTCCCATACTGTTTTTTATACATTTCTTAAGGTGCTGACATGGAGAATTTGTTTAACCCTTCAACTCCCAGAAGTGATTAACACAAAACTTCTCCCCACAATATCCATACATTATTCAGCAAACAGGTAACAAGAATATTCAAACTTATCAGGTAGAAGCTGCTATCTTGACCTAGCAATAAGTTCTCATAACTAATTTACAGGGAATTGTCTGGCAGCTACAGGGGAGATTTAACAATCAGATCTTGGGAGCTAGAGGATTAACAATCAAGAACTTCTTTAGTTGGTGATCATTTTCTTTATTTTCATGACCTTAATGAGTGATTCAGCAAGGAGAAATTAGTTGCTTATCACTCTTAGGGTGTAAAGGGTTAATACTCAAGCTTGGTGCTTCAGTCTCAAATAAAATTTATTCACTAAATCATATGTTATGCCTCTTCTCACCCTGTCGTAAAAAAAGCCTGATTTTTTGCGGTCTCTGTGACTGATAATTGCTAACTTTCATGAAGCACCACTTTAGTCCTACCAGGCCAGACTGCATGTGTCATGATCAGTCTCATTTGCATTCAGAGAAATACCATGACATTGGAAAATATGTTAGGAAACATTTTTTTCCCCTTTTTCTATGGGTTTAAGCCAATGAGAGTGCTTCAACTTCATGAGAAAAATAAATGCAATAGCTCAAACGAATTATGAGCCAGATGAAAATTGAATTAAATTATGTCAATTGGATTTCTAAAAACAATGCCCAAGGATTGAGAAATTAAGGGGCGTGTTTATGGTGTAAGGTCTTTCAAGGGCATTTAAGAAAACTCTCGCAAATAACATGTTTACTCTGGTTTAACATTCATAAGACCAAAGAAGACCAATTAGATCTTTGTCTGTTAAGGAAACTGCAATACAAAGCTTGGTAAGGTTTAAAGTCCGATGAAATCACAAAATAAGATCAAAGGTTATTATAGCGACAGGGTCATAGGATCAGTGACTGACGAATGTTTTCGTCTGAAAATTACCGTTAAGTAGCTTTCTAAAACCATCAACAGCCACGATCTGAAACAACATGAAGGCAATAATTTGTTTTATTACCTGTGTTGCAATCTCCGACGGTAACTTGCTTGTAAAGAGCATAAACTTCCAGCATGTCTTGATCGCTAGGTTGCTTCGACAACTTCTTCACCTCATCAGCTGCTTTCATAAAGGCCTGGCGAAAAAGCAAAACACATTGTGCTAAAATCTCTGGGACGATCTGGACTGCGGAAGAAGTGAACTTTTACAAACAATACTCTCTTACCTCAGACATATTTAAAGAGATGCTGTCTCAGATGCGAAGAAATTAGAATGATTTCAGCACGTGCAACCTCAGCAGTTCTTATAATATCCAACAACTGTAAGAACTCGCAGCGACCGGGAGGGATTGGGTGGACTAGCTCCCAGTCTGTCAACCGGATGCTTACTCTGGCGTGACAGTCACTATGAAACCCAAGATAGCGTCGAAGCAAAGACCTTTCCCTTCAGCCGGCAAATGGAAAGTTCCTCTACAGCTAGAATAGAATCCGGAGGTAAAGTGCAGCAAGGAAGGAGTACCTCCGGAGTACGAAATTTTTTAGCTGGAGGTTTTGGTGGAGTTTGTGGCGTGACAATAGGACATCCATTTGATACGATCAAGGTGCGCTTTACTTACACTTACGGTTTGTAATGAATGTTTGTTTTCAATTATTTATTTACGTGGCTGTTACCTTTTTTCGGTGATCAATACCTTGTGCCCCGCCCACTTCAATAAGAGATCAAAGTTAATAATGATCGTGGTTTTCAGACTAAGGGTAATGTCCATATGAGATTCAATTTTCAACAAAATACTGATTGTACTGGTTTGCTCCGTGGGAGGAACGATGTATACTCGTTTGAAAAAACGTTATCATTGAACAATGAGACTCAATGGTAAAACGACAATTAGTTGTCTGTCCTAAGAAGCTCTTGAAGCTGAAATAAGGTTTAAAATCAAATTTCATTCGGGAATAAACACACCATATTGACAAATGTTAAGAAAGATTGATTCATTATTTACTTTGATTTTGTTCCACTGAATAGGTTCGCATTCAAACAACTCCATCTCCAAAACCTGGGCAGGAGGCGGTGTTTAAGGGAACACTTGACTGCTTGTTGAAAACATTACGTAATGAGGTAATTGCCAGTTGATTGTTGTGCAATGATGATGATAATAATGACAATGATGATATCACAAATGACTGTTAAAGCTGCAGTCATGATAGTAGATGGAAGTCTTCTTACCACCATATATTCTATATAAAATAAAAAATTGGTTGAAAATCCCAACTGATCTTAGGCAGACCAGCTGGGTGTGAAATTGCAGAGCACAGCTAAGGAGTGGAACTGGGAATAACCTAGACTAAATTTGGTGAGCAGCTGAGTAGGAGACATTGCCCCGGGAACCACCATTTAGTTTCCTGACTACTTGACCTAGCTACCCCTGCAAAATAGAAGTTCCTATAGTTATCATTGCATTTAACCATTTTGCTCCCAAGATCTAAATCTTTATTCTCTCTACCATTCCCTACATGTTTCTTATGATAATAGTTCTGAGAATTTGATGTTTAATCAAGCTATATCCTCTTGTTGATGTTCTTTCTTCTTATAACTTTTTCCTTAAAAACATATTGGATATTATAAGGAGAAATTACTTGTTGGTCACTCCTGGAAGGGAAAGGGTTGAGGGAGATTCATTGTATGAGATGCTCATGCAGTGGTTGGCTCCTTGGATAACTAGCCTCCTTCAGTAGTATGGGCGTGGGTCATAAGGTAATTTTCTATTTGTTGGATTCTTGACAAGTGAACTGACACAGTGCTTCTTTCTGATTTTAAGTCAAAAGTGATAGGTGTGGTAAATTCATAGTATTGCGGGAAAAAACTTGTGAAAGGCTTAAGTTAAGCCTTATGTTAATGAAACGAACACTTCACCTGGTTACTTCTTGCTGCGGAAACTGACATAAAGCTTTGGTGATATGGGCCTAAGGGACGGGTGGAGGGAGGGAGGGGGGGGGTACTTCTTATGAACAAGCTTATAGGGATGAGCCACTGGATGGGGTCTCATTTTTATGACTGGATTGACTATAATAGGGTTGCATTTTCAATACAGTTACAAGAATGTGGTGGCAACTTTTAGGATTTTGGGGATAAGAAAGTTTTGGTAAACAGGAAAATGGAAATCTTTTTGGTTAATTTTCTTTATACCAGTTTTAGAATTTCCATGTACAATCTAATAGAGACCTACTTAAAAGGCTTTATAAGGTAAATCTGTAAACACAAAGTGACTATGTTGGGATAACAAAAATTAGATTTGCCCAAAAGTGACAAACATGGGGTGTATAATTGGCCACAGAATAGACTATGATGGGGAAAGGATTCTGAGAGGCCAACAAAACTTGACCCACAAACCCCTCATCCCCAAAAGTGGGTAAATGCAAGAGGATTTGGAAAGGTTAACCTTTTTCATCTATCTTGGATACCTCCAAAAGTGTGTACACTTAACTTAATAATTAGTATGTTATCATAATCTAATTTGAAGGGTGTTCGTGGATTATTCAAAGGACTTTTCACACCAGTTGCCTTTGCCACACCCCTGAATGCAATCCAGTTCTGGGCTGTTTCTCTGGCCAGAAGGCTGCAGATGGAGGATCCCCATGGTATTCCAACGTAAGTACAGACCTGCATCATATTCTAGCTATTTTATGAGATATCTGAGAAAAAGTTAGTTAACCCTTTAACTCCCAGATCAAGTTTTTAATTCTCCTTACTCTTGACCATACAATTCTTAAAATGTTAGTTAAGAGAATTTTAATTAGTATTAAATCAACTAATTATTCCCAAATTGATATTTTTCTTTATTCTCATCACTTATCTGCTTGATATTGTATTGATAATGCAAGGAGAAATTCTCTCTTGGTCACTTATGGGAGTTAAAGAGTTAAGGAACAGGAGAAAGCAAGGGAAGGTAATTTTAGGTACACCAGAGGTCTATGGGATGATTTTTCACAGAATGAGGATGAAGCAGGTGTGAATAGTGCCTTCCTTTTCTCTCAAAACCCAGAGAAGCTGCTAATTAAGATTGAGTAAACCTGTTTTCTCATCACCATAACTTGCAAAAAATCCTTTCTGCTGACTTGAATAAGTTAACTTTTTAACAGTGATTACAATACAATACAATACTTTTATTTATACATGTAGCACCAAGGAGCTCATGAGCTCATTAAAACATGTACATGTGTATTAATGTAAAACAATAAAATTGTACAAAATGTAAAAGGATAAAATTAATCAATTAATTAATAAACACTACCTATTAGTAATAATCTACGTACAAAATTTAACAACTTTAAAAATTTAAAAAGCTCTTCAAGTCATATGAACGTTAGGAGCCTGCTTAAAAGATACAGTGTCTTTGGACTCTCTAACCGTTGGAGGCAACACATTCCACAGTTTACTGACTAAAAAGGTAAAAGATCTATGCAGTGATTGCTCTCAGCAGATAAAAGAATCATGTACTAACAATTTCTGTTACATTTCTTAGATTTATTTAACTTTTTCCCTCTTATCAGAATTATCAAATAACTGATAACCTATAAAAGAAAAGGGCAATTAAAAGCAAGTCAAGAAATCACCTTAAATAGATAATTTTTCACCCCTACTCCCTAAATATAAATTGCATATATTCCATAATGTCTTCTTTACATTTCTTACATGGTGCTGATCTAATAAAATTTGTTTAAAAATCAAGGGCTTCTTCACAAAGCCTACAAATCTTACGTTGGCAATCATTTCCCCTATACTTGTGACTAATAATTCAGAAAAGATACAGTAAGAAGAAATTAGATGTTAATCTCCCTTAGGAGTTAACAGATCAGAACTTAAGAAATGTGTTTCCTGATAATAGTAGAATTAAGGAATGGTTCGTGTGTAGCATGCAATTATCTAGTTGTGGAGGTACTTGGGAGGTTTGCCTAGCACTCAAGAAGCTGAGTGCAACTCCAGCTAGCTTCTTAAGTGCTTAGGAAAACCTCCCAAATGCATCCATAACTTGATGGTTGCACAATACATGCCAACCATTTCTTTTTAGGTTTTGTTCTGTGTAGGAAAAAAAAAGCAAAACAAACTGACATCAGCATGCAACCTATGGCCAAATGGACCAAATGTATTAGCCAATCAGAGCACATGCTTTAGTATAGTTTTGTCAGAAATTAAACTTGTGTACAAGACCTTCTTATTGTTACTTGTTAGTAAACATGCATCTATGGCATATTTCTCAGGGTGTCAGTGGTTGCTAGTCCTAATGACCATTATCACTAACTGCAGACTCTCATAGGATCAACTAAGCATAGATCCATTTTTGATTAAAAGCACATCTTCATTTTCAATCAAACAGGAATTTCCAAAACTTTACCTCTGGAATGTTTGGTGGGTTTTGTGCTGCAGCTATTGTAACTCCTGGTGATAGGATTAAGTGTCTTTTACAGGTAACATGATTTATGATTTTCCTGCATTTTGATAAATCAGCTCATAACGTATGTGGTAGTTGCTATTTTAAGAAATGAATTTCCTGTTTCCTAGTTGTTATTTATTAATTGTGGCAGTTTTCTGTAGGGACCTTAGGAACGTATTTCTGAGAATATCGAGAAGCAATGGACAGCCCCAAAACATCAAAGTTTTTTTATTAGTTTTTTTTTTATTTTTTATAAACACTCCCTTGATTTGCACATTGACTGTCTTGATTTGCATAATATTATTCAATTAGGTAAAAACCAAAGTTTCAAACTTTTGAAAATTTCTCCCTTGAAATGAGTCACTGGAACCTTTAACTATTTTAACTGCGGCTTCCCCCCTATTTGAGACCACTTTACATAAGCTCAAACAAGATTTAACAAAAAATATCTGAAAAATAAGAAAATCTCGTCAGGGTACATGGGGGCAGAGGGAGTGTACCTCTCACATTGCCCATTTGTAGATGGCATTTGACCATGACTGAAAAACTAACAGGGAAAATTGCTCCTTCATGTGGCTCATATAATTTTTTCAGCTCAAAAATTACCAGCTAGGAAAACAGGGCCTCATTTTTTATTCCAAGTTACCTAGGCTTTTTTTTCTTTGACTGTGTTGAGGAAGTCATGGGATGACCTCCATGAGTCTGATATCACAACAAGTTTCGCCTGAGCACGGAACATGGCTATGTACGGATCATAGTTACGAACAGGTTCAAACCCAGAATTCCCATCACCTAACAGAAGTTCAGGTGTCAGAAGCACAATTACCATGGGCCACTCTGCACCATCAAGGCAAGCTGAATCCTTTCTTGACTTTGAATTCAAGAGACACACTCCACCACATAACCTGTCAAGAAATTCATCCTCAGCTGAAGATGCTCTTTGGTCATTTAGGTCACAGACAGGAATGTTTTCCAAGCTGAGACCACCAGCTAAACTATGTTTGGACTGATAGCGTGCAACAAAATTGACCACCAGAATATCATCAGGATTCAGCTGTAGCTTAATAAAGGTGGACGAAGGTGGACGAAGGTCACGATTGAACCAGATAACTTGTTCAATGACTTGCACGCATTTGTTGTACATTAGCATTGTAAGATGATCCCTGTCCACATGTGAATGTCCAGCATGTTGTGCTCTCTCTGGTGAGACATCATTTCCCTCTGGTTGGACAGCAATCCAGGTGATTTCCTGCCCATCCACATTGTGATTGAGCATGTTCTCTACACCATAAGGAAAACTTCTCTCACGATACAAGGAACTGTAGTCTTGTAGCAGCCTCACAATGTTGTTCACACTCCTCAAAGGGTGCCTGATCCTACTTATGACTCCACCTTTTTTTTCCAGAACCTCCAGAAGAGATGGTGTACTGAGCTTTTTGTAAAGCAAATTCTTTTTCCCTTCCAGTCTCTGCAAGGTTAACACTTCTATGATTTCTTCTTTGCTGATTTTCTCAAAACACTCTTTCTTAAAGTCAAAGACAGAGGTCATCCAAACATAGCCCTCAATGCTCTCTAATGCTTGTTTGGGAATTGTTAGCTCGTCGATTACATTCATATTACCGTCCTGCTGCATTTCGTATCTGATCTTTGAACCAATCCATAGCTCGTCAATGAAAACATGACTGTATGTTTCCCATTTTAACTGAGCTTGCTGGTCTTCAAAGGCCTCGCGATGTTCCCCCTCTAACTCAACTGTCAGTACATCCACACACATTTCCTTGTTATCGTTGTTATCGTTGAAAAATTTTCTCATGACATTAGGAAAGACGTTTTTCCTGTCACCGTGGATCAAGTATAAAATCTTTTTTCCAGGTGGCAACTTCTCTGCGAGTATGAGAGCCTTGGCCTTCATCAACTCTGTCTTCCCACTCCCTGGCCCACCGATGATAAGCTGTTTCTTTGGTCCATCAAACACGGCAAGCTGATCCATTGTAAACACGGGTGCCCATTGCTTCTTGAAAGGAAGGGCCAGAATCCTGACATTTCCTCCGGCCAGGTTTTCACACAGTTCTCTGTCCAGATTTGTGCAGCTTTCCCCTTCTAGAAATCCACTTTGGCTTTTGTCTAATAACTTCGTGAGCTCATTTAGTCCGGTAACATCATCTGCTTTGGCTAAACCTAGGTCTGTCAGAGTTTTGGCCGTGTCAACTATTATATCTTTCTTCTTTGCATCAGTAACTCTATTCATGAATCTGGTTATGCTGTCAATGTCAATGATGTACACTGTCCAAAGGTACTGGAATATCTTTGTGTCTTCACCGGCCATCTCGTTCCCCAGAAGGAACTTTTTATTAGAAAGATGTTTATTAAGAACCTTCAAAAGGTTTGGCTTAGAAGCAGTAACATTGACGCTGTTAAGGGTGTGCAAAGCTTCTTTGTATGAAACTTTGGCAATAGGGAGATTGACCTGAGACATCATGTACTTGCACCAGCGAAAGAGATGGGGGTTTTCAACTTCCTTGATCCTGCGGAAGCGTCCACTAGCCAAGTTTCCCAGATGCTTGAAGGTGTCTAAGGTATAGCTTATGTCAGCTGTGTATTCAGACTCAGTTACAGGGCCAAGATGTCGTACAGCTAAGATTCTTGATAAAGCCAATTCATAGGCCTTGTTGGTGAAGTCTGGGGTGGAGGCCATCCAAGGAGGTGATTCAATGTTGTCATACCACCATTTTGAAAAGCTCTCCGGACTTGCAAGATCTTCCTCATACATTAATAAAGTGTCATCCACGTGAGCATGTGGACTACCTCTCTTCGTGGAAGGAAGAGCAATAACCATCATCACTGGAGGTGGCTCCAAGCGATCAGATTGTTCATCGCTGGAATTGTTCACTACAGCGAAAGCTTCAACAACTGTCCTGGTTCTATCCAGTTGGTCTTTAGCCTCAATGATTTTAGATCCTAGTAATTCTTTCTCAGACTTCTTCAAACTCTTAACCTCGAGTAGAATGACGCCTTTTTTATGGTGAAAGATGACAAAGTCGCTTTCACCTGTTTTAGGTACTTTATCTGACTTAGGCACGGAATCTTCACTTTTGCATCGTTTATTCCACTTGGTAATCTCTGTAAGGTCAAATCCATGAATGACAAACATGCCCAGGTTCTTTGCTCGGCCATTTTTTTGCAGATGATCGTACACAAGTTTCTCTCCTTGTCTTCCTCTTATATTGACGTCATCTTCATCAGCATATTTGCCATCTTTTGAAATTGTGTAGCCTGATTCAGTGGGTTTGTAGGCGGGAGGAACCATGATAGTCTTGTTGTTGGTCTTCCAATTGGGAAATTGCCAGTAGAGAAATTTCTGAGGACTGCCAAGTTCACCCACTGTCTTCTCACCACCACCAAATTCCTTTGCTGGGCAGCCAAGGGCTCCTGGCACAAGTCCCTTTATTGAATTACTTTTATTCTGAGTATTCATTATTTGAAATCAGATTCCATACAATGGGTACATAATCTGCAAAAACCAAATGTTAATACACCTATGCGATGTGGTCCTATGAAAGTGATGGTCAAATGGTTAAAATCATTGAATCAAGGAACACAAGTCATTTGGGTTGCATGATTGCTGAAATTGGGTTTTGAAGATGTACTAAATGAGGAACTGAGTAAGAGAAAGTTACAATTATCTCCTGCATTGAGATTGTTTCACCTTAGAGTGGTTTCGCTGAATAACAGTTCGCTGTCGTCTTAGGTCAGTTCTTAATCGGCGCAGCTGGCGGTTTTGAGTGCGCTCAATCGATTAGCAACTCGTCAGTAGCCCACACAAAACCTTGAAGCACAGGCAAAGCCTTACTTAAAATCACTGACCACGAGTTGGCCCGCACAGATCCCAACGGGCAAAACAAAGGTCTTCTGATGGTTGTCATACGTATCTCAGCTATCGATCCAGGCCCCCTCTAGCAGGTTTCCTTATTCGCTCGCGCTTCATACACTTTATATATTTATAGCCGCAAGCCTCGTTTATGCTGCTGTCGGTTTCATCTGTTTGTCCTTAAGCCTTCCACATTGCTTACATCATTAATTTAAAGTGGCTACCATCTCGAAAAAGTGGCTGAGCGTTTTGTTATACCTTCGAATCCCTGGTGGTACGGATTGGCTGTCTTTGCGCTCTCGTGACAAGAAAGGAAAAGTGCACCTTGATTTCTAAAATTAGCAAGATGTTTATTATCGCAGCGTTAATTAATCATAATTGCTCTGTGACTTGTCAATTTTTCTCACCTCTTAAGTCTCTTAAAGCAAAAGCCAAAACTAGCATAGACACGAAGCTCGGGATAAGGATCATAAAATTCTGGTATCTTTGTACAACACGTTTTTAAGGTGGTCACCGCATATATTATGCTCACGCGGTGGTTGATTCAGTCAAGCGACGAAAGGGTCACCGAGGCGTAACACTCTACTGTGCTGTGTCACGAAAATTTCCTCGATAGCCTTGTGATTAACAGTAAGCTATGTTTGCTTCGGTGCATGCGATGGAATTATTACGAACAAACACATGGAATTGTCTCTTATGGAATTTCTTTTCCGCGCGAAACTTCCTTCGATCAAACATTCATTGTAAATTCAGGGAAGCGTTTAGTTTCAATCTTGAAGATAATTTGCAGAGGCTGAGAAGTTGCACAAGTTCCGCCGATGAAAAAAAAAGCTGGGTCAAGTAAACTTCTGATCACTAAAAAGGACTTGATGCACAAAGTTTATCATTTACCATGTGGAGGCCCAAGACCTTTGGACTTTACTAACCATTAACTAACGTGAAACATTAGCGCGTTCCAGAAATGTTTCGAGCAATTGTGTGATAAGTAGTCAAATCTGTTTTCATCTTTGCATTTGATTGAATCAGTAAAATCATGGTAGTTCAAGGGTCTTTCATGTGATTTGATTACGTATTGTAATCTTCCAGTTCTGTGAAATAGCTAGGACTGTATTAAAACGAATCGTTGCGAGTATCACGATACATCAGTGAAATGCCTATTTGGTTGCAAGCGAAAGGACTTTGATGTCACGACGTTGTCGAACTGGTTATTGGCGGAATCTCTCGTAGGCGGAACGATTGGTAACCCCTCTTGCATCAGCTATGCGAAATAACAGCCTTAGATCGGCTCAACTGGTAACAGTTGAGTAGAATTATGCAATTGAAGACCGATACCGTCACCACTCTGAAAGCATACTAAACTATAACTCACTGTACCGAATGTTTTGGATGCTGTTCCTTGAAACGAACTAATATGTCTTTTCTTCAATTAAATTTGATGGAGCAAGCTACTAAAATGATATGTATGGTAAACTAGTGATTCATTTTGCTTACAATTGAAGTGTTCGTGCTTATAATCTATGTAAAAGTGCTCTAGCTTAACATGGAGGAGCGCTATTACAGCTGAAGCAAATTTCCAATCTCGTCGATTTTTTGTTCATGTTCCCTCTCTGAAATATCTTTATTGTAACCTACTTGCGAGGCTTATAAATCTTTCATGTGTTACGTGGGTAAAATTACAAAGGATCACTGAAAATACTTACTAGTTCGTCCTTCATAGTTACGTGGCCATGTTAGATCAAACGCTGAGAATAAACTTGATGGAGCGTGACGGCTACCTCGTTCCCAGGGTCGTTCTTAGGAGCTCCTAGGGAACCCTTGCCATGGGAATCGAAAGGAATCATATAATTTTGAACCAATCAGCCAATGAATACCCTTCTATGGAAATATCTAAAAAAAAAGAAATAAAGAAAAAGAAAGAAGAGAAAAAGGGAGAAAGAAAAAACACACCTGGGCCGTTGAGATCCTCTGATGTCGATAAATAATTTACTGTACATATCGCTAATTACCGATGAATATTTATATCTCTAGATCCAGCAAAGTTCCGGGGGCGAAAGAAAGTACAAAGGTCCACTGAATTGTGCCAAACAACTTTACAAGGAAAAAGGAATAAGGTCTTTGTATAGAGGAACGTTCGCAACTCTTCTAAGAGGTGGGTACTTTAATTTAGTGACTGTTAGCTCGCTAGCAGGCCCCCCCCATTATTAGCGCTGCAGGACGCGCGTTTCTCCGCCCGCAGGAAGACTTGACACGAGTCGCACTGCTTAAGGCCTCATACGGCTTTCCCGCAGGAGAAGATAGTTTAAATTCTTGGAATTGTAGTTCCAAACTTCTGCCCCTTTTACTTGAAGGTTCTTATATAATAAATCAAGAGTACTGTACTTGTAGAAATTGCTTAAGTTTCAAGATATCTCATTTTGATTTTTATGCTGTGTTTCATAGATGTGCCAAGTATAGGGGTATACTTCTGCAGCTATGAATGGATTCTTAGCAAACTTACATTAGAAGGCGAAAGGTTAGTTACTAGTTTCTAGTCACTACTGTCAAATCCCGCTGACAGGTCAAGTAAAACTAAATCAAAGTCAAAAAAACAACCGCTGATCAGAAGAAAGGAAAATACCCTGAAGAGCCAATGAGAGTTCAACTGAGAATAAACAAATTGCCTAAAGCGCGGGAAAACGCGGGCAAACAAGTCGTCGTTGGCTTTAGTTTTGCAGCTGATTGGTTGAGAGAATGGCGCGAGTTTTCTGGACCAAAGTAAAGCAAGACTCATGCAACCCATGCAATGGATTACTTTATTTACTCAACCGAATATTGATTGAAGTTTTGAATCTCATTTGTTGAGAAAACGGTGCATTTTTTCGAGGCCAACCAGAGTAAAGTACATCGAAACCGTGGAAGCACTTGATTACTTTCAGCTACACTCAATTTAACTGAAATGTCTCTATTCGAAAGAAGTTCTCTTGGCGCCAGAACACGAAAAGTTTTGTGACGCATCCCTATTAAATACCCTCGCCATTTAAGTGGCCATTTAGAATCCCAAGCTTAAGTTTTCGCCATGTTTGTTACAGTGTTGCAGCTTCTAAACATTTCTCTCTTTATTTTATTATTTTCAGCCGCGAAAATTTAAACCCACTCAGAATTTTTATAGCTGGAGGTAAGTGCCTTTTGAGTTAGTTATTCCAGTTGACGTATCTACCCTTTTTTGTGTACAAATTTCGGGCTATTTTATATGTGCGCTAAAGAAAAAATTGGACAAAATCCTCGCGGACGATGTTATGTTATGAGCAGATTAAAATGGTGACCGCATTTCGAACGTGGCGAAGAAAAAGATTTTATCAAGGAAACCTCCAGCTAATAGATTTGAACTCGCTTTATTTAATATCCTGCCCTGCTGGCGACTCCGTTTAACGGCCAGGTAACGATATTTAGTTCGGGTTAAAACTAAAACAGAAAGTTACAAGAAATGAAACTTGAAAAGAAGATTGAAATTTACTAATGACTCTTACCTTTATTGCTGCGTTTACCTAAGGCTGCACTGGATGCGATGTTGAACTGTCATTTGCAAGAACGAACTACTGTCTCTAACGAGCGAAACTAACAAACTGGGAAACTACTTGAATCCAGTTTAGATACTAATACGAATAAATTACTCAACACTTTTTTTATCGCGATATTCTACGAATCCACAATTGTAGCGTGCGCTCTAAGTTAATTAGCATCAGCATTTAGCTGTAGTTAAAATATTTTTCATTCAATTTGGAACGCGGAAAATACCCTTGATGTAGCCAGGAGGGAAAAAAACCCACGTAAGGAGAAAATCTTAAAATAAGCCCGTCGCAATTGTTAAGTGGCAAAATTCGTTTACGATTTTCACTGGCGATAAAATATTTTCGCAATCTTAGTTTTAAATCGCCTAGTGTGTTGTTGGCTCAACAGTTAAGCAAATAGTATTGAGAACTTTAATACTACACAGCAATTTTCTCGTGCATGATATTTGTGCAATAATGGTGGGTTTTAATGACGAGCTTTTTGACTGGATTAGGTTTGACCGGTATGATCTGCTGGGCTTCCATTATCCCTGTTGATGTACTCAAGTCACGTTATCAAACAGGTAAGTAAGTCAATAGTCTACCAGGCTACTAACTCATGTGTAGCCAGCGAGTGCAGACGCACTACTTATTGCTTCTATCCGCCTGGAAATATGTCTGTGTTCACAGGCTAACTGTTGGAATATTAAACAGCACCCTTTGGCAAAGATGCGTAAGTTTTCAAGCAAATTCAACCGGATGTTACCAAGCGTAGCCAATCAGATTGCGGTATTCTCGATGAAACGCGAGTGAAATTAAATCAAAGCAAGTTATCGGGGATCAAATATATATTAAATAAATATTCCATCGTCCCTAGCTTGGGTCCATTTGTCTCCTTGTCTCTTCTCTTTGCTCGCGGGGTCAGGCGGTTTGACACAGGATTTGGACGGATTTGATTTGCCTATCTGCCAATTGTAATTTCATAACTTTGCATTTTTTATGGCGGACGCATCAACGTTGCTTTGTGCAAAGATCAAATTAGCTCAATTTTCGTCACCTGATTTGTTCAAAACTGAGGCAAATTACTCACAGAGTAACAATAAAAAGAATACTGAACTTCACAATTTTCTGGTTTTCTAGAGCTAGCTTTCTTTCTATCTTTAAATTTTCCTCACCACGAATTTCTGGATTCCATCTCTTTTTGAGATAATCTCCTTCTTGCAACAGGTTCTGGTTTCATTCAGATGATTCCTTCCGTTCATTTCAATTTGTCTTTAATTTTTGGGGAGGGATGCGAGTTCCTTCTTTATATTTCCTACGAATACCTTGGGTTCAGAGTGTAGCGAAATCCGCTTCACTCCTGCTTCGCGCACGCTTCTCCTGCTCTGCTGGAAGGAAACGGAAGCTACCGCCATGAAGGCTGCCTAATTGGGCTCGTGATCCGGCACAGTGAGTCACAACTAAAGTGGAAACCAAATTAATTACAAGTGACTTTCCTCTTATACCTGAGTGAGTAGGGGAAAGTAATAGACCCTTGTGACATACAAATTGCAACACTGCAAATCTTCTTTCGAGGCTTAAGAGTATTGAGGCATGAAGGTAGAAGATCAGTTATGGTCATCTTGTAATGGTGAAGTTTGGAATTTTGACCATCTATCCTTCACTCTACTTTTATGAAACAATCTATCCCTTTCTATGCGTAAAGGGGAAACGAGTGGAGCCTGAGAAGCTATCATTTTATACATGCTCTCATTGAATTGATATATTTTTTAATCCAATTTCGACACGCGGTCTCTTTAAGCGGCAATTTCAAGAACAAACCTTATATCTCAAGCTTAACCTATTGAGCTGGAGTGTTGGTTTGTGCGATAAAACACATCGTCGAACTGTCGATGGCTGGATTTCTCACAAGCTTCTCACAATTTTATGTGATATTTCTGGAAAGTTGACTAACAGATATCATCAGCTGATTCTCTCACTTTTCACATACAGCACCTGAAGGAACTTACCCCCGAAGAATTAGAGATGCTTTTAGACAATTAGTAAGTACCCAATTTTTCCAGAAAAAGGGTTTCCACTTTTTCCATGCAAAACCTATGAGGTTGTTTGATGTGTAGGGCGTAGCCTCCTCAACCCCTCTCTGTGATCTTTTGTAGGCTCGGTTGGGGCTGGGAATGAGGCACTTCCCTTTTTGGCCTGGACAAGTTTGAGTCGATAAAAGAAGGGTATGATTTTTGCGGTCTTAAGTCTTACAGGGGTAAAAAACCCTTTAGAGTCCTAAACAGGTGGTTCATTCGCACCGAAAGTTTCGGTGAGGGTGTGAGTGTAGGCTGTCCATGGCCTTTATGTGCGGTATTGATATTTTTCCTTTTTCATCTGGGTTAAAATGTTCTCCTCGAATATTCGAACGAGACATGGCTCGTGAGGTCAGCTTGCCACAGGGATGTAACGATTTTTGTTACCAAGAGGGTAGCGTAGTGCACCAGTGATATATTACACAGGGCAGGGGTTTGTGCCATACCGCCAGTATACCTCTTCCCGACCCGTCTGAAATCTTCTCGCGGAACAACGCACGTCCTGCAGTGCTAATAATAAGTGCCAGCTTACAGGCTACTATCAGCAAGGCACAGCTAACACGATGGCAAATAGGCTCTCCACATAGATACATTTGGTGAGATGCAAGTACTGCTTTGCCTTTCCCACAATTACTTAGTTGATTCAAGGTGAATGTGATTGGATGTGCTGTTGGTGAGAAAACTGACGCTCGTACTAGCAGCTCGTGTTTGGAGAAACGCGCGTCTTTATGAACAACTGTAGTATGTACACTTGTATTTCGCTCACCCCATGACGCATCTGCTTTTGTTTTAGGTGAAGGAAGAAGGAGTTGCGAGTTTATTCAAAGGAGTAACTCCAGTCTTACTACGAGCTTTCCCTGCAAACGCGGTGAGCCAAATTCTAGCGACAGCAAATATTTGAATGACGTCCCTCACTATCGCTATTTATGGAGCAAGGATGTCTTAGGGGTGTTGACGTGGATTAGGTTATTAGTAGAATTAGTGAAAAGATTTCGAGAGCAATTTGGTGTTACTAAGCACGAGTAAATTTTTCCAAGACAACAAAATGGCATGAGCCCGTAGTCTTTGAAAAATTACAAGTGTTCATTTTCATCAAATTGCACGAGAAATTATGTTACTACTTGGTAATGATTAAAGTTTTAAAAGCATAACAGATTGTCAAGACACAAAATGTTGACAGCGCTCGTGTTACATTAAAAACGCACTCGTTTTCAGGCAACAGAAGCGTGTAACTTTTTCGTGTCTGTCATAACTATAGCAATTTCCAATTAAGTGTCGAAAGCGTGGAGGGGGAAGCTACTTCCCATAAATTCCTTAAATGAAATCAAAACGATGTTTTCACAACTTGCGAAGCAATCTCACTGGAAATTGTCAGCGGATATCTCCATTGCAGACGAGCATTACGAGTTATCAATGAAAGCCATGGCAGTTAAGTTAGGAAATAACTGCCAGGCTGGTTATTTTCAAGGATCCGAATACGCCTTTCGTTTTGTAACGAACAACAGGCCGGGATCATTAATTACTTATTAATTTTATCGCTGTTTTTCTCGGCTGATTTCTGCAGCTTGATTTTAGGTAGGCCTTTGCATTGTGACACTTGCAAAACTACAGTAGTAAATAACGAATTTATTTACTACTTACAGGCCCGTGAATTGACCGCTTTGCAAGTTGTGTAATCATCGTTTCTCAGTCCCACTCTCCTTATCAATCAATCAGATTAAGCACTAAAACCTGGTCGCCTGTGGTTGTTTTCACTTTATGGTCCCATGGCCTCTTAAAGGTTTTTCCTTTCAGTGGATTGGCCTTTGTGATCACTTTGGCTTTGGTTTTGCGACACTAAGTCGAATAGCGGTCTATAGGACTAAAGAGGGTCGATTTAGTGTGAGGAGGTGTACTACGTGTTTCATTATTTTTGCTTTCGAATATCATTTTTTAATGCATTTTTTGATTATCTTGAATTTGTTCCTTTGCCTAGGGTCTTTTTCTTGGTTACGAAGTCGCCATGAAGACTTTTAGCTGGATTTTACCGGAATAAGGCGGAGAAAAATGTTCCGGATGTTTTAACGCTTCAACTGACCAACTAATTACACCTCACTTTCTCTCCGACATTGAAATTGCGGCTCATCGAAAGATGCCGCTCATCGTGATTTGCAATGCAATTCTTCTAACCAATGACATAAACTGTGCGAAGACCATTGAGGAGAGTTTGTGTTTACGTCAGTGTTTTAAACAGTCATTCCTGGACTTGCTCTGATAAAGTTATTATATCTTATCTTCTCTCTAATATCATATAAATGATCTATCAATCAAGAAACTGACTTCCTTGTGTTGAGAAGATCTCTGCAAACCTCGTTATGACGCCGAGGCAAAGGCAATTGTTTTCCACGTTGTGGAGCTGGATTTATCTATGTACACTCCGGTCTGCAATTATGGTTTGTATTTACGCGGTGTGTTGTATAGACTGGGAGGATTCTAGACCGATAGACTGGAAATAAAAGCTGGTTTCTATATATCAAATGTCTCACACAATAAAGGAGTTTATTCTCCGTCTCTCGTTAAATGTATAAAAAACAGTATGGAGAATGCCAATACTGATGTTTTGTGTAAAGGCCCCTTCCGCTTATTAAGAAGTGATTTAGGGAAAAAAAATTTTTGTGTGGTCCACGCAAGCAGGTCATTAACATATGGAAAGGACACAAAACGAATTATACACGTGGCGGAAGTTGTTGACGGAGTTTCAGAGGAAATCATGTTACATTTCGCTTTTGTACCAATTTCGAAAACAAATTCTTGTTCATGAATCAACGCACAAAACTTTCTGCAAACGTTAGTTGTGGAACGGAAAAAGGAAGTGACACGTTTGTTATCGGTGATTGAACTAGTTAGGTGATGCAAATAATAGTTTGTTCTATTGTAAGTTGTTCTATTTTATTCCTGTATATAGAGCCAGAAATTATGGAAATGATTGTGTGCCAGTTTTGAGCTAGGCTTTAGTATTTTTTTTTTTTTCTTTGGACAAAAAAAAAATTGGCAAAATGCTCTCGTAACCCCCCCAATTTGGATTTAAAAATTAAAAAAAAAAATTTTTATGGCGGGACTAGGGTCAGATACATTATGCCGGCATAATTTTGAGCATAATACTATGGATGGAGCATCAAGCATAATGCCGGCATAATAGGTATTTTTTTCTGCAAAAATATTAAAAAGCAATGAAAAACCATAAAAACGATCTCGTGGATCCATTTTTCATGAAATCGCAACGAGTGTGTCAAAGGATTTCATTTTCCAAAGGCTTGGCTGCATTCGCGATGGCTAGGTTCATTGAACTTGAACTGAAAAAGGTGTAGAAAAGATATGTAAATAAGATATTTCTTTCGCTAACAAGTTGTTAGACTAACAAGTAGTAGGGCATGAGCTTTCTAGTATTTGTGCTTCTCACTTGGAGAGACCAAGAGATCGTTTTATTATACAGTTGTTATTAAAACATGTCAAATACAATAAAAATCAGGTGAGCATAATGCTATATTTTTCGAGCATAATTTCGGGCATAATACTAGGTTTTTTTGGGTGACGCTCAAAAGCATAATACTCGAATTTTCGAGCATAATGTATCTGACCCTAGGCGGGACACATCAACCACGCTTCGTGCAAAGATCAAATTAGCTCAATTTTTATTGGCTGGAGAACAATAAGCTGACAGAAAGTTCTACATCATACCTAATACATTCCGATTTCTGGGAGTCAATAATTTTTAAGCGTGTATTCAGAAGTCTGTCCCGCTCGATGAGCAACCGTGTTGCGATGGAATCGTTTTTGAAAAACCTCAAGGAGCAAGTGACTTGTTCGATTTGCCTCGATACCTACAAGGAACCCAAGATCATATCTTGCCTTCACACATTTTGTTGTAATTGTCTCAAGAAACATGCACTAACCAGCCAAAGAAACGGCAGATATCGATGTCCCGAATGCCAAGCACCAATCGATTTACCCAAAGACAACCACTTCGACAGTTTGCAGACCAGTTTCTTCCACAATAGTCTTTTGGGTGTCCTTGCAGTTCGGCAGATTGGCGATGGAAGGAGTATTACTTGCTCACAGTGTAGGAAAAAAAATACTCAAATGCATTACTGTTTCGACTGTGGACGCTTCATGTGCCCTGACTGTCTGAATGCACACGAAGTATTAAAGGCTTCGTTCGAAGGTCACAAAGTGATTTCGGTGAAAGAATTTAAAGCAGAAGATTACGAGGCGTTGTTAAGACGGCAGCCGTTTTGCTCCCAGCAGTTTCACGAAAAGGAAATCATGCGATTCTTTTGTATTCCATGTCAAAGTTGCGTTTGCCATATTTGCATAGCCACGAATCACCGAAACCATGAAGTTGTTGTACTCGACAAAGCGGCCCACGATGAGAGTCAAAATATTATCGCCGGCGCAGAGTCCATCAAAGACAAGATAGAGGAACTAAATGCGAACATTCGACAACTTGAAGAAACGACCTCCGTGATGGAAAGTAATGTTTTGAAAGCTAAGCGTGAAGTCATGGAAGCTGCGGAACAGATGATCACGCAGATCCGTGCGCGCGAGCGAGAGCTGATTAGCTCAATCGAGACTACGCGCGCGAAGAGACTCGAGCAAATCAGTTCCGCCAAACAAAATATATTTTCTCTACTCAAACAATTGAACCAAGCGGTGGACTTCGCTGATAATATAGTGAAGAGAAGCTCAAGCACGGATATCATACAAAATAAAGGTACTTTGACACAGAGATTCGAGGAGTTGCGTGCTATCTATCACGAAGTTCCGAAACATCGCGACATTGTACATGTTAAATTTACTGCCGCCTCCATGGCGGGCCTCAAACTGGGATCTGTGCAGATGACGGAAAAGGTAGATGTGAAGAAATCAACGCTTCAAGGAATAGATCAAACCTTACGGGCTGGTGTAGAAGCAGACCTTTTATTATGCCCCAAAACATCTTCTGGAGAGTTATGTGACTCAGAGTCAAATCAAATTGAGTTTCTGGTTGAGCCCGCTGATGATGTGTCAATGACATCTGTGCAGGAGAACGACGAAGGAACATTCCAGTTAAAGTTTACACCTAAAGTGCCTGGAGATTACAGTTTGGAAGTGAAAATAAACGGCGAGAAACTTTCTGTTTGTCCAGTATCAGTGCAAGTGAAAGAATGTGAGCTTGTTGTGGACGGTGAACTGGATCTGAATGTTTCCCTTGGTGATGAAATACAAGGACCCTTCGGTATCGCACTCAATGCGAAAGGAACTATTGTAGTGTCAGATTATTATGGCCACAGCGTTTATGTATTTGACAGTGAAGGAACCTTTTTGCGAAAAATCGGCCAATTTATACAACCTGTCAGTATTGTTTTTGTTAACGATGAAGATATTCTGGTCTCCGATTATGGCGATCACAGAATATATCAGTATAATACGCGAACTGGACTGTACATAAAAGAATTTGGAGAGTTTGATAATCCATTTGGACTTTCCATGGATGACAAAGAGCAAATTGTCGTTTCTGACTACAATAATAGTAGAATACAAGTTTTGGCTAAAGATGGTGAGAATATTTTTACGTTTGGAGACACTGGGCCGGAAAGGGTCCTTCATCCTCTGAGCTGTGTTAGTCATAAAAACCGATTCTTCGTGTCTGACTCTGACAATTACTGCATCAAAGTGTTCAACAAGGCAGGACAATTTTTATATAAATTTGGAAGCAAAGGAACGGCAAAGGGACAGTTTGTTAGACCTTCTGGTCTGTATATAGACAGGCAGGATTGTCTTCTTGTATGTGACCAGGAAAGTGGCCGAGTTCAAAAGTTTTCTCTTGAAGGTCGTTTTATTGGCAAGTGCACTACTCCTGGGTTAGAGAACGTGAATGGCGTCTCAGAAATGCCAGATGGACGCATTCTCGTTACAAGCACAAATTATAAAAAAGTGTATATCATGATAACCAAGTAGTTACCCTTATCAATAGGGCCGTTTTTAGTAGTGAGTGTTGTCGATTTTGAGTTGTTTTCCCAAGTCTGCTTTGTACCGGTAAATAGCCGTTAAAAAAATAAAAAGACTGAAGGAAACTAAACCGAATTGAATTCAACTGTTTGTGAATAGTTTAGGGTGAACCTCTCAACGACTTACTAATTTGAGTTTAGATTTTGCTCGCACGAAAATGAAAAACACGTCAAGTGATAGTAACTTTACGCCGAGTATTCGTCACCTGATTTGTTCAAAACTAAGGCAAATTACTCACAGAGTAACAATAAAAGAGTTTTAAACTTTACCATTTGCTGGTTTTCTTGAGCTAGCTTTATCTCTATCTTTAAATTTTCCTCACCATCAATTTCTGGATTCCATCTCTTTTTGAGGCAATCTCCTTCCTGCAACAGGTTCTGGTTTCATTCAGATTATTCCATCCGCTCAATTCAATTTTTTTTTAATTTTTGGGAGGGGCTGCGACCTCCTTTATATTTCCTACGAATGCCTTGCGTTCAGAGTGTAGCGAAATCCGCTTGACTCCTGCTTTGCGCACGCTTTTGCTGCACTGCTGAAAGGAAACGGAGACTACTACCACGAAGGCTGACTAATTGGGCTTTTGATCCGGCACAGTGAGACATATCTAAAGTGGAAACCAAATTATTTACAAGTGACTTTCTTCTTATACCTGAGCAAGTAAGGGGAAGGTAATAGACCAACGTGGCACTGTAAATTTTCTTTCGAGGCTTGACGGTATTGAGCCATGAAGGTGGAAGATCAGTTAAGGTCATCTTGTCATGGTGAAGTTTGAAATTTTGACCATCTATCCTTTAATCTACTTTCATAAAACAATCTATCCCTTTTTTGTGCGTAAAGGGGACATGAGCTGAGAGAAGCTATCATTTTATACATGCCACTATTCAAATTATACATCTTTTTTAAATGCGATCTCGACACGCGGCTCACTAGGCGGTTATTTTAAGAACGAACCTTATACTCATGCGTAACCTGTTGACCGGATGTGATGACATTCATTGATTGACGGAACTAAAAGGACCCTTCGGTATCGCACTCAATGCGGAAGGAACTATGGCAGTGTCAGATCATTATGGCCACAGCGTTTATGTATTTGACAGCGAAGGAACCTTTCTGCGAAAAATCGGCCAATTTAAACAACCTGTCTATGCCGCTTTTGTTAATGATGAAGAAATTCTGGTCTCGGATCATGGCGATCACAGAATATATCAGTATAATACTCGAAGTGGACTGTTCATAAAAGAATTTGGAAAACCTGGTACAGGAAAAGGAAAGTTAAAAAATCCACTTAGACTTTCCATGGATGACAAAGAGCAAATTGTCGTTTCTGATTACAATAATAATAGAATACAAGTTCTGGCTAAAAATGGTGAGAATATCTTTACGTTTGGAGACGGTAGACAGGAAAAACTCCTTCATCCTTTGAGCTACGTTAGTCATAAAAACCGATTCTTCGTGTCTGACTCTGACCATTACTGCATCAAAGTGTTCAACCAGACAGGACAATTTTTATACAAATTTGGAAGTAAAGGAACGGAAAACGGACAGTTTGTTAGACCTTCTGGTCTGTATATAGACAGGCACGATTGTCTTCTTGTATGTGACCAGGAAAGTGGCAGATTTCAAAAGTTTTCCCTTGAAGGTCGTTTTATTGGCAAGTGCACTACTCCTGGGTTAGAAAACCTGAATGGCGTCGCGGAAATGCCAGATGGAAGCATTCTCGTTACAAGTACAAAGTCTAAAAAAGTGTATATCATGATAACGAAATAGTTACCCTTATCAATAAGGCCGTTTTTAGTAGTGAGTATTGCCGATTTTGAGCTGATTTTCCAAGTCTGCCTTGTACCGGTAAATAGTCGCTAATATGATATGAAGACTGAAGGAAACTAAACCGAATTGAATTCAACATTTTAGAGTGAACTATCAACGACCTTCCAATTTGTCTTTAGATTTTTCTCGCACGATAATTGAAAACACGTTAAGTGATAGTAATTTTATGCCGAGTATTCATCACCTGATTTGTTCAAAACTAAGGCAAATTACTCACAGAGTAACAATAAAAAGAATATTGCACTTCATAATTTTCTGGTTTTCTAGAACTAGTTTTCACTCTATCTTTAAATTTTCCTCATTATCAATTTTCAATTTCAATTAATCAATTTTTTTCAATTTCTGGATTCCATCTCCTTTTGAGATAATCTCCTCCCTGCAACAGGTTATGGTCTAATTCAGATTATTCCTTCCGTGTATTTCAATTTTTCTTGAATTTTTGGGAGGGGCTGCGAGTTCCTTCCTAATATTTCCGGCCAATGCCCTGGGCTCAGAGTGTAACAAAATCCGCTTGACTCCCGCTTCTCGCACGCTTCTCCTGCTCTGCTGAGAGGAAACGGAATCTAATGCCACGAAGGCTGCCTAATTGGGCTCGTGATCCTGCACAGTGAGACATCTAAAGTGGAAACCAACTTTTTACAGGTGACTTTCCCCTTAGACTATTCTGGCATACAAATTGAACACTATAAATTTTCTTTCGAGGCTTTAGAGTATTGAGCCATTAAGGTAGAAGATCAATTATGGTGAAGTTTGGAATTTGACCATCTATACTTTACTCCACTTTTATGAAACACTCTATCCCTTTTTATGCGTAAAGGGGAAACGAGCAGAGAAAAGCTATAATTTCATACATGCTCTTGTTAAAAATATTTTTTTAATCCAATCTCGACGCGCGGTCTCATTAAGCGGCTATTTCAAGAACTAACCTTATATCTCATGCTTAACCTGTTGTGCTGATATGATGACATTCATTGATTGACGGGTTCGTGTGAAAAAGCACATCGTCGTACTGTCGATAGCTGGATTTCTCCGCGTTAGACAGTGTGGTTGTTTTCATTTTGTGGTCTCATGGCCACTCAAAGTTTTTCACTTTCTGTTGATTAACCATTGTGATCACTTTGGTTTTTGTAAAAATTGGCTTCTGTTATTTTATATTTGAGGTCTGACATCCTATGTTATTCAACCTGTATGAACATTCCAACTTACGCTATTCAAACCTGTGTGAAAATTTCGGAACCAAACTACAGGATTTTATCTAGTGCAACTGGCGATAACAGCGCACACTAAAATATACCGTGACCAGTGACTCTGTCACGTAATTCAACTGTGTAATTATCCTGAATTACTTCTCCCATCTAGATAAAGCAGCGATAACATCGTCTTTTGGCTCAGAATTCTAGTCTGCAGGAATAAGAGAAAATTTTGTCTGCACACCTGACTTTATGACAGTTTCTATTCACAACTTTAGAACTTTCTTGTGGAAAAGGACTCCGCGTTTTTAAAGGAAATAAATTATTTCGTTACGTGTCACCTAATTTTTCCAACAATTAGCCATATCTATGTCGTAAAGTGCGTAGTCCTATTAGCTGTAATTCAATTGCTTCTTTCGGTACTGATTTGCTTTTGATTAATAACACTAAATTCTTGAAGCAGCATTCGAAATAAGATGTCTTGCTTTCTGTCGCATTCCTTAGAAACTTCGTGCGGAGACTCACGAGGAGTTTCCGGGTTGTTTAATTTACTTCAGTGTACTGACTCAGTAGAGAGTCATCTCTCCTTAATCCATTTGTCAAAAGAGAGTGTCACGGAAGGAGAGCTTATCCTAGCAAGGGCTGGCAATTCGATATAGATGACTCAGTTATGGCAAAAATGTTGGTCTGTGCAAAGCATAGGCACACCTATGGGAAGTTCTGGCGCCAAAGATCAGCGTGCCAGTATCCGACACACCCTGGTAGCGATTCCAAGGGGGCAAAGAGCCGGTATTCTGTCAATTTGGAAATGTCAAAGGCCATTTCTAAGATGTATGGCGTTCTCGTTCAAGTAGGTTCAGGTAGGAACAAGTGATTTAAGATACTGAAGTGGCTGATTTCAACCAATCTCTCCCGTTTTCTCCCCAATCGCTCGTTCGTATAATAATCCCTTTTTCCTACGTCCAGTTATTTGTATTAACTGCTGCAACAAGCACAATGCTTCTGTGAAGGAAATGCCATGGGTCTCTTTGGAATCCACAGAGAAAGAAGACAGTGATTCCGGCGCTTATGTGGATGAGGTAAAAGAGTTTGTGCGAATAAAAAGCGTTTGATATTGATGCATGCGGTTGTGTACATAAGCTGAGATACATAACCCTTTTCCAATAAGAAAATGCTCTACGGGCGGTAATTGTTAACAAATAACTTTAGTAATTAATCATAGCTTACTGGAGTTTTGCCTGTATCAGGGATCTCGAGGTAATTGCCTTTTGGTTACGTTAATTGCAAGACACACCGAAAGGTACATCTGTTTGTATCGATTCAGTTTTTGTAGATATTTTGTAAACTACAAAAGAGATGTGCCTAGTGCTAAAACAGTTAGCCTGGGTACAAGGCTCTCGGCGAAAAGCCTGTAGTAAGCATCTGAGAGAACAGACGCCATGTCTTTCTCTCGCGTGACTTCTCGCTCGCGCGTGCTAGGTTTAATCACTCCCGCCCAGTTGACTTTGAAAGCATGTTACCTAGTTTATGTGTACAAATTCATCTAAAACTTGACATCTTTAATCGAAGGCCAAGCAAAGATGCCGTTCTAGAGAAGTTCAAACTCACCTATTACACCAAGTTCTTCCAGGCTATCCCACAGCACCAATGACGAAATGTGGACTCCTTCAGCCGTGTTAGCGCTTGACGAAAGCATAGAAATACAGGATTTCAGACCAACGAGAGGAAATGTCCAAGATCCAATTCAAGTTTTTCAATGCATGCATTGATAGCCTCGCCGATGCTGTACAAAAACCCAGGATTACACATTTGGAATCCCAAGTAAATTGTTGGGAAAAATGCTCCTTTACTGAAAAATCTGAATTTGTGCGAAAAGCCGGGGAAGCGTGCCAGCTGGTGTGCGATGTCATAGCTCCAAGAGATGGTAAAGCGTTATTCCAAGCAGTCTTAGACCATGAACAGAAGTGCAAGACAGCTATTGATGTTGGCCTTCAAACCCTTATGGTCGCCTATCAGAATGCTCCCACAAAATCACTTAAGACTCAAATACTGAGTATTTATGCTGATAGATTCTCAGCCAACGAGCTTAAACCCATACATCAGCCATTTGAAAACCTCTCCCATAGACAAATAAAGAAGGCAAGAGCACAGGCGAAGAGTGAGGGGCCTGGAGTGCCCATTGAAAAAATCCCGCGTCATAGAATCCGTATACAACAGCGTCAGCTAGACCACTTCTTAGAGTTCACTATGAGGCCATATTACTATCAAGACGTAGCCTGCGGTACTCGCACCATAAAACTTGAGAACGGTGAAGAGTTTGTCATACCTAACGTGGTGCGCACAGTGGCCAAGTGCACCATCATTAATCAATACATGGATCATTGCAAACAAACTGGATTTCAACCGATAAGTAAATCCACGATGTGGAGAGTACTAGAAGTTCAAGGGGCCACACAAAGGAAATCATAGCGGGGTCTAGACAATACTGCAGCTGAGGGAGCGGATGGTTTTAGGGATTTTCTCCAAATTATAGACGAACTGGAACGCGTGGGAGCGGAAAAGGATTGGTGTAAAGAAGTTCGGAAGAGGCTTCAGGAGAGCAAGTCGTATTTGAAGACTACATACCGTAATCACTGCAAAGAGGACGATAGAAAATGTGCCGATCACTGTAGGGTCTTTGCACTGAGCGATGCTGGTGACACTTACTTTCAGAAAGTATGCAGTCATAGCCACAACGTGAATTGTGAGGATTGTGAGAAGCTGAAAAGTGTTCTTGAAGAAGTAAGTGGTGTTATTTCTGACTACACAATGCAATTGGGTAAGGTTCAAGCGGAAGACCATCTTTATGAAGCAAGAAATGCTGCCGCTAAGATCTTTGGATGGAAAGGGCATATCCTGAGAAAAGAGAATCAGAATCAGTGCAAGCGTCAAATTCTTGATTCTTTGAAGGGAGATGAAGCATTTATAGTAGTTGACTGGGCAATGAAGTTCACAGCAATGAAGTTCCGGGAAAAGCAAGCAGAATGGTTTGCTAAGAGGGGAATCAATTCGCATGTGAGTAGCGTTGTTGTAAGACAGGAGGAAAGCCTAGAAGTAACTTGCTACGTACACCTTTTTAACAGCTGTAAACAAGACTGGTTTTCAGTGCTGTCAGTCCTTGAAAATCTCTTTGTCACCATAAAGTTACAAAATCCAGGAATAAAAAAGGCCTTTCTAAGATCAGATGAAGCAGGTTGCTATCACAACAGTCGAATCGAATCGAATCGGGAATCGAACTCGTGAGGTACGATCATTCTGAGCCGCAGGCTGGAAAAGATATGTGACAGGATTTTGTGTCCGTTAAAGCGTCAATGAGGAGATACTGCAACGAAGGCCATGATGTTGTTTCTGCCTGAGACATGTATAACGCATTGAAAGAGAGACCGGTCAGGGGAACGACGGCGTCAGTGTGCATAGTCCAGGAACAGAACTCAACCCTAGAAATTAACAAGATTGCCAATTTCAACAACTTACACAACTTTGAGTTTACACATGAAGGCCTGCGCGTTTGGAGAGCGTTTAATGTTGGGCCTGGAAAGTTTATTCCATAGAATAAAATTGTAATTTGTCCACAGAAAAAGACGGATCTCGTGGAGGAGATTCCATTCTTCCCCACTACTGCTCGACGAATTGCATCAGTAGGAGAAAGCGATGATGGCAACGACGGTAGTTCCTATCAATGCCCTGAGCCTGGTTGCGATGAAGATTTTAAGACCCAGGCCGACCTTGACCTTCATATGAACTTGCTAGTTCATCATGTGAGTCCTGTGCCTGCGAGCATGACTGAAAGTCTTTATGACAAAGTGAAGAGGGAGTGGGTTCATCACTTTCAGTCATTGTCATTAGGGAATGAAATTTCGACTGAACTGGTGGTAGTGGCCACAGAACCCTTGATAAATGCTTCACAGCTTCCCATGGGATGGGCTCTTCATAAGAGAAGTGCAAGTGTACGGTTTTCGCAAAATGTCAGGCAGTACTTGACACAGAAATTTAATATTGGACGAGACACTGGCAGAAAACAAGACCCAGAGCAAGTTGCAAAGGATATGCGAACTGCCTGCACTATAGATGGAGAGGATGTTCGATAGAGCAAAGTGGTTACCTAGCATACAGATTCAGGGATTCTTCTCGAGATTGTGCCTTAAAGAGAGATCTAAAATACAACAAGAATCGGATGATGCCACAGACGTAGACGACGAAGACGACGACTTGATAGAGGCATCCGCGTCTGATGTAGACGAAGAGTGTTTGAGAGAGGCGAGGAACACAATAATGGATGAGATAGGACTGAAACATCCAATCATGTTTGATATCTATGATGTGTGCTCGTTGGCAAGAGAGGGAAGGTTGCCTAGCCTGAAAGTCAAGATACTAAGAGACATGTGCAAACATTTTCATCTCTTATTCAAAATGCGAGATACAAAGGCAGCGCTTCTTGCAAAAATGGAGGAAATGATTTCGGAGTGCAGTTGTTATGCAATTTAGTTATGACGTCCACTCGTTAGGCGAATGCGGTATTCTTTTTTACAAGAACCCTCCAAAGTTATGAACCGAGACTGTTATGCAGACAGGTGTGACGACAAAATAATATTTTTTCCTGTCTGCTAGATATCCGAGCAATCGCTGCTTTATTTCAACGTGAGAAGTAATTCAGGATAATTACACGATGGAATTACGTGAGAGTCACTGGTCACGGTGTATTTTAGTGTGCGCTGTTATCGCCGGTTACACTAAATAAAATCCTGCTGTTTGATTCTGGAATGTTCATACAGGTTGAATAACATAGGCTGTCAGAACTCAAATATGAAATAACAGAAGCCAATTTTTTAAAAAGAGATTGTCATTAAAAGGTTGACTGAGCGCTAATCAAATTATGATATTCGATACGTTGTTGTTGACGTCTTTCGTCACGAGATAGAATAATTGGTCAAACTTTGGCCTCTTAAAATGTTTAGAGTATCAATCAGTGTGGTCTACAAGCTCTCAACTTAAAATGGCCAAAATCTAGGTTTTATTGAGCTACTTATATAAACGGTCAGAGTTTGCTCAATGAACTAATTTGCATAATCGGCTGTCACGCTAGCAAAATCGCTAAAAGTTTGAAGTCACCACGGCGAAGAAAACTAATAAGTGCAAGATGTTTTTATATTTTTCTGTTTCCAAACATCTTATTAGAAGAAATCAAGCGGAGTTTTCAATGGTCTGGTCTGGACTTGAGCAATATCAACCAAGAAAGAAAGAGCGCTTTTGACCAATTTCAGAAAGCTGTCTAACGTGTGTTATTAAATAAATCATGACGAACCTCTGAATAAACGAATATCAAAATTGAAATGCTTTTTATACACCTTACATATCACACAGTCTAAGAATACAAAAGATCTTTTGCTGCATGCGGTGTGATACGAGGACCGGGCTTTTTAACTTTTGAAATTTTCGATGTCGCAAGCGGTCAAAAAAGGGCCTTTTGCAGCTTTGACTATTGAGAGCTCTAAAAATTTTATTTTAACGTATTTCCAGAAACTAATGTGGTTTTATTTACTCGCTATCAAAGATAGATTATTGGGCAAAGTTTGAGGGAAAACTTTATTCCGATCGATGCGAAATGCCCTGGACCGCTCTTACAGAGATCGCCTCTTAACCATTTAACTCCCATGAGTGACTAAGACACAAAATTTCACCTTACAATATCAATACAATATCAAGCAGACAAGTGATGAGAAAAAAAGAAAAACATTCAGCTAGGGGATTATTAGTTGATCCAATACCAAATTCTCCAAACTAACATCAAGAGAACTAAATGGCAGACAGCAAGGAGAATTACTAATGAGATCATGGGAGCTGAAGGGTTAAAGGGGGTCGATTTAGTGTGAGGGGGTGTACTACGTGTTCGATTATTTTTGTTTTGGAATATCTCTCTTTCTCTTTTTTTCAATGCATTTTTCATTATCTTGGATTTGTCCAGGGTCTTTTTGTCCATTGCCTAGAGTCTTTTTCTAGGTTACGACGTCGCCATGAAGACTTTTTAGCTGGATTTTACCGGAGTAAGGCGGAGAAAAGTGTTCTAGATGTTTTAACGCTTTAACTGACCAGCTTATCGCACCTCACTTTCTCTCAGACATTGAAATTGCGGCTCATCGAAAGATGCTGCTCATCGTGATTTGCAATGAAATGCTCCTAACTAGTGACATAAACTTTGCGAAGACCATTGAGGAGAGTTAATGTTTACGCCAGTGTTTTAAACAGTCATTCCTGGAGTTGCCCTGATAAAGTTATCATATCTTATCTTCTCTCTAATATCACACAAGTGATCTATCAGTCAAGAAACTGACTTCCTTATGTTGAGAAGATCTCTGCAAACCTCGTTATGACGCCGAGGCAAAGGCAAGTGTTTTCCACGTTGTGTAGCTGGATTTATCTATGTACACTCCGGTCTGCAGTTTTGGTTTGTATTTACGCGGTGTGTGATATAGACTGAAAGGATTCTGGGACCGATAGATTGGAAATAAAAGCTGGTTTCTATATATCAAATGTCTCACACAATAAAGGAGTTTATTCTCCCTCTCTCGTTAAATGGAGAATGCCAATACTGATGTTAGGGTGTAAAGGGTTACTGCTGCAAATGCAGCCCTTTCCGCTTATTGAGAAGCGATTTAGAGAAAAAATTTTTGTGTGGTCCACGCAAGCAAGTCATTAACATATGGAAAGGACACAAAACGAATTATACACGTGGCGGAAGTTGCTGACGGAGTTTCAGTTTCTGAGAACACACGTTACAATTCGCTTTTGTATCGATATCGAAAACAAATTCCTATTTATGACTCTACGTACAATACTTTCTGAAAACGTTAGTCGTGGAACGAAAAAAAGAAGTGACGAGTTTGTGATCGGTGATTGAACCAGTTAGGTGATGCAAATAATAGTTTGTTCTATTCTGAGTTGTTCTATGCTATTCCTGTATATGGAGCCAGAAATTATGGAAATAATTGTGTGTTTGTTTTGAGCCAGGCTTTAGTTTTTTTTTCCTTTCTACTAAAAATGCAAGCACTTCTCCCCTTTTACCCTTCCTTCCTTCTTACCCTGCTGAAGATAATTTGGATTCCAATTCTTTGTACAGTGTGTTGAGTATAAAAAAAAATTTAAAAAATTAAAAAATTCCTTAGTGACCGCTCACTGTTTATCGCCTGAGAGGGGAAGAAGGCTGAAGGACATTTTGGGGGATCACATGGTTTTCAGGGGAAATGAAAGGGGAATCAATCTTCTCTAACGGGAATTTATGGGGGGACTCTAGAAACCTGACTTCCAGTGAGGGGGAATCAACAAAGCCTTATGGAGGATCAGAAATATTTTATTGTGACAGTTCAAAATCCTCCGACCACCCCCCCCCCCCACTCTGCTCAGGCGAGAAATAATGTACAGTATCTTACAAGTCAAGCTAAGAAAACCTTGAGTTTTGAATTTAAATTCCGTCACTGCGACTGGATAGAAGAGTGCAAAAATTAAAAAATAAAGTGATCGTGTCTGGACTTCGTTCTTATTGTTTATGTTTAATTGATCTACTTGAGATTTGCATTCCAAATCAAAAGAAGTCGGTTCCGTTTCAGCGTAAAATAATTACCGTCCATGAACGAGGCCCCGGCTTGACTGCACGTTGTGAGATTTCCGTGGTTGCACCACATTATTATTTCCAATCGATGATAACTGAAGGATAACTGAGCCTGAATTGCCCACAAACCCCAAAATAAATTTCCTCTATGTTTAGTGCTCGTGTTAAAATCTTAGCTCTCTGACTAGGCACAAAACGTCACAATAACTGGAGGGTCTTATCACCTTTGATTGCTCCGAACTTTGAGGCCGAGAGACCCAGCGCCCCTATTATCCCAGCATTCCCTTCGGGTAAGAATAAAACATGGCCTGAGGCGTGGCTACCAAGGGGTTATCATCATCGCATTTTTAGAGCAAGCGGAAGGTCTGGAGCATTTGAAGTAAGAGTGTTACAACCTGTTCTCCAGTGAACCGGATTTTTGCGATCCCATACGGCATTCTACGATGAAAGATGTCACTGAGGCCTCGAGTTGTGAATTTTGACGAAACATGGGCTAAGATCCGAGAAACATTAGAATCTGTTGTAACTTTGAAGAAGATTCCACGATCAGTTTGGAATGACAGGTTTTCATATCCTTTTGCTTCAATTTCGTGATGACATTCCGTTTGTTATGAATTACACACATATTGCAGAATCAAGATTTGACAAGGAGGATCTTAACTTGCTACCAGGTTTTTTCTCTCCTTAAATGGCGTCGCAGCAGTCGCCGCATTGCAATAGCAACCGATATTAATTTTGATACATCAGTTAAGTGCGATAGAACCATAACTGCGATTGTCACATACCGGAAAAAGAGGAAATTTCCTTTATCACGTCCATCATTTGTCTAAGAAGCTTCTATATCGTGTGTGGTTTAATTTGATGTGCTTTCGCGTCGTAACTTCGGTGTGAGATTTTGATACAAAAGTTCGCATAATTAATATTAGATACCAAACAGTGACAATTTTACTATCGTGATTCTCTTTTAAGTGATAATGAACTTTATACCTACAATGAGTGGCAATAGTTTTCGCACGATCAGCATCTTTGGACATTTTTTTTTAGCTTCCATATTTACTCTCTTTCATCTGAATGTTGCCAGCTGATAAAAAAAATGGTCCCTTCTTTATTTCAACATTGTTGGGAGGGGGAGGGAGGGACGGGTAGGAGTGCAGAAAGATTTCCGTGTAAGGCAAAACAAAACCTTAATCACAAAGCTCATCTGCTGTTGGCACTACTGTATTCTTTATTCAAAGAACTGAAGAATGGGTTTATTTAGAAACCTTGCTGGGTGACTTTCACATGACCATTTTTCACATCAATGAAGGCAACAATAGTTGTAATAAAGGTTTGTATGGTCAGCTGAATCATACACACATTTTGATTGGTTCTTACCTATGATCTTTTGGGGGATAGACACAACATACAGCAGCTTTCTTGTGTTCTGATTGGGGATATATTCTGTGTCATGGAATGAGGACTTGAAGTCAGACATAAACTCATTGTATTTTGAGCCAGTCTTTTACATTCATTCCTTAATTGTTATTAGTGATGTGTATGCCCTCTGCGTAGCTTTCCCAGAACCTTTAGGTGAAAAACTTTATGCTGAAGTGAAGAGTTTCTTGGAGAATCATGGCCAAAGTCTGTATGAGGTTTGTATTTATATGAAGCAGTACTGGAACTGTTGTATGGTTAAATTTACCTCTTTAAATCCTACATCAGTATGCATATTCTCCATACTGTTCCTTACATATATCTTTGATACTGACAAGGAGAATTTGTTTAACTGTCAAAGCTTCCTAAGTTGGCAATCATTTCCTTTATTCCCATTATCTTAATGAGTGATTCAGCATTATTACTGTTAGGAGAAATTAGATGCTGCTCTAGGTTTTCAAGGATTAAAGTGTGAACAGAAAAAAGCCCCAAATAAGATATGAAAGATCACTAAAGTATTTGTTCAAATTGACTTAAATTCCCTTTTGAAACAAAGGAAGAATTTGATGGTGCCTCTAAAGTAACTTAGGATCTAACTCCATGCAACCCTTCAATTATGAAATACCCCTTAGGGTTAAAGATCTTCAAGACTGTTCTCTTCAAAAAAAATTTATTACTTTGAGAAAGTGTGGGTGGTTGTGGGAGGGGTGTGGGTGGGTATACTATAGACAAGCTTTATAACTACAAGGTGGAGGCTGGTAGAATTTATTAAACCAGGTAGATATTTGAATTGCAACATATACTTGCAATCAAATTCCCAGAATTAATAACACCTGGATTAAGGTTGAGTTAGGTAACAAGAACTTCACAAGATGTAAATTATTTGTATTTATGTTCTTTTGTGGTTATAACCATGTCATAATTTTTCCTTCTTGAAGGCTGTCAGTGGCCCAGATGTGGACATCCTCCGTCTTTACCACAATCACTGGTCACAGTTCAGCAAAGGGTCTTTATACATGAACCTCTTATTTGGGTGGGTGTTGATACAAATGTAAATAATGTTTCATTCTAACTCTTCACACCCTTCATATCTGTATCCTTATTCTAGCTCGAGTTTTATCTTGTTTGTCTCAGATACATTGCCTTAGTCATGGAACAAAGAAAACTGCTTAAAAACATTGTGTTAAATCATTTGATTTTCAAACTGTTTCACACCACAATTTATACATGGACATTGAGTTTATGTATGTTTGCTGTGCAATTGTAGCTGAGCTTGAAAGCAGAGCTCTGGTTTGGTTATTTTTCTCTGGTCTTCAATATTCAAGTTTATCAGTGTGTGGAGGAATTCAGTTACAATGAGTCGACTTACATTATAGCATAGCAAGTAAATTTGTGTAATCAAATTCAATTGTGCGAGCATGCTTCATATTCCTATTGTGCTCGCTTATGACATCAGCAAACAAATCCCTCAAGAAAAAAATCTTCCATCGGGTTGAAAATGTTATAAAACAATTGGTTCATATATCAGCTGTGTGTCCATCGAGATATGAAGCACTTGGGAAGTTTGGAGAGCACTCAAGAAGCTAGAGTTGCTCTCGGCTACGCCTCAAGCAACTCTTATGCATCTTGTGCTCTCCAAACTTCCCACGTGCTTCATATCTCGATGAACGCATGCTGAGGTATGAACCAATTGTTAATTAAAACATCATTCTCACTTGTAACAATTGCATGCATCTGTTAACCCACCAATACTTTGTTTATGATCTTTTTTCATGAAGAAGACTTCTAACAATAAGTAAATTTAAATTAATATTAACCCTTTATTTAACTGGTTGTAAATTCTCTCCTCTAGCTGCTACACTTTTCCTTGTAAATTAGTTATGAGAATTTGGTGTCAGATCAAGATAACAACTTCAACCTGATAAGTTTGATTATTCCCATGAAATGTTTGCTGGCTAATGTTCTAGGAGGGGAACGATTTGGGCATGAAGCAGAGCACCATTTTATTTCTGTAGGCAACTAAAGAATGAAAATTCCTCTAATGGCAATTATTTTTTGTAGTCTTTGACAATGATGTTCTTTTTTCCTTTACAGCTATCTGAACACACATCTGAAGAAACAAAAACAAGATTATGGAGAGATCTCTCCATACAGCACATCGTTTTCTCCCGATGCCATGGAGGAAGTGATGGATATTGGGGCAGTAAGTTCAAGTATTTCTCCAGGCTCTCTTCACCTGTAGAAACATTTTAACAAATTTGAATTCTACTTTGTTATCATACATTATCAATGAACAGATTTTGACTGCTGACCAACTTATCAGTTAGACAATGCTATTGTAATAGTTTTAAAATTCTTCAAACCAATTTACAGGGAAATCTCTAGAGGCTCAAAAAGAGAATCATGAGTTATTATACAAGTCAGAGGGAAACCCAAAACAACTTCAGAGATAATCATATACTCCTTTTCACTTTAATCGCCAGAGTTTGGTTTTACATTTTAATGTTTTTAATTATCTTAACACTATATACAATTTGTACATGTTCAAGGTTGACACACTCATTGAATTAAGTTCATTTCTTTCTGTCTTTTTTTTTCCAGCTTGCTCTGGATATTTGGAAAAGAAAGATGATAGAGCCGTTGAAAGAAACCCTCATAAAACATGTGCTGATAGAAGTTAAGAGGTTGGTCATTGTTCTTGGGAATGGTGGATTTGTGTGAAAGGCTGTATGTGAGACTTACTTATTAAGCTTGCAGAGTTTATACCGGCTTCCGAGGCATGAAAATAATGATTTATTAGCAAGACATGTAACTCCTAAATTTCACTCTCTAGCCAGTAGTTTAAAAAGAAACTACCAAACTTTAACCCTTTAACTCCCACAAGTGATCAAGACAGAATTTCTCCAACCAATATCAATACAATATCAAGCAGACAAGTGATGGGATCAGAGAAAAATATCAAATAGGGGATTATAAAGTGATCCAATACCAAATTCTCCACAAAAAATCACAATAATTGTATGGCAGACAGTAAGGAAAATAACTAATGATATCTTGGGAGTTAAAGGGTTAAGGGAAACCAGATGAAAGGTACCTTTGCGATGACCCTGCATCCAACCAACAGGGAGTAGTAATACTCCTTGTCATTTCATACTGTAGAAACTGGGATCTTATCCAATTGGATGAGACATTTGACACGAGACAGACTTATTGTTACCTTTTACTTGCTCCATTAAGAAATGCCACAAAGCAATAGTGTTTCTTGAAATTTCTTCAACTACACTGGGTGTGAAATTGCGCCTAATACAGGCGCCAATGCGACTAAATTTTTCACTTTGGCGACCACATCCTTAAAATTAGTCGCCAAATTGGCGACTAGAATGCTTCATCATAACCTTACCTAGAGATATAGAGAATAAAAAAGATTTGCAAAGATTAATTCGCAGCGAACTTCCTCGTTAAATTTGTTTCCAAAACGCAGCACAGTCATGCATCTCGATCGATAACTAGACGCCATCTTGGATTTAGGTGAGCTTGAAAGTTGTATATCATCCATCCTAGTGTCCACTTTGTAGCAAGTTAAAGATACTTTTTCTAACTTAATTTTGGAGGATCTTTCTAGAACGCTGACAACATAACAAAAAGGTTTTGTTTTTTTTTAAAAATGGCGACCAACTTTTTTTGAATTGGCTACCTCTTTGAAAAATTTAGGAGCCAAGTGGCTATCAGAAAAAAAAATTAATTTCACGCCCTGCGCCGGCACATGAACAGTGAGCATCATACTTACAACTGTACTGATAATACTTATATAAATGTACACTGTTGATTATTGTTCATCTTGGTAGGGATCGTGAAGGAGAAGACACACACCAGAACATCGTACACGAGACAGTTCTCTCCTTTGGTAGGCTTGGCCACTTGATTCATTTTACTCACAAGAACAGTTTGATTGTCAATAATTTGAACCTACGCTCACTCAAATGTTGTGCTAACTCAAACCAAAACTCAATGCTTGCTAGTTTCTTTTCTTATTGTTTCTTTAATTCTCCCCCCCTGGAACTTGTACCCTGAATGATTGAACTTTATTTCCTTCAGCTCATTACCTGACTATTTTACTCTTGATTTCAAATGATGAACTTGAAAATTTGGAGCTAAATCTTTCAAGATATCCCTTTAACTCCCATGAGTGACCAAGACAGAATTTCTTCTTACAATATCAATACAATAGAAGAAAAGTAGTCTGAATATAGAAGAGTATGAAGTAGGGGATTATAAGTTGATACAATACCAAACTCTCTGAACTAGCACAATAGGAATTGTGCAGTAAACAGAAGGAGAATTACTAATGAGATCTTAAGGTTATAAGCCTATGTTCTCTCTCTCTTTCCTTTTTTTTCAAATTTTATTTTGTTTTATTTATGGTTGGGGTGGTTTGCCACATGACAAAAAGAAATTTATGTTTTTCCTTAATGACTGGAAACGTTTACATTTTGTTTTTTCTTTTCCCTGTTTTAGTTGAAGTACAGCAGTACCAGTCAAAAGGAGCTCTTCATGTAAGTTGGCAATATTTTGTGCTAGATTCAGGCCTGTTTTTTTTTTCTTTTTTTTAAACATTTTGTGATATCCTCTCTTAACTGTCACACCGTAATATCAGTATCCAAATTCTCCATACTCTTCTCTATACATTTCCTTTGGTGCTGACAAGGAGAATTTGTTTAACAATCACAGCTTCTTGGGTTAGCAATCTTTTTTTTTATTTTTATTATCTTAATTTATTTAATTCAGCAGTACTATAGTAAAATGAAATTTGATGTTGGTCACTCTTAGGGGTTGAAGTGTTAAAAGAGAGGCTTGAAGCTAATTTTATAAACTAGTGATGACAATTTGGCAGTTTAGAGACCTAATAAACCAACAGTCTAAATTGCAGATCAAAATGGAAACAGTGGACAAAGAGCTATGTTTTAGAATCATGACCCTTTGCTGAAATTCAATCTAGCCCAATATTTGAATTTCAGCACAGGGTCATGATTCTAAAACATAGCTCTTTGTCCACTGTTTCCATTTTGATCTGCAATTTAGACTGTTGGTTTATTAGGTCTCTAAACTGCCAAATTGTCATCACTAGTTTATGTTTCACTAGTTTTTACTCATTCTCATGCCATTCCCCAATACAACTCTGTCTACACAGAGACTTCTGTACGGCTGACATCCCCCCATGAAAAAAAAAAAAAAAAAAAAAATACCGGTAACATGTTTGGAAGCTAAAGCTTACCCTGATCAAAGATTCTAATCATGCTGACCCTTTTTTTTTAACATCACTCACTGAGCTGTCATCTCAGAAAAAACTTGTGTTGAGTTACACATGATAAATGAAAGCAAATTTTATGTACATTTTCTTTGTTCCAGCTATATGAGGAAGTGTTTGAGAAATCCCTTCTGAAAGAAACTAAAGAATACTATAGGCGAGAGGCAGCTGAGCTGCACTGTGGTAACACTTGTCAGGCTTTCATTTCCAAGGTAAACAGAATAAAAAACAACAAATATCAAATTATACTTGTACAGCTGTGCTGTACAGAAAGATATCCACTAACAAATGTTTGTTAGTTAGATTCATCCATGTCTCCCAAACATGCGGTAGATAAGTGGTGGTGGTTGTCAGGACAACGACAAAGGGGACCAAACATTTAATACCTCAGTTAAACCCATCACTCCCAAGATCTCATGAGCAATTCTCCTTACTGTCTGCCATACAGTTCTTGTGATGTTAATTCAGAGAATTTGGCATTGGATCAACTAATGATCCCTTAACTGATATTTTTCTTTATTCTCATCACTTGCATACTTGATATTGTATTGATATTGTAAGGAGAAATTCTGTCTTGGTCACTCGTGTGAGTTAAAGGTTTAATACTTCTCAGCTCATTAATAACATGTGGGAAACATCAATTCAAATCTTTATATTAAAATTTCAAAGGGAAAGAATTTCCTAGTGGTCTCACCAGTTTTCTAGTGGAAAATAATTTTATTATTAAAACTTTGCAATTGAATAAGAAGTTAACTTTGAGCCTCTTTCGAGTGAGTGTCATACAAACAAAACCAAAGTTATCACAACAAACAATCAAAATTTTTTTCAGTTTTGTGTCTGGTTGGTTTAGAGGATAGTGTAAATTTTCGAGAAAAGTCTCAGGGCAAAGTTGAAGAAAGCAAAGCAATCCTGGATTACTTTTGAAATTCAATTAAAAATTGCTCTATGGCCATTGTCTCAAAATATATGGATATTAAATGATTAGTACTGTAGGGACCCACAGTTTCAAGCAAGGCCCCTGTCTACAGTTTTAAGTTTCTAATAAACTGCCCCTCCCCCTTTAGACCCCCTGTCACTCCTCCCCCAAAAACATTACTGACAAATACTACAATAAAAGCACATGGAAAAATGTATTAATGTACAAAAGTAATGCTATGCAATCATCCTACTGCAGCACTGTGCTCCTGGTTGAATTGGTTCCTGTTCAATTCTAATCAAACTTTTTGTTTGAAAGCCTGCAATAGTTTCTGTTATACAATATGTGGGTTTTCAATTATCGGAGTTATTATCAACTTTCTTGAGCTCCCTAAAGAAGCTGTAAAAAATAAGAGGAACCACGAAGTAATAGTAAGAGGGGTCGTTATTGAAGAACTTATTCACACTTGGCTTGCATGCATAGAGTTTCGTGGAGGCGAGTGGGGAAATTTGGAGGGTTCAAAGAAGCGTAAGAGTTGTTTGAGGCATTATCAAGCCTTGCATTGCCATGATTACCGTAGGCACCTGGTCACTCAATCTACATATCATCTGGACGACAACCTACTCCTCAACACCATTAGTCAACTGGCTGAAACCTTTGGTCAAGTCACCGACATATCAGTCACTTGATTAACGAGTTGACTTTGGTGATTTGACAGTTGGTGTCAGTGAATTGACTACAGCTGTTAGCGAGTTGACTACAGATGTCAGCGAGTTGACTACGGATGTCTACAAGTTGACATGTAAGCAGAGTGACCGGTTACCTTACAGCATGTTCCAATTAAATTAAAATTTCATGTGTGACAATTTGATTTTTTTTCTTTAGGTTGACATTCGCATTCAGGATGAGGATTTAAGAACTAGGAAATTCTTTCACCCTGTGTCATACAGTCGGGTGATCAGGGAGTGTGAAGCGCGTATGGTGGAGGATTACATTCCTTACTTACAAATAGAATGTCGGCAGATGGTGCAGGAGGAAAATACTCAATGTTAGTCACAATAGTTTTGATGTTTTTTATTGTAAAAGTATAGGAGGTATTTCATTTTCCACGACTAGTTCTTTTTACCATCTTGTTCTGCAACCTCGTCCTCAGGGCCCTCCCTGGAGAGAGGAAGAGAGAGGACCGAGGAAACGAGGTTGCTTGTCCTGTTGGACCAATACTAACATATTGCTGGAATTTCCTGAGGGTGGATGTTTATCCTTTTTTTTTTCTGTTTTTTTTCGCAATATATTTTGTATGCAAATTAAACCTGCAGGAGGCTTGTATTATCCGCTCAATACAGGCTCTGGTAAATTGCGCTGCCGAAAAGAAAACGACAAAAACAACAACGAATCTTCCGGTTTGTTTGACCTCTTTCATGTGGTAGAATTCCTTCACCGATAGAAATATTGACTTGAAATATGGTTGTAGGCAACATAAATGTGTTTAGTTATTGACGCCACTGGGTCTCTTACGCTGTATGACATTTCAGAACACGAACTGACCACGTTTCAAAAAGTTACAAATTTCCAAACAAAAGCTCTTATAGTTAAATAAATTTTATTTGACCTGCGGATGAAAATCAAGCAAAGAAATTATTTTCATAAGTGGACTGCAAATTAAGCAATTACAGAAAAAAGCCTGAAAATAAATTCAGGCTTGGACGGGATTCAAACACGTCTCAAAATTGCCTCGCTCCCAATTTGTGGTTTCATAGCTCAGTTGGTAGTAGCGACCAGCTAGAATCTTGGAGGCATGGGTTCGAATCTCGTCGAAGCCTGAATTTTTCCAGGCTTCTTTTTTGTAACTGCTGATGATTTACAGTCCACCTGTGAGAATTATTTCTTTGCTTGTATCAAAGCTCTGTAATACAACAATAGAATTTGTCCGCTTTCCTCCAGTTTTGGGTCACAAAAATGCCCAAGTGTGTACTTCCGCTTAATAGAGGGAAGAAAAACCGGGACTTCGGGTGTGGGGTGTACCGCTGACCCCTTATACCCTAACATCAATGGGCATGTTCTCTTATGTGTTCCCTATTATTTCTGATGGCCGTGACCAGAAACATTTTATGAACAAACAAGAGTTTCTTTATTAGCGATTATTTTCTATAATCTCACGACGTCAATGTTTGGTTCAGTAGTGATACTGTAATGAGAACTTAGATGCTAGTCAAAGGGTTGGTATGGGTCCTGCTTCAATTGCATCATTTATCACACCAGAGAAAAAACTCAATCGTAATTTGGTATACGATTCTCCAGGTATCGTAAACGATCTGTTTGTTATTTCTTGTTATTCAGATCTTTCGAAGCTATATACACTTCTCAAACATATTCCTCGTGGATTGCAAGCCATGGTGACGGAACTGGAGGAACACATTACGAAAACTGGTAAAAATTCGCAAACAGTGATTTGGTTTTCATGTCATCTACAGTGTAGTTCTCATGATTTAAAATCGACCAAACAAGCTGGGGGAGGGGGGGGGAGGAGAAGGGGTATGATGGACCAGACACGCCTGGTTTTGATGGGGGGGAATGCACTGCACATGCGTGAACGGAAATCTGTTATTGTTTAGTATAACCAAACCATTAATCGGGAAGTCTTTATTTGATTTGATCTTTTATAGGTCTTCAAGCAATCAGATCAGTCAAAAATGAAAATGTGAGTGATCCTCTTATATAGCGCCTATACAGTCATTTCCTATTGTCCTTAAAATTGAGAAAGATGTTTTTTTTTTCCGTCTTGTCACGAGCGTGGGCCAAATAAAAAATTCTGAGTCCCCATGAGGAATCGAACCTCAGATGCTCTAACCACTGAGCTTTAGAGACTCCACGGTGAGCGAGGTCTATTACGAAGTTCATATGACACGCGTCCTGCACACTTCTAGGATCAGCAATGTCGATAGCGTAATGTTTGTGGATAGAAATAATAGAGATGGTAAGTTTTGAGCTCGGTAAAGAAATAGAGAAACATGTTTGTTTTCGTCTTTTCACGAGGGTGGGACAAAATTATTCTCTCGTGGGCCATAATTGACATTTAGATTAGACTTTTAGTTAAGCAATACGCCGCATTTCTGTCTTTCACAGGCGTAGAAACCCACGAGGGATGTTGGGAAAACACGATAAAAGTTTGTAAACCACGAGCCGGTAGCGAGTGATTAACAAACTTTTCGAGTTTTAGTGTCTATCAAGGAATAAATAAAGAGTAGCATAGCCAATCAGATTGCAGCATTTGTGCTAGAGCGCTAGTCCAATTATGCTGATGTGCTATGTTCATTATGTGCCTGCAATTTTAGGGCCCACAGCAATATGTAGACGAACTTCTGGGAATCCACAGAAAATTCTCACATCTCATCAAGGATACATTTAGAGACGATCCTGCATTTATATCAGCTTTAGACAAGGTGAGTCATTAATTTATGTCCGTGTATTCTTACACTAAATCAACACTTTTTACCGAGCTTGGCGTACTGTATGCCAAGGTCAGAACAAACTGGTTTCAATCACCTTTGTTATTTATTGAGCCAAAAGTATGCACATGAGAAAGTAGTTCTAATTTCTCACTTATTTTTTTTTCATTCCTCCTCCAGGCTTGTGCAAGTTTAGTCAATTATAGGCATGATCCTAAACGCTCTTCAAAATCTCCAGAACTGGTAATAGATTTAACATTTTCAAACAGTCATAAAAGGTTTTAGAGCTCTTTCCGATTGAGTGTTGTAAACGCAAAACCAAAGCAACCACAGCGGCCAACCATAGCAAGGAAAATATCATGAGGAGCCAATGAGAGCTCAAATAAAAGCAAGCAAAGTGGCGTAAGCGCGAAAAAAAGCGGATGACCAAGTTGCGAATGGTTTTAGTTTTGAATCTTATTGGTTCAGAGAGTGGCACGAGTTTCCTGAACTAATCAAAGAGTGGAGTATTGAAAATTGTTCTCTATCGTGTTGTAGTTATATTGCAGTGTGAGTTTTCGTTACATTAACCTCTCGTCTTGAATATTTATGTATTCTTTTTCGTTTTAATAGCTCGCCAAATACTGCGATTCCATACTGAAAAAGAGTACAAAGAATCTCAGTGATGCAGAGTTAGATGAAAAACTTGGGGATATTGTAAGTTAATAGTTTAAAGCACGTTGTATCATTTTTACTCCGGCTACATGCTTCATCAGTGCTTCCTTGTTACGTGTTCTGTATTCCTACGGGTTCTATTAGTCCAAAATGATAGGGGAAAAGAATTCTACGCTCCATAACACGATAGAGAGAGATTGCAATGTGGAATGAACAACCTCAAGTGAAATTTAATTTTGAAGAATTGTTTTAACCCGCAAACAGCATGTCAGAGCCAAGCCATTAAACAACTACACAAAGCCTTTGAGTCTTGGTGTTTTAACATTTTGGTGAAGCTCAAACAGAATGGTAAATAAACAGGATCCCCGTTATTGAATAATCTTGCTGTTTGAAAGTGAAATTCCAAGACTGCGCGAGACATTAACTTTTCTTAAGGATTTCCTGCTCACAATTGATTTTAAAATGTTTCATTTTTCGGTGACGTTAAGATTGTTCTTGCAATTTTTTCTTCTCTTAGATTATTATTTTTAAATATATCGATGACAAGGACATATTTCAAAAGGTATGTTTTTGTAACTTCCAAATGCATGGAATTCGCTTTATTGCTTTTCCACGTAGAATAATCCATGTGCTGCACTTATTGAAAGCGCAACTACCTTGATTGATCCTTTTTCCTTTTTTTCAGTTCTACTCCAAAATGTTAGCAAAGAGACTTATTCACACACTATCAGTTTCAATGGACGCTGAAGAAGGAATGATCAGTCGCTTAAAGGTGAGTACGCTTACATGACCTAAGGACAGAGTAGACCTTCACGGGTGTCCTTCGCAAAAAAAAAAATTAACGCGGTACTTGAAACGTAACCACCATAAACTGTATATCAGTGGCAATGGAAAGTTCATGAAATTTGCTATCCAGCAAAAATTGTTCCGTTTTAGCCTGATCTAATCGTAAACCGACTGAGGCGCGACAATTCGAAACGGACGATGTTCAGTCCTTTGGGCAAATTAATCGGGTATCAAATCTGACCGCGTAAATAAAACTGCTGCACAGTCAATTTTGAATCCTGAGGGTTGGTCTTCAATACCTTTTGGGGATATTTTTTCGATATTTTTGTTGGTTGCTTGGAAATTTTTCTATCAAGTTTGCTTCTTATCGATGCGTGTTACGTCAGGGCTATTTCGGGAGATCCATTTCGAGAAAAGGAATTCCCTCAGACGGTTTTTCAGGATTTAAGACCCTACAAAAAGTATTATTTCGATTATGAATTTGTTTTACAATTTTAGTTTAATAATCTGTTAAACCTGTACTACTTTTTTTTCTCCGTTTTTCCCTCACTAAACATTATTTTTGAGAGTATTGCTTTGATGGATCGCGACTTGTGGGGTTTACCAGCAACCTTGAAATTTTGCCGCGTCGTTTGGATGGCATCTTTAAGAATAAGGCAAAAATATTTTCAGGAATGTTATCTGCAATTTGCGTCAATCTTTTCAGTCTTAATCCATCTTCCCCTCCTTCTTTTGGAAATATTACCAATAGCCAATGGAAAGCTGCCTGAAGTGCGGGAAAACGCACGTGAACAGGTGACCAGCGTGACCAAGTGACCAGCTGATACAAAGCTGCCTGAACTGCGGGAAAACGCGCGTGACCATGTGCCATTTAGTTTTGGTGTTGTATCTGATTGGCTGAGAGGGTGGCATGTGTGTTGTAGACCAGTCACAGCGCCAGGGAAATGAAACAACTTTAGAGCAATAAAGGATTGCTTTCGACGCTCGATTAAAAAACTCATTTAAAAAACTAAAAATATAGTATTCAGCTATATTACCAGCAATCTTTTCCTCTTGCAGCACGCCTGTGGCTATGAATACACAAACAAGCTTCACCGCATGTTTACGGACATCAGTATCAGCTCTGATCTCAACTCTAGTTTTAACGATTTCCTCTCTAATGCCGAGGTGTCTCTTGGAGTTACTTTTACCCTCTTTGTCTTACAGGTAAATTCATGTCATTCCTAAACATTTAGGCCCAGTTGTTCGAAGGTCGATTAGCGCTAACCCAAGGTTAAACTGTAATCTGGGTTTCTTTCCTTTATTCAAAATCCTTTTTGGGATAATTTTCTGTGTTCTTTTTAGAACACCAGATAGTCATGTTCTAGACAAAAATATTTTCGACTTGAATTTTCTTAGAAAACTTTCAGATCTGAAATCAGATTTCACACCAACCCTGGGTTATCTTAACCCAGCTTTCAACAACCCGGCCCTGCAGTTTTTAAGAGAATTAGATTCTCAGATCATTTTTGCTAAGTAATTGACCAATGTGCAGCACTAGAGCGCTTATTGATTGGCTGTAGTAAAACTAAAAACAAAGTAATCACAACGGCCAATGAGGAGAAGGAAAACTGCGCGGGAAAACGCGGGCGACCAAGTCGTGTTTGGTTCGCATCTGATTGGTTGAGTGAGTGGCGCGACTTTTCTGAACCAATCACAGAGCTTTCGACACTCAGTTATTACTTACTCTATTGACAAGTTATTTCTTACATAAACCCTGTTTCTCTTATAAACTTTTTAGTCTGGGGCGTGGCCTCTTGGGCAGACTTCAATCTCACCACTGTCCATCCCCCAGGAATTAGTGAAATCCGTTCAAATGGTAAGCAACAATGTCTTAAATCCAATTATGTTGTTTTGCTAATTTGTAGATCTCTCTAATTATTAGACTCCCGGCTGATTCCCTCCTTATTTTTTTCTTTGAATGTTTTTTCAGTTTGAACAATTTTACAATGGAAGATTTAATGGCCGCAAATTGACGTGGCTACAACACCTGTCGACCGGTGAGTTGATAAACGGCGCAACAAGTTCAATTTTCTTCCTTTTGTTACTTTTTTGATGATAAAGGTAAAAAGATCGCCAACTCTCTTTGTCTTATCGCAGGTGAAGTCAAAATTAGCTACCTTAAGCGCCCCTACTTCATCACAGTTACCACTTTTCAGATGGCGGTCATATTGCTGTTTAATGAAAAGACAAGCTTGCATTTTAGGTACGTCATGATAATATACCGGGAGGGATAAGCACAGCTGTTAACCCTTAAATTCCCAAGATCTGATTGTTTATTCTCTCCTCAAGTTGCTACACGTTTCCTTACAAAATTGGCTACGAAAATTTGATGGTAGATCAAGATGACAACTCCTACCTGATTAGTTTTATTATTCCTGTTACAAGTTCGCTGGATAATGTATGGATATTATAGGGAGAAGTTGCATGTTGATCACTTCTGAGAGTTCACGGTTTTTACATATCAGTGTAAATTTTTAAAGTTTGTCATTTACGTCATCTTCGCCATCCTGAACTCTTCGACCTCTAAGAGTGACTGGCATCTAATTTCTCCTTACGGTATCACCTCTGAATCAAACATCAAGGTCACGAGAATAAAGAGAATGATCACTAACTAATAAACTATTGATTGTATAACGAATTCTCTTTGTTAGTACCAGAGGAAATATATAGAGAACAGGAAGGAGAATATGTAAACAGTTAACTGATGTTAGGGTAATTGGTTAACGAACTTACTTCATTTTTGTTACGTTCGTATTTCGTGGGTGTTTGTCTTCCCTAGCCAAAGGTTATTGCAAGAGTTTTTTTTTCGATTTAAGCTCGAAGGATGCGCGTTGAAACCGTTTGCTCTTATTTTAGGGGTGTTGTTAAAGGGGAGAGGGGGACTTTTTGGAATGGTTTAAGAGAGCCTCCAAAGGTCCCTGTTATTTTTGGAATTTTTCTGTTGGCCACAATACCCCTAAGCACATAGCTCTCTATTTTAGCATGCGAGCACTCCTGCTGTCACTACGTTCCTCTAGTTTGCCTCGTCAAATGGCTAGAATGGTTAGAAATATCAGCTTTTCCAAATTTCATAGGAGTGTTAATCCTTACACACAGAAGATCTGATTAGAAACTCTGCCCTCCAACCACCATACTTTTCTTTGTAGATAAGTTCTAAGAATTTAATGTTGTATCAAGACACACCCTCTCGCTGATCACTTTCATCATTCTTTTTCGCCTATTTACTCCATTTTGTGTGCAGATGTCCGGGAGTTAACTCTTTAAACCTTGAGATAGACCAGCATCTTATTTTTTCCTTACAATGATACTGTTGAAGCTTTCATTAAGGTCACGAATTCTCGTGGCCTTAATGAATGATTCACAAACCTACAAGGATTTGATGATTAACCGAGGTCTCCTTGTCAGTACCAAAGGTAATGTCTAGGTAAGATTATAGAGAATATAGATACTGATGTTCGGGTGTAAAGGGTTAAGTGTTTGAACGATCAAATGAATTCTCTCTTTCAGCGAAATTCTTGAACAAACCCAACTGGTGGAGAGGGAATTAGTAAGGACGCTACAATCTCTGGCGGACGTACGACTCATATTACTATCTGAGGTAAGGAGAACACAGGGATTAAGCTTTACCACTTATAGACCCAGTTTTGACCAGTATGCATCGCGCACAACCGCCTATGAAAAAAGTTATCGATACTCCAGTTTACTGTTTGTGTTAAGGAGTTTCTGATCATCTAAAAAGCTTCTCATCAACTGGGCTTGTCCGAATCTTTATCATTTCCGTGGTTGTATTGATTTGCGGCCCTTTATTTGGTTTACATTTTATTTTCAGGACGCCGACCCAACCAAGTGTACGTATTCTTTAAACATGGATTTTTCCAGCAAACGGACGAAGTTGAAAATTACTGCCGCAGTCCAGAGGGAAACTCCTCAGGTATATACAGTTACATACAGTTACTGCTACCCTGTTCACTCCAAGTTGTTTCTTTGATCATTAACCAAAATAAACATTAGTAATCCCCTCTCAACAATGGTCGAGCTACGAACAACTTATTCACGAGATAAACGCAGCTATCAAATGAAAAACTTTATTCATTTATTAAGTCTAGTTGTCCTGTTCTTGGTTTTTTTTTAATTTTGCAAATAGAAGTGTATTGTTGGTGTAACTGAAGCATACAGAAGATAAAGAAGACAGTAAGAAGACTGTATTAATCAGTGTTTCGTCCATATCTCTTTCCTTGTAGGACACCGAACAGACCTTGTCAGCGGTCGACGATGACAGGAAAATGTACCTTCAAGTAGGCTATTTGGGGGATGCTTTTTTCATTTTGTCATTTTTCTGTTTTTGAAAGCTGAAGGGAGGTGGAGAAGGGCAAAATAAGAATAAATGATTAACTTATTTCTTCTGCGTTTAGGCTGCCATCGTCAGAATAATGAAATCCAGAAAAGTTTTGAAGCACAACGCTCTTATTCAAGAGGTAAGAGAATTAAAAGTCACTGATTAATAGATTGCAGTATTGTGAGAGCTGTACAGACACGAACTGAGCGGTCCCGGGTTGTAGAGAGTTGCTAAGGGGGTGGGGGGGGGAGTAATGTGTGATGGACTGACATCTCATGGGGGGGTGCAGCAATCAGCAATCCTCTTGGTCGCTTCAACTGGTTTGTGTTTAGAATGCTCCTATACTTCGCTTACAGAGTAAAACACGAAACCAAGATATTTACAAGTATTTGTGCGACTGGAGGTATACCATCAATTCTGCACACCTCCTTTTCCATGTTTTTAAACAAAAAATTAACAAAACCAGGCCAGACGAAGCTGTGGGAATATTTGGTGTTGTTACTGATGTCTTGCAAAGTGTATGGATTAAGAAGGGTCAATTGTGCTGACTTCTGGTGTTTTCTGCGCAACAGGTCATAAGCCAGTCGAGTGCACGATTCACGCCCAGTATAGCAATGATCAAGGTATGCTACAATTAAGTGCGCGGAGTATTTTGTGTTCGCCGTTCATAATGATCAAACTTTCCTTTTTCCACCCTCGTGATAACTGCCAAATGTCTTCCTTTACTCCTCGCTTGTTTCAGAAATGCATCGAAGCACTGATCGACAAACAGTATATAGAGAGACGGGAGGGGAGTAAGGACGAGTACACTTATATGGCATGACGGGAACGCTGATCGATTACCAAGCTCTCAAACAGTCTGGGACTTGTTTGGATATCAAAGGGGCCCATTCTACCCCCTCGCATCGAACCGTTTATGAAGAACAGAGATAAAGACTAGGCCGAGAAGGAGATGTGCCGTAATTTTGTAGTGAAATAAGCTCGTGCTAATCTAAATGAATGGCGAACTGCATACAGTTTTAAGAGCTTCTGTGCTAAGTTTTCTGCGATGCAACACACAGTTGTTTAATTGCTTTCTAACTATGCGCTGACTTTAAAACTTGTGCGCGCGATGCCTCGTATTTATTGAAAATTTTTCCTCCGATATATTTTCGAGGTACATTAACTGAACGCAATTCTGAGTAATTGATGGGTAAGTTTCTATTTTTCGCCATTTTCATCGAATTTTTTTTTTAGAACAATTTATTTGCCAAGGGCATTTTTTTTCCTCCTGTAAACAAACATTTTCTTCTATAGACTTGTTTATTTGAATTTACAGCATTGTGACTTGGTATCTTTTTGTACATTAGTCTACTTGTGGAGTCTAAGAACTAGTGTTTGGTTTTCTTTGATAAATCCTCTTTTCCCTTGGAATGGTCAATTGTGAAGGTCATGTAAAGGACGTATCGTTCACCCTTCTTACCATAAAAGCAGCGGTCGAACGTTGGGCATGCGCGAGAGGATCCATTCTGGCCGGCCACGCGCAAATTTAGAAAAGGGCATATGAATGGAGTAGTGTGCTCAACCCCTAAGCTTTCAGTAACCGACGTGCTGATGATCCTTTTAATCTTGAACAAATACAAGATCAAAGAAAGGACGAAACCTTTGAGGGGAAGATTGGTGCTTAGGGGTCCTTTTCAAAGTTAGTACTTTTTAAAAAAAACGGCAAATTCCTTTTATATATATGAAAGAAATGATGTAGGGGACAATAAAAGACACCGGTCACATCACATTATCACAATAAAATTCTCTTTCGGAAGAGTTGAAAACTCATTTCAGCGATGCACAGAAACTTCGACGTACTCTCGTCCACATCTGTCTTTGACAGCTGATTATGTTTAATTTTCGAGTGGCCTCCTGACCCCAATCAAAAACTGAAGGCGACAGTAAATCTTATATGGAGCAACAACAAAAAATGGGGACGAAATTCACATATCGTCCTTCAACCTTGACATTAATTTAAGTTACCATTCTGTTAAACCTTTTTTGAAAGAGTACATTTCCTGAATGCCTTAATATGGACGAGATGTCTGGCTAAGCTCTACCTTGTTGACCCCCCAGTTACATTTCAATTAAAAATTTGACCTCTGTAATGAGAAGGCAATTTTACTCTTCAACTCGTTTTCCATATGGTACATTTCGTTATTTTCTCTGAAAACAAAGAGGCGCAAACTACTATGATTGTGTTGCCGTACATTTTCCATTCGAATAACAGGTTAATTATTTAAATTACAAGAACCCGGACACGTGGGAATTTTCCATTTCAATTTCTAGTGTTCAGCGTCCTTATCTTTTTCAAAGTTGATATAAATGAGACAGACCGAATGTCTACTACATTCGTCACGGTGAAAAATTGCTGCATTGTTGTCTAGTACTCACTTATTTCCATATCGGCAAAAATGTCGAGACGCGATATCGAAACCCTAGTTTTGGCAGCAAGGATCGGAAAAGAAAGCAAAACTCAACATAAAGGTTTCAATTTCGTCCCGAGGCACAAATTTTGGACGTAAATAAGCGGCTGCACTGATAAGGTTGATAATTCAATGGGTTCTTTTTAAAGCTGTTTTACTATTGGCGACAAGTAGATCACGTGGTAGATTGGATTAATTACAGTAAAACGACTGTGCATTATAATAATTAGCGGAACCTTAACTGATCCAAAGCTAAACTTCTGCTACTGGTTAAGCTGGGTTTAAACGGACTTAAACAAATACCAAGGCTTAGAGTTATCTACTGCGATCCCCGTGAAAGAGAAGAAGAGTTTTTTCCTGGAATTACGCGGGATTTATAAAGAGACCACTGCTTCAAAATGGAAAGAATACGAAAAGTTTCTAATCACAAACCGCTCAGGTTGGTTGTTGTTTACATATTCATTAACTTATGAGTTGTGAAACTAATTAAGTTTTATTCGTAAACAAGGTCCAAGTGCAATTTGGTCAGTTCCTTACACCGGATTTTGCATAACGTTTCAATATTTGTTTTGTATTTGTCTTCAAAATGAATCAAATTTTAAAAACAGATATTTGGTAATTGTATGTAATGTTTTCCGTCAGGTTAGTGTAAAGAGAACATAAACGATACGCAAGTCGATGCGTTTCAAAGGTTTTCAGACCTCTGCAAAGTAACGATTATGCAAAAAATTGTTCGAGGATGGATTTTCTAAGCTTGCCCGAAGGTATATTTTCAAATCTCGGCACTTCTTTTTCGCAATATGAAGCGTTTGAGGATCAATTACCCTTGGGAACAGTTTGTCTAGTGGATCAGTTCGGTTCCACCGCCTTATCAAGAAGACAACGAAAGGTGTTATTAGCATACTAAAAATTAGAGATCACTAATTAGAAAATACGCGCGTACGATTTTTACTCACGAATTGAGTACCATCAGAAGACGAACGAGTAAGCGCAGCGAACAAGTGAGCCTCAAAGCGCAGAGAGGCTAGCGCGCCGTTTTAGTCGAATGTCGTTCCCTCCACTACGTTCTTTCATCACAAGTGAAATTTCGTTGCTGGCGTTGTTGATTGCACGAATGATATTTTTTCATATATTTTCAACCCAAATAAGACTGTTAAGTTTTAGACAGAACGGTTTCACACAGTTGACAACAAAAAGTATCAACACTGTGCTCGTTGTACTCAAGTTTCCTCAAAATTAGTGACAAGTAGTTTTCAGCAAGTTCTTAAAACATTTATTACTCCTCTTCTTGTTTGACACATTTTGTGCTTTCTGTCATTTACAAGAGAAAATGCATAACATGCGTTGTTAATTAAGGCCACTTGAATATTGGTGATAAAAACGAAGGACCAGAATTTGGATCCTGGTCGGTTCCTTGAGGGAAATGAGAAATCAGATTCTAAACTTCATCATCTTGCTCCGAAAAAAATATAATTAAAAACAGAGCAAAAGAGAAACTTCAATCAACTTAAGAAAGGGCATATATGGGTCTAAGGTGATTCTACATAGTTTGCTAACTGAGAAACGATTGTCTGAACAGACACATTGAAAAATAACGCGAATAAAATTGCCATGTTTTTAAAAGTTTATAAGAGATATGAGAGCTTTTTGTGAACGAAATATCCCATTCTTACTTACAATAACTTTGCAATGAAAATTAAATTAAACTGAGGTACGAAACGCTGGTGTTAAACACACAAACCAAAGAAAAAAACACTATGTCATTTACAAAAATTCGCCAGCAACTAATTGTTTTGACGATCTCGAGAGAACTACTCAATTCAATTAACAATTTATAGGTGCTGAAGAGTGCTTTGGGATTTAATAATCTTCGCGAGAAGGTAATTAGCATATGAAAGACAAGATCAGCACAATGAACAAAACTTCGTTAATAACAGTGCCATTAGGCGCAAGTAAAAATTATTCTAGAGACCATGTTTTTACAGGGAGAGAAGACGCATATTCGATGATTTTCAAGAAAACAAATCGAAAATTGAACGTGAGTACATACAGTGTAGTCCTGATGAAATCTGTAATATTTTTGATAACGTGTAAACGCAGAGGAACATTTTCTTCGTAAAATTAATGAGATATTCAGATCAAAACATCTAGTTGTTTGTGCAGGTAAAACACACGTCCAGTTATCTGTTTATCTGAGATTCGAAGTCGATATAATTTTTTCTACATCCATTTTTCTGATCCAAGTTCTATGCAAATATACCTTGTTGTCGACACAACCAATATCGATGGTCCCTGTAAAATTACGACCTGGTCCAACAATAACCATTTACGTTTTCCCACTAAAGTTGTTTTTACGCTAAAGCGGTCACTCGCTTGTTTTTACCCTCGAGCAGGAATTTGTACTCAAAGGGTTTTTTTTTAATTTGAAAGAATGCAGTATTGTGGTAAAAATGTTGTCTTATAGGCCTTTGAACCGTCGCAGATATAGTACAGGTAAAACATTGTTAATCAAATTAGATCCTCTTTTGATTGGTAAAATAACAAAAATTCAGAGCGAAATATTTCGAATGACCTTGATTTCTGTTTCGTGATGTATGTTGTTAGTGAAATTATCATCATGAAGAGCGATTCGTTTTCTCTACGTCTCGGTTTTGAAAAATCTAATTAATATGAAATTACGGCTGAAAGCAAAACTAGATACTCCAGAAATTTTATCACTTTTCATTTATGTTGAATGACCAATGCTGTGATAAATCTCTTCGAAATACAAACGTTTGAACGCGATCCTAGTTCGCGTATGTTGCCTTGCACTATTTGCTACCGCCTTGCTTGCGCTGTTTATTGTTTTCCTGAACCTACAGAAATGGACTCTATTGTTTAGGTAATTTTCTTTAATCCTGGGCCTTTTTTCTTACATCCTAGGGGTCTATTCTCAAACAAAAGTTACGAATGTCAAAAATTAAAATTTCTGCTTTCCCGCTGTTAGTATTGACCAGAGAGTTTTTTTTTCGTCAAAGCAAGAATAAACTTATTGTAATCGACCTCTGTAAAGGATAAAACAGATAATGCAAATGTTTTGGAATTGATAGAATGATATGTTATAACCCAGAGTGAACCATGGGCCTCTCGTGGCCAGTTCAGTTTTCGCTGAAAAATGCAATAAAACATAAATAATTGCTAAGTTACGAATAATACCAAGGTTAGTCAGCGACGCTTCAGCAAAATAAATCAACCGCGTGAAGAAATTTAGCTTCTAGAACGAATTTAATCAACCATCGATTACATATTTGTTTCTTGAAGAAAATTATCTGGAAAAATGTCTATTGGTAAATTTTAACTCCACTAACAGTTTTTAAAAACGCGACAAATCAAAGTAAAAACACTTTATCATTAAATTAGCCTTTCATTTGCTAATTACATAAAAATCACTCGCTGACTGACATAACTGCTTTCCTCAAGAGGAACATTGTTCATTTGACGTTGTAAATCGATTATCTAAAGGATGTTTTGTTCTTCTTAAAATAAACCATTTGTTTCGGCAAGTCTTTGTGAACGGGAAGTAATTCCGATTAATTAAATTGTATACAAAACCGAAGTTTCTACTCCTGAGGCACATTTTTGGAACATCTCGTTTATTTTATAGGAGACCAACTATTATTTAAGATTTTTCGCCTTATCAAAACTGTCAGCAGCGCAGATCCAGAAACCCATTCCAAAAACTTTGAAATGTTTTGGACACTTGTTAATAAATTTCAGTCCTTGTTTTACGAGGAACCCCCGGGTCATCGTCAGGAACTTAGGTTATTTCATTAGCAGTAACGATTATTTCTAAGTTCAAATTAGGAAAGAAACTTCCGCACTTCCAAAAAATAAAGTTTGGATTTTTCATGACTTGTTCTTTGATCCAAGGAAATTTTAGATTTGTGGAACAAATCTGCCATATATATATATATATATATACATACGTGCAATCACAGACTGACTTTGGAGTGTTTTTTTTTCTATACAAAACATGAGTCGCTGAAGTAATTGAATGAATTGACCTTGAACTAACTATTGCAACCAACTTTTGGGGGAGTCGGCTCTAAAACGCTCGCTTAAGCAAGAGGAACTGAGACTCTTGCTCTGGATTTCGTTCTTTATTCAACTAAATGCTCAACAGTTCAACTGTTTTTTCAACCCAAACAAGAACACCACAAGCAAAACCCAAACAGGAAGTACGTTGTTCCTGTTGTTCATCGCAAAGATACTAAATATTTTTTTATCAATCTGATAAAGCTATAGAGGTTGAAAGTTAGGCAGCTGGACATAAAACACTTATCAGGAAACACAACACGGGGGCTAGATCTACCACCCGGATAACTAACTTTAAAAAAGAACTCATAATTTCGAGTTCCGACACAACGTCCTTTCCAATCCTCCCCCGTGGGATTTTGGGAATGGGGGATCATTCGAACATAACCCTATCTTTTCTCAGATTGTTTCGAGCTTTGTTTGCACTATTTACTGAGAGCAACTTCGTCATTCAAGGCTGAACAGCTCAAGGTCTCTCGCCAAGCATGTGAAATTGGTCGGCAGGGGTGAATAACGTAAGATCCTAATTTTTGATATCGATAGCTTTGGAGTAACGCTCGAGACGTGTGAGTTATCGGGTCTAACACGATCAGATATAATGGGACGTAAGAAAACACGCCATAGGGTGTTTCGATCGCGATCGGTACCTTCAGCACTTTCTAAAAATATGCCATTTTGACCGTAAATCGTTTCAAACACCTTCATCTGTTCATATTTCGTTGCATTCGTCGATCTCAGATGCTAGTACAACTGTTAACGTTTCTACGTTCCCAACCATAAGTGTGCTTAGATGAGATGATGGATATGGAAGTAGGCGAAGCGTTCGAAGCGCTAAATTCAGCGTCAATTAATTTTTCATTTGTTGAGTTGAAAGGGCTGGGTCTCCAAACTCCTTTGAATGGTTTATAGCCACAGGAAGAAGCTAAGAGTGTTGCTACCCCACTCCCCCCTGGATGTGATGCCAGTCAATCCAATTTACCCTCTCCCCGAGCAGTTCATCACGGTTCCTTGACAATTCGCTACTACCCATTTATACTCCTGGCCATGTGTGGAGAGGGGCACTGTGAGTGTAAAGTGTTTTTCCTGAGAACACAAAACAATTATCGTATTTGTTGACTCTTAGTTCATCAATTTATGAGTCCTTATGACATGTTAGAACACGGAGCGCAAAGCTATTAAAATTCTAATGAAGGATAAATGCTGTCTTTTTTCTCAAAGACGGGTCGTTAATTAGTCCCGTTTCCATGGTCTTCGTTGAAAATAATATGCGCGGTTTAGTTCAGCAGCTGTTTGGTAAAGCTACACCATTACTTTGGTTGATAGCTGTAACACCCAGGTGCAAAGAGCATGAAGTCTATTTTTGGCAGCAATAAAGCGCAAATCGTTTGTTGTTAGGCCAAAGAATGTTTGTTTAAACGCCCTTGCACAGGTTTCGTGAGCAAAATCAACCTGGCTGTTTTCAAAACATGTCAGCTTGTCACAAGCACGAAGCAATTCTCTTTCTGTCTTGAGTTTCTTTTGTGTGTGCGTAGTCTCCCTGTTGACACAGCTAATGCATGGCAAAGAAATATACACGCCTGAGATGACGTCAACTGTAATGAACATAAGAAAACCATGCGCACTGCACAAGCGCCTTAATTACGGGGGCCGCAAATTTTGAGGAAGGAAAATCCCTTGGTGAGGCTGAGGAAGCTGATTAACCGCGTGCACGGTCGAAGGAACCTATAGAGATAAATTCAGACTTCTTGTCAAGTGAAGTTTAGGAGAGAGATTTCGTTACACAAGCGTGAATCAGCGAAGGTACGTTACTCGCGCGCGGGATCTGTGTGTGGAACAGAGGGTTTTTTTTAGATGTTCGCCAGTGTTTGCATACGTTATGCATTCCTTCGGAACTAAACCAAAATAAGGGCAAAAGGCTCTAGGTAAACTCCATTAAGGCTATTTCCAAAGAACTGTCATGTGTTACGAGTCATAAAAAAACGCCGCTTGTCGGGAAAAATGGCTGTTTCAAGGTCGCTCCAGAAACTCTCACTAAAACGACCATTTTAAAACGTTTTCTTCCCTGTATTCTCGGAAGGGAATGTTTTTATTTGCATACTTCAGCTAGAGTAAACTGTGTTTCTATCGTGGCATTCCGTTGTTTAGTACAAAATCATCGAAGTTTCCGGACAATAAAATCATAATTGCTCGAGAGAAGACAATTCCATTTGCCTCGAAATCATTTACCACGGAACTACTTCGAATTTGAAAGTAAAGTCTTGTGAACAGTGGAAATTATAAATACAAATCTACTCAGAGTTTCTTTCATATATTTATGCATTCTACTTATCGGTTTTCCAGCCCCAAATATTCTCTTTTCCAGTACTAGTCAGCTAATACAGAAATTCAATTACTTTACATAATGCGCTTATAATTACATTTGTTAAAGTTTTGTAAGAGGCCAGTTGAATTCACACAATAAGTATTTATCGCGCTGTTGTAGCTTACTTATTTTGCATAACTGCACTTCGCTCGTTGACTTCAATGTTTATCGCGATGTCTTGCAAATCGCAAATGATAAATAATGAATCAAGATTTGGCGCTCGAAGATAACTTTTTCAAGCGAGACATTGCGTTGAATGATAAGAAGTTCATTGCGACAAAGCGATGAAGGTAAAGTTGCCTTTAATTCAGCAAACTTTTTCAAAACTTCTTTCAATTAATAGTGCAACTTTACAAACTAATTACTTTTGTTTATGTAATAACGATTCGTTTCGGGCCATAAAACTCTCATAAAGTCAGTTTTAAGGTGATGTCATGCCGGGATAATGTCATCCTGACTTTGTGGTTGGTAAATAACCTCGTTATTTTATCTTATGATAATAATCATTAATGGGATCATGAAAGAATTCTGTAAACGTTTCTATTTTGGGTTCAGAATTAGTCAATGACACAGGAGGAAAATTTGAGAATGGAACAGATACCTTTGAAATCTATCATTTTTCTTTGTTCTTGCGCTTTGTTTTGATGAAACAGAAAAATTCCTCCTTTTCTTCGTCACAGATAAGCTAATCTTTCACAGAACATTTGCGATAAATAATACGCTCTACTGAGACTTCAATTAATATAAAATTTAAGGTTTAACCGCAATTGGCAAACTTCACTAACGGTTTTTCCTGCTATGACATAAGTACTTATTTCTGTTCTTCTTCACCCCTTTGTCTGTTATTCAGCTAATATGTTTAACAGTGACAAGAGGAATCACTAAAAAAAACACTTCTTGCAAGTTACATGCTTTTGCCTCTCGCCTAAAAGGCACCGAAAATTCCTACCATCATTTGATTATCACCTCGTACCATCAAAGTTTAAAAAAAAAATAATACCGTTTTACAATGATTTACGATTCTGCAAATGTTTATTACAACTTTAAAAGCGTACGTAATGATTTACTAAATGCCTTTGACAAGAATTCATTCATGGAGAGACCATGCAGTAAAGCGTTATCAAGGAGTTTTTTAAAACGACGATTGCGACGCCGTGGAAAACTTCGGTTTAGAAAATGAACTTATATTTTACCTACGAATCTCGCGATACTCTTAAGTCATTTAGTTTGTTTTTCATTGTTCAAAATATCTCGAAACTGAACATGAAACTCAGCGTTAAATTAGAAATAGAAATTTAAAAAACTAGCCGTCGTCGTTCACGTTCTCCAGACAACGCAAAGTTTGGTCATTGCACGTTGTTGTTTTGCAGAAAGCGCAAAGAAATTTACAAAGATTTATGACACTCGTGCACAGCCCTTGTTCTGCTCGTTAAGCTCTTTGTTTATTGTCGTTGCCGTTGCCGTTACCGTTGCCGTCGTGGTTTTCTTAAACTATCTATTGACTATAACGTGTCTACATGTTTGCTGCCGAAAAGCACAACACCTGATTTCTGCTAAGAGACTCAAACTATTTCCACTGACCTACAGGCCACCCATGTTGCAGTTATCATTTAAGTACTACGAGTTTAATGGCAATTTTGGTGAAAGATAAAGGCTCTGATTTGCAAATTTGGCCTCTAAGATCTCCTTAAGTCTTTTCTACATTCCCTAATATAGCTAAATATGATTTTATAACACATTTCTGATTATTTATTACTGTTTCAACCTGAGAGTTTCAGAAAACGCTGTTTTGAGTCAAAACATCTTGCTTTTTTCATCAGGATTTGAAGAGGATTATCTCAATGATTGTTGTTTTCTTTCGTTAAAGAACGAACAAGCAAAATTAACATGAGCTGTTCACTTTTGAAAAAATGAAAATTCAGGTGTTAGCTCTTTTGTATCAATCTCCGAAGTCCTCTCGAAAATTTTTTTTATTTTCTTTGGGAGATCAAAATCCAAATGGAAGATTTATTACCCTGGAAAAAAGATATGCAAACTTGATCGAAACGTTTCCAACACCCACCGTAATCATCTACATATGTCAAGTATTGCTGGGAAATTTCCGCTGAAGGTGAAAAATGAGAAAAGAAGTGTTGCATGGCAGTCCTCTGAAACAAACAGCTGAAGCGGTATTTGTATTCTCTGCGTCAATTATAGAAAGTTCTCTTAATTTCTTAACCTTGAAGGTGATTAGGGTCTCCATCTGCCATTCCGTCTATTCTAAGATCCGCCACAGTCGTAAGAGGCACGATTTCAGCCTCGGGATATTTGAGACAGAGCGCCAGTCACTATTTTTGTCCATAGCGCGTGAATAACGTCAATGGTTTACGGCACATTAGTTGCTTATCACTTTAAGCCTTATCAACTTTCTAATGACATTAAAAGGGCATGTCTAGGTCTTTGATAAATGGATTTTTTTCAAAACAAATTGCTAAAAATGTATCATTTGTCTCAAACTGGCTTGTTAAGCACCTTGGGAAAAAATTTAAGAGATATTCAAAGTAGCCTATTATTTAAGTAAACTGACCATTATAAAATGAAGGGTTTAGACTCTTAAGAAAAAGTGCTCTTTGCTGCAGTGCACACGGACGTCTAGTACAAGAATCTGTTCGTTAGAGTTGCGGCATAAAATGGTGTAAAGTTGGAACTGAATTGTGTTCTGTAGGTCCTTACATTTAAAAAGTTCTCTTGAAAAAGATCTGGGAAGTTTTCGTGGTCTGTCCAATTTGCTATATTGTGGGAACGCACCTTTTAATAAAGTGAGTAATAATTTGAGTTGGTTCGCGTAACGAGGGGCACAGAGAGCCAGGATTAAAGTCTTTATAGAATGAACGAGAAGCAATGTTGAATACTCATTAATACGTCACACAAGTGGAAGGCTGACGCTCTCGCCACTGCGACTTCCCCCATTCCCCATTACTGTGATCACGGATGGTCACGGAACCCTTAATAGGATCTACGTTTTTGTGGAACAAATCGAGTTCTATCAAAATGTCATATGATCTAGGCAAACATACTGTATTAGACGGCCTTGTATGGTTTGGATTGTCATCATAATGAGGAAAAGGGTGAAGGATTGAGTCGCGATTTTAATTACCAATAAAATATTGAGCTATACGCAGTTTGGGCCAACTACAACCGCTATCGCAGATCTTGAAAGTGACATTTGTATTCTTAAGGGTTCAGATTGTTCGTATATCTGCTTAGATAACTAATGTATTCCACGTAATTATGATTTTGTTATCTGTCGGGCTAACGAGATGTTTCAGTTCTTGTTTGTGTGCCTGTTAGTGCAGTAAAAATTCGAGACATTTTACAGGTTCGAATGCCTCACGACCGGGTGTGTTCTTGCTCAGAGGCTTTGGCGGCGCAACATTTGGCATTTTTCGAGATTATAGTTCTTAAAATTGACGCAATGAATTTATCGTCTTGTTTTATCGTTGAATCGTACGGCTTAGTAAAAGCCTATCGCGAAGACCCTTTATATCAAGAGTCCTAATCGATTCTGTCAGAACTATTGAGAAATGCCATCTCGCTGATTAATATTTGAAACGAAGGTAACCAAACGAACTTAGCTTTTCTTTTCTAGTTTCGAAACAAAATAAGAAACAAAACTGTCGACCTGTTGACAAAAGATGTCGTGATTAGATAAGCCCCTTCTTTTTGTGGTTCATAGGTGCATTGCACTTGAAATTCCACTCATTTTACAGACCGCATACTTTCGGACACTCGAATCTTCGCACGCGATCTGCATTTTCAATTAAGTGTATTTTTGTAAAAGCTCGTGAAGTTAAGCAGCGTAAAAGAGGGCGGGTCAAAACAGTAGAGTTGTTCTGATCTTATTATTGGCGTGAGATATGTTTTCGTGGAGTATTATTAGTCTCTATAATATATTTTTCATTCAGTTGGAATAGGCGACTTGATGTTGTTATCGTAGGTTTAAAAGTACTCTGGTTCATCATGACAAAGACTGCTTCCCTGATGTAGTGTAATAAATGCGTAGGGAGAGATCACTTACCGTTCATTCTAGTTTTTGGATCTGATTCATTAGGAAGTTGAAACGTGAGTAAAAACATGGGTGAACAGGTTTGGCCATAAACTGTGTCGAGTGATGAAAAACGGGCACTGATTTGAAAGATTATATAAGCCCAAATAATGAGAAATTAGACGCATGGTTTATCAAGAAATCAATTGGAGTTCATTGTGAACTAATTGCCCTAAGACTTTACTAATTTTCGCTTTTCATTTCTTTTTTGTGGCATAGCGTGTACAAGATGGAGAGGAAACGAAAAAACAGAACAGGTATAAACATCAATTAAGCACATGTACTTCTCATCTTTGTGATTACTAAGGCAAAATATGCTTATCACGATAAGGTCTGATGCTTCACGATAATCCCTGACTGGGGTACAAGGGTCGAATCGTGGCTGGCACACGAAATGCTTCCGGTGAAATAAATTCTTCTTAATTACAAGTTAGACTTACTTTTCAGTTCTTGTGCGAAAGATACTGAATGAAAATATGGCGTTGAAATCTCCGGGAGTGACCACCCTTGGTTCTGAAAGCAATACCTTTCGTAAAGAGTATGTCTTTACTTGCCATACCTCAAGCGTTTCTAAGCCTTTTTATCGCATTTCATGTACAGTTGCAGATATGAATGCCATAAACATGAAAACAGCAGAAGAAAAACCCAAACAGGAAGACGAGGAGGACGAGGAAGAGGAATTCGTCAAATATGGTGCAGTGGATGAGTTTTACGATTTGGAGAAAGAAATCGGCAAGTAAGTGCGCGCCATTTGGTTTTAATTGTAACATGACGAAACAATGAATCTCTGCCAAAGGCTTCTTACTGTAATTTGATGGTATTAAACAATTACTCTGCGATGGCTTGCAAGCCGTGGTATCGAAAAAGAATTCTTGATTGAAAAAGGAAGATATTAGCCCACTTTGAGTTTCGCGTTTCATGAGGCAGAAATGAGTATTCCCCTGTGCCGGGGAAAAATTCGCCTTTACGCGGGATGTTTATAGCGTCATGGCAGTACATCAGTCAGTTTACCGTTCCTCATAAGTAATGACTTCCCGGTTTTTATATTGGCGGCTTTATGTCCAATGACAAAAAAATTCTCTATGAGCCGATATGTTGGAGATATGTCACAATCAGTCAAAAGATTTTTCTAGGAATCTGTCTCGAATTTTGTATCGACGACGAGGAGTTGATGTTACCCACAGTAATCTGTTGCGCGAGTGATAAGGGATAAATGAAAAGATGTCCCAATTTCGCGTGCACAGTATTCGCTTCCCATAATTCACGCGGCGCCGGTTTTTATTTTTGGCGATGTCTGTTAACTCGTGTAACGGATGTTGCTGAGAGGGAGAAGAAGAAAGAGAAAGACGCCGGTTGTGCGTAGAGGGAGCGCTGCACTGAAATCAGGACGGAACCATTTGCAACAAAAAAACCAGGGGGTTTTCAATAAAAGCCGCAGTTACCGGCAGTGTATCGCCGACAAGACCTCAGACCGCCTTATGTTTAGCTTATGGGCAGGCTCTCAAAATTGGGTTTCGTCATGCGGCCCTTTTCCAATTAAACCATCAATTAAGCCGCCGATTAAACCATCGGTATTCGCTTATGGAAAAGGGGTTTTTGAAACTCCCGAAAACATCCTATTTTTTGAAGGAGCGGTCGTTGACAGGAGACTGAATTCCCCGAAAATAGCTCGTTTGGAGGGGATTTTTCTCGCTGCGGGATTAACTTTGATGTGACTTAGGAATGCGTTTTTAGAACTAAGAAAATTTTTTCTTCAGCGTTATACGAACTCACTTGACAATATTTGTAAGAAGACCAGTGTTATAGTGAAACCCAAGGCTTGAAAGTACGGTTTCGCTTTTAAGGAAGCCTCAGCTAAACTTCGTGCAAATAACCGACCCTGGATGGTTGCTAATAGCTTTCAAGATACCGAAACACTAAAAAAGCTTAAGAAGGAAATATCACCCTTAGAAACCTAACGGATTTCTAATCCACTGTTGTTTAAATAAGATAAAATATCCAACTCAGGGATAAGTAAACTGTTTTGCCGATCGAAGGCTTACCAAAAATGCATAAATTTTAGTAAAGTTTATTAACCTCTTACCATTTCAAATACGTATCCTCTGTATTGAATTCAGAAGAGGGTTTGCCAATCTTGCGTCTGGCAATGGTCCCAGTTTATTCCAGCAGGATTTACTAAAATAAAAGATTCCATGTTGCGGTGCGTTTGTTCTGTAATAGACCACAGATGACGTCAATATGTGGTAGGAGCAAAATAGTGGCCCACGAGGTGCAGCCGAGTGTGTCTCTGATGTGTTAGCTACATTTTGACGGCCTCTGTGATCTATTACTGTTCAGATCCACGGCAACATGGAATCTATTCGTTTTAAATGACAAAAAACAAAACAAAATGTTGCTACTGGTGAAGTCATCTATGCGTCTGTCCTCCAATAGATCATAAGAAAGAACCAATCAAAATGCAGGTGTAATTTAGCTTATCATATAATCAGTTATAGATCTGAGCTGATGCCTAATTATGATAGGAAAAGAAAAAGTAGCGCAGAAGCCGCAGGCGACTCTGATGATCTTACTTTCCTTAGATGAGCTCGACTCGAACATTTTTTCCCTGGTATGTTCAGCTGCGCGAGACACTTTTCTTGAAGAACTCCTGTACGATTTTTTTTCAATCAAGATTTTTGTGGCCTTTATGAGATCATCTCGTAAACTCCTTTTATAACTGTTGGTCGGAAAGCACGAAGATAACAATATTTCTTTGACGTCAGCCGTTCGTCTGTATTAAATCAGATAGATTATAGGCCACGGCCAATCATTGAATGCACAGAATTCAGTTTCTTTCAGTGGTTATGCTAAACAACCTGAGAGTGAAAACTAATCATTTTTTAAGGTCGGTACATAGTAGCTTACGTTTAGCCACTCGTACCAGACTCCTAGAAATCTCTCCTTTTCGGCGAAGTCCATCGCGGGCGGTTAAAAAATATCAGTGAAAAAGAAAATTAATGTCAGTGCTCTGCGAGGAACTCTGGGAGTGAGGCGGACGGAAAATAGAATCAACAGACTAAGCCAGAGGGTTTGACTTTTGCGTCGCACTTTTAAAGCAAAACATGATTTGTTCAAGGCCAGAAAACCTGTCAACAGAATGTCAATACTCGAGTTCAATTACCATTCCGCGTGACGCGTTAATATCATTTTTTTTCACTGTTTATTTTTGGACTCGTATAACGGACTTCGCCGAAAAGCAAGGCGCAGTTTACATCCCCACTCACGATCTGAGATGTTTTTCTTTTTTTCCTTTTTAGAGGCGCTTATGGAACAGTGAAGAGGTGTACTCATAAGACCAAAAGAAACAATTATGCGGCTAAAATAATCAAGACAGCGAATAGCACCGTCAGGAAGACCGTGTTGCGAGAGATTGAAGTGATGCGAGCCCTTGGAACACATAACAAACTTGTTGAACTTGTAGATGCTTACCAGACTCCATTTGAAATCGTGATGGTCCTTGAGCTGTGAGTTTAGATTTAAGTCCTTCTTGTAATACTCTCTAAAACGCTTGGTCAGCTTCTCTATGCAAATAGAAGCCTCGAGACTACAATTTACCCGAGGCATTTCTGCAGGTTTCTCTAAGACTTAGCCGCCGGGTCATTTCTCGGTACGGCTTATATGGAAACTCGTAGGAAGTCTTTGACGACTTTACCTTCATCTTTGTTAATTTGTTGTAGGGTGGAAGGAGGTGAGTTGTTTGAGCGAATCGTTGCTGAAGAGTATCTGATGGAGGAAGATGCCGTGGACTATGTCAAGCAAATCCTTGAAGCTTTACAGTTCATGCATGAAAGGCATGTTGTTCATCTGGATCTAAAGGTGATGAGCGGGACCTTATTGTTCTTTTCAATCCATAAAAAAACTCATAAGAATTTTCTCTGTTGCTTAGGGTTGAGGTCATATTTATAAAAAGGATGTCTACAGGAATTACTCGACTTCTGACCTCATTTATCGTGACATTTTCCTGCATGGATAAGAAGGTTAACAGCCGAACGCGCTGACCGATTGCGCCACGGAGACTGCTTCATGGCAAAATGTTTGCCATTCTAATTATGTTTACTATCGTTCCTTCCCTTTTATTAGCCAGAGAATATTCTGTGTGTGAGTATGCATTCAAATGACATCAAGCTGGTTGACTTCGGACTCGCCAGGAGTCTGGATTCCGAAGAAGAAGTTAAATCTTCCTTTGGTACTCCGGACTTTGTAGGTAAGATTCGTTTAGAAAAAAAACTCCCAATAAAATCAGCTCGTAAAATCCTTGCCGATCATTTCTCTGTAAAACCATTCAGTAAAAAATTAAATATACGCAGCGAATGTCTATGCACTTGCTATGCACTTCCCTTTAACTTGCAGGAACAAAGTAATTTCCTAACTGTCTGCAGGGCCTTATTACTATATTACTTGACAAATTAAGGAGAGTGTGGGAACAAGAATTATTGAAAATAAGTTATTACGATTTCATATTGCAAAAAAGAAGAGTTAAGACTTTCGGCTGGCTATACGAACAAAGTTCGGCCGTTGTTTAGCAAAGTCCATAGACATGCTCCTTTTACAAAACCTTTAACTGAAAAAAAATACAATTAGTTACCTTCAAAAACCTACTTGTAAAGAAAAAACTACGAACCAAAGTAGACCTTTGTTTAAACAGCGGGTATCCATCTCTCGTCAGATCATAATAAAAGTGAATCACAAAAGCTGCAAATTCGTCCCCGGGTGGGCTTGAACCACCAACCTTTCGGTTAACAGCCGAACGCGCTAACCGATTGCGCCACGGAGACGGAATTAGAAATGGAGTATTTCAAAAGTTCGAAAAGATTTTCTGTTTGTTTTTCTTCCTAGCTCCAGAAGTAATACGGATGAAGCCAGTGTCAACTGCTAGTGATTTGTGGTGAGATTTTCAGTTGTTTAGACCTTTGAAATTGGAAAAACTGGTGGATAATTTGTTGCCCTTTACTAATGTCTTAATATTTCATATCCATGAAACTTGGATTTTTAATTCCTTTTCATTGTTTTTTTCAGGAGTCTGGGTGTTGTGACTTATGTCCTGTAAGTATACAACAGCGCGAACCTCATTCTTTTTAATTGATTCCCAGAAGTGTTTCATATGTAAATTCTCCCTAAAATATCAACACCTTATCCAGCACACAGGTGATGAGAATAGACAAGATTCGCGCACTCAGATTGGTCGAGGATTACGTCATATCTCGCTTAAGTATAAATCTGCTATCCTAGCACAAATGCTGCAATATGATTGGCCTTTTACCCGCTATCTATTCCGTGATAGATATTTAGTAGAGTTGTTAGAATAATTGTGGGCGATTTTGAGTAAATGACTCTAAAAAAGCGAACCTGTCTGGTTGGTAAGTTTTTAAAGACCAGTAGATGCTTAAACAATTAGATCTTTATCTCTCAAGCTTCTCTCTCGTCGAATGTCACACGATTCGCAGTTCAGTGTCAGAGTAATCCTGAATTGCATTGGTTTTGCTTTGCTTCGATTTTTGATTGGTCCAGAACAAATCAGATATAAAATCAAAACCAATCGCGACTTGATCACTCGCGTTTTCCCACTCAGTCATTGGTGCTTGCTTTCCACTTTGAGTTCTCATTGGTTCCTTGAGATGTTTTCCTTTCCTTTGATTGGCCATCATGATTACTTTGGTTTCTCTTAGCTAATTTTCTAGATAGTGCGAAGCAATTAGAGGGGAATATTATGCATTGTATTCAGGTAGATGATAATGACGAAAGATCGTCATCACATGGCCAGGGACAACATACTTTTGAACAAACTCTGATGTCATTCTTTGGCTTTTTCCTTCAGATTAAGTGGCTTGATGCCATTTTCTGGAGACGACGACCATCAGACTCTTGTGAAAGTAGCTAAGGCTGATTGGGATTTTGATGACGAATGTTTTGATGATTTGTCCCACGATGCAGTGGAATTTATTGAGGGTCTCCTTGTTAAGGAACCAAGGTAATCATTAACTTCAATCTCAGTTGTTTATTTTATAATATTTGACTCGACGAGCGGGTAAGCTCAAGCGAAGGCTTTGTTGTTATCAGTACACCTGTTGATGGGTGCTTGGTTTGATCCCGCAAAATCGTTGTGTTTGGGTAACATGAATTATAACAGACCTGCAGTTGGTTAAGAAATAAAGAAATAAACTAAAGCCTTTTTTCGCCAATTTACTTTCCAAGAGAGCGAAATTTTTTTATTTACTCTTTTTGCGATCCTTGTTTATAGCCATGTTTTTTGTGTACATGAAAAAAGGACGTAGCCAATATAAAGTAATACGTGTTTATCGTAACAATATTTAATACTGTTGTATCTCTATTTCCGTGCGATTGTCATAGTTTGATCACACTTAACGTTGGCGTTGCATTTTATTGTCCCCGTAATGACTGCTAAATGTGAGAAACAATCTTGCCCCTAGACCTTTGACAGCTGGGTTAGTGCGAACAAACCCAGTGTTATAAAATTCACCATTTTTTCATCACGAGGAAAAGTTTTGAGAACATGAGCTCAAGACTCAGACGTAGTGAGGCGAGGAAAGTTATCCAGCGAATTTTAACCCAATAAATAGGTTATTTACAGACATCAATTTTTTTCATGTTATGTGAAATCTTGAAATCATTTCCAGCGAGAGGTTAACAATAGAAGAATGTTTCCAGCACCCGTGGATAAAGGTATGAGTAACCAAGAGAGAACCTGTCCTTACTATATCGATACGATATAAAACAGACAAGTGATGAGAATATAAAAAGACTAAGAGATTATTACTTGATCCAATACCAAATTCTCTGAGCTAACATGATAAGAATTTTATGACAGAAATCAAGGAGAATTAGTAAAGATATATTGGGAGTGAAAGGATTTAAAGAGAGATACCTTTCATTTTCGTTTGGATATGGGCAAAGTCACGTAGCGAGACAAGAGTTTCTCACCATAGCATATCACAGGTGTTCAGAGAAATTTTAAATTGAGTCTAAGATTGCATTAGTTTTACTTAGCTGTGCTCTAAGATTGGCGAAAAAAAATATCACGATTCTTTCGACCAATCAGATTCAAAACTGGCCTCAAGCGCGACTTGGTTATCCTCTTCTTCCCAGTGCTAAAGGCAGCTCGAGCTCTCATTGGCTCTTCGTGAAGTAAACCTGTGTTCTGATTGGCTGTTGTGATTACTTTGGTCTCTGTCTTACGACACTCAATCGAAAATCACTCTATCTATGTTAAGCTTCGGAATCATCAACGATTCTTATTCTTTCATGTTTTCACGTTATTTCAGGATACCCATGACACAGGAACAAAGATAAACACACAAAACCACAAGGCGTTCATGGCAAAGAGAAGATGGAAGGTAGGTTTAATGTCTAAAATTTCAATTAGAGCGGGTCCTATTTCATGGCTATTCTCGCTATGTTCACAATTGAGTAACAGACGAGTGTTGATGACATTAAGTACCTTATCACTTAGTTCTGTCAGAACTTGTGGATTTCAGACGTCAAACACTTGCTTGCTTGTTGGCACGATAACGTTTGGTTTCCCAACGGAAGATTTATTTCGAAGGTTTTTATAAAGTGGTAGTTTCTTAATTTCTTTTTTTTAAACTGAAGAAGCAAGGTTATAAAAACAATTTCAATCGAGAAATCACAATCTAGTTTAACATACAACCTGAGCCAGGCTCTTGGTTCATAAAAAGATCGAAAAAAAAGCCTGCGAAGAACAGCAGGAGTCTGGTAAATAACATTCTTTCTTTGGACCTCCGCAGTTCTTTGTATGCTCGTTCAAATCGGTGTTTGTCAAGCAAAACGTGGTGTAGTTAAATAATCAAATAATTGCCCGTGAAGGAAATGTTAGATAAAAATGTTTTTAAATTTTAATAGAGTCGACTGGACAGTCGCACTCTCTTTTAGGTTGGTGTTGGACGGAAATGTTTAGCCTGGGCTTAAGGAAGAATTTGATAATTTTGATGAACTTATTTCTAAAACCTTATTTTCAGAAATCCGTAAATGCGCTTTTGGCTGTTCGTCGTATGTCTTTGTCTCCCTTGTTCGGCTCCAAAAGAAGACGCTCCATGGATCCCAGCATATTATCTGCGGCTTCTGAGAGCGAGGAAGACCAGCATAATGAAGCGGACAGAAAAGTATCCGCGCCAATTGATCCGTCAGGACTAACTCTCCCAAACCGTCGCGTTGGGGAGACGCGCAACTCTTGTTTTAATCTGGATATGGCAACCATAAAAGCCTTGCAGGAAAAAGCTGTCAAGGCCACTGGAAAGGCATCGCAGTCGGACGAAAATGACAATGAGGACGGTGAAAGTGGTACTGTTGAAAGCATAGAAAGCTTAGAATTGAGTGCGACTTGTTCGGAAGAACAGGAGAATGAAGGAAACACAGTAGAAAGAGACAATAGTGTTAATGAGGAGATTTCAACTTTGCCAAGACGTAGAGCACACACTTTTTGTGGAGCCACCTTCAAGGCGACGCCTGCAGCTGCTTCTCGCGAGAGGAAAATTTCGCAGATATCAATTAACGTAGGGAATTCGTCTAAAAATGACTTCAAGCCGGTTTCTTTTACTTTCAATACAGAGGACATGAAAAGGAATGAAAGGGTTATTTTGGAATCCGCTGCTATTTTAAACGCGCGGCCGAAAGTACAGGCGTTCCAACAAGATTTCACCACGAATGATGGAAGCGTAAAAGCCGGAAATTCGATGGACGTGTCAGTTTTAACCACGCCTGGAGGTCAATTTGACAAAAGTAGTCTAAAACCACAAACAATAACTTTAGAAATGGATAATTCAATTCTAACCGAAGGGCTTACGGAACCGCCCGACAACAAAGCTGACGAACTACCGACGATTTGCGTCAACGACGAACTTTACCTACCCGATCCTCCTCCAATTAAATTGGCTTTAAACAACAATATCGAAAAAAAGGACCGAGAAAGACGGGCCTCGACGCCTCCTCCTTCCCTTAAAACTAATTCTGTCGTAAATATTGCAAATGTAGATAAAATTGCTGATAGCGTCCAGGCCATCACGGTCCAGCTTGGAAATTTGAATGGGTTGCAATTGAACTCGAAAGAGGTCACGTGTAGTGTACGACGAGCGTCGACTGGGTCAGCTCCTTGCTAATGGAGCAAATACACAATGTGAATTAATTTAGGTCATAATTATTACAAAATTAATGACAAACTTGTATAAATTATAATGACTTTCCCTATACATTCAAGCTTCGTCCATAAGACGACGGATAACTGTAAAAACGCAACTTCTTTTCCATAGTAAGGCCCCGCTGGTGGGGAAGGGGGGGAACGTCTCCCTGGAGGGACTAGCCCTACTGTCTCGCTAATCCGCATAAACTGTCTTATCGGAAATGGATTCCTGCAAAGATGTTTACTCTGTTTTTCCTTTTTTATGGCGACATTTAAACCTCACTATGCATGTCTGTTTCTGCCGCCAGGGATCATTGTAGTATGGAAGGACTATATATAATCTGTTTTCCTGAGTGGACGGACTCCATTTCAATTACTCTCCGGCGCTTGTATTTAAGAGAAAATTAACCAAAGGCGGAAAAATTCAAACCGAGACAAACACAAGTCTTGAAAAAGAAAATCCATCAGGGTAAACTGACTTTCTAGAAAAGTGAGTATAATAAAGTAGAAGAACGAGAAAATGTTTTAGCCGGTTTTTCACTTAAAAATCGCAGCTTCAGTTCGTTGTACTTTGTAGGTGAAACTCTTTGCAACCTTGCATCAGCGTGCATTTTCTCCATACTGTCCCCTTCACATTCCTAAAGTGTCAACAAGGTGAATTTGTTTAACAATCAAGAACTTCTTTAGTTGGTGATCATTTCCTTTTATTCTCTGGACTTGTATATTTGAATCAGGGGTGAATTGTTAGGAGAAATTAAATGCTAGTCACTGTTAGGGATCAAAGGGTTAAGGCATTGACGAAAGCGAGCTGACGAGAGGTTTCCAATGGATTAGCATCGTGTCAGACCACTTGCCGACCTTACGTCGACTAGCGTTGCACAAGGCCTCAAACTTTATCGCTGGCGAAGGCATGCTCTTACTGAAGCGCTTATATAATGAAGGCCAATTCGCAGGCTGGTCAAATGTCCAAAAGATAACTTCAAACGGCAACAAGGCAGCCCCGACGGCATTTGAAAGCCACTTACAGACCCTTCTTTAAAGGAGCGACCTCAATATCACTTTTTTTACAAGTAAAATAATCTTCATATAACAACAATAATTATGACAATCAGCAAATGATTCGAAATATCGGAGAAACGACAATCGTACAGCTGACAACCAATGCAACAAGTTTCGTGGATATGTTCTTAACTGCACTTTTTTATAAAATAGATTTAAATGAAATCTTCTTCCTCCTCCATTTTGCATGGAAAAGGCTTTTTTTGAACCCGACTATACTCGTTCAGGAGTAGTACACTTCAGAAACCATACGAATCTATCTCTACCTTTGGAAAGTTAATTTAACAGCTCTTCACCGAAGTGAAGGTGGCTGGTGGTTGAAGCGGCGAGCTATTATCCTTTACAATATACCGTCATAATCCGTCAAACATTTTTGCGGGCACGCGATTGGTCTAAACGCATCAAGTGATTAAATGTGCCCCAACTAAAACTGGAGAATATCCGCGGATATACCCCAAGTGATATTTCCCAATTTTCAAACCTTACGTCTACTAAGATAAACTTGAACGTTCGTATAAAATTTCCTCTAGAAATGACAAGGAGAATGCGTTTAACCATCAAAGCTTCTGAGGTTGATGATCATCTGCTTTATTTGCATGATCGTTATGAATCATTCAGAACCGTTACTGTAAGTAGAATTGAAACACATGCAGGTCATTTTTTAAGGTTTAAAGGATTGAAGAAAGTTTCCATCGTTGAAGTATAAAATTCCTTTTGTAACCTTGGTTTCTTTGTTATCATAATCTCCCTTAGCTTACTGGTTGGTGCTTTAGGTTACTTTGTATTCAAAAAGCGAGCTGAGTTTCGCAGAATTTCTCACTTGTGTTACTGAGAATTCCGCACACGCTGGTTCAGTAATCTTGGATTGAACACTTTCACTTGATTCAGGCTTTATTGTCGATAATTCAGTATCACACGTTCCGTTCTGCGACATACTTACTCTATTACAATCGAATCCTAGGGTTAGCTAAGGAAATCCACACCCAGATACGTAATTCCGCGTGGGATTCAAGATTTTCTCACGTTCTACAACGATTCGTGGGCACTAATTTCCTATTAAACATGGCTTTACTTGCACAATCATGCTGCTAAGTTCCTACGCGCTTAAACGCCCGGCAAATACCTAATTTCATACAGCACTGTTCACAGAACTAATTTGATTATCCTATTTGATTATCCTATTTGATTATCCTATTTGATTATCCTATTATCCTGTTACATGCTACTTTTAATTGCAATGTTAACTCTGTCCTTTAACGGTAACGAAATTAAAACTCACTTAATACACAATCAAATTTATAATAAATCCAGGAAATACATTTTTGCGTGGAAACATTTCACAATAGCGTAAGGGAAAAATTGAATTCACTTCTGCCCTGAAACAGACGCTTTGGACTTTCCCATTGCATATTTTTCATTTAACCTCCAACGAACGTATCGATTTTTCTGCTGTTTTCTTTGAAATGAATTTCAATCAGTTTACTTAAGCCCGCTGAAGATAAAATCAAAGACAGATACGCTTTGACAGGCACGTTTTAAGTTACTGCATCACGCGCGACGAGCCGGAAAAGAAAAAAAAAAGTCCCAAATGTGAGTGGTCAGCGGTGAAACAACTTTAACAGATCGTGCAGTAGTTGAGGGAAACAATCGTGTTATAAAGCCGAAATGTCATCAAGTTATACTCCGCTAATTAAAAAGTTAAGCAATTTTCCAAGAGCTCTGACTGTAACAATATTTTTTACTGCGAAATTAACCAACAGAGGCATCGGGAAAGGCATCAGTGACGCCGGGAAAGGCTTCAAAAGGAATGATATTTGCGTTTTGTAACTTGTTGTGAAAAAAAAAGTATGTTGACTTCCGGTTGTGCAAGGCGTTAATCACAGTTGGCTTACTTTTCACTTAAATTTTGCAATCTCGACTGTCTTTTCTGGAAAAATGAAAAGCTAAGTAACTCTAAAAAGACGTACCGGTAGTTCTCGATTTTTGAGTCTTAAACAAGTTTGTATCCACAGCCTAAGATAAGAAATTTAAAATTTCCATCAACTGAAGTTCTCTCACTGTCTATTCAGTAGATGTATTCAATCGCCTCCATTTCACGTGAAAAAAAGGGATGTAGGAAAACTGTGAGCTTCGAGAAACAGCCAAATTAAGGCTAATGAGTTTGCCGTTCCTCAAATAATTATAATCAAGGCCACTCGTTTAGGAAACGTTTTCTTAAAAGATCCAGATGTTAAAATAATTCTGTTTTTGCCTCTTGTTGTCACTATTTATCATAACAAGCATTTTTCTACTTATTAGAAATTCAACTTCCAACGTTTTGTATATTAATTAACTGAAGATGACAGAAGTTTCTGTTGAAACATGTTTTACAAACTTGAAAGTTTTGTCGTTTTCTTTAAATTATTGAATTGCCTGCTACTATCAAGATTAATTTTTTTCCTTTTCAATTTAACCAATGCTCTCGGGATGTCACCGATGCCTCTCCCGTTGACTCGTTTATTACAGCAGTAAAAGATTTATGTATAGTCAACATTTTGGTAAAGTTGCTTAACTTTTTGTTTAGCGAAGTGTACTGATAACATTTTGGGAATTAAAACACGAATATTTATAACTGGAACTACAAATGAGTTTTTTTTTCCACAACTTATTTCACCGCTGACCACTCGTATTTCGGACTTTTTTTCTTCCCCGGCCCGTTGCCCGTGATGTAGTGACTCCCGCTTGCGTGACTGGAATTCTAATTTTTACGACGTAAATATCGCGTTGCCACCTTCGTCTGGAATTTCTTCATCCTAAAGACGTCCGGTACATTGTCACTGCACTCGTTATCAAAGCAAAGGGAAGATTCTTTTGAGAATAAGTGCAGAAACTGTTTGAGACTGTATAGAATATTCCATCCGCTGAGCCTCTGGGCATCGAATATCTACAACAAAGATCATTACGGTAAGGTTTCACTCAGTACTAGTTTGGGTGAACGTGACGCCACAGATAGCTCTCATGCTTACCTGCACGGTCTATCGATGCGTGCAGTATTGGATTTGGCCGAACATATTTTACCTCCTTTTAGTAAAGAGGAGATAGACTTGCCTTGATTTCTTAACAGAAAGGGTTGTTTTGACTTCCTCTGTCCATCTCCTTTTTGATCGAAAAATCTCCACATAATCAATGATAGTAGTTAATAACGAACGTCGTAATCTGCGATTAGCGGTCGACGTGTTCGTTGTTGTTGATGTTTTTTTTTTAGTTTGTTTGTTTTAAAGGTCTGTGAGCTCTTCTCTCATAGGCGCGTTGATGATTTCATTTCAAATAAAACTTGATAGCCTAAAAGTAAATAGCGATAAAATATGGAAAACTCGAGGGTTATAGACGGATTACTAATCCAGCTGTTAAATTCAACTGCTTGTGGGTCTTTTTAGAGGTACAAAGATCAGATTGTTATCTTGGAAGATCATGGATTTGGTGACAGCACTTAGATAATTTTAATAACATGCTATCTGTGAGGAGTAAGTCTTTTATTGGTTACATTCGATGGCTGCTCAATGATTATGATGTTGACACGGATTCATACCTTCAGAGAAACTTCAGAAAGGGGTGGGGGGAGGCATGGGCAGTCTCCTTCCCGCTCCCTCCGGTTGTGAGGATATCTTGCAACGAGGTTGCGTGAAAAGTCTACGTGAGTCTTAGCCACATTTCATTTTTTAAATCCTGCTTATGGTTTTATTTGCGGTATGTTTGTAGTCATTTGAACAGACGTATCATATTTTCACCTGAAATGAGGATGAAGTTGACATGCGCCAATAATCGTAGAGGAACAAACACCAAAAATATTTGAGTGAAAACTCAAATTGTCTCATTTGCTCATAACAGTGTTTCGATAAACAGAGAAAATATATGGTCATTCGATTTCTCTTTGCATAACAGGGCTGATTATACAGAACAGGAGATTATAACCAAGAAGCCCCTAAGATTTCGTGGTCGCGTCAAACTGCGAGAGGTTTAATAATGTGTCTCATTTGGGCGCAGACGTTTCTTTAAGGGTGTAGCGGGGAGAGATGGAAAATAACAGGAGAAGCTAAAGGTCTCAAACTGGCAACTGCGCCAGTCTACATCTTCTTACTAGTAGCGTTTTGTCTCTTCTGGGAAACACTCACACACATGCTCTGAGATGCTAACATCTGGTGGCCTCAGGTGCACTCCGCGTTGCGTGACATCCCTGAAATGCGGGATGCAGAGGAGATTAAAGTCGCGCGTTGGTGTGCGGGTTTGACCAATAAGAGTCTTGAGGTTAAGCTTTTAAGCGATTTGCAGTATTTGAATCACGAACAGTCTGCTGTCTCAATAATGCTTTTAACTCTCTGGAAGCAACCGGGTGTGTGCTAGGAGCAAGGTTATCTTCATGATCCATAAAGCTTTTGGCTTCGCCTCGCGACATAGAAAGAGAGAAGAAAGAGGAAAGAGAAATTATTTTGAAAATTGTTCATTGCGGTGTACGTTTCTTTATTTTGAGTACCGCTTGAGACTCAGCGTGAAGTGATACTGAATAGAAAAAGTTATCTATATTTATGGTGTGCCCGTCACCGCAAAACATTAATAGTCCTGACTATCTAACAAAGTTGGATACTTCTAAAACGCCCGGGCAGATTTCGCTTGAAATATCGTTTACAGTTATTTTTAAATAGCACCTGACCAGACATCGCGGGAGGGTTTTGCCGAACATGTCACCCAAGTCTCTCTCGTTTTCTAAACTATTATGGCGGCTCTAAATAGTCCGCCCAACACTGAATAACTCCCTATGCAAATTTGTACGCCTACATAAACAACTTCCTATTGCGTCACTGCTAATAACTTTTTATATATTATTATACATTTATATGATGTTTTTACCATTGTTCAGTTAGACCATGATCGTGAATATATTTTTGGTTCTTCTGGCTCTTCTCGGTGTTGCTGTTGCCCAGGCCCCAGGTTAGTCATTTTAGCACGGTTGTGCTCTGTTCCAAGTAAAAGTGCTCCACAGTTTCAATAAGACTTATGATTCTTCTGTTGTTCATCGCAGACACTTGCCCCGCACCTCCTAAGAACCTTCTTTGTTTCATTGGACTGAAGAACACGTGCACTGACAGCATCAAGTGCCGGAAAGGGACACTGTGTTGTGATGATGGCTGTCGAAGACGCTGCAGGGACCCGTCAAATGACAGTAGGGGTGCTGGCCAAGGTACCAAAATTGCACCCACGCGCATTTTTTTCTTGTCTATCGTAGGAAGCAAATTTTTTATGTCTACTGTAGGAAGAAAATTAAGAGTTCCCTTATTGGGATTTTTCTTGTTTAATTTCTACAGCTAGTCCTCGATCGGGAACCTGTCCATCGCAGCTGTCCCCGCCTCCAGGCCCCTGTGTGTCGGATTCGGACGAGTGTATGTTTGATTGGGATTGTCCGGGATCCACAAAAAAATGCTGCTCTAACAACTGCTTCAAAGAATGTGTTGACCCTAGTATTGGCGCTCTTCGAGGTACCACTTAAATATTAGTAACATTTTGAAAATTTCTTTGTTTTTTTTGTTTTTGCCTGCGTTTTAAGCGGGTGCGGATGACTGAGACTCGCATGCGCATGAGAATTTTTACCCGCGCGTGGGTTTAAGGGAGCTCTTTATTCCCAGGAGACTGCTTTCTCATGTACGTGTTACATGTCCTCTCGCCCAAGGCATCTTACGTATGCCGCGAGTTGTTCTTAGCACGTCTCATCATAGAGTCATTGAATAGTGTTACTGTACATGATTACACGCGTGATCAGCGCGCGCGGAAGAACAAAATGGTAGTTTAAACGTATTGGCGAGAGCTCATCTCCTTGTGAGGCAAATCATCATTTGATATCATCGATAGTGGTATGATTACTATTAAAGTCTGCACTAATCAGTGGTGCGTTGCACCCCGGTTAAAATATCTGGATTCGAACTCGGGAAAAGGTAATTGTTATGTTCTTGAGCAAAGAGAATAAATCATCTAGGGACCAGTCGTTCAAAGGGCGGATAACGCCCTCCCACGGATAAATCGCTCACAAACGTACTGCGCTATCCACCGGATTGACATTTATACCGTGGATAGCGTTATCCACCTTTCAAAAAACCGGGGCCAGGAGTATAGACAATTACTAATGAACCGTGGGGAAACCTGGGCAGTTTCGATGGACGGATAACGCGTTACCACGGATGAATTGCTACCCCGCGTATAGGGGTTAACAGAACCTACTGTGCTATCCTCTGGATTTTTCTGTGGACAGCGTCATCCACTCTTCGAACGACCATAGCCTGTCCATTCGTAGGGGAGTAACTTGCGTCCTATTAACAACCCACTCAGGTAGAGTGACAACGCCGCTGGTCACCTTATGATAATGAAATCAGCAAAGGCTCAACGACAATGGGCCACCTTGCTCGAGTGCAGATTACGCTAAGGTTGAAAAATCTTCTCACAGATTCTATTCGAGAGAGGTAGCCTTAAAACTTTACAATGGCTTTAAGTGTAACATAAGAATTTGGACTCTGCTCTCAGTAAACCCACGCGCGCTCGATCAAGTATTTTAACAGAGTCTGAAACTTTTGCTTACTATTTTGTTTATTCCAGCCAGCTGTCCTCCACAGAAGAAATCTATTAGCTGCTTCATAAACCTCAAGAACCAATGTTCCAAGGACTCGGATTGTAGCTACCTTCCAGGAGGACTTTGTTGTTTTGACGGCTGCCGCCGAAGATGCGCTGATTCCAAAGGTTTTCCTGGTAGACTAGAAAGTAAGTTAGTACATCCTGTGAACAGCCAAAGTAACATTTCTTTGGTTTTTAAGCAAAACCGTGAGGGTTGTCACAATTCGTCAAAAACGTAGCTTTGCAGTTTGCCTTTCGTAATTCGTGTTTCACAAAATTTTACTGGTGGATGAGGATGGCTCTGTGATTGGTCAAGAAAACTCACACCATCCGCTCGACCAATCAGATTCAAAACTTAAACAAAGCACGATTTCGTTTTCTGTAGGTGCTTACCATTAAGCCAAAAGTCTGGAAATTTCGGTCGTAGGTCACATGGTAAGGAAATGTTCCGAAAAGCTTCGTGAGAAAATTGTGTAGTACCTACAAAGTTACATGTACTCCTCTTTAGCCGTTCAGTATGGAGCGGCGAAAAACTCCCTACCATTTGAATGAATCTTCTGTTTCCAGACCATTTCCGCGCGGTTTGTGTCATCTTGGAAATGATACGCAAATCTCATCCGGTTGGACTCTTACCATCATGTTACAATTAAACCAACCGGATTTTTCCCACAAATGGTAAGCATCCTGTGACTCCCGGTGCTTGAGGGTGTTTTTTTTTTTTCTTTTTTTCTTTTTCGTTTTGCCTGCTTTTAGCCACTGGGTTAGTCAAATGCTACAGAATGACTTCAAATTATACCTTTTAACAGGTTTCGACTTTCCTTTCAGCTGACAGACCCGGGCAATGTCCATCCACTAAACCACCACGGCCGTGCATTTCAGACTCAGATGAGTGTGAATTCGATGGGGATTGTTATCCGGGAAAGAAATGCTGTGATAACACGTGCTTCACGCGATGTTTGGATCCTGTGGGTCTGGGAACTAACACTAGTCAATCTGGCTTAGGACCTAATATTGGTGAAGGTAAGTCGAATATTAAGGGCTTGTTTAAACTTGCGTTGTTCCCAGGCTCCCTCCGTGGTCTGAGTGCGGTGCATTGGTGCTGTGTTATACGTTCAAACAGATCTGAATCGAAAGACCTAGCTTATCTCAAACCTCTGCGGGCTCGCGCAAGGAAATCTTAGGAAAGTTATATTAGGGGACTACGAAGAAATGAAAAACAGCCGCGTATTCTGCTCTGTTTAATAAAGAATATACTTCAGAAACCATATGACTTAAGAAATTCGTCTTGGGACGCCGCCATTGCCGCTCATTTAACAGACTTCAGCTCACAATACGGCCGCGCTCGAAACGTATCAATTCTGACACTGAAAGAAATTAGCTGTAACCCATGTCCATTGAGAAGACAAAACTGCTCATCGATTTTTAAAAGAAGACAACTAATGAAAAGTAACTGGGGTAAGTTTCTATAGAAACTATGGTGTTACATCGGTGGGAATATGACAAGATGACTTGTTTTTATCAACTGAGTTGATAATGCAAATTGGTTCCCGCAAAAAGTTTCTTAAGTTAACGTTTCGAGCGTTAGCATTTCGTTAAAGCAAATAAAGGAATCGTGGGTGATTTTTGTGGTTTATATACGGAAAGATGGAGTTGCACTATAGGTTGTAAAATGGTAACGTTAAAAAACCTATAATAAATTAGTTGAATCGGTAAAAAAAAGTTTACTGATACCGTGAAGATCAAGGATGCCGATTTGAAAGATAATTTGTTATACTTGAGTTTTGCAGTTTTCCGAGCTGCTTAGATGTAGGAAAAGGTTGCAGACTGCCTTTGTGACTTAGAATGATAAGGGAGATGAGAGAGTATAGTGTGTCAAAGCGTTTCCATGGATACAGGGTTTCTTAAGGTCGTTTATTTTTATATTTACGATCAGTCATTCAGGGAGAAGCGGCGGGAAAATGTCCCATCGTCTCTAATTCAACCCGGTGCCATATTGGACTTGCGCATACCTGTAACAATGATGTGGAATGCCCTAATGGTACCTACTGCTGTTTTGATGGTTGTAGGAGGAAATGTTTGGATACTGAGGGCAACTCGGCTGGAGCGCAAGGTACAGACCTCTATGATGAGCTGACGATGCACGACTTTTTAAAAAATGCTTTAAGCACAGTATATTTTATGGAAATTATGATGTAAGAGGTGTGACGTGAGTTAAAAAGCGGAAAAAACAAAAAATGGAGAACGAAAATATCTGGTCCGAAAAAAGCGATCCCAAAGATTGTTATAAAACAGGAATCAATCCCAACATTTTCAAGTTCTGGTAATTAATTAAAGTTTTCCACATTCGTTTACCTGTAAAATTTGTTTATCATCATGACGTTTTGCCATCACTTAACAAATGTAATTTAAGCCCGGTATCTTAAATACTCTCCACAATAATTTTAGGTGAAGATAAAAAAGGATTGTGCCCAGTCCTCCAGCGACCGGAACTGTGCGTGTCCGACGTGGACGAATGTTTTATTGACTGGGACTGTGTTGGGGACTTGAAGTGCTGTTCCAATGAATGCTATAAAGTCTGTACGGCGCCTGCGCTGTTGATAGGAAGACTTGTGGCTGCAGCAGGTAGTGTAACGTAGTAGTGTAATTCAAGGATGCAATACGATACTACAGATAGTGACCACAACAACCTGACTGTTGGAAAGGGTTCTGAAACAACCAGACGCGAATTTTAATGACACTTTTGGAAGACACAGTGGACGTCGGTTAGTGCACTGCAATCCAGGTCGTAAGGTCTGGGTGCGAGACCTGATCGGGCATTGTGTAATGTCCTGGGGCAAAACACTTTAATTTTAGGGTGCCTCTCTCCATTCAACACTATAACAAAGGCCTCCATGACCACGTCGTCGTCTTTCGCGTGCGCGTCGTTGTTTTCGTTATCAAGAGTTGCTCCTACGTCTCTGAGCTTTTGAGTTCTGGAGAAGTGAACGTTTCTTCGCCAGAGCTTGATGACGATCTTATTCTCCTTTTTCTGAAGAAGTTGGATAAACCTTCGGCCATGTGTTGTTAAAATAGGACTTGAATGTGGCGTACGGCTTTCAGTAAGCTCCTCATGACGCCATCACTCTTTACATCAACAAGGTGGCCCTGTGTTTTGCCAGTTCCGTAAAATGTATTACCATTTTACTTTTCTTCGCAGTCAAATGTCCAGAACCTGTGGCGTATAAACGCTGTCCTCAATCAATGAAGCATCTGTGTGACGATTCCAAGCAGTGTCCCACTGGTACACATTGTTGCTTTGATGGCTGTAGACGAAGGTGCATCTCTACTGAGCCCGCGCCAGGTACTGGTTTTTTTGTTGATGAATTGTCTACATCTAATCAAGCAATTTACAATTGGCGTTGAATGTAATGTAGTATCGCATTGCTTTTGCCTCAGAAAGCTCAGAAAGCCTTCAATCGCAATCGCGAATGAAAAGAAGCCGTAATTTTTTTTAATAAAAAAACTCGTCCCGCCCTCTCAACCAAGAAAATGAAAAATGAAGACCGCTCGTTACTTAATGACTCGCGATTTTACTGCGCATAGAGTGCTGTGGCTTCATTACTTGCTCTTTGGAGGGAGTTTGCTCAGCATGGTATTTAGTCCCTTGGCTAGAAGAATATTAAAAAAAAAAGACAAAAGACAAAAAAAAAACAGATTGCATAGAATTATTTCTACACCGATCCATGAATATTCTTGGCATTGTCTAATTATGCAGTTAACTCTCGCCCTGCTGACACTTTGTAATTGCGCAAGTACCGTTACATGTAGCTGTAGTTTCAAAAACCTACACAAGCTCTTACGCTCTTGATATGAGGGGAAACACTGGACTTTATCCTTTACATCACAAGCTTTTGTATGAAAATTGTAAATTCTTTTTCCAGATACTTGTCCTAAAGCCGGCAAAAATCTGATCTGCCCGGTTGGACTCAGAAACACATGCGTGGATAAGGATTCGTGTCTGGAAGGAACCATTTGCTGTCACGATGGATGCAGACGGCGCTGTAGGAGCCTGCCTTCTAGCACCAGTCGGCCCTCGACGAAAGGTACAATACATGCTTGTTTACTTTTTTTCTGTATCTTTTGTCGCATAATTTTCCTCGCTTGAATTTTTTTGGCTCTCGAAAATCCCCGACTCCCAAAACTGAAGTTTTTCAGATTTTTAAGAAAATTTTATTGCGGCGGTTTTTTTTTTCAGTGAAGAGCGGGGGGAGGGATTGAAAAGACGCCGTAATTTTAGAACTACAGGGCGGACTTCGAGTTAGTGGGACTGTTTGATTGCTGCGAAGCCAGTGGGATTTCGTGGTTCCCTTTATCGTATGTACACTCTAAAACTTCCTCAATATACCTTGATAAATCAATCTTTTCGCTTCTCCTTCGTTTGAAATGTTGTCTTCAAAATACCTTGCAGCTATACCTAGGCCAGGAATTTGTCCTCCGCTTACTCCTCCATCCGAATTCTGCCCGTCTGATTATGATGAATGCAAGTATGACTGGGATTGCGACGAACCATCCAAAAAATGCTGTTCAAACGGTTGCTATAAAATCTGCGCTTCTCTTGCTGTGGCAGCAGTACAACTCCAAGGTATGTAAGGTGCACCTGCTAGATTTAAAACGACCGGAACATCGGTAGATTTGGTAGATTTGGCATGAAAATAGGACATGTAGATTCCTGCTACGTACAAGCTTTTCGATAAAAGAAATCGCACATTTCTTTGCTAGGTTTCACGTCTTGTTTACAATGAAAAAGGTTTGTTGACAACGTGCGCATGTTTGTATTGAAGCCACACGTTGCCATCGCTAATTCCCTCTCTTCTTTTAAAGGTCGTACAGCAGTTACCCTTTCAAACCATTTAACTTGAAAGATTCAAAATGTCCAAACATTTCTTTTTTGCCTGGTCCTTAATTAGTCCATGATTTTTCCAAACTTTCATTACTTTTCTGTCCGAAAGTTAATTAAAACTGTAATGAGAATTTCGGGCGTAATGACTCGTGCAATTAAAAATCTCAAATGTAAGGCAGCGGTCCTCTGATGATCCACAGAAAAAACGATTTTTTTTAGTCAGTAAGCAGCATGGTAATTCCAACTCTGTTTGTAACTAAGAGTGATTATGATAATTCATGGACAAAGTTTGATTGGCTGATTCTTTATTTACAATGTGTCAATTAATTACAGTAGAGTTGTAATTCATTTTAAAAATGAAATGAAAGTATACTTTGGTTCATGGAGCGCACGCGTTAGGTGGTAATAAAAAACGATATTAACAAAGAGACATATATCCAACTCTCACCAGAAGACTAGTCATTATTTATTGCCGGGTGAGGGGGATGGAGGGGGGTTCAGGTAATATTATTGAGACACAATCAAATCCTGCGGCCCCCCCCACCTGCGCCCCCCCCCCCGAAAATAATTATTAACCAGTAGTACGATAATTCATTGTGAGTTCTTGAGAGTAAAATAGTTTTTCTGTATTTTTCCGCAAGACAACTGTCCAGCGCCAGAGAAGCCCAAACCTTGTCCAATGACTCTTCGGAACCAATGCTTCAATCACACGGATTGCAGCTATCTATCCGGTGGACTTTGTTGTTATGATGGGTGTCGCACAAGATGCGCTACCGCTGAAGGCTTCCCAGCTCAGATACAGAGTGAGATATTCAAGGAACAAGTGTCTTGTTTTCGAGAAGCTTAGCTTGTTCCAAGCGTTCAGTCATCAGTTTAAAAGAAGTGCGATGGTTAATGGCGCGTTTGTACCGGTTGAGCGAAAACAGAGGAAAGTTTTAGTTTTTTCCGCTTCGCTTCTACCATCGCGCTGTATGTTAGTTCACTCCACTTTACTCACTGAACGCCTGGAACAGCCTACGGGGAGCTTCGTCTTTTTTTAAATGTTTTTATTTGTTTCTTGCCTTTGTGCGTTTTATTCTTTGTTTTTTATTTTTTTCTTCTTTTGTTTGTTTTGTTTGTTGATGTTGTTTCGGTCATAGTCTTTCCCTTTTTGGCTGTTTAAAACTGCCTTCAAAATGTGTTAAGTCCAATCGTTGGCCTGTCAGTGTACTCAATCTTTGCAACTGGATAACTGTTTTTCAGTCGGTGTGTGCTTGAATCACAGCGAAGTGTTTGACCAGAAAGATCGACTATCTGCATATTTATAGAACAAACCTTTTTCTTTCAAATAGGTTCTCTTAATCCCAACGGTATCAACGAACGCTTTTCATTCAACTGATATATTCTCGTTTTTCACGTTATCATGTTTTCACCGATAGCGTAGCTCCTTTTTTCTGCATATAGAACACGCACAACCCTGTGGTTATTCCGTGTTTCAGAGCCAAGGCCTGGTAACTGCCCCAACCTCATCCAACCCGAATTTTGCGCTCCACACTTCGACGAATGTCAAAACGATGGAGACTGCTTTCCTGTAAAGAAGTGTTGTAGTAATAACTGCTTCAACAGATGTGTAAATCCAGTTTTTGGTGATGTTGGTTTAGGTAAGTTCAAATACTCCCGAGTCCACCCTAGAAATTAAATGTTTGAGTAGGTCTTTGAGGCTTACCGAATGAACGGGTTTCGTGAAATTCTGCACTTTCATACAATATTAGAATTTCGGGAAGCTCTCCCTCGCCGGCTCGCATTCAAATGGTGGGTAACTGCTCAATCGAACAGCATAACAATTTTAATTTGCTTGAATTTTTAGCAATTTTCAGTGTATAGTTTCCTGGTCGGTCGTTTCGTGATTTGTCAAGGAAACTATCTCTGCATTGTCAACATATGAGTTACGAAAGTGAAACCATTTGCAAATGTGTCGCTCGTATGTCCTCATGTTTTCGGCAGTTTGCAGGTTTTTAATTTAGGTTCTGAATCGTTTACTCGCCCGTCGTGAGACGGTTAAAAATTGTTTCCGAAGCCCGTGCGTTTTAGGTCAGTAGAGAGACTGGTGAAGGAACAGCTGTCTCTATTCATAACTCTATAGAAACGCTCCGTATAGTTGTCTCGTGGGGGAGGGTTGTCACGGGCTTTCAGGGCATAAGGTAAACGCACGCACACCACACGTTTTAACACGCTCGCACCCTAATGCCATGACACGCTTACCGTGCAGATATGCGCATAAAAACAATTTATTTTGGAAAGCGTGTTTGTAGCCATTGTTCATATCTGGCTAACACGGTAGAGCTTTGTTTCTACAGCACGCTAGATTTTTTTGTTTTGTTTTAACACGCTAAGTTCCTTTGTTTCCTTAACACGCTAGCTTATCTTGTACAACCCAGCTCACTAAGTTACTTGTGTTTGTCAGCGTCTTAATCGTGAGATTGGTGTTTGTAAAGTATATTACTTACAGAATAGAAGCAAAAATGAAGAACATCTTCTGTCTTGTTCGAAAGTTCTAATAAAAAAGGAAACATTCACGGCAAATCACGGCTCTTTCCCTCAGGATTTTACCGTGCTAGAAGCTAGTTCTTTTGTTTTAGCGTAAGAGCGGGCTGTGTGCGTGCGTTCACCTTATTCCCTGAAACCCCGTGGAGGGTCACAAATAAATAGGTATTCTAGAAGTATAAGCGGGCGAGCAAAGACTTGACATAAAATAATTTCGTTCTCTCTTTGTTCGTGGGGAAATTTCATACTGAATAAATTACCGAGGAGCCCGTATTAATGTTGGTTTGGTCATCAGCCAGCTTTTTTAGTAACTGCACCCGTCGTTAAAGGAATGATACTCGAGATCTAAAAAGTTAACACTTGTTGTTCTCTCCTCTTTCAGTCAACACTACTTCAGTTAACAAGTGTCCTGACACTAAAAAATCAAGTACGTGTCATGTGGGGCTGAAAAACACATGCAATAATGATGCTGAATGTGCAAATGGCACCTACTGCTGTTTCACGGGCTGTAGGAGGCAGTGCTGGGATCCAAAGACTAGGTCCTCGTCAACACTGAGTAAGGATTGGTTTGTGTTATGCGTCATAAATGAGAGATAAAAGCTCGGAAATGTCATTTACTAAGGCGCTGACAAGGAGAATGTGTTTAGCAATGAAGAGTTTCTTTAGTTAGTGATCATTTCCTTTATTCTCATGACATTAATGTGTGATTCAGTGGTGATATTGTAAGGAGAAATTAGATTTCAGTCACTCTTAGGGACTAAAGGGCAAATAGGCATTTTTTTTTCCCCCTCAGTTGCCTCTTAGTGTGAGAATTTTTCACACCTAACTCCCTTTGGAAGTTGCGATAAAAAAAAAGAAAGTTTAATTAGAATCTGTCGTTACTTCGACTCCCCTTGGGAGTATTCCTTTATTTGTTCTTAGAAGCTACGTGCAAAAACGAGTGTCAAGTGTTTGTTAGTTATCTTTATTTTACTTTTGCTGTCCGGTTTTCTTTAATTTTGCGGTAAACAGTTCGAAACCCTCACTGCGAAGATGACATTGGAGTCGTTATGATATAATTTTGCTGATCGATATACAATTAACAATTGGTTCATACGTCAGCGTGCGTTCATCGAGATATGAAGCACGCGGGAAGTTTTGAGAGCACGAAAGATGTGTAAGAGTTGCTCGAGGCGTAGCCGAGAGCAACTCTAGCTTCTTGAGCGTTCTCCAAACTTCCCAAGTGCTTCATATCTCGATGAACACACAGCTGACGTATGAACCAATTGTTTTATAACATTTTCAACCTGATGAAAAATTTTTTTTCTGGAGGGACTTGTTTGCTGACGTCATGAGCGTGCACAATAGGAATATGAAGCACGCTCGCGTAATTGAATTTGATTAGACAAATTTACTGGCTATGTTATAAATTTAGTTTGTCTATTGAGCCGTTGAGAGCAGCCTTTAAGTTAGGAATTTTGGAGCAAAAGTAGTGCGACGGTACTGACTGAATTCGATAGGATACTGCATTTTCTAGAAGTACAGTTCCTGTCCTTTCACCAAGATCAGTCAACTAAATTCTTTTAGAAAGCGAGACGAATCGAACAATGGGAAACCTTGTAGGTAAGAGCGATTTGCTCTACTTTCATCCCTGTGGCTTAGAAATACCTTATGTCCCTGTTTTTGCTAGAAACGGTGAGGTCTCTCTCGTTCATGGGAAAAAGTGCTCAAATATTTGTTTTTTTATACATTGTGAGAATTAGTTTTTCAACCAAAAACATATGACAGCTACCGTGTAGCCACGGTTACTTTCCCATGAGCTAAAAGTTGCTTTTTTTTCTCCAATCGAATTGCTGCGATGTCATCTTTTTTAAAAGATAAGAAAGGCACGTGCCCAGTGCTTCAGTCGCCTCCTCCTCCATGTGTATCAGATGCGGACGAGTGTTTCATGGACAACGACTGCGTCAAAGACAAAAAGTGCTGCTCCAATGGATGCTACAGAATTTGCGTGGCTCCCTCGGCAAAAGCCATAGGTTCTCTTACTACAGGTGGGTTCACCTCATATCTTTATCTTCCAACACTGCTATAGGGTCATGCCACCGTATGCAATGATCAGTCTCCATGGTGGCCGTAATTGCTGCCCGCTGCCTTCAACGCCGAAAGAAAAAAAAGAATACACGGTGGTTAGTTAGCCGTTGCCTAGTATTAGTGAACTTAAGCAAACCACGACGACGATGGCAACGAAGACGTGGCCAAGGAAGAGATCTAATGAGCAGAACAATAGCTCAGCACTTGCGTTTAAAAGCGTTTTAAAACTTTGTACGTATCTTAGCCGTCATCTGAAACACAACTGGGGAAAATCACCAAAACTTTGCGTGGTATGAGAACGGAAAACTCAAATGGAAAATTATTTAAGTTTCTATTCGGAACTCAATGCTACTCACAAATGTCATGCTGGGGCTAAAGTCATCCTGCCATTTGCGAAATTCTCACTAAAAATATGAATTCATTTTTTTTAATTGATGTCTTCCTCGGGGTTGTCTTCGTGACCGCTCAAGGTCCCTAGGATTTATCCACTAGTGTCTCATTGGAACTAGAGGGCCTACCGATCCGTTTCTTTTTCCCTAATTTTTTAGTCAAGAAATTGTTTTTCTCTTCTTTTGCTAGTCAATTGCCCCCAACCGACAGAGTATCATTGTGCTACCTCTCTGAAGCACCAGTGTGACGATACGGAAGATTGCTCAGTCGACCAGGTTTGCTGTTTTGATGGCTGTCGAAGAAGATGTATCGACTACGAAAGCGGGCAAATAACAAGTTTGTAAAACTGACTTATGAATCTCTTTGTATGTAATTAAGAAAGTGATACAGAAAGGTCCTATATAGGAACCCTTCCCCACTGATCCGCATATATTGTCTTTCCAAAACGGAACTTTTATAAAAGAATTTTCAAAGTGGATGTGAAGAGGGAAATTCCACAAAAAGTGGACGTCAATCATCTGTTAATTTTTGATGAGATCATTTGACTTTATTATGCGCATGCTCAAGGAATCAGGCGAGTATCTACTTTTTGTCCATGATAGTAGGGTTTTCGACTTTAACCGGCATTCTGAGGGCAGAAAATCACTAAAAATTTGATTGCCTTCTTATTTTCGAAATTATTCCGCGCTCTGTGAACAGGACTGTAACAAAGAAAAGAAAGAGCAGGAACCGAGGAGAACAGAGGAAAAAAAGAATGAAAAAATGGGCTCATTACCTGTAATAAAAACTGCAATTTTCTGACACCAGAAGTTAGTCTAAAATCTTTAATTGAAGTGAGTCAGCAATTATTGACTGTTTTATACGTTTTCCGATGTAGTACCCATAAATCTGTTCCAAGGTGGTGGTATCCTCTGCATTTCCACTAGTCCCCTTCGCAGCCGTCGTTTGGTCTCATCACGCAACTCACTTTCAGCTGGGTGAGAGAGTGCGTTGCGTGAACGCAACGGCTGCGAAGGGGACTACGTTCCCACTGACTTTACTAATATTTCAAAAATTTAACGTTCGATAATAATTATTTCGTGTGGTGTCATATGTCTTCATACCAGTGACAACAACATGCCACGCGATGTGTTTCCTCTGTGAGTAGTGCGGGACGGGTGCAAGTTTCGGAATGGCCGTCGTGTTTGTTTACCTCCTGGCCCTTACTGCGCTAGAAATTGCTTTTGTTAATGGAGAAGGAAAGCGTAACATATCTTACGGTACGTTCTGACTGTTTCTGATTTGTTCGCGTTTTGTTTTCGTTTCTGTGCAGTGATAATCATCATCGATGAAAGAAGTATTATTCTTCCACTTTGTTCGTCAATCTGCAGATAGTTGCTCTTTGATCTAAAAAAGGCAAAGAGTCCTACATACGATTGCCATCGCTCAATTGTGATACTCGTAAAAGAAGAGAAATCTTACTCGAGGACCAGCTAAAAGAGAACTCTTAGAAAATAATGAGTTCTTGTTAATTGTTCCCGTCAAAGGCTTGTGGTGTAGACAGCCACTTACTGAGGTCGCCGGCAATCCACACACAAGACTTTTCCTTTCAACATGTTGATATGTCTGTGTTTCAGACACCCTTTTGAATCAGCTTTAAACGTCAGAAATCTTTCAATATGTCTTCCAGCTGCTCCACCAAACAGATTTATTTCTATTTTTCTCGGTCACAAAGTTCAGTTTCACGTGTGTCGGGATCATTGGAAAGTCATTTGAGATCGTTGTTAGATGAGTTGCTAAATTGCAAAGGGAAAAAATATTATTTTTTGGATTTTCCTTTGAATCAGGGCAATCTTCAAGAGATTTTTCAAATACAAACCGGTTGAAAAAGCTTGCACTTGCAAACCTCTTGTATTCTCTCGTTGCTCAAGGCCGCAAACTTTTTTGCGAAGAAATTCTCGTACTAAAGCGGTAGTAAAGAAGGCTTTCTTACAAGCTAATTGTAAGACAAATTATCAAAATTCCTCTCTGGGGAGTTCCCACGCTATCACCGGAAACGGCAGAAATCTTAGCTGTCATTAAAAAGTCTTAGAAACACATCAGTTACTTGACATTTGGATGTATTCTTCTGTTTGTTTCATTACTGTGTTTGTTTGTTTGTTTTTCTTTTTTGCTCTTTAAGTGACATATTATTGTTATCGTGTGCAACATTTTCGAGGCGAATTCGATTCATTTTAACGAGCTTTAGGTTATAATTATAATTAAGATTATAATTAGCTGTATATGATACTCTTCTTTTCTAGCGCTTGTAACCTCATTAGAGTCGCGCAACAAAAATTAACATTTTTGCGGTTAAAACTGTCCGAGTGAAGACTGAACAGTCCTACGGTAAAAACTGTTGGAATGCCATGTATCAACTTAGACAAAACTTCTACCAGTGGGTGTGGAGGCGTCTGGTTTTTAAAAGGCTCTAGACCACCTTCAACCCCTAAACTAGTGATAGTGACATTGTCCTTTGCCTGCTCCAGGCGTCCAGCAAGTAAAGCGGTGCGAAATCCGAATAAATTCGTAGAAAGCGCGATAGTAGCGGCAGAGCTTCGTAAAAAACCCCTCTATTCAAGAACTCAAACGTGAAAAAGAGACATCGCTTACACTCAATTTCAAGTGCTGTTTATAATGTGTGCAATTTTTAAAGAGAAGGACCATGGGACAGAATTTCCTACATTCGATTATTAAAAAAAATAAAGGAGATGCATCACGGTTTTTCGAGTTGAAGGTGTTTTTGAAAAAACAGTGAAAAACACCTTCAACTTGCAGAAAATTTCAATAAAATATTATTTTAATTTGATACAAAAACTAAAAGAGCCAATGACTAACCAAGAATGAACCAGGATTGTTAACCCTTTAACTCCCACGAGTGACCAAGACAAAATTTTTCCTTACAATATCAACACATTATCAACCAAATAAGTAATGAGAAAAAAGAAAAATATCAATTTGGGGATAATGATTGATCCAATACTAAATTATCTGAGCTAATATCATAAGAATTGTATTGTTGTCAGTAAGGAGAATTACAAATTTGATCTGGGAGTTAAAGGGTTTAGGATGGAGGAGATTTACTCGGGTTGTAGCTGGCAGCATTTGGGCTCAAACTGCGACGCACCCTGGTCGATATTCTCGAATGTAATTATGGCAAAAGGCATGACAAGTGCCCGCTTACTTAGTCGAGTCATACGAGGGAACTTCATACATTTACAAATGAATGAGGTCATACAATGAGGATAAGTTTCTTTTTTTATTATTTATTGAAAGACTGTATCCAAGTGAAAAGAAAATGCCATTTCTCATTTTTTTCCCTCTTTATTACCCCTTTATTACTTGACTTTTACAGTTTCTTTACTTTCTTTCTTTTTCCCTTTCATCTTTTTTTATAACTTGAAATCTTTGGTCTCTCCCTTTTCTCCCCCTCCCACCCTCCCATAATCTTCCTGCTGCTCCGCTAATCGTTTTTCCGATAGCGTCACCAGCTTCTAAGGTTATCTGCTTAGCTTCTTAACCATTTAACCTTTAACTCCCTTGAGTGACCAAGACAGAATTTCTCCCCACTATATCTGTACAATATCATGCAGACAAGTGATAAGAATAAAGAAAAATATCAGTTATGGAACTAATTGACCCGATACCAAATTCTCCAAACTAACATAATGAGAATCACTTGGCAGACAGAAGGGAGAATTACTAATGAGATCTTGGGAGTTAAAGGGTTAAACTCTAACATTAGTAGTCATATCCTCCACACTTTTCTCGTTTCATTTCTTAGGGTACTGACAAGGAAAATCTGTTTGACAATCAGGAGCTTCTTAAATTGGCAATCATTAACTTTAATTGTAATACGTAATATTTGAGTTAAGATACTGTAGGGATAAATTAAAAGTCACTCACTCTTTGAGGGTTTAAATGTCAAATAGCTAAGCCTACTAAAAGTTGCTTGACCCTTTTTTTTTTTGTTCAACAGAGGGAGTAACGGTGTCCTGCAGGAAAAATGAGATGCAAATTGACGTGGAGAGAGGAGTTCTGACTGGTTTCAAATCTATTTACCTTCGACTTAACAACAGGTCGTGTATAGCCACCGGAAATGAGACACATTTCAGTCTGGTCGCGCCCCTGATGGGTTGTGGAACGGTCAGCAGTCACACGGGAGAAGATGTGGTTTATAGCAATCAAGTGGAGGAGGAGGAGGTGGAAATTGAAGGTGTCATTTCAAGAATGCCTGAACTTGCCATTCCTTTTAGTTGTTATTACACAAAGGAAGGAGTAACATCAACATACGGAATCATTCCTCGAAAGGTATCAAGGTCAAACGAGATATTATATACAGTTTATAATCTCTTGGGCTAAACGATTAATTTTCTGACACATTTGACATGCTCAAGATCTGTACTGCTCCCTCACTCTTATTTCCACAACTACCCTAAATGTTAGGATGTCGGGTGTCTACCAAAGTGGCTTTTATGAGGAGATGATCTTGTAGAGCTGAGGATCAAAGAACCAACCTTATCATTTGAGTGACCACAGGAAGCCCAAGCTCACGTGAGCTTGGGAGGCCTGTGGAGTGACTAACATCCAAGCGTCCAATTTCTCCTTACAATATCACCCCTGAATCAAACATTAAGGTCAAAAGAATAAAGGAAATGACCGCCAATTAAAAAAGCTCTTTACTTTTAAGCAAATTCTCCTTGTCAGCATCTTTGGAAATGTATAGAGAACAGTATGGAGAATATGCTCAATGATGCTAGGGTGGAAAGGGTCAACATACACGTTTGCTTTTTTTTCTTTTTGTACGTTTAAGTATAATTTTCTGTGGCTTCTTAGGTTCCATATTATTCCTTTTTGATTTCCATGTTTTATTTTCCTCTTCATTCCAGTTAAAGATGACCATGGACGGCGGAGAAACTAAAACCGAGTTCACGCTCGAAATATCTGTGTTCAAAGACGAAAATTATTTACTGCCATTCGGCATAAGGGATTTTCCTCTGAAGGTTTCCTTAGGGAAGCCTCTCTTCGTACAGGTAGGTTGGTAATTTCGAACAGGAGATTGTCTACAGATGCGCACCCATGTATTACGCTTTTATCGAGAATATTGCTTTTGTTACGCTGGGAAAAAGCTTTCAGATTGATCATTTATCAAATTATATCACCTCCGTCTGAGCTGAATTACGTCTGGGCATGTCACAAATACGACCATTGATCTATACCAACAATATGTATTAAATTTCCTAACTAGTATGTAACTAGTATGTATTAAAGTTCCTAACCTACACTGATGTTTTTCAGCTTTGTCGTGAGCTCCTATTTGGTAGAATATCACGAGAATAATTTTTTCCTCCACTGTAATTTCAGAGTTTTGAAGTCACAAGTTCCATGGGGGTGTCCACGTTTGACGTGGAAAAATTCTACTTTCGGCCCATATGCTGTTCTCAGTTCGTACAATAAACTCTCTTGCGTATGGAAAGAGGGGAACAACCAGATGTAGTTCAAACCTCATCCTCAGAGCCCCTTTTTCCTTTTTATTTTCTTACGCAGCTTGCAGTCGATTCACCGGATACCCGACTGACTATCAGGGAGGAGAAGTGCTATGCCACACCAACCCAGAATCCTGATGATGTCATGCAGTATTACATTATACGACAAAGGTAATTCAACGATGCGTTCAACTTATTACTTCGATAAAATTTAATGCAACCTGCTGAAATCTTACATAGATTTACAGCCAGCAGTGGTGACGCAGATTTCTGGTGCTATCTTTAACCCTTTCACTCCCATGAGTGATCAGGACAGAATTTCTCCTTACAGTATCAGTACAATATCAAGCAGACCGGTGAATAGTAAAGAAAAAATCAGTTAGGGAATTATTGATTGATCTAAAATTATATTCCCTGAACTAACATTATGAGAAATGTGTGGTAGACAGTGAGGAGAATTACTTATGAGATCTTGGTAGTGAAAGGGTTAAATACTTCTTGTTTGACCGCCATTATGGGGGTTGGGGAGAGAAAAAGTGTTTTTACAAAGGAGGTTGTCGTTAGAACAGAGTAAATGAGGGGGATGGGGTGGTGGAACGAAGCCCTCCCTTAACCCATGCCCTCCACCACCGAGCTGGCTTGTAATGCTTACTAGCACCTCCCACAATGAAATATGTACAATGCAGGCTCGCAGGATGATAGCGAAAAATTAACCTCCTCCCCTCTCCCCACACCCTTACCTCGCCCAAAACCAAGGTGAGCGCGCTCTTGGAGCGAAAAGCGCTACTTTGGCTCCATTGAAATAGTTTGGGAAGGGGGGGAGGGGGGGTAGTGCAAATGTTCCACTCGTTTCGTCAATGAAGGTGAGTAATAATTATTTTCCTTGCTGTATCATAAGGACTTTTTTTCTTGGTATTTACACTCTCAAATGGCTGTGGTTGACCATTGCAACATTGTTTACACCTTTTAACTTTCACACATCGAATCATACCATGTACCGTATACCATATACCATATACCATATACCATATACCATATACCATATACCATATACCATATACCATATACCATATACCATATACCATATACCATATACCATATACCATATAGCATATACCATATACCATATACACAACCTCGCAGATGTTGTGTATATAACGAATATTGACGTATTTAAGAAATCATTTGAACAATGAATTAATGCATTATTAAATTATTTTGATCAGCAAGTTTAAAAGTGCTTATTATGTGTTTTATTTTCGTAGCTGCGTTGTGGATTCCACAGTGAAATATTACCCGGGCCCCCAAGGTACCAGACGGTTTAGTTTTGACACATTTCAGTTCACAGGGGAGTACGGCAGTTTTGTGTACTTGCACTGTAAATTGGTTGTTTGCAATGCTACGGACCCCAACTCCCGCTGCAATGTCGACTGCTTCACTGATTTCCCCAGAAGAAGAAGGCGAGCAATGGAGAAGGAGAAGGGTGTAGCTCGAGCCGGCCTCTCTGAGGGACCATTCGTATTTAAAAGTGAGAGGGAAGCAGACAAAGAATCAATACACTCTGAAGAAGGTACGACTTAATTTGAAACAGGTTTGCATCATGTTAAACTCAAACCCGCATGTCACGATTTGCATCGGCCCTGGACTAGCCTCGTTATCACAAGGAGGCTTGGAGTTATTATTACTATTATTGTTATTATTTTCAAGAGGTACAAACAGACTTAGAATTTTCATTAAGTAGATAGTAGTAGTTCATGGTATTTCTTTCATTCTAAGGTATTTTTGTTCTTTTCGAATTTTAGAATCTCCATTCAATATCACAACCATTGTTGTGGTTGCTATGGCAATCTTTTGCGCCGTGTGCCTCGCAGTGATCGTGTACATGAAGGTGAAATTTGTCCCCAAACCTCATCCAGACCCGGACAGAGAAACCTCTCTTTAGACATCTTATAGCCATCACCACTACTTATGTACCTGATCAAGTCAGCCAGTATCTGTTTTAAAATGGTCCAATGTTGGCTTGTTTCTAAAAAGATATTTTTATCGTGATATAACTTTTAGTTCATATGTTAAACTTTTTGAAAGACAACATACACATATCGTTTGCGTTGTGACATTACACGTCAAGTCGAGAGTGGAGATTTATGATTTAAAACAAAGACAAAACTGGATCTACCTGTGTTGCTATCCATAGACTGAGAAGCAAGAATTGTAATGAGCCGAAAACCAGTTGTTGACGCCTTGTATCCACGGAGTTCTTCGATAGGCAAATAAAAAGTATGTTTTAAATTTTGCCAAATTTCGTCATAACTGTAAAACCCCCTCCCTCGACTGCGCCTTTACCCTCTCCTCCCTCCCTTCTCCTTTTTATTCTCGCATCTAACTCATCTGGCCTTCGGTCTTTGCAGTCTTCACTTCATCTTGAATCTATTACTAAACAGACGCACGGTAACACGGAATCTAATTGTTGTATATAATATTCCTAGAGACAAACTTGTTCATAGTGGTATCGTTTATGTGTCTGTTCTTCTGTAGATAGTAAGTGAGATCCAATCAAAATTTAAAATGTTAATCTTTCTACCAAGTCTTAAAACGAACGGTTCAGAGCCACCTTAAACTTTCAAAAATTAAAGCGGCGCTGAACTGTATGAAAAAATCTAAGAATGAAAATATTTGCGGAAAGATATATCTCGACTTGCCGCTTTCAATCCAGTGAAAAAAAATGCTGGTCACCGATATAGAAAAGAAATCAATTATAATTTTTTTAGAAAAATGAACACCATGTTTGAGAAACTAGAAGCTATTTCTGAAACCAGCTTAAGGAGATCAAAACGAAATAATTGCTGTTTCAAAGTAAAGAAAAAAGTTCATCCAGGTGTTAAGGTGTCTTAGATTGGTTTCGTTACTTCAGGAAACATAAAGGTGTCAAATTATCGTCAATATCTATGTATTTGCAAGGCAGGAAATTCCCTTACAAATCTTCCCTACTCCGATTGGAACGCTCCCACCCTGTGTATGCAGGCAATTCCCCGACAAACCTTCCCATTTCCGATTTGAACGCTCCTATTCTGTGTATGGGGCCTTATTTTTTTTTCTTCTCGACAGAACATAGTGCTATACTGATCATATCCTTCATAGATTGGATCGCTTATTCACCCCTTTATCTTCTACACATTTCCTTACTTTTTTAATTACTAGAATGTGGTGTCAGATCAGGATCACAATTTTTATTATATAATTTGGAGTAGACTCATTACCTGCTCGCAGGACAATGAATGGATATTAAAGAGAGAAATGACCTGTTAATCACTTCTGGGAGTAACAAGATTATCAACCTCTATCAGCGTAATATCAACTTCTCCTCTCTGGGGGTGGGGGATGTCATATGTTTTTTCAGCCTTTGATCTCTACCAGAAACATATACTTCTAAGGGTATCAAGGCTCCTGGACAAGAGATGCAGCAAAGCATGATAATCTTTGCTAAATGGTGCTCTGAAGAAATTTAGCTACACAAGGGCGGGAGTTTACCAAGCAAAGAGACGTCAGTTTTTTCCTTCTGTTTATTCCAGGCCTCAGCGACCGACCGAGCATTGGGCCTGCTTTTAGTCTATGACTTCCCTCGGCTAATTGTTTTTTTTCTTGTACGTATTTCCTGCTGACGAGTGGAAACGTGATTGTCAGCTTGGGCACAGTAATTTACAAGGGTTACAAAAGCCCTTTTTTTATTTTTTATTTTTTTAATTATCTTATCACTGCACCAAATGATAATGTAAACACGTCTTGGTATGATAAGTGTAAGATTGATCTTCCATGAGTGAAAAATGTCCTTTCATGTCATGGAGGTAATGGATGAATCCGCACGACATACGTGTGCGCGTGCGAGTAGAGATACACGAATCACGAACGTGATGGTAAGGGCGAGACGCGCGAGCGTGGAAGGCGCACGGGACTGTTTGCGCAACGCGAAGTGTTCACTTACAAGAGTGAGGGGTCTCGCCTGTCTCAGTTTATTAAAGTGATGAGAACATCAACCGTTTTTTATTCTCTTTTTATTTGCTCAATTTGATTTTCAACGACTGAGTAGTTGATTTTAACGATTTGCTTCACTCAGGAAATCAGGAAAAAGCCGCTCGTTGATTTGACCTTGACCGTAAAAATTACATGCGTCACGCATCGTGAGCACTGCGTTACAGCTGTAACTATTTCGTGGTCACGCATATGTTTACTCAATTCGCGTGCAAAGACAAGCAGATTACGACTAATCCACCACGAGGCGTTAAAATCGTGGAGCATAAACGATAGCGTGGTACGTGTTCTTGATTTTGCTAAATTCTTGGCAGCATCTGTGTTTTTGCAAGGTTGGAGATCACAAATCCGCTAACTTCCTATTTAGGCACTCCCGTTAGGTGTCATGCGACCTTTTGTGTTATTATAAAAGAAACACTGTTCGTGTCCTTCTAGAAAAGTCTTCGTTTTCATTAAAATGATGAGGAAACCGTCAGGTTAGGCACGTATTTCGGCGCACATACCTTGTATCATGCCGCTCTCTATAGTGGAGTCAAAGGCCGTTGTAATTAGGTTTTTCCCTGATCACCGTTTCAACGCCTAAACGGCATTGCCTGCCTTTTTTTAAGGCGGTATTTCACGTTTTTCTGTTGTTTAATCTTCGCTTTATCGAACATATCCTGTTATCCCGGAAGGCCAATCCTAATCGCAGATATACGCAAGGACACGACACAAAGTACTCAACACTGACATCTCACATGAGAGCAAATTTAGGACTACCAATTGAGTATTTAGTTACATTTTATCACCAAACTGCAACACCTACACGCCCCGCATTTAAACTCTGGCAATTATCAAATGCCAAGAAGGTTTAGTAAATGATCTTCAGAACTGCCGAAAATTCCGTGCCGTAATTGGAATCTGAAGTTCATCGCTGAAACAGTGGTTCGTCGTGAAAGTGTGATTTACGTCACCCGACCAGAGACACTCTCAGAAGAGCAAACTCCTTACGTTGAAAGCTCTCCGCCGAGTCAGACTGCTAGTGTCAATGTTTATCTTTGGTGGAAACTCTCACCTTTGAAGCGAAGGGATTTTCAGAGGGAATTTGATTAAATCTATGGACAATGGTTTACGGTTCGAGGAGATTAGATGCTCTTGGATCGTTGCTGTTTTTGGTCCTATTCTGTAGAGGTAAGCTCTGCTATCTTGCGGTTTTTGCTTAGTTTATATGCGAGTCTAGGACCGTTACGTTTTTGTGATTTTAGTGCAATCAGTTTTCTTAAAGATATCGACTGCAGTGTTTGAAGACAAGGTTTTCAATTTAGCTGTCAAAGTGACAAACGTGTATTAGTTTTTCACACTTTCAAGCGATTCCTATCAAAGAGAAATTGGTGATATTTCCTCCTCTCTAATATCTCGGTGATGCCAGAGGATATAACCTCCCAGTAAGAAAATTAACCAACAAACCAAGATTACGATCGATCTTACCTCCGCGCTTCGCCATAACAAAAAATTTAAGACCAGAGATAAAAATTTTCTAGCCTTAAAGAGTGAATAGGATTTTTTCCTGTATGAAAATCCAAATTTACAGTGTTATCTCGAAAAGATAAGATTGCATCTTGAATTCTACACAGCAACATCGATTAAAAGCAACGGGAAATAAGAAGACTTATCTCTCCGAGCTTATCTCCACGAGTGGGGGGGAGTTACTATCACTGTTGATATCTCTAAAGCTCTGAACAGGTCAAAATAACAAAATTAAGAACACGGCAACTTTTTGTGGATCTCTAAAATCCTTTAGAAAATCTAAGCTTTAGTAAAAAATAAATTTAAGTAGATTTTTTTCAGCCTGATCACTAATGTATCGAATAACGGTGAATTGATCCACTGTATGTTTTAAATAGCTGTCGAAAACAAAACCAAAAATAAAAGGCTTATTAATGAAGCACAAGGACACCTTCTCTATCCCACTGCTTTGATCGACTAGAAAAACAAATATATAAAAACAGCAACTGTTTATTTTGCTGTCAGCTCCACTGCGTTGTTTAAAACACCTTGTGTATTTCTCAAGTTACATCGTTTCAAAGGGGAAATTTCAAATAAGTTTAAAATATTATGTGGGCGAAAGGTAAAGTTGTGATGGGCATTAAAACAAAGCGTATCCTGTTAAGACATTCGTTTATTCATCTTTCATCTGCTTTATTTGTAAGGATGACTAAAATGACACGTAGAGATTGGAAAGCCCTCACGCTGCCAAATTTGTCGGTAAAAAACCCTTTTGAGGTTCCCTGAGGTAACCGTACTGAACGGCTCTTTAATGACAGTGATTTTCGAGCCTGTGAAAAAAACGAGCTTATTAATAGTGGCGAATTGCATCCTAGAAAAATCATGGATCTAGCAAACTCTTCATCCGATCTTGAAAATTCTTTGCGACAAGTTGCTGAACTCCCATTTATACTTCATTTATTTCTGTCATAGACTCAAATCTCGTTTTTTTTTTCTTCAAGTTATCTATTTTTTCCTCACAGCTGAGGATTCAGGTCAGCAGGTAGCTGGAGTCCTGCGTAAGTTTGTGTTATCGTTATGCGACCCCCTCTCAAATGGGGATAGCGTGCAAGCAATAATTTGAGTCACAGTTTTTCTACGGCAATGATAAGGAGGTGTTTAAGTCTTGGTCAAGGAGTTTGAGAAAGACATCTTACTTTCCTGGAAAATCTCGTTTCGTACAGCGACTTTTAAGCTGCTTTTGAAATATGCGATACAAACAATTGTTGGGTCGATAGGAAATGAGATGGAAAAAGGGAGCTGTCATAAACGAAGATTTCTTCATCTGTGAACCCCAAAACGTCACTTACTCGTATAACGTGAACATGTAACGTCCGAAAAATGTCACGCATGTACAACACCCTGGTCACACCTTACGAATACTTTCCATTTGATTCATACTGAGCATAAAGGTCGAAAATAAACGTTTGATTTACCATCTGTAACTATGTAAGATTATTTACCTTACTTGTAAAAACTCCCTATGAAGTCTGCGCGCTATTTAAATACGAAATGTGTCGGAAATTAAAACAAATTCTGACTATTTCAGATTGTGTAGCATGCAGTGCTCCTCATTTGTTTATCATTTAAAAAAATCAGTCGTGTCAAGCTTTGCAACGTATTACGTGCTATTTTAAAATGTATCAGAACTACAAACTTAAGAACATGATACTGGCGTTATTTTTCTCTGTTGCCTTGGCTAATTCTGTTTAGTGCTGTTTCAAATCCAAGATTATCTTCGAAAACAAAAAAACCGCAAGTTTCAAATACATCCCACTTCTTCCTGGTTTATAGGAATGGGCTGCGGTCAGTTTCTTTGTATTCTCTCAACTATTTGCGTTAGCCTTGAAAAGTATGTAAGAAGCCAAGAAACTCTTGCGATCGGTCATCTGTTCAAAGAAAAAAATTTTTTTTTTTGTCCACGAGCGTGGGACAAAGAAAAAGTCTGAGTCCCCCAAGTATACTCGCACCAGAGACCTTTGGATATCGCGGCGCTAGGGAAGACTCGTTGGCGAGCTATCTGGTGTACTAATACTTTTCATGTACTGAGGAAGACGTTCGGCACATAAGAGTCAATTGCCTAGCAGAATTCACAAAGATTTCCGTTTCAACTACAAATTGAGTTATTCAGCAATAATTAGACAACACAACGAAAAACAAAACCCCAACATAAAAGATTCCTGTTACATGACGCTTTCGTGATCATGCAACTAGCCAATCAAATATATATGTGTGTGTGTGTATATATATATATATATATATATATATATATATATATATACATAAGTCAAAGAATTAAAGAGGACACATCGATTCTCTGTGACTCTGGGTTTCGCGCCTAAGCGCTCGTCAGACAGAACTTCTAATGAGTTTTACTTAGCAAATTTCACAAGCCGCCAACAATAGCTCTATAGAATCTTTATTTCAAACGTAGATTAGATCATCACACTAGTTAATTAATTACCTACTTATCTAATTTGTATATAAGGAGGTATGTTTTTCATTGAATAAAGTTCTGTCTAACGAGCGCTTAGGCGCGAAACTCAGAGTCAACAGAGAATCGATGCGTCCTCTTCAATTCTTTAACTTATGTATACTTAGCTCTGCTACTACAGCATTGAGCACTTCATGCCAAGGTAGACTCTACCCACATTCATTTATATATATATATATATATATATATATATATATATATATATATTTTATATATATTTTTATCCCATATATATATATATAATAATTAACTGCAGACAGTACTGTTTCGGCCTGTTTCTGGGCCTCATTTGCTGATGCTAGGATGGAAAAAGGCCATATAGCCAATATATATATATATTTTTTTTTTTTTTTTTTTTTTTTTTTTAATGGACAAATTTCATAATGCACGAGTAATCGTTCACACTTACAGCCTGCTTTTTCCTTTGTGCTTTTAGTTTTTCAGACAACTGGAGTGAGAGTGGGAAAATGCCCAGACCTCTCACGGAAATTTTCCCAGAGATGTCCTCCTGACACCATTGACCAATGCAAATATGACGAAGATTGTACCGAGAATAATAAGCAGAAATGTTGCAAGATTGGCTGTGGCAAGATTTGTTTTAATCCAGGTGACCTTGCCTTAATCAGTGGTAAGTCTGTCATTAATTTAAAAATGATACTTTTTGAAGATCACGCAACTTTAAGCAAAAATGTCACCTGGGTAACTGCACTCAAAATTTTCATAGCGGGGATACTGAAGATATTTTTGTGAAGGATCTTGTTTTCCCCCATACCCTACAGGAAGTGTAGGTCTATCACTTAAAAAATGTTTGAGAAAATATAATTGGATAATAATGTACATGAAAAAAAATTATGCGATTCTGATTGGCTGATAACGAGTGCATTTTTACATGTAACACGAATGCAAATTACAAATAGCGTGCGTACCGTCAAACGTTCGTCTTTCTTGACATTCTGTAATGCTTCTTTTTATTATTAAAAAGTAATCGAATGAATTCTCATGCAACTTGGTGTAATTAGATGCACTTGTAAATTTTTCAAAGACTTCAGATTGCACTCGCCTTACGTGCAGTCGAAATCATGTTATCACCTATACTTACGAACAACGCCATTTGAAACACGTTGGATAGAAAGAACTCAGTATGAATAACCTATGAGCTAGATCAAGAAAAATGTCAAATCTGAGCTAAGTCGCCACAGATGCCATAATCAAGATGTTGTTATTTTTGTCACGAACGTGGAACTTGGAAAATCTTAGCTCCCATAAGGGAACCATGCTTGTTAATTAAAATTCCAAATGAATTACTCACAAGGCCACAACTTTATTGATCTGTGCGCGTATTAACTCTAAAAATTTTTCATGTAACAGGTAACAGTGTGTGCCCGGTCTTACCGAGGCCTAATCCGTGTCCTAACGAGCCAAATCAGTGTCTAAAAAGAGATGAATGTGTTAGCGGGAAGGAGTGCTGCTCTGATGGTTGCAGAATGATCTGTGTTCAACCTGTCGTAGTCCCAACTAAAGAACCAGCTGGTTAGTAATGAATTTCTATTATTTTTAATGATCGGGAACCCTAGTGTTAAAGAATGATAGAGGAATACGCGATAAGACAGTTATGATTCGCTTTGCCTTTTTCGAGGATTGCCTAACTGTGCGTGATATTACAAATTCAAAGTTACTTCCTAACCAAACCTTAAATAAGGTGAAACTTGTCAAACTTACGATAAAGGTTCTCATCTCCAAAACGAGGAGTGGAATGGAAACGATGCTTCTCCAAAATATTATCCTTTTAAATGAAACAAACTAAATTTTCTTAGAAACCTCTTCGCTGATTATGGGTACCATTTGAACAAACCACTTAGCTCTGGCGTCCGCTTCGATTCCCTCAACCTTGAACTTACAGTGGAGGCACTATCTGGGTGTTGAAATCAATGCCTGATTGACATAAGGCGTTTTCTTTATATGGCGTCCACCATTCAGATTTTACCATGGGCTTTACTATGCGAAGTATATTCAACTACTCTTGATATCACAATTAAATGACATAAAATTGTTTTGACTTGTGCATGATGTATAAGTAACGAAATGAACCTTAGTTTTACAGGCCTTTTTTCTGCAATTCCTCTTATTTCCGCAAAGATCAGTTCAGTACTTGTAGTCTATATAAGTATGGGCATGGTAAATCTCGTCCAAAAAGTGTGTTTTGCCTTATTTTCGCAGAAAGAAAAAGTTGTAGTGCCATAGTGGACGTCGCCTTCATCATTGATTCGTCCGGGAGTATTTCCAGAAGGAACTACGGAAAAATCAAAGCGTTTGTTAAGGGCATTGCTGGAAGACTTGGCATTTCGACGAATGGTAGTCGGGCAGGTATCATCTTATACAGCACAAGAGCCTCAGTCAAAGCGTACTTCAACGACTCCCGCACCATAGAAGAGTTTAAAAGGAAGGTCGACGAGCTTCCCCACGAAAGAGGTCTTACTTACATCAACAAGGCTCTCCAACTGGCGTCATCGGAACTTTTCTCACGCGCGCGGAAAGATGTACCAAAGGTGGCAATGTTGCTGACTGATGGCGAGCAGTCGAAGCCTGAGAGCACGTTAAACCTGAGAGATGCGTCCGCGCCTTTAAGGCAGCAAGGAGTGCGTGTGATCGCTTTCGGTATTGGAAAGAGAATTAATGTGCGCGAATTGCGGTTGACGGTAGAACGAGATGAAGATGTGATAAGAGTGATGAAGTTTGATGATTTGATTACCAAAGTGGGGAATTACACCAATAGTCTTTGCGAAGCGGCTGGTAAGAGAAATCAAATCTATGGTCATGACAATTTTCAAGATATGAGGTCTCCTCATAGTTTCGTTTAAATTGATCAAAGCTTTCGATCGCTGTAACAGTTTTCCCTTTTGGTGCTAAGTTCAAAACTGAATTTCCTATATCTGATAGCCCTGAATTTCTACTTAAGACAGAAACTATAGATTAAGTAGTAAAACATCAGATTGTTTTCTCCATTTAAGCTAGCTGAAGCTTTTTTATGGATAGGTATACACTAAATTGTTCGTGTCATTCTCACGCTTCAATCTTTTGTTCCTTTTCCCACAAAGTGACAGAACCAATCCACCCTGATGCTGACATTATCTTCTTGATGGACTCTTCCGTGGGCGTATCCAGGGAACAGTTGATTTTGCAGCAACAGTTCGTCCGTCGTTTGGCTCGTTACTTCATTATATCCCCACTTGGGCCACGTGGCGCGTTGGTCACTTATGACAGAGCTTCATTTACCCTCATAGGCTTCTCCGATTATGGCAGTACAGCAGACTTCAGTCTTAAAATCAATGACGCTCGATTACGCGGTGGCTCGCGGAGAATCGACCAAGCGCTCAATTACGCTACAAAAATGTTCCAGGACACCGGACGAGAGGGTCTAAGAATTGTCATTCTCTTGACCGCGGGTAATTACTACTCGGGACCTGGAGCTGATACTATGTCTTCTGTTGTGATGAGATTGCGCAGTATCGACGCACATTTGTACGTAATAGGTATTGGCTCCCAGTTTACACCATCAGTATTCACGCAAATGGTTCGCAAACCCAGAGACATTTTTCAAGTAGCCTCTTTCCACGATTTGGAACCATGGCAGTCGCGTATCGCGAGAACTCTGAGACATACTTCGAATGCCTGTAAGTCAAGTGTCTTTCATCAGTATGGAACCTTTAAATTTCTCTCAGAATAACATTTATTTTTTCCTTTCTTGTTATTAGTTAAGTATGAACCAGCAGACTTTCGTTCAGATATAATATTTCTCATGGACTCATCAAGGTTCGTGACAAAGGAGAACTACATACTAGAAAAGAACTATGTAAAGCTGATGGCACGCCTCCTGAATCTCGCCAATAACAGAAGCCGCGCTGCTCTGTATGCATTCAGCGACCGTCCCTCACTGCAAATCACATTTGATGGTTACGAAGACCGTGAGGCGTTCGACACATCTGTCAACAACGCACCTCATCTCCAAGGTGCCCGCCGCATCGACAGAGCATTTGAGGCTGCAGCGGAGCTTCTGCGAACAAGATCTCGTTCATCTGTACCCAAATACGTCATTCTCTTGACAACTGGAAGGCAATCGCAGGTGGCTGATATGCGCTCCCTGAGAGAGACCTCGCAGCAGATTCGAACACATGGTGGCAGAGTCTTTGTTGTTGCTATTCTTACAGGAGGATATACTGTTCGTGACTTTTGGCAGGCAGTTCAAAGACCTGAGGACGCCATGTCCGTTCCATCGTTTATCAATCTACTTCCACGCGCCTCTTTCATGGCCTCACGTATCATGGCAACGTGGCGTAAGTTATACTTGAGCTAACCTTGTTTTACACCGATTAGAAGAAAATAAAGAAGACTCAAAATGTCTTGCTTCACGCGCTTATTCAAGCTAATTCCTCTTTCCATGCGATTATGACTATGCTTTGTCTGATATCAGTTGTCTTCATTTTGTGTTTGTCTCTCCACATTATTTTAGCGTGCTATTCATCCTGTCTAGTGTGTTTGATCTGAATTTTTATTCCACAGGAGCCCCAGAGGCGCCAACGTTTGCCGCTGATATCGCCTTCATCCTGGACTCTTCCTCCGCAGTAACACCCTTCCAATACACTAGAGCTCAACGATTTGTCAGAATATTGTCAGAGTACTTGAACATTTCACCTGGAAAATCTCGGGGATCGTTGATTACAGTAGGAGATTCTCCTATAGTGAACTTCAACTTTGACGGCTATAACACACATGCCGAATTCAGAACTCTGGTAACCGATGCGTCATATTTGGGCGGCAGTTCTTCGATCACCAGCGCCTTAAGGACAGCGGCGACTATGTTTACTGGCGCGCGTAGCTCTTACCCCTGGCTGGTTATCCTCGTTACCCCGTGGAGACCGAGAGACATACGGGATACCAGGGCTCTAGAAGCCGCTGCTAGTCCTTTATTGAATCGCGGGATCTGGTTGTACGTGCTATCCGTTAGTGAGAACCCGTATGTCGGTTGGCTACGTCCAGTGGTTGTGGAACCGCGGGATGCCTTTTCTGTTGTTTCTTACCGCGATTTACCAGCGAATATCGGGTCTTTGGCTGGCTATATAACAGCTGATAATTGTAAGTATACTCAATAAATACCTTTAGGATGAAAAAACTAAAAAAACTTTCTTTCTAAAACTTTCAAATCAAGGAGTTCTTTGTATCAGGAAAGTTTTTTTCTTTTCAAAATGCGCTTTGGAAAAACGTATTTAGTTGCATGTAAAAAAAACATGTAAGTATATGTTTTATTTTTAGGGATGACCAAAGCCTTTTACGAACTTATAAAATATTCAGAGTGTTTACTTTTTTAAAACTCAATTACTTTCTTTTTTAGATCTCTATGGAGGCTCCAAATTCCTGTTGGACATCATATTCCTGATAGATTCCTCGTCAGGCATAAATTCCAGGGACTACAGCATCGAGAAATGGTTTGTCCAAAGGATAGCAATGCACCTTGGTGTGTTCCAAGGCGAAACTGTAGCTGGTGTGGTAACGTATGGAGGTAATGCCTCAGTCGTATTCCCCCTTGGAGGCTACAGATCCAATTCAGAGTTTATTCGGCGCTTGAATGACGCTCCAAGTATGGGAGGTGTGCGACAGATTGACCGTGCTCTCGATACTGCGGCTGCTTTACTCTTAAGGTCTCGATCGACTCTGCCGAAGGCGGTCGTTCTCATAACAGCGGGCGATCAAGGCACGGCACCGGGGACCATTCCTATAGAAGAAGCTTCTCGGTCTCTTCGTCAGCTGGGAGCCTGGGTCTACGTTACGGCTATTGGACGAATGGACGTCAGGGAACTGCAAAAAGTTACGATAAGACCGACAGACATGTTCTTTGCAAGTTCGTTTCCAGGACTTTATGGATTTGTCAGGCCAGTGGGTACATACGTGGCTAATACCTCGGGTAAGTAATGTGGTTATGGTATCATTATCAGTTGGCAAAATAGTTAAATCAGCAATTCTTTCTTGAAATGTTTTCTTTACTAATTGTACGAAGCAAGTGGACTTCCTAGACAATTATATATGGCTTAACAAGGAATATCAATACTAGGACGTTCGTTTCCGATCGAGTCTGAAATTCCTCACCTGTGACATCATCGTTCTCTTTCAGTCATAACAGGGACATCTTCCTTGAACGCAGACATCGTATTCATTATTGATTGTTCTTCAAGTGTTCCTTATCGCGAGTACCAAACACAGAAGGACTTCGTGAAGTCTCTTGCACAGTACTTAAACATCCAGCCCGGGCTGTCTCGGGTGGCGCTCGTAGTGTACGGTAGTCGAGCAATGCCCGTCCTTCGCTTCGACAGTTCCAGGACCATTGAGCGCTTTTATTCCGAGCTTGCCAAGACGCCATACCTCGGAGGACCCCGAAATGTCGACAGGGCCCTAACAATGGTCATGCAGCGTATTTTCGTAGACGCCCGGGAAAACGTCCCCAAGATCGTGCTGTTGTTTATGGCGGGAAAACAGTCGGGTGAATCAGGCTCGTTAAGAGATTCAGTTCGACCGCTCCACCTACAAGGGATTAGGACTTTCATTTTCCGCATTGGATCAGAACCAGCACTGAGGGAACTTCATGCGGCTGTTGATCTTCCTGGCGATGTTTTCGAGTTTGCAAGTTTTGCTGACTTGGATTCGAAGACGGCACCATATCTGGCGAGGCACATACCTTATTCTTCGGGTATGCTTTCACTCAGCAGTTTTTGTATTATTCTTTCTTTCTCTTTTTCTTTCCCTTTTCGTTCTTTCTTTCTTTCTTTCATTATTTCTGTCTATCTATCTATTTATTCATCTATTTATCTTAATTTATCTATTATTCTATTAACAAGCATCATTATTATTTCTTTTCTCTACGTATCATTATCACTGCTATTCCGCCGTCACAGGAGTTCATCACTTGATATCAAGTGATGAGCTCCTGGACATCACCGTTAATATAACTATTATATATATCACTATCATTTTTGTAAGCTGCTAACTCAGTCCAAGACTCAAAAAAATCCGTCCTCGATTTTTAAAATTCCGGAGACAGAGCTAGAGGGGAGGGGCGGGGGAAAGTTTCGAAAAGAATTGGTACGATATCCAGTTTTGGAAACCCCATTTATGTAACAGGACTCTTATTAGGACACCATTTCTAATGTACTCAGACGTTATATGAGATGTAAATTATATATTCGAGCACATAATGTAAAGTTTGTTTTCTTTGTTTGTTTTGTTTGTTTTTTTTTTTTTTTGTCTTTTGATCTATTTTCTTTCGTCTTTACTTTTTTTTTCTGTCATATTACTTATTACATAATTTCCCCCATTTACCTGTAAGAACTTAAATTAGTCGTAACGTCGCCCTTTCATCTCTGTCAACGTCAGGTATTTCCTTTCCGGAGTTGATTTCTGTCAATGTCTGTTTTTGAGATATCCCGTTTCGATGATCTTTCGACAACTCGAATTTTATCCTTTTAGATTAAACCGTACTTCTGTATGTTCTTTTAAAATATATTTCCTGGGTGGCTTGAATTTTGAGGATTTTTGGATCAGGTACAAATTGAATCTGTTGACACGTATGACGTTTTGTAAAAATGTCATCGCTCTTTTGAACTGCGTAGATTATAAGATAACAATGAACGAAGATAAAGGGCAATCAAAATCTAAAGAGAATGTATACAAAAAGTAAATTCTAATTTAAAAATATCGGAGATACACAAAGAGTGATTCAAGTTACACGTGGACCCGAGAGTTTTGCGATCTTTACAGTCGAATGCATCAAATGAACTTTCACTTAGCGACATTCACAATTTTGTGTACCGATAACTATTTATTACATAGGTATTAAACTTTAGGATTAAAATCCTCTCCGACATGATCTTTTATCGCGCCACCACAGAATTTTCATCCTGACAAATTTGTCAGGGTCCCACCGAGAGAATCGGTATTATGTGTGAACTCTCAAATTTTCGAAAAGATTCCAGATGTGTCATTTGACACGTTCTGGGTGTTCTTGAATGACTTTGCCTCTCGAGATTTCGAAATTGTGAGCGTTCACCTGAACACATTTTCCGCGTTGTTGTCTCGAATAGACGTCTCAAAGTGTCTTGAATTGACTGTACTTAATCGATTCCCCACCAGTTTCCCAAGGCAAGGAGTTGGCGCGGATACAAACGAAACATCGATATGCCAAATGTTTTGAATTGTGTAATATTTCTAATAGGTAAAGACACACGAACAACGTTGGCCATATTTTGCCCTTCCTATGGGGTGTTTAGATTTAATTTGTAACCCAAAACAATTTTGACATCTTTACCTATTTTTTTAGCTTTCCTGGGACCACTCAGCTTAGCTGTGGACGTCGTTTATCTCATTGATTCGTCTGCATCAGTGACATCACAACATTACAATGATCAAAAGACATTCGTGAAGCAATTGTCGCGATTTTTAAACAAGATGCCAGGCCGTACCAGAGTTGCTGTAATCACATACGGATCCACTGCGACCGTGATTTCAGACTTTGGTGGCACAAGCACGACTCAAGAGTTCCATAACGCTCTGGACAACGCGCCAAAAGTTGGAGGACCGCGAAGGATGGACCGAGCAGTCGACAAAGCGCGAACAGCTTTGGCAAAAGCGAGACCGGCGGTGCCTAAAGTTGTCATTCTATTGACAGCAGGAAAACAACAAGCGGGAATTCAGGCGTCGATTCTAGACACGTCGTTCAAGCAACTTTACAATCTTGGGGCTCGACTTTATGCTATGACTATCTCTCCACCAATCTTTTCATTGCCTTTGAGGGGCACTGCGGGTTCGGATTGGTTCCCACTGAGGAATTTTATCGATCTTCCTCGCTATGTCGTGCCATTGTCAAGATATGTGGCCCACGATACAGGTTTGTGACGTTTATCGTTGCCAATGCTTTCCTTGCATTTTGTGTGTAATGCAAAGAATTGACGAAATGAGGGTTAACAAAGTAATCAGTCAATCGATTTCGTTTACAATTAACTATAAATTCTAAGACCAACAATCAACAAAGAAATATATGGTCCTGATTTGGTTTCGGATTGGAAGTGCCTAGCCATATGCTAGTCAGATACGAGCCAATTAATTCAAGTATTAATATTGTTCGTATTTGATTACAATTGTTATTTTCCTAAAATTTCTCGAACATAACCTCATAGTACAAAACATTTTCATTATTTCAACGGCAACTTGTCCTACCATTGGAGGTTTTATTTAAAGGAGCTAAAAATATTAAATGAAATAGGACCAAGGATGGTTCATTTTAACTATTTCCATCCTAGTATCAGTAGGCATATTCTCCCTACCGCTCTCCATAAATTTCCTGAGGTGGTTATAAGTTGGTGATCATTTCCTTTATTCTCGTGACCTTAGTATGCAATTCAGGGGTGATGATGTGGGGAGAAATTAGATGCAGTTAGTCTTAGGGGTCAAATGGGTTAAAATTGGTATCAAATGACGAACTCCTCAACCTCCTTAGTAAGAGAACTAAATTCCCTGTTTTGGCTGCCATACACTTCACAAAGTCAAGAATTGGCTTGTGAAAATGTTCAGATCTGAAAAAAAAAAAAAAAAAAAAAAAAAAAAACTTTCCATCAAAATAACCAATCCCCCTCCCTTACGCTGGTTTCTTTAAATGACTGAATATATGAAAATCATAAAAACGTGAAGTTATGAACACTACTTTTCACTGCTGTTCAAATAGTTTTCATAACTGCGAGGATCGCTCTCACATTCACGCTGGTTTGTTTGATTGTCCCTATCACGTAATGCCGAAAAAGGCATGCACAATGTAAGGAGTATTTAACATTTTAATCATCGATAAACCGGAAGGTTTGATAACATAATTACCTTTTATTAACCTTATCAACCTCTAGCGGCTCTTGGTCCTTACAACTTCGTGGCTGACGTAATCTTCATGCTGGACTCTTCGTCAAGCGTCACGCCAGATGAATTCTTGAGGGAAAAAGAGTTCGTCAAGCTTATCGCAAGGTACCTAAATATCACGCCGGGGAAGTCCCGAGGTTCTGTTATTATCTTCAGCACTGAAGCCCGACCCATCTTGCCCTTTGATGGCTATACGGAAATTACCGGCTTCAATTCAGTCATCGACCGAACCCCACAGATGAGTGGAACGCGGAGGATTGACCGAGCTTTTAATGCTGCTGCAACCTTGTTCCAAAGCTCTCGACCATCTGTTCATAGGGTTAGTTTTTGACCATCTGTTCATAGGGTTAGTTTTTGACCATCTGTTCATAGGGTTAGCTTTTGACCATCTGTTCATAGGGTTAGTTTTTGACCGTCTGTTCATAGGGTTAGTTTTTAATTTAGATCGTTTTTCGGTTGAGTGTCGTAAAACCAAAAGCAAGGTTATCACAAAGGCCAATTAGAAGAAAGGAAAATACCTGGAAGAGCCAATGAGAACTTGAGGTTAAAACAACCAAACTGTCTAAAGCGCGGGAAAACGCAGGTGACCAAGTCGTGATTGGTTTTAGTTTTGCATCTGATTGGTTGAGAGAGTGGCGTGAGTGTATTGGACCAATCACGGAGCGAAGTAAAAGTAAAAATAAAAGCAAAACCAATGCAATTTCGGATTATTTTCGACACTCAATTGAAAATTACTCTATATTTTGAAACAATTCTCATATGACTGTTACAGTTCAGTGAACGACTCAGGGAAACTTGACAAAGAGCTAGGTTCAACCTTTGATAGATCAGTATTCCAACCACTTCCTGTTGGAGCCGTTGCTGGTTTTTGTGTGTTGTTGTTTCTGCAGGTAACGCACTTCAGTGCAATTGCGGTAATTTGTTTAGTTGGTGTAGTTTACGAAGGTTTTTTAGTTTGTGTAGTTGATGGAATTGGTTCACTAAGAAATAAATTTTTTGGCAAACACAACCAATCCTGTTTTCAGTTTAGAAAGTATGCCTGCTGTGGTTGGTGTAGTTGAAAACGGGATGAACTCTAGTAGTAGCTTTTAGCTTATTGCGTGAGATCGATATAAATAGTTTTAAAAAATAAAAACGTACTCTGGAGATTAGGGTTTTTCCACAACCATTATTTTCAATCAAAGGTCGCCATATTGCTCACCGGTGGAAGGCAATCACCTGATGGGGGATCTTTGGTGGACGCAATGCAACTAATGAAAAACCGTGATGTCATCACCTACGTAATAGCTGTGGGAGGTGAATCTGACGTTCCCGTCCAAAGACCACAGGACATGTTCCGCATGGCGTCGTACAATGATCTTCCAAGACAAGTTCAAACCATTGCAAGCACCATAACTGCACCGAGAGGTAAGTTCAAGATACGTACTTGGTACAGCAACCTTTTGATTATTTCGTGAAAACTTTAGCTTTATTTACCGGCAAAATGCAATGGTCACGATATGTATGGCGCTTCAGCTAGTAGCTTTGCAGCTGAGGTGGTGATTCTGCTTATTAAGTACTCGAGGATCGCGAACTCTAGGTTCTGAAATTGTCATTTCTCTTAATTCAGTTATCCAATATCAAGAATAAGACCTGCAAAATCTGATGATGCGTTAACATAGCCACCTTTTCAGCCTTTTTAGAGAACAATTATACCAAGACACATTGAAAACCTTTTCTTCTTTATATCAGTTGCAAATGAACGTTTAGTTATAAGTTAGCGTCCTTTGTATCATATTTACATTATGTTTATATTTTTAAAATTGTAACAATGAAACTGCCAAGGGTTCTTCTCAGTTAGGCATATGTCCACTGTCATATGGAACCACTTCGCAATTTTGAAGTGACTGGGACATTGTTATTAATTTAGAAAATTGCTTCTGTTAGGGCGGTTTAGACCGCACAATCTCGGACAACTGACAGGTAGTTGCAATCAAAACTATCATTCTCCAGAGTTGGATAATATTGACCATCTAAGCTATTCAAAAAATTTCAAAAATGTAAAGGTTGTAATGGAATATTTGATTGACAGTCAATTGTTTTCTTCTTTCAGTTGCAATAGTTACAACACCTGCGCCTACAACAACCCCAGGTACCGATTAGTATTCAAAAGAACCATTCGTAGAACTCCTTTTATTATTTTCATCTCCACTTGACCACACAAAAAAATAAGCTTCCCGGTAGCAGGCTTCTGACTAACGAGTGCTGCATGTATTAGCCAAAAATTTCTTGTATTCTTTAGCAGAACTAGTATCTTTACTGTATTGAATATGTTCGCTTGATAAAACCAAAAAACCGACACATTCTTGCACCGGATCATACAATTTTATTCTGCATGTCTCCCCAAACACCATTGGCTCTTGGAGAGGTCGGCATTTCCTTCTATTACGTCACTTGTGGTGCACAGCCACGTTGTCAGAAGGGACAACTGCTAATAGGAATCATTTGTAAAATCCAGACTTTCACAAAGAGGAAGATACTTAAACCTTAACACCTTACATAAGTAGTCTTTCCAAAATATGGAAGAAGGTGGAATGTTGTACAGGTTTGCAAATGATTATGGTGATAGTTAATTGAACTTATTGCACGTGCCTTTCTAGATCCTTGCGCCACACGTAGCTGCAATGCTCCATATAGCGAGGGTTGCAGAGCTTTGAACAACAGGGCACAGTGCATATGTCCCACCTGTTCCAACGTCCTGAAGCCTATTTGTGCATCTGATGGTGTACAGGATCAAAGCGAATGCAACATGAAACAGCAAGCTTGTCGTGGTAATATATGGGTTAACGTTACAAAGGAAGGACCATGCGGTGAGTACTTAATGCACGTGTGGCGATTTGTTCATGAAATTATTCATTTTGTTGATTAAAACTCAACTTGATCGAAGTGATCTGTGTCCCGGTCTGTGAAACTAGTCAGGATTCAATTTTCTTCAATTGTGCATTTAACTTCTCTGTTCTTCTTTGGCGTTTTTCTTTCTTGTTTTCAATTGTCGCTTTGAGTTTTTCTATCTCACCGAGGACGTATTTTATAGCCTCTTTCAAGTTTAAGTCTCTCTTGCATAACTCACAACTGAATAGTAGTTTGTTCATTTAAGAGTACTTTTCTTAGGAATTTGCCAGCATTAAAGCAGTCTTAAGTAAGCTGACACCCGTTTTACCACCAGGCATTGTGCGATATTTTGATTTCTTGCTCATTCTACGAGCAACGCTTACTTTCAAACTATACGACATGTAACTACTCTAACTTACTATAATCCAAAATGTTATCATTTCCTTTCTCGTTGTATTGTTCGGTTTCACTCATTTTTGGACTTTGAACTCTGCATTTCTTCTCTTTAGATAAGGAATGCAGCCCTCTTTTAGATATCGCTTTTATCATCGATTCTTCTGGAAGTATTGGCCGGATGAATTGGGAAAGAACAAAACGTTTTGTTAAAGCTGTGATCAGCAAACTCGAAGTTAGTCCTTCCGCAGCGCATGTGGCTGCCATATCATATAGCACCAATCCTCGGGTGGTGATCAGGTTTAATAGCTTCCAAGGGACACTGCAGGTCAACCAAGTATTCGATGATATGCGATGGGAGCGTGGCTACACCTACACAGACAAAGCTCTTCTTTTAGCAGACTCAGAGCTATTTCAGACTTCATATGGGATGAGGTCAAATGCAAAGAAGGTGAGAAGACCCCTTTCCCCAAGATTTCTGTGTGCGTGTCATAACGGGTGATGACGGCCAACTAAAGAGCTAAGCGGAACACGGAATTTTAGAAAAGACGTTTTATGTTTGTTATTTAAGAACGTAGCGCTACGCGTCACGATTACTTCTTTTTCCAAGTGAGGAAAGGTTGATCAGATATGCTGCATTTTTTTTATTTCATAGCTTTACTAGATTTTCCGTGCACTTCAATTGATTCGATTATCTGATTTCAAAATTTTTTTGAAATAACATTCCTTTCATTTAGATTGCCATCGTGATCACAGATGGTAAGCAGACGACGACATCGCAATACACCAAACTTTCAGAGGCCTCGAGAGGAATCAAAAACAAAGGGGTCATTGTCTATGCCATTGGGGTTGGTAGTGGAGTTGACCAAGCAGAGTTGGAAGAGATTGCATCTAGACTGGATTATGTATTTACATCGTCATCATTCGAAAGCCTCCAGAACGAGGCTTCAAAAATACGAAAAAGTGTATGCGATGTATCAAAACCTGGTAAGTGAATGGCATTGAGCCGAACTTACACTGGTTATTTTCCCTTGATAGGTTTTCCGTTCATAAAGGTTACTGTGTCAGCGCACGTGGATAACAAGTATTTCCTTTACTTCTCAAACACCGCAACATGGTTTTAATCGGCGAGAGTAAATTTTTAAGACAACAATCCGTGTTACATGAAAAATACACTCATTTTCAACCAATCAAATCTCATGTACATTATTATATGAAAAATGCACCTGTTCTCAGTCAATCAAAAGTGCGTAATATCTTTAAATACATTATTATGCAAGCTCAAGACCTGTGAAAGTTTAAACTGAAACTGGCTTACAGGAAACGCGGCTCAAAGACAATACTTTGAACCGTTTTGGCCAGTTTTTAAGCTTTAAAAGCTTTTTCATGATGCTGGACTTCAGTCCAGTCAAGAATTTTCCAAATCTCGTGTTCCTCCACCTTTCCATTATTCTTTAATCGCGGTTTCCTGTGTGTCTTACAGCGGAACTAAGAAAAGCCAAGGCTCAAACGGAATGTTAAGTGACCAATTTTTCTTAGTCTGAGCACTTCAAGGTAAATTGAAGTTTGTAAATAGTTTAAGAACAATGGCAAGTTTTTAGCTCACTAAAGAAATAGAGAAAGGAATTTTTCGTCTTGTCACGAGTGTTGGACACAGTACCCAACATGACGTTATCGACATCGCTGATCTTAGCAGTGTGCACCTCGCTCACCGTAGACTCGCTGCCGCTCAGTAGTAGAGGATGAGAGCGCGGAATCCGAAGGTCTGAGGTTCGATTCCTCATGGGACTCAGAAGTTTTTCTTTGTCCCACGCAGGACGAAAAACCTCTTTCTCTAAATTGAAGTTATTTTACCTCTTTTTTAATAGATCCCTGTCTGAATACTCCCTGTAATGCTCCATACAACCTCGGATGCAAAGTTGTGGACAATACAGCACAGTGCATATGTCCCACCTGTCCGAACATACTGAAGCCTGTTTGTGCATCAGATGGCGTCGAGGACCTGAGTGAATGTCATTTAGAACGTCAAGCCTGCCAAGGAAATGTTGATGTTTCTGTTGCGAAGCGGACATCATGTGGTGCGTTGATTGTCCATTTTTCCATCTTGTATGTTGACAATTCGTCTCCCTCGCCAGATTTTTTCAAAGTTGCTTGGAGTTGTAATCATAAAATAAAACGAGTTTAATTTTGACGTGCACCCGTCAACAAGGAACACAAGATCATCACAAATCATTCCCATTAGAGAAATTTCAAAAAAAAATTGCGCCCTCGATGAAGAGGCAACTGGCCTCTTTTATGGAGAGAGGAGATGAAACTCGCAGAAATATTTGAAATATTTTACATGTTTCTTTAGACGTATTGATTGCATCCTTGACTACCCTTTTTTCTCTTAGTTGGAATTCAATATTTGATTGTGTATAGCCGGAATTTTAAAACATTGTCGCTCTATGTTTCTCTTTCGAGAATCATTTACTTCTTTTCATTATCAGACAAAGACTGTCGACCCATCATGGACATAGCTTTCATCATTGACTCCTCTGGTAGCATTGGGAGTAGTAACTGGGAAAGAATGAAACGATTCCTTAAAGCGCTGGTCAGCAAACTTGACGTTAGTGCTTCTGCCACACACGTAGCAGCTGTCGCTTACAGTACGAATCCACAGGTGGTGATGACGTTCAGAAACTTTCAAGGAACATCTCAGGTTAATCAGGTGTTAGATTTTATGAGATGGCAACGCGGCTTGACCTATACGGACAAAGCTCTCCAGCTTGCAGACAGAGAACTTTTTCAGACTGCAAAGGGAATGAGATCTAGTGTACCAAAGGTAGGAAGGGTTCGTTAAGAAGGAGTGGGCTTCATTTTAAGAAATTTACCCGAATTAGAAAGTGTAGCCCACATACTTAGTCACCTTGATCTCTCTTTCCTTTTGCTCATTTTTTTACATGAAGCACTCGTTTTGATTAATCGCTAGGAATAACCTGATGACGCTCGAGTCTGATCTTAGGTTACCTATAGCATCTCCTTGTTTGAAAGCGCTTTGACATCCCCAGAGATTGTATGTCATATAAACTCTAACACCATGCTCATGTTACCTTGTGTAGCCCCCCCTATTTGAAGCAAACCATAGTTTCTTCTGAAGTCCCTTTACAATAAGGAAGACTGGTGGTCTATCTTACAGCCCGCTTCCCTTTATTGCCCGCTTCTCTTCTTTGGAGCCCTTTGTCCTCTTATCTACCCCTCCCTCTAAAAGAGGGTTCCTAGTTTGTAAAATGTTTTCCACCACTTCCCCTACACTCCCATTACATTTTGATGATTTTTACTCAATATTTCCGATAATACTTTCTAGGTAGCCTTTGTAATCACAGATGGTAAGCAGACGACAACAGGATCGTACACGCAGCTTTCCGTGGCTTCTCAAGGAATGAAACGCAAAGGTGTCACTGTATACGCTCTCGGGGTCGGCAGCAGGGTCGACCAAGCTGAACTTGAACAGATTGCCTCAGGATCACAAAATGTTTATAATTCAACATCATTTAAAGATCTAAAGAATATAGCCGGAGAGATAAGACACCACTTTTGTAGAGGTATAGAAGAATTTCTGCAAATTTTCTTAAACATGGCTTCTATTGGGAAATAGGAGGTTAGTTATTGAAAAAAGTCAACAATGCGTATTGTTATAGACTTTCACCCCAAAAAACAAGCACTGTGATTAGTTGATTCTTGGTCACGTACCCCTAATCACATTAAATGTATCCCGACCGGGATGTAATTGCGCAGTTTGTTGCCGGCGTGCTGAATACAACAGCATGTTTTTGCCACATGATTGTTTAAGGAAAGTACAAATATAAAACAAAGCCCTTAATGTATGGTCCCTTGGGAAACTAGTTAGTTTTTTTTTTTTCCCGAGAGTCCTGATGTTCATCAGAAAAACAACACTAACGGTTTCCCGCGGTGTGTATAATGTTTTACAGGCAACCGATGAAGATTTTGGACTGGACAAAGATCAAGTCTCATTATCCCTCCATTATCCCTCCTGTTAAAGTGATTTAGGCAGATATTTTGACTCAACCATCCAAAATTGTAAATGTGACAATTATGCTTTCTTTCTTTTTGATTAGCGTATGTTACTGGACCCTCAACAACTCCAACACCAACTACTCCAGGTAATTGTGCCACTTTATCTAGTTGTCGTCATCGAGTTCCACATTAAATCGTGAAATAATCACTTTGGTAACGATTGGAAATCTTTTCCCTCAACCTGGAAATGGCGCTGGAAATGCTTACTGGGTAACGAGTTCGAGTTTTAATCAAATAGAAGAAAATAGTCAATCGCCCAGAAAGCTAGTTCGGCATATTGCTTAAAATAAGACAACATGGGGTGCAACAAAGTGAAACTCTACCTTTGCTACAGAATCCCTCAAATTGTCTTAATGGTTTAGAAAAATACGCTCGTACTATTCTGGGAAAAGCATTATTGACAGAGAAAATCCCCAGCAAATTTTAATGCAGGGAATGTCGACCAACATGTAAACGACTCTCTCTTATGCGTGAGCTAGTCATGTTCCGTTGCATGTGGATATTTGTTTAATTGTTTTCTTGCTATTCCGAGCTCGCCATCCTAGGGTGAGTAAAGCTGACTCAACTATACATTTTGTAGATCCATGTGCTATAGGCTGCACTGTTCCGTTCAATGAAGGCTGCCGTGTAGTGAACAATACTGCACAGTGCATTTGCCCCACTTGCCGAAATATAGTCCTCCCTGTATGTGCAACTGATGGAGTACAGGATCAGAGCGACTGCCATATGAGAAGACAAGCTTGCCGGGGAGATATAGGTGTTACTGTTGCAAAGCAGGGCGCGTGTGGTGAGTTTAATACCTTTTAACAATAGCTCTTAAAAACGTTTTCTTGGTGTTTTGACTTCACGAAAGTAGCGGGTACTCAAATGATGCGGCACCTTTGACCTCTAGGTTCCGAAAGTATAGAGTGTTGCTACTTTGGAATTAGAGAACCATAAAACTAAAATATCCAAGGATACGTTTCAGGGGAATCCTTCTAAATGATTATGGTAGCTTTGTAGTCTATTGAATAAAAATCATGATGCTTATCTTTGTCTTTTTCAAATTTCTATCAGATAAGGAGTGCCGCAATGTGGTGGACATCGCCTTTGTTATCGACTCATCTGGAAGTATTGGTCGCAAAAATTGGGAAAGAATGAGGCGATTCCTAAAAGCTCTGGTCAGCAAACTTGACGTCGATTCCTCTGCCACTCATATAGCTGCTATTGCATACAGTACCAAACCTAAAGTGGAAATGAAATTTGACGGCTTGCAGAGCACCAACCAGGTTAATCGATTATTTGATAGAATGCTATGGCAACGTGGTGTTACCTACACGGACAAAGCTCTCCTTCTTGCAAACAAAGAGGTGTTCCAGACATCAGGCGGGATGCGACTACACGTACCAAAGGTACAGGTTCTATTGTGTCTAAATTTGCTGTTTCCATTTCAGTATCATATTTCTAAGGAATGTGATTATAGAGTGTGTAGAAAGGTTCTTACGTGCCAATTTAATATTGGATAGACCCGACACAGCTAAACTTTTTGTATTTTGAATGGGAAATCAACCCCGATATCCATTACGTCTGATTACACGAAGTCATTCAATCTGATGCGTTTGAGCAAAAACATATTCCAAAGGCAAACGATCTACAGGTACTCGTCAAATCTATTTGACTCACTGTAACAAAATAATGACATTTTTATTCTAAGAATACTTAAAAAAACTTGCCTTTTTTTCTAGTTAGCAATTGTGGTCACAGACGGCAAGCAAACAAAAGTACCATCTTACACCAGACTTTCAGTAGCGTCTCAAGGGATGAAGGACAAAGGAGTCATTGTATATGCCGTGGGAGTTGGTAGGGAAGCGAACCGCGCAGAGTTAGAAGAAATTGCATCCGGATCACAATACGTTTTAACATCGTCATCATTTCAGGATCTCCAGAATCTCGCCCCAGAGATGATAAGGCGATTGTGTGAGCACAAACTATCAGGTCGGTCCACGTAAACAATGCAGAGGTACAATTATCGTAGTAACAAGTGAAGAGCGCGTTGCTTTAAATTGTCAATATTTCATATATATATTGTTTCTTGATTAAGCTTACCTGGCTATTGGAATTTGTTAGGGAAATATTCAAATGTCTCCTTTTAAAATGTTTTATGCGCTATCTTTTCTCAACAGTATCAACTCCAACTCCAACAACAACTCAATTATTGACAACCCCAGGTATTTATCTGCTTTTTCGACCAATTTCGATACCGATTTTAGAAGAAAGTGAACTACTTAGACAATATTTTTACCACAATCTTTGATTAATTAAGGAATATTTTCTCATCAAATCTCACAGATCCTTGCCAAACGACGGGCTGCAGAGCTCCATACAATATTGGCTGTCGTGTAGCAGACAATAAGGCGGAATGCATTTGCCCAACTTGTCAGAATACCTATCGACCTGTTTGCGCAACAGACGGTGTCCAGGACTTAAACGAGTGTTATCTAAGACAACAAGCCTGTCAGGGAGATATTAAAGGCGTCACCGTTGCCAAGCAGGAGCCTTGTGGTATGTTTACCACTCACTTATCAGTGATGTTGCCTATTACTTACATTTTTACCTCTCTTATTGTCAGTGTGTTAAAAACAATTCATGCGCTAAGCCATCATTCACCCTCAGTATTTCCTGTTGTTCTTTTTTATGTTAATGCCTTGTTGTTTTCATATAGAAATCAGCATTCTAATGTGGAAGCACTTATTTACCTCTTATTTTCTTGCGCAGATAAGGAGTGTAGCGCCGTTGTGGACATTGCATTCGTAATTGATTCATCTGGGAGTATCGGACGTAAGAACTGGGAGAAAATGAAGCGATTCCTCAAGGCTTTGGTCAGTAAACTTGATGTTCGTCGCTCTGCCACACACATAGCAGCTGTTGCATACAGTAACAGTGCTGTAGTAGTAACAAGATTTAGTGACATCCAGAGCACAATAGAGGTAAACCGAAAGTTAGATGGGATGCGTTGGCAACGTGGCTTCACTTACACGGACAAAGCTCTTCTCCTAGCGAACAGAGATCTGTTTCAGACAGCGAATGGGATGAGATCGCGTGCGCCTAAGGTAAGGACCGTTTAAAAACTTTTTTTTATCCCTTTTAAAACAAATTGTCCTTTTTTAAGTACAAGTAACGCAGCCCCCCTAAAAAGGAGGTCATCTCCGTCTCAGAATTATCCTATTTAATCTTTACTGTTTCAATTGACCTTTATATTCGAGGGGATAATAACCAGTTCAGTGTCTCCTGTGGTTTGTTTTTCCTTTTAAGTCCGGCATTAGCGTGCCATAGTTATGGTTATATTCGATTTAAGATTTATATTGATAAGGAATATTATTTACACTGTGTTTGGACAGTTGGCCTTTGTGATCACAGACGGTAATCAAACCACGTCAAAGCCCTACACCAAACTTTCAGTGGCTTCTCAAGGAATGAAAAACAAAGGCGTAACTGTGTATGCTCTCGGCGTTGGCAATAAAGCTGCCCGTGCGGAGCTTCTGGAGATTTCATCTGGCCCACGGTATGTTTTTAGCTCGTCATCATTTGAAGAACTTCAAAAGCTCGTCTCACTGCTGACAAGAGAATTTTGTGAGGACAGGCTAACTATTACAACCACAGGTAAGTGGCTTTGAACACGGTTATGGCAGTATCCTTGGATTGTCGAGGTCAGAGTGTACTCGCATAATTTCGCCTTTATGACATTGTTTTTTTGTTTTTTTATTGGTAAGCCTGCTTTTGGAGATGACTACATTTCTAGAGTTTCAAATGTTTCTGACTTTCCTTCATTTTAATCAACAGTTCCAACTCCACCCTCGACAACACCGCCTTTGCCAACTACCCCAGGTACTTAAATGGAATTTTCTATAAAATTGCTTTCAAACGTCAGGAGAAGATAATTAATAAGGAAGTTTTTTCTCATCAAATCTCACAGATCTTTGCCAAACGACGGGCTGCAGAGCTCCATACAATATTGGCTGCCGCGTAGTAGACAATAAGGTGGAGTGCATTTGCCCAGCTTGTCAGAATATATATCGACCTGTTTGCGCAACAGATGGTGTCCAGGACTTAAACGAGTGTTATCTAAGACAACAAGCTTGTCAGGGAGATATTAAGGGCGTAACTGTTGCCAAGCAGGAGCCTTGTGGTATGTTCACCATTCACTTGTTAGTGATTTGGCTTATTACTTACATTTTCACCTCTCTTATTGTCAGTGTGTTAAAGAACTAAGGGCCTGTTTACATGGAGGTGGGGGGCCCCAGGTAGGTGAGGTAACCCGCCTAGGTAGGGTAACCCGCCTGTCCATATAATTTCTTATTTTATCTTGATCACGTTTACATGATAGGTGAGGTGACCCGCTTAGGTGGGTTGCCCAGTCTGCCAGGTAGGGTAACCCTGTCAGCCGGGGTGACAATTTGCCATGTAAACGTCTCAAGGTGGGGTAAACCGCCTAGCCGGGGCCGCGTTCATGGCAAAAAGCTCAAAAGCGAAACATGTGTGTTTTAAAACTTTGTACATTTCCTAGCCGTCTCATGACAGAAATCACCCGAAACCGCAACGGACACACAAGGAGTGTAAAATGTTCACATTTCGGAATATTTAGCGTTGTAAATCGACCATATTTCGTTTCCCAAACTATTCCGTATAACATATTAAGTCAACGGTTCCTCGCGTAACCTGACATCGCGAAACACAACGCGTGACGCTTTCATGAATAAATACATATTGTGCGAGAATTAATCTTTCGTCTTTCTCGAGATGTGAGCTTGAGACGCCTCTGCTCAAACTCCTTAATTACGAGCGCAACAACAACCTCAAGAAACCTCACCCCAGCACCCCGGGGTTGTAAGATTGCATGTAGACGCGTTTTATTTTTCGACCACGGCTAGGCGGGTTACCTCACCTCACCTTCATGCAAACAGGCCCTAATACGCTAAGCCACCATTTACCCTCAGTATTTCCTGTTGTTCCTTTTTTCTGGTAACACCTTGTTGTTTTCATATAGAAATCAGCATTCTAATGTGGAAGCACTTATTTACCTCTTATTTTCTTACGCAGATAAGGAGTGTAGCGCCGTTGTGGACATTGCATTCGTAATTGATTCATCTGGGAGTATCGGACGTAAGAACTGGGAGAAAATGAAGCGATTCCTCAAGGCTTTGGTCAGTAAACTTGATGTTCGTCGCTCTGCCACACACATAGCAGCTGTTGCATACAGTAACAATGCCGTAGTAGTAACAAGATTTAGTGACATCCAGAGCACAATAGAGGTAAACCGAAAGTTAGATGGGATGCGTTGGCAACGTGGCTTCACTTACACGGACAAAGCTCTTCTCTTAGCGGACAGAGATCTGTTTCAGACAGCAAATGGGATGAGATGGCGAGTACCTAAGGTAAGGACCGTTTAAAAACTTGTGTTTTTTTTCCCTTTCAAAATTAATTGTTTTTTTTTTACAAGTAACGCAGCCCCCCAAAAAAAAAAAAGGAGGTCATCTCCGTCTTGAAATTATCCTATTTAATCTTTTACTGTTTCAATTGACATTTATATTCGAGGGGATAATAACCAGTTCAGTGTCTCCTGTGGTTTGTTTTTCCTTTTAAGTCCAGCATTAGCGTGCCATAGTTATGGTTATATTCGATTTAAGATTTATATTGATAAGGAATATTATTTACACTGTGTTTGGACAGTTGGCCTTTGTGATCACAGACGGTAATCAAACCACGTCAAAGCCTTACACCAAACTTTCAGTGGCTTCTCAAGGAATGAAAAACAAAGGCGTAACTGTGTATGCTCTCGGCGTTGGCAATAAAGCTGCCCGTGCGGAGCTTCTGGAGATTTCATCTGGCCCACGGTATGTTTTTTTTTAGCTCGTCATCATTTGAAGAACTTCAAAAGCTCGTCTCACTGCTGACAAGAGAATTTTGTGAGGACAGGCTAACTATTACAACCACAGGTAAGTGGCTTTGAACACGGTTATGGCAGTATCCTTGGATTGTCGAGGTCAGAGTGTACTCGCATAATTTCGCCTTTATGACATTGTTTTTTTTTTTTTTTGGTAAGCCTGCTTTTGGAGATGACTACATTTCTAGAGTTTCAAATGTTTCTGACTTTCCTTCATTTTAATCAACAGTTCCAACTCCACCCTCGACAACACCGCCTTTGCCAACTACCCCAGGTACTTAAATGGAATTTTCTTCAAAATTGCTTTCAAACGTCAGGAGAAGATAATTAATAAGGAAAATTTTTCTCATCAAATCTCACAGATCTTTGCCAAACGACGGGCTGCAGAGCTCCATACAATATTGGCTGCCGCGTAGTAGACAATAAGGTGGAGTGCATTTGCCCAGCTTGTCAGAATATATATCGACCTGTTTGCGCGTCAGATGGTGTCCAGGACTTAAACGAGTGTTATCTAAGACAACAAGCTTGTCAGGGAGATATTAAGGGCGTAACCGTTGCCAAGCAGGAGCCTTGTGGTATGTTTACCATTCACTTGTTAGTGATTTGGCTTATTACTTACATTTTCACCTCTCTTATTGTCAGTGTGTTAAAGAACTAAGGGCCTGTTTGCATGGAGGTGGGGGGCCCCAGGTAGGTGAGGTAACCCGCCTAGGTGGGGTAACCCGCCTGTCCATATAATTTCTTATTTTATCTTGATCACGTTTACATGATAGGTGAGGTGACCCGCTTAGGCGGGTTGCCCGGTCTGCCAGGTAGGGTAACCCTGTCAGCCGGGGTGACAATTTGCCATGTAAACGTCTCAAGGTGGGGTAACCCGCCTAACCGGGGCCGCGTTCATGGCAAAAAGCTCAAAAGCGAAACATGTGTGTTTTAAAACTTTGTACATTTCCTAGCCGTCTCATGACAGAAATCACCCGAAACCGCAACGGACACACAAGGAGTGTAAAATGTTCACATTTCGGAATATTTAGCGTTGTAAATCGACCATATTTCGTTTCCCAAACTATTCCGTATAACATATTAAGTCAACGGTTCCTCGCGTAACCTGACATCGCGAAACACAACGCGTGACGCTTTCATGAATAAATACATATTGTGCGAGAATTAATCTTTCGTCTTTCTCGAGATGTGAGCTTGAGACGCCTCTGCTCAAACTCCTTAATTACGAGCGCAACAGCAACCTCAAGAAATCCACCTCAGCACCCCGGGGTTGTAAGATTGCATGTAGACGCGTTTTATTTTTCGACCACGGCTTGGCGGATTACCTCACCTCACCTTCATGCAAACAGGCCCTAATACGCTAAGCCACCATTTACCCTCAGTATTTCCTGTTGTTCCTTTTTTCTGATAACACCTTGTTGTTTTCATATAGAAATCAGCATTCTGATGTAGAAGCACTTATTTACCTCTTATTTTCTTACGCAGATAAGGAGTGTAGCGCCGTTGTGGACATTGCATTCGTAATTGATTCATCTGGGAGTATCGGACGTAAGAACTGGGAGAAAATGAAGCGATTCCTCAAGGCTTTGGTCAGTAAACTTGATGTTCGTCGCTCTGCCACACACATAGCAGCTGTTGCATACAGTAACAGTGCTGTAGTAGTAACAAGATTTAGTGACATCCAGAGCACAATAGAGGTAAACCGAAAGTTAGATGGGATGCGTTGGCAACGTGGCTTCACTTACACGGACAAAGCTCTTCTCCTGGCGAACAGAGATCTGTTTCAGACAGCAAATGGGATGAGATGGCGAGTACCTAAGGTAAGGACCGTTTAAAATCTTGTGTTTTTTTTCTCTTTCAAAATTAATTTTTTTTTTTTAATACAAGTAACGCAGCCCCCCCAAAAAAAAAAAAAAAAGAAGGTCATCTCCGTCTTGAAATTATCCTATTTAATCTTTTACTGTTTCAATTGACATTTATATTCGAGGGGATAATAACCAGTACAGTGTCTCCTGTGGTTTGTTTTTCCTTTTAAGTCCGGCATTTGCGTGCCATAGTTATGGCTATATTCGAATTAAGATTTATATTGATAAGGAATATTATTTACACTGTGTTTGGACAGTTGGCCTTTGTGATCACAGACGGTAATCAAACCACGTCAAAGCCTTACACCAAACTTTCAGTGGCTTCTCAAGGAATGAAAAACAAAGGCGTAACTGTGTATGCTCTCGGCGTTGGCAATAAAGCTGCCCGTGCGGAGCTTCTGGAGATTTCATCTGGCCCACGGTATGTTTTTAGCTCGTCATCATTTGAAGAACTTCAAAAGCTCGTCTCACTGCTGACAAGAGAATTTTGTGAGGACAGGCTAACTATTACAACCACAGGTAAGTGGCTTTGAACACGGTTATGGCAGTATCCTTGGATTGTCGAGGTCAGAGTGTACTCGCATAATTTCGCCTTTATGACATTGTTTTTTTGTTTTTTTATTGGTAAGCCTGCTTTTGGAGATGACTACATTTCTAGAGTTTCAAATGTTTCTGACTTTCCTTCATTTTAATCAACAGTTCCAACTCCACCCTCGACAACACCGCCTTTGCCAACTACCCCAGGTACTTAAATGGAATTTTCTATAAAATTGCTTTCAAACGTCAGGAGAAGATAATTAATAAGGAAGTTTTTTCTCATCAAATCTCACAGATCTTTGCCAAACGACGGGCTGCAGAGCTCCATACAATATTGGCTGCCGCGTAGTAGACAATAAGGTGGAGTGCATTTGCCCAGCTTGTCAGAATATATATCGACCTGTTTGCGCATCAGATGGTGTCCAGGACTTAAACGAGTGTTATCTAAGACAACAAGCTTGTCAGGGAGATATTAAGGGCGTAACCGTTGCCAAGCAGGAGCCTTGTGGTATGTTTACCATTCACTTGTTAGTGATTTGGCTTATTACTTACATTTTCACCTCTCTTATTGTCAGTGTGTTAAAGAACTAAGGGCCTGTTTGCATGGAGGTGGGGGGCCCCAGGTAGGTGAGGTAACCCGCCTAGGTGGGGTAACCCGCCTGTCCATATAATTTCTTATTTTATCTTGATCACGTTTACATGATAGGTGAGGTGACCCGCTTAGGCGAGTTGCCCGGTCTGCCAGGTAGGGTAACCCTGTCAGCCGGGGTGACAATTTGCCATGTAAACGTCTCAAGGTGGGGTAACCCGCCTAACCGGGGCCGCGTTCATGGCAAAAAGCTCAAAAGCGAAACATGTGTGTTTTAAAACTTTGTACATTTCCTAGCCGTCTCATGACAGAAATCACCCGAAACCGCAACGGACACACAAGGAGTGTAAAATGTTCACATTTCGGAATATTTAGCGTTGTAAATCGACCATATTTCGTTTCCCAAACTATTCCGTATAACATATTAAGTCAACGGTTCCTCGCGTAACCTGACATCGCGAAACACAACGCGTGACGCTTTCATGAATAAATACATATTGTGCGAGAATTAATCTTTCGTCTTTCTCGAGATGTGAGCTTGAGACGCCTCTGCTCAAACTCCTTAATTACGAGCGCAACAGCAACCTCAAGAAATCCACCTCAGCACCCCGGGGTTGTAAGATTGCATGTAGACGCGTTTTATTTTTCGACCACGGCTTGGCGGATTACCTCACCTCACCTTCATGCAAACAGGCCCTAATACGCTAAGCCACCATTTACCCTCAGTATTTCCTGTTGTTCCTTTTTTCTGATAACACCTTGTTGTTGTCATATAGAAATCAGCATTCTAATGTGGAAGCACTTATTTACCTCTTATTTTCTTACGCAGATAAGGAGTGTAGCGCCGTTGTGGACATTGCATTCGTAATTGATTCATCTGGGAGTATCGGACGTAAGAACTGGGAGAAAATGAAGCGATTCCTCAAGGCTTTGGTCAGTAAACTTGATGTTCGTCGCTCTGCCACACACATAGCAGCTGTTGCATACAGTAACAATGCCGTAGTAGTAACAAGATTTAGTGACATCCAGAGCACAATAGAGGTAAACCGAAAGTTAGATGGGATGCGTTGGCAACGTGGCTTCACTTACACGGACAAAGCTCTTCTCTTAGCGGACAGAGATCTGTTTCAGACAGCAAATGGGATGAGATGGCGAGTACCTAAGGTAAGGACCGTTTAAAATCTTGTGTTTTTTTTCTCTTTCAAAATTAATTTTTTTTTAAATAAAAGTAACGCAGCCCCCCCCCCCCCCCCAAAAAAAAAAAGGAGGTCATCTCCGTCTTGAAATTATCCTATTTAATCTTTTACTGTTTTAATTGATCTTTATATTCAAGGGGATGATAACTAATGCAGTGTTTTCTGTAATTTGTTTTTCCTTTTAAGTCCGGCATTAGCATGCCATGGTTATTGTTGTATTCGCTTTAAGATTTATATTGATAAGGAATATTATTTACACTGTGTTTGGACAGTTGGCCTTTGTGATCACAGACGGTAATCAAACCACGTCAAAGCCTTACACCAAACTTTCAGTGGCTTCTCAAGGAATGAAAAACAAAGGCGTAACTGTGTATGCTCTTGGCGTTGGCAATAAAGCTGCCCGTGCGGAGCTTCTGGAGATTTCATCCGGCCCACAGTATGTTTTTAGCTCGTCATCATTTGAAGAACTTCAAAAGCTCGTCTCACTGCTGACAAGAGAATTTTGTGAGGACAGGCTAACTATTACAACCACAGGTAAGTAGCTTTGAACACGGTTATGGCGGTATCCCTGTATTGTCAAGGTCAGGGTGTACTCGCATAATTTCGTCTTTATAACTCTGTTCTTTTTTTCTTTCTAATGATAAGTTTGCTTTTGGAGATGACTACATCTCAAAAGCTTCCAATTGTTTCTGACTTTCCTTCATTTTAATGTTTAACAGTTCCAACTCCACCCTCGACAACACCGCCTTTGCCAACAACCCCAGGTATTTAAATTTTCTTCAAAATTACTTTCAACCGCCAGGAGAAGATAATTAATTAGGAAATATTTCTCATCAAATCACACAGATCCTTGCCAAACGACAGGCTGCAGAGCTCCATACAATCGTGGCTGTCGTGTTGTAGAGAATCAAGCAGAATGTATTTGTCCACTCTGTCCCGATGTTCGGAAGCCTGTTTGTTCGAACGATGGTGTACAAGATAAAAGCTTGTGCAATTTATATCAGCAGTCTTGCCTGGGAAATATAGTAGCTTATTCAGTAAAAACAGGACCATGTGGTAGGTTTTCCGTCGTAATTTATCTCTTTGTATATGCTTATTGTTTCATGTTGTATAATGACAAAGTTAGTTCATATTAGGAATTCCAATTTAGTTTTTGTCATTTTTTTTTTGTTTGTTTTTTTGTAGCTTAATTTTTCTACAGTATAGTGCAGCTTTTACTGATTTAACATGCTAGAAAGGGGGTCATGTTATTAACTTCATTCAATAGAAATCTTAATCCATTCGATCGAAAGTAAATATTGACCTAGATTAAAACACATAGAGGGTTTACTTTGATTTTCACGCTGTTATCACGTAGACAAGGACTGCCGTCCGCTATTGGACATAGCTTTCATCGTCGATTCATCCGCAAGTATTGGCAAGACAAACTGGGAAAGAACAAAAAGGTTTCTGAAAGCTTTGGTTAGCAAATTAGACGTTAGTCCTGGGCGTACTCACGTGGCAGCTGTAGCTTACAGTACTGATCCTATCGTGATTATGAGATTCAAAGATGTTCAGGATACAGACGGGGTGAATCGAGTGCTTGACGGAATGCGTTGGCAGCGTGGATTAACCTATACCGACAAAGCTCTTCAGCTCGCAGACAGAGATATCCTCCAAACTTCAAACGGCATGAGGCCAAATATAGCGAAGGTAATCATCTTTCGACAGCAATCTGGATAATAGACCAGGAGTCTACCTTATTAAGAGAATATCAACTGCTGATATTCTCTTAGCCTTACTAAATGTTTCATGAATTAATTTCACTTCCAGTGCCTTGCGTCCGTTAATGGTTTAAAGAGATTTAAGTCAGAAATAAAGTTTAAAACTAAACAAATAGATGTTTAAACTAGCAATTAAAGTTCCTTAATGGCGCCCTGAAAGAGATAAGCCTTTATAGCTTTCCATAAACATGTGTACTCATATCTTCCTCTAACAATTTAAAACCTGGTCGTTCTGACCCGATTCATTATATATGTTTCTTCATAGTTTTTGAAATTTACCTTTAACTCAAGCCTAGCACCCTTGCCCGTCTCTTGTCTCCGTTTTTTTTTCACAGTAATTTTTCCTTGCACTTTGGGCGAATCCGATAACTTTTTGACTGCATCTCTATCAATAAATTGAAATAAGTCAAAAGTCTGTTACTTTTTATTGTTGTTGCTCTTTTGTCTTATGTTCGTTTAATATGCACCCCCATAGATTGTCATTCTTATCACTGATGGGAAGCAGACGAAAGATGGACAGTATACCAGCCTCCTGGAGGTCTCCGAGAGAATCAAGAAAAAGGGGGTCACGATGTATTCTATCGGTATCGGTAACGGAGTAGATAGAAATGAATTGGAAGAAATTGCGTCCAGTCCTGATAAGGTTTTAACACCCTCGTCCTTTGGAGAACTTCAAGCAATTGCACCACAGATGCGAAAAGCGATATGCCAAGGTATGTATCAATTCGCGTGAATTAATTGCATTTAGGGTTTTTTTCTGTATTTTGGTTACTGTTGCTGTTATTTGTGACCCTCCATGGGAATTTAGGGAATAGGGTGAACGCACACTCACCGTACACTAGCACGCTAAAAGAAAAGAACGAGCTTTTAACACGTTAGCTGCGTGTAAGTTACTTGCCTCATTAACTTGGTAGCCATTGTCTTGCTTCGCACGGTAGAAACAAAGGAACGTGTTAAGATCTTGTTCGCAACTTTGCACGATATAACACGGCGACCGTGCTAATTTTGTAACACGCCTCTTAGCTTGTAAGATGCCAAGATCGGCGTACAGTAAATAATACGCGGCTTCGCTCGGAGAGCTTCGTTTTGCGTCGGCTAACTTGTGGTCAGGTAATTTAGTGTTAACAACTGGGTTGAAACGTAAATTAGCCACCGTAAAGGGTAAAAAAGCTGACGTTTCGAGCGTTAGCCCATCGTCAGAGCGACTGAGTCGCTCGAAACGTCAGCTTTTTTACCCTTTACGGTGGCTAATTTACGTTTTCAACCCAGTTGTTAACACTAAATTACCTGCTATACTCTCCCACCGACGCAGCACCACAGTTTCTTTAGAAACTTACCCCTTTATTAACTTGTGGTCAGTTATTTATTTTAAAAATGCCGGTTTGCAACGGGTGACAAAAACAATTTCGTCATTCAAACATTTAACTGCTCTAATACCATTTATCATGCGATATGTCCCCAGACAATTTTAAGCCAAAGTTATTGCTTGCAAAGCTATAGGCGCTGCAGTTTACGTGATTTTAATCCTAAGCACCCCTTTTAGGTTGAGAAAGGGTTGTATGAGACTCCTGGAAAAAAGTTGCTTTCCTAGAACTTTTTTTTTCTCTCAATGTTTTTAAGAAATTACTGTTCAATTTGCGATTATAAATTTCTTTACAAGATCCCGAGGCCAAGTATCTAGCCGACGTTATTTTCTTAATGGATGCATCCAGCGGAACTGCCTCTACATATACCACAGAGAAAGATCTCGTCAAGTCTCTTGCCAGGTACTTAAACATCGATCCAAAAGGAACCCGAGCAGCCCTTATTGTGTTCAATGGCAGACCTTCGGTAATCTCTGACTTCGAAAGCTTCAGATCACTTACTGAGTTTGAATCGAAGGTTGACGAAGTTCCTCATTATGGAGGAGACCGTAGTGTTAGCGATGCTTTACGGGAGGCGGCAGGGATGTTTCCGAAGTCTCCGTCTTCTGTTTCCAAAGTCATCTTTCTTGTTACTTCTGGAAAACCTCTGCAACCGCAAGACAAGAACTCAGCTGGTGATGTAATCAATGAGCTAAGCGCCATAGGTGTGAGGACGTATCTTGCGCTGGTTGGCCCTTCCGCCAAAATTCAAGATTTTAGATTCTTAGTGGACAAGACAGAAAGTGTATTTACCGTAGAATCTAACGGTGATGTTCCAAAACAGGTCAATCAAGTTGGAAGTTACATTTTGAGTGAATCGGGTAGGTCCCTTTGTATTAATGAGTAATGAAAACCTTATGCCTAATTAATAAGCCACTGATATAATTTTCAAAGCTTCTCCAGATTTGACCGATCTATATCTTTCTTTTCGTAATGGGCTGAGGTGATCATTAATTTGTGTGGAATCCAATCACGACCGTAAACATACCGAAAGGTAAAAAATTTCAACGAAAACCTTTTATTTCAAATTCGTGGGTTCGTGTACGAATCTGTACTAAGTTGTTCTTCGAGGGACCTGGTTAGGGATGGCCAATCCCAGCATTAATTTGGACATAGTATTAGCAAAGTCGTGTATTGGCCTGCAATGGATTACAATTTATGACTGAAAAACTTGGTATATCGTTACATGGATAAGAAGCCGTGATGAGGCTTTCTCAAAGTTTGCTTGATTTCGTTCGGCAATATAATATTGTGTTTTTTCTCTTTTTTCACAGTTGCACCCAAGAAGCTGAATCTTTCGACGTACGTATTGTTTGTTCTTGACTCGTCCAAACAGGTAACTCCTGTTAATTTCAAGACTCAAAAAGAATTTGTTAAATCCATGATGAGCCGACTAAACCTCTATCCGGGCGAAAGCGACTCTCGAGTTGGACTTATGGTTTACAGCGAAGAAGCAACAGTACTTTTGAATATAGATAATCGGGAAAGCAAGTCCGCTTTGGAAAGAGTGGTGGATAATCTGCCACATTTAAAAAAAGGCAGAAGAATTGACAGAGCTTTAGAAGCGGCGACCAACGTCCTGAAAGACGTCGGCACTGATAACCCGAAGTTTGTTATCTTGGTGACCGCAGGCCGACAAGAACCAGATGCTAAGTCATTCGCTGCAGCTGTCAAACCTCTACACCAAACTGGAACGAAAACACATATCTTTGCGGTTGGGGGTGACGTGGATCCAAGTTACTTCCAGGGAGGGGATAAAGCTAAGACAAAAATTTTTTCCGTTCCTTCTTTCACCGACCTCCCTCAAAAGACAGCAATGCTGACGGAGGACCTTTTGAAAGAATACGGTACGTGGATTTCCGTTGTTATAACTACCTACGAAGGAGTCTGCGTGATCTGTTATTATAATTCGTTTCCACCAAAGATTCGTATTAGAATTCTCCTTTTTATCGATAGTACATCTTTTAGTGGAAGCATACCACAGATTTTTTTTTTAACTCGTCTCTGCAAACTCTTAAATGGTTAATATATTAAGGTAGTTACTTGCTGGTTACTTATGGGTTGATTCTTTCCTTCAAGGGCTTAGGTGTAGCTTCGCCAGTTAATGGACGCTTAAACAATTCATTTAAAAGGCTGTTTTTTAGTTTAAGATGTTTAACAATGACGGGAACTCTGACCCTTAGTGTATTATCCGACTTTGGAGAATGGACCAGAGCAGAGATGATGTAGTGATGACAGCACTCACCGCTCACCACTGTGGCTTGTTTTATTTCCCTGGCCTGGTGTCACTGTGACTTGGGCTTTGTAATCTCGTCTTCTTCGTGTTCCTGCTCAACTAAGTTTTTTCACCGGTTTACATTAAAACCATCATTTTAAAGTAGATTCAAACCAAAATTGCCCTGAGGCAAGGAATCACCGAGTGTTTAATGTCAGAGCACATTTGTGCTTTATTTTATTCCTTCTATTCATTTATTAATTCAATTATATTTTGTGGGTATGTGGCGTATAATACCACTCGTAAAAACTGTCTCTCTCTATTGTCCTTTCCAACTCCAAAGTCTTTCTATATCAGTCGGTCTCTTTGGAATTTTCAGGCGAAATAAAAATCTTTGACTGTACCTGATGTCACAAAACTTATTACAGTATTTCTTGGGATAAGCAGTAAAGCGCCCAGGAAAATGTCCAAATCCCATTTTGGTAACTACTATCTGACTAATATATATATTTTTTTTTTTTTTCAGTTGCTCCACAATCTACAGGTAAGAACACTGAACACTTGGTGGAATTCTTCTCGTGATAGAAAGAAAGGAAGGCCTCCAGACTATCGCAACAAGTCAACTAAACCACGAAAGAAAAATCTTACAACAAAACATACTTTCAAGAAGTAAATCTGAATGTACCGGGTACAATACGATAAAAACCAACCGAGAGTTTAGCGGAATATCAGAACAAAAATTAACTTTTAACCTTAGATAAATCCTGACCGCGATATAAGCAGGAGGCCTCCGTTGTGTAGTTATATACCACAGTGGGACTCGCAATCAGGCGGTAAACTGTTGCTACTCTCAACATTGTCCGACAAATGATTTACAAACAAATTATTTTTTCAGTTGCTACCACAACTACAGCTCCAATCCAAACAACGCCTAGCCCTACAGGTAAGAACCGTAAGGCCGGTCATTTACACAAAGTCTAACCCAAACACGTTTTTACGCAAGCGGTGGGCTTCGTGTATTCTCTATAAGAGGGTTGATTTTAGTCAATAAATTTCCTTCCACTGTTAGCTTACGATCGTCGTGTCACTGTTCACAAAGTTGAATGTTCAGAGAAAAGATTCAACTAAAACGAAGATAGTTTAGAACGCGGTTTTGTTAAACAACGGCTAAACTTCACTGAACGACTTAACGTACAACCAAGTCTTGATTAGGAAGAAACGAAAACCTTTGAACTATATGAATGTAGCGTGACTACGACAAAATTTACCAAAACGCTCACAGTCCTTTTCCCGAGAGAAATGCAAATCAAGTTCAATTTTTTAGCTCTAAATCAATGTAGCTGCAATTTAAGCAACGGGCCCAGATGTAAAGTAGGGCTCGCAGTTTTATTTTGTTCAATTAATAGCTTGGGATTTAAGTGGCATACCATTGCTGCTCTTAACATTTTTTCAACATAGTTCCAAGTTGGTGGCAAACCCCCTTTGTGGAAGTACATACATTCTCAACAAATCAGTACAAAACACGACGTGCAACAAGCTATTCACGAACAACTAATTGTGTCCTTTACATTCTAAATTATCTAACGACAAGTTGCAAGCTACAACGTTGTCACAATAATGTATTCATCGTGCTCCACGTCACTCTGGCTAAACACTTGTATTAAAAGGATATGTTCTGATGAGTTAATTTACCTTTCAGATGGAGATTCCCCTTCAATGGACATCGTCTTTATTTTAGACACATCTAACCGCGTCACCCAAAGTGACCTAGAAAAACAGAAGGAATTTGTAAAACTCATGGCTCAGCGGTTCGATGTTTCTCCTTTTGCTTCTCATGCTGCGGTGTTCAGTTACGGCGACAAAACCATTTTGATTGGTGGATTATACGACCATGTCAGAGGAAAACGGTTCGAGGACAACGTGGACTCTGTGACTCTCATTGGAGGAAAGAGAAACATCCAGGAAGCTCTGAAAGAAGCTACGAACTACCTTGCTATTTTTGGACGCCAAAACGCTTCCAACGTTGTCTTTTTGATAACGTACGGACGACAGTCTCCAGAGCTTGGTTCTCAACGATTGCAAGAGATAGTGCAAAATGTCAGGGACACTGATGCAATCCTCTATGTCATCGGTGTAGGTGTCGCCGCCGATGATCAGCAGCTAGGACTTATTGTAGAGAGTACAACTGACTTCTTTGAGATTCCTCGGTCTGGTGATTTGAAACTTAATGTGCCATCAATAGTTTATTATACAGTTTCTAGAGCTGGTAAGTTTTAGCAAGATGGACTGCTTTGACGAAATCACTAACTTCGTGTGTTCTGCTCCAATTCTGTTAACCCTTTGACCCCTAAGAGTGACAATATCACCCCTGAATCAAACATTAAGGTCACAAGAATAAAGGAAATGATCACAACTAAAGAAGCCCTTGATTGTCAATTAAATTTTCCTGGTTTGCACCTTAGGAAATTTAAAGGGAACATTATGGAGAATATGCATAATGATGTTAGGGTGTAAAGACTTAAAATAGCTTCAAAACCTGAAATCCTGATAGACTGTTACGTGAAGCTACAGGAGCATTTTCTAACAATGAATGGATGTGAAAAAATTGTGGTCACCTTTTCTAGGAATGGATTTCTACAGCCAATTGATCTTGAGACCCTTTTTTTGATAGTACTTGATATTTTGCATAGACCGAATGAGCACTAATTGCATTATATGAACGTCCTCTTTTTTGCTCCTTATAAAAGAATCCAAGACGCCAGAAGATTACAAAGCTGAGGTCATTTTCGTTATGGACTCATCTTCTTTGGTTGGACAAGTAAACTATCGGAACCAAAAAGATTTCATCAAGGGTTTGGCACGAGCGCTCAATCACAGTCCCAACTATACACAGTCAGCCGTCATCATATATGATACATTTCCTGAGTTCGCCATCCGCATGGGAGCGTACCCAGAAATTGGTCCCTTTTCGCATACTGTCGACAAGCTTCGATACCTTGGTGGACTAAGTGGTGGGCTAGATTGGGCCTTGAGATTTGCACCAAGAGGTTTTTCCCAAGACAAGCCTGACGTGCCGAAGATTATCGTATTGATTGCCACAACAGATTCGCAAAACCCAGCAAACATAGATTCTCTGTCAGCTACACTACGTAGACAAGATATAAATATAACTGTCCTGGGTATCGGATCTGAGTCAAACTTTCCAAATATTCGCCGTCTAGTTGCTCGACCAGAGGACTTTCTGACACCGAAAGCATCTGAGTATTTACCAAGTTACGTTCCAACGGTTGTATCTACAATTTTATCAGGTGAGTGTGATCTACGTTATATATTCCTTTTATCCACTAAAGGACAGGAAGGATTGGCAGTTTCCAAGTAATTTCGGAAGAGAATCTTCTACATTGAATTCAAGCTCTAGTCTTGACTTTCGTGTTAAATTATAAAAGGAGACGCATACTACTTCTGCTTCTAAACGAATACAATTTATATCTCCGCGTCTAAAAAGTAATTATAAACATTTTTAAAACTACTAGCATCGTTTTTAAATTCCAAAGACTAACCTAAATGTTCTGAAATTAACTTCATAAACAGGAAATAGCCCAAATAGAAAGATATGGTTTCTGGAGTACATTTTTCCTTTAATCCAAAACAGGTCATCACTGGTTGTTTCCTTGATAATCATAGAGGTGCCCAATCGAAGAGGAAATGAAATTTAGTTGCTGCGTTAGTTGCCTAATCATAGTAAATGTTATGAACTATGGGCTAACCGAAGAGTCTACACTGAAGCGCGTTAAACACCTAAGGCGTGACAACCTAACTCAAGCTACAAGAAAAGCGGATTTAATATCAAATATCAGTTTAAGAAGAACGCCTTTCGATAAGTGTCATAAAGATAAAACTGACGATTTTCGATAAGTGCCATAAACACAAAACTGACGATTTATATTGATTTACTGCACATTGTTTACATTCAAACTGCTGTGTTGAAAATGTTTTTAGAGAGCATTTACCTTTCATGCTCTCCAAACATCCCGCGTGCTTCATGGTAAAGAACGAACGCTGCCGCATGAACCAATTGTGAGCTGGAAATACATTTACTTTAATGTTAAGCAAAAATCTTATCGATGAATATTACCATATATTACTATAAAAATGTGCTAATTAATCTACAACTTGTCTTCATGATCATGCACTTCGAACTCCGACGCTGTAACAAAACAAGGTTCGGCAAATCTTACAACAGACGGAGGCTGGGGCCCATGGAATGAATGGAGCAAATGCAGCAGGACTTGTGGGACTGGACTACGAATCAGAGAACGCAGATGCGACAGTCCTAGGCCACAAAACGGAGGGGAGCGCTGTCAAGGACCCACTCAGCAGTTACGAAATTGCAAAATCGAGGCTTGTCCCGGTACGTCCTCGTTAGTAAATAAAAACTGAATCCGATAATAGTTCTGCTGATGATAAAAAATAAATGATAATTATCATCATAATGATAATAATGATAGCGATAGAAACCGTAATAACAAATGATATGGAAAAAAAAAATAATGTCAAATAGTTACCACGACCGTACTATGACGAAATGAAAATAGGGTCCGTCAGTCAGGAACCACATTCGGATGCTCTGCTAACATATGACACTGTCATCCAGGCGCTAAACCGGTGTTTTCCATCTTGGATAATTAATTTTACAACTTCTAACTTAGGCATTTAGGTGGTAAACTGTTGCTGCTCTCGATGTTTTCTAACAAGTGATTTCACTAAAAAATGAATTTTTTCAGTTGCTGTCACAACTCCAGCTCCGATCCAGACAACGCCCAGATCTACAGGTAAGAACAGTATGACACTGTCATCCAGTCGGTATACCGATGTTTTCAACCTGGGATATTCATTTTACAACTTCTAACATAGGCATTCAGCTGGTAAACCGTTGCTGCGCTCAACATTGTCTCTACCAACAATTGACACTGTCATTCAGACGGTATACTGATGTTTTTAATATTGGATATTTAATTTTACTGAATAGTGCATGGAGGGTGGGGCCCTTGGAGTGGATGGAGCAGATGCAGCAGAACCTGTGGGAAAGGATCACAGATCCAAGAACGCAAATGTGACAGTCCAAAGCCACAAAATGGAGGGAGGCAATGTCAAGGACTCAGTCAGCAGTCACGGGAATGTAAAATCAGGGATTGCCCCGGTGAGTCCTCTTCCCTATATGAAAAGTTTTAAAAGATTGAATTATTTAAAAAAAAAAAAAAAAAAAAAGTGAAGAGAGAGAGAGCGAAAAATCGAAACTCGTCGACATTGATTTTCATCGTTTTTTTTTTTCTCTAAGAGAAAAGTTAAAAGTCGCTGACGTTAATTTCCTTTTCCATGAAAAAATGAATCTTACAGTAGTTCTTCTAATGATAAAAAGATTATTGATAATTTCCATGATAATGATAATAATGATAATAATGATAGCGATAGCTATAATAATAACAAAAGATATGGATAAAAACCAATGTCAAATGATTACCACGACCGTACTGTGAGGAAACAAATATAGGGTCTGTCAGTCGGGAACCATATTCGGATGCTCTACCAAACTGGTATCAGGGGTGTTTACCGACGTTTTAATTCATGAATATTTTAATTTTCCTTGCTGATAGTGCATGGAGGCTGGAGCCCTTGGGATAAATGGAGCAGATGCACCAAGACTTGTGGAACAGGATTACAGACCCAAAAACGCAGATGCGACAGTCCCAGACCGACAAGTGGCGGCAGGCAATGTGAAGGACCTAGTCAGCAGACCCGGGCTTGCAGCATAAGGAGCTGTGAAGGTATGTTCAACATTTTTGGTTCTGTTTTGTCTACAGAAAATTCTAAACGCGCAGTTGTTCAATTCCTCAAACATGGCAATGTTCGTCGGTAGAGGTAGCTAAAATTTAATGAATTTCCGAATTTATAAAACGCAAGGTTACAGTCTCGAATGGTAAAAGCAACCCCAACAGTTCTCCTTCTCGTTAACTAAAAACCGGTAACCTGTTAGGGTCGTTGCCTTGCATCGACATCCCTAAGGTAGCAACGAGAGAACAATTTGGTCCAAGTTTAGAATATGAATCCCTCAAAACAAAACTTGTTTTCAACCCCCTTTTGAAACTTTTGTTGAACTTTCATACGTAGACATCACTTCACAAATTTGAATTCGCGGAGTAAAGGAGTCTGTTATTGTCAGGAGAACGTGTACGAGATTAAGCAAGTTTATTTTGTTTTAAGGTTTCAGTTCCCTTTATGGTACTTTAGTTTATCATTTAAGAACGTTCATTCCAAAATGGTGGATAAAACACGTTTAGTCGTTTAACAGGCGTAAAAGTAATGAATGACTACTTTGATATTTTGACGGAATTTTGCGTACTGACTGAGCACAACCCGCCGCCCTTGGGTAAGGACTTTCAAAATATTCCAAATTTTCCTTGTAAATATAAATTCAATTCTCTAGTATAATTTCTCTTTTCAGTCGTTTTTTAATTCAATTGTTTCTTTTTGTGCGAATGTTAGATCCTGAGGGTTATTGTCCGCCGTATTCGCCAACCAAGCGATGTCCTGGCCTAGTTCAAGACGAATGTACCTGTGATTCCGATTGTAATGACGTCGGTGATTACAAGTGTTGCTTTGACGGCTGCAGGCGAATGTGCAGAAGCACAGCTGGTGGGTGTCATTAAACACGTAATTAAAAAGGGGAGCAGGAATGGCCCTGTACAGTTGGCACTCGTTTCCGTCACCCGTCCTTTTCCCACCGTAATATCTTGTTTTCAATCCTTGAACAGGCGTCACCTGTAGACTGAATTTCGTGTTGACTATTCTCTAGGAGTTTTATTCCGGGTTCTTCGGCCCAAATAACGCTCCAAATTCCAGTCCTGGTAACGGTAGACGAAGAGCCACCTTGGATTGGATTGGATTAAAATCCATCGAGATTCTTGAATATATGTATCTGCTAGTGGGACTTCGGCTATTGAATTGAACGTTTAAAAACTGTAATTTGCCAGATATATTAGTAGGCCAATGCGGCTGAAATTTTCTCGACTTTTCCCTACCTCTTGATGCATTTTATTCAATTTACTTAGAAGCCAGCAGATAAAGTTTGAGGTAGAGATTTCAGAATTTCATCTCCGAGCATATTTGCATTATCTCTCTCTCTCTTTAATTCAAGCTCAAGTTTGTACCGCTAGCGTGGACATCATCTACCTCATGGACTCCTCAGGAAGTGCTGGTGACTTTGAGAAACAGAGAGATTTTGTTCGAGATTTGGCGCGGATTTTCAGCCTTGGAGCCAGCCGTGCCGCTGTGGTCACTTATGACGACAAAGCCACCGCGCGTATCAACTTTGATGACTTCGATAGCACCTTTGAATTTGCAAACGCCATAGACCGTATTAGCCAGATCCAAACACAAGGGGGATCTCGGATCGACCTCGCTCTGAAGAAAACATTGGATATGTTTAAATCTGCAAGGATAAATGTCCCAAAGGTGTTGATCGCCTTAACAAACGGTTCTCACACAGAAGATTCAACGGCACTCAACCAACCGGTTCAACTCCTTCGTGATCAAAATGTGCGGATCTTTGCTGTAGGGATTGGGTCCAATGTTGATATCAATAAGCTCAAGTCATTGGTTGAAAGCGATGCGGATGCTTTTCTGGTGGATTCATTCGTAGATCTTCTTCGCAAGTCGCAAACATTTGCTGACAACACTTGCAGTCAAATCAGTAATTGTGAGTGATTCCTCTCTTTATTTTTCGAGAAAGAAGTTCTGAAATGCTATCACAAACTTTTAACTTATAACGCAAGTAAACGTTAGCATTTTCTGGAATGCATACCGGGTATTTTTAGCTTTAAAAAGGGTTGAATCAGGGAAAGGAATGAATGTTAATAGGAGCATTATCTTTTCGTAACTACAATGCAAAAGTGTATGATATGTTGTTCAATAGACACTTGCTTACTCGAGCTCATATGGGGAAAAAAACGATAGTTCCAAGGGTATGGGTTGAGGTTTAGAAAACTACATTCGCAAAAATAAATAGCCGTTGAAAAATGACGTTTTTACATTAATTTTCCTTTGTTTCTAAAAACAAAAAAGGAAAGGAAAAGGGAAAGAATAGGCGGAAATGCCTAGTCCGTGGTCTCCCTGATAATTTGGCTCCTTAGCCGGAGAGACCGAGGAAAGAGGGTTAGTTAGAAGTGATTAATAATCATTAATGGGATTATTATCCTTTTGGGAACTAGGGAAAATGAGAAAGATAGCCTTATAACCTTGTTAACCTGCTCCTTGCACTTGAAAATGTTGCATATTGTTTGTTTTTACTTTTCGTAGCCACCAAATGTGTCCAAGGAGTGGACATTGCTTTCCTAATGGACTCGTCCGAAAGCATTACGGACGAAGATTTTGAGAGAGAAAAAATTGCCGTGAAAGAGATTGCTGGCCTATTCTTAAGTGCTTCCCCAGACAGTCGTGTTGGGGTCATTATGTACAGCGGTCGGCCTGAACTAATGGTAGACTTTCGAAGTCAAAATTCAATCAGCGAATTCGAGTCTGCCGTAGACGACCTGACGCACAAACGAAGTATGACAAGAATAGACAGCGCCCTCCGCTTTGCTGCGCAAACGTTATTTTTAAATCCACGACGCTCTGTGAGTTCCGTTGCCGTGGTGATGACTGACGGGATACAGACGCCGGGGCCTGGAGTTGAGCCACTAGATACAGCTGTGTTACCTCTTCGTGAGAAAGGAGTTCGCGTTCTTGCTGTTGGCGTGGGACCGAGAGTGGACCGAAGTGAATTAGAGGACTTGGTAACAAGCCAGGACGATGTTTTCAAAATGAGTTCTTTCCAGGAATTACTGAACAAATCTGCGGAGCTACTGGAAGTTGTCTGCCCTCGTAAGTAAAGAGAAAAAGAACGTAATAAATAATAAGAACTAATAAACATAAATTTAAAACATACACCACTCGTGAATCAAAAGTAATGATTGTGTGTATGTCAGTATTTAAGAAATGGTGGATTATGTGGAATGAGCCATGACTCAGAATAGTTTACCTGTTGACTTGCGAAGGTACGATTCCCTGAAACAGAACGAATGGTCTTGTACTAGGATGACCCCGAACATGTGGAGGTTTTGATGAACTCGCTCCCTTCTTAGCTGTTTCGCTGGAATATTGAAAAACATCTCAATGTCTCAGCACAGAACCAATGAACTTTGCGCCGAGAGTCTTAAGGACCCAGGGAATTCTCAAGTTCCCAAGCGACGCAAATTATTTTGTAACCATTTCTCCATAGTGATTTTAGTGAAATTCTTTGGTTGAATTTGTATTTTTAAAAACTATTTTTCTCTAAGGTTAGTCGAAAGCTTTCCTTTCTCTTAAGAGAAAGATCTTGGGTAACCTGATTACTTGGCTGTAGTAAGTAATTAATTGATTCGGTAATTAATTATTACAGCCAACATAATTTAACTATAGTAAAGTAAAGTAATGATATAATTTTTTTCCCGAAAAGAGCCTCCAGGAGCTATCAATAAAACAACAGCACCGAATACTACGAGGGCGACGACAACATCTACTCCTATCATGACCACTCCGACCACCGCCGAACCTGTTCGGTGTGATAAACTCTTAGATGTCGTGTTCGTAATGGATTCGTCGCGTAGTATCGACGAACCACAGTATAGACAGGAAAAGGATTTCGTTAAGAGACTCGCTGACATTTTCAAGATTGGAGCAGGAAGTAGAGCAGCAGTGATCATTTACAGCGATGAAACACAGCTAGAAATTACATTTGATCAGTATTCCAACTTGAGTAGTTTCTTATCGGCAGTGGAATCTTTACCGTACCTGCAAAGAAGGACCAGAATTGACAAAGCGCTGACAATGACTGCACAAGTGTTGGAACAGGCCAGGTAAGGTTTTCAATACATATTTCCATTAATTGGAAATGCACAATGTTCTTAGACAGATTGCATTCAGAAAAAAAAAAAATATTTATTTGTTAAAGACCCACAGAAAGTAAAGGGGTTTTTTCCTGAATGTGGGAAGATATTTGTCTAATCCAGCTGAATTTACGTACATTGCATTGCCCAAAAGAGCGCTGTCAGAGAATTTTTATAGTCTGCAGTAAGCCTTTGACAATTGTTTTTCTTCTCAAGCGATGTGATCTGCTTCATTACTAAACTGAGTTTGGAAGAATTAATCATTTGTTTGCAAAGAGTCTTGTACTCTTTGCAAACTGATAAACGCAGATCACTGACCTAGAGTGGACGGAGGCTGATGGTTGGTGGAATAATTATAGAAGGAGGATATGCGTCGGGGGGGAAAACAGAGGAATTTGGTTGTGTCACAATAAAATTTACCGGATCCCTCCAATTAGTACTATTATGTAATATTCTAAAGATCCACCCTTATTGGCAGTCAATTTTTTATGGTTTCCCCCCCTACACAATGTAAGTGACAACCAATGACTTTCCTTTTTTCCCCCTAAAAACCATGAGAGACTCCCGCTCCCAAAATTCTCCCACCCCTCTCCCCTTACGCCATAAAAAAGGAATGGTCACGTATACAAATATAAATGGACAAACATGAGACAAATTTTGAACGGGGTAAGTTTTTTTCGGCAGACCTGGCTTCCCGAAAGTTGTAATTGTTATGACAGATGGTCGTCAGACACGTGACCCAGATGCACTTGACCTCAATGTTGCAGCAAAACCAATTCACGATCAAGGAGTGCGAGTTCTCGTGGTCGGAATTGGCCCAGAGATTTCCGATGATGAGCTTCGATTGATTGCCAGGGATTCTTCATATGTTTTTAAAGTCGAGACATTCGAGAATTTGAAGAAAGCCACCCAAGACGTAGCTTCCACTGCCTGCATCAATCCTAGTACGTCAGTTAATTATGCCTTTAAGTTTTTACTAATAGCAGTAATAGTAAAAGTTTATAAAAAATATATTATGCGAAAAATTTACTAAAATGCTTAACACAACTATATAAATCAGGTTTTGAAAAAAAATAAAATTTCATGCAAAAAATTTGTCTTTTGAAGAAGGGCTTGTCAAAGAGTGTTTATCAAAAGGTTCAGGACATGTGTTGGAAAATATATTGTTATTTGCCTTGTTTCATTTCTCTCATCTTCATTTCATTTTATTCTACTGCTTAATTTTTTTTTTTTCATTTCTTTGCAGCTGTCACACAAGCGCCAAAGCCAAAGCCGGGGACCTGCCCATTCTACCCGATCAGAATCAGATGCGCGGTCACAACCAACGCATGCCTTACAGATAATGAATGTCCGGGAAATTTGAAGTGTTGCTATGACAATTGCCGCTCTATTTGCACTCTACCAGATTATGGTATGAATAAAAACATTCATTCGTTGTCATTGCTTAGGTAGAGTAGGTGTGTGACAAATACGTCTATTAGCGGTTAAAAACTGGTATTTGAGGTATAAAATCTCGTACTCAGATCCTACCGTGTAATTGTAGCAAACGCTTGGCAGTGAAAGGTTTAGGTACGAAAGGTAGGAGGTTTACGAAAAGCAGAAGCGCAGCTGCTAGCCGTCTATTCTTAAAATGGAAGACCGCATTGCCAGGGGCACCGAGCTAATAAATTACCCATCTCTTCACGTCACTTCTCTCCTAACCCACCCCCTCCTCCCCTAATCTCGTTCTTACCTCGGTCTCAATTCGGCACTGGGATCTCCTCAGCCAAACGGTATGGTCATATATTATCCTCTTCGTTTCAAGGCTCTGAATGGGAACAAAAATAAAATCCACCTTCACAGAAAATAACTGTTGATGTGATTCTTATCTGTTTATCTCTTTGATTTGATTTGATTTTAAGCTTGCAACGCTTAAAGCCTCCATTAAATTACAGTTATACTTAGAATTGAACAATTATCTGAAAAAGATTTTTTCTTTAGTTTGTTCTCAATTAAAATTTGCAAATTTTTTTCTAACCTTCAGAAGAAACAACAACTCCTTCTTTCATTGGTTACTGTCCAGCTCCGACGAATCCACCTGACGGCGTTTGTCCATCTGGTCGAAGCTCATGCTTCGTTAATGATGATTGTTCCTATGGATACAAATGCTGTCTTGATGGCTGTGGGTTTTCATGCCAACCAGCCGTCGATGGTGAGAGATGTTTGTTGGCTTCTTTTAAGAAATACTCACAAATAGCTGTACCACTTTTTTTTTTTGGCTGCTGATGAGGCAACGTTTTTTTTTCTTTCTTTTTTAAGAGATGAAGGCGGAAAATCAATTTATAGTACCGCTGATGCTTGTTAGGCTTGTTAGATGGACAGAGAAGAATAGATTACGTTGTTACCATTGTTCTTCTACTATTTTTGTTTTGTGCTTCTAGGATAATGTTGTTGTAGTAGTTGATGTGGGCTATGTTTGTGACAAAGGTGTTGGTTTTGTTACTAATAAACTTAACAAGATGACAGGGTAACATAATTAGCCAATTTTCTCGCGTGACGAAATTGACAGATAATTTACACATTATCATCATCATCATTTATCCGATTTTGCCAATATACGCCCGAGGTCATCAAGCTCTCCAATTCAAACCTCACTGGTCTTCCCTAAGTAGTCTTTTTTCCCTTTTCGCCTCCTCCACTCTTACATGGAAGAGCAGTTGTTTACACCCTCTTTCTTAGATAAGTATGTTCACCTGTTCGATCTCCTTCTCCACACGTTATCGTATTTTAAAAACTCCTAAACATCGGTCTTATGTTGCGTTTACAGGACCCACCACAGCCCCTCCGCCTCAATGTTCTGAATCATTCGATCTGGTATTCGCTATGGATTCTTCCGGCTCCATAGGCAAAGACAACTACCAAAAAGAGAAGAACTTCATCAATGGATTAGCAAACAAGTTGGTGGTCGGTCCAAGGAACGTTCATCTTGGTCTAATAGTATTTAGTGACTCGTCAATTGTGTGGCTCAACTTTGGCACGCCTACGAGCACGAACTACTCCTCATTTTCCGAAGCAGCAGTAGACAACGCACCATACCTTCGCGGACGTACACGCATAGACAGCGCGCTTCAGACGGCTGGCGACGTATTTCCCGAAGGGCGCCAAAATCAGGAGCCTCAGGTGTTGATATTGATAACTGATGGCCGTCAATCGAACGATCCTGGGTCAGTACCTTTGAAAACAGCTGTGCAACCTTTACGCGATCAGGGTGTCAAGGTGCGTATCTTAGTCTTCCATTTATCTTTTTAGGATAAAAATATTACCTAAGGTCCGACATGAGGTCTTTTATTGTTCAAATTTACTAGAGAAGCATTTTTTTAAGCAATACCACTGGTTAATCGAAGTAACAAAAACATCCATTTGAGATCACTCGTGATTCTTAAAATCTAATTGACTCATAGCACTGCGAACTGTTCACTAATTTTTGCTCTAAAGTGCATATTTTTGTCCAGCCAATACAGAGATGGAAAGTAGTCCAGACCGCGCTCTTTTTTTTTCCTTTTTTTTTTTTTCATTTCTTTTTCCTAATTTTTTTTTAATATCAGTGACCAAAGCCTGTCTTTAATCAATTTTATCGTTCTTTTTTTTAAATCAATGTAATGAAAAGGCACTGAACTTAACGTCCTACGATTTTGTCCAAAAGTGACGCATTTGATTTCAGACTAAACTGCGCTCCCTTCAATTCAAATATCAGTGATACTGAGTATGTAGTGGTTCAAAACTCTATCTACTATAGCTGAGCACTCATTATCTTGCGATAATTTGTTGCTTAGAGGGTGTTAACATCTGGAAACCTAGCTTGTGGTGTCATTCGAAAGACCCAGCTTCCCTATAAACTTTTATTGAAACTGGTGTACACCCTGTCAGCCAATAAGATGATTATTTAATCTAATTTTTAGGCTATTTAGTAATGTTTTCAAGCCATAGAACCAAGTAAACTAATTGTAATGCAGCTAAACTGCTGAGACCAAATGTTGTATAAGCTTTCTATCTTATTTATAGCTTACTTGCCATTTTTCCTATATCTTGTATTAAAATCCTTTTTTTTTTTTGTCCACTTTTGGGAATATTTAGAGGGCAAATGCAGTAGCCGTAATTTTTTACTTTTCTTCGATTAAAAGAAAAAACTTCATGGTCCTTTCTCTGTCAGATCATTATTGTTGGAATTGGAGAAGATGTTGATGAAATAGAATTGAAATCCATCGTGGAAAACGCAGATGATGAACTCTTCCTTGTTGGATCATTCCTGGAATTGGAGCCCTTGCTGAGAAATAAGAAGCTCAATGATGCCATCTGTTTACAAACAAGTACGTTGAAATCATCCCATCCGTTCTGCAGTTTTTGTGTCATTTGCTTGAACAAGTTTTAGCTTAAACAAGCCTATGCAACCAGCCTCTAGTTGTTTTTTAGTGGGAAATTTCTTGCGCTAGTATTTCCTTGTTAATGGTGACAAGAAAACGTGGCTTTGTTTCGTCTTCCTCCATTAGTTGATTGCTTCAGTCTAGACAGGTGTCAACAACTAGCGGCACCACACGAACGACTTATTCATACCATTTACACTATAACGACCTCACATTACTGACGGGTTGAAACTGACCATTTACGACCGACTTACATCACTTGAGCCTTATAGCCAATAACATCGCGGCCAAACTGGCCAATCAGTTTACACAAACTGGACTTTTAACACTCGACTGACAGCAACTCTCTACTTGACTCTGGTGATGACTTCTGCTCAAAACGTCAATCCCTACTACCAAAAACAGGACTACACTCACCCAAACGATCAGATTACACGATAAATAATAAAGTTTGGACAATAACAATTTGATATCGTATTGTTATCAAACTGTTATATAAAAAGGACAAATGTAAAATGTATTCCTCGTCAAAAGTGAATTCTCTAACTGAGTTTTTATACTTTTTTTTAGTAGGTGGTCGTCGACAAAGGAACTTCTCGTAGGAACAAGGATAGAAATAATCGTGAGCTACCCATAATAATTACTTTGTAACTATCAGCTATGAGCGTTTTTTTTTCTGTCTGTAGGAAGGTTTCAGGAATTAATATGCTTTTAACTTACGTATGTTGTTTTTTATCGCATTTACAGACGCTTAAGGAAATTATGAAAAGCTTCCACAAATTAGTAAAAAGCAGTGTCATCCCCGTTTTAAAGGTTGTGCGTGTTCGTATTAACTAATAAGTAAGGAAGACGATCTTGATCGTGGTCTTCCTTTAATGCCACTGCAATTTTGCATTTCATAGAAACTGGCCATCAAAGTAATCACTGTCTATGTAGGTAGCTTTGAATTTACCAGCACGAATAAAGTCATTGATACTTGTATTTTCCTTTGTAAAGAGAACTATTCTTCTCTTCAGAAGCTGTTTCTCTATTTTTCTTGGCTTTAAGTTCCCTTAAGTGTTGGAAGAAAGAGAGGGTTGCTCTTCCCCAACGTGCGTCTATGTGTTAATGTGTTGCGCGACTTTTAAGTCGTTACGGCCTGTGAGCCACAGTTTTAGGTTTTATTTTCTTGATACATGTGAATTATTTTATGCCACAATAAACAAGGGGAATAAAAAAGACTGGTTGTAATTTGCAATTACATCATAATATAGAAGAAAAAAAATGGATGGTTGAAAAATTAGCACAGCGCGTTAATTAAAATCATAAATTACACTCCATTCAGTTCAATTACCATTATTAAGCGCTCTTATTAATAAAAAACAATTATACGTCAGTAACTCACCACTATGATTAGTGTACTAATATTAGTGCCTCATAACCCTGCCTTCTGCGGTCCCGCCGTTCGGCCGAATGACCTAATCGAGCCTCCTGAGATTAACTTTGTATTACAATGGAGATCTTTTCATCCCTTGAAATCATCCCCTCTTTTCTGCTAGTCTATCAGAATGACTATCAATGTCCTTTTATGAATTTAGTGTATCCCGCTTTTCCATGAATTAAATATAAACCTTTGGAGTAACAAAACTCAAGGAATGCGTAGATGACAACATGAAATAATTAAGCCTCTGTATCGGTTCCCTTTTGTAGTTATCACCATACAATCGTCTGATAATTGCTTTCAAAACATAATTTTCTGTCTAAATCTAACGCTCGTGGTTTTTTTTTTCGTTTTCAATTTTTTAATCTACCCTTTCGCCACTTTCCTCGACAGTTAATACAGTTTAACTAACTTTTCCCTCTCTGTTCATTTAATTTGATTAATTTCTTTATTTTTTTTTTGTCTTTTTTTTGTAAATTATTTTCCTTTCTTTCCTTTCTCCACGTACCTGCTGCCACCGGCGACTTACAATGTACGAGAAGTCAGCAAGAAAACCTCTGGTTTATTTAGCTCCCCGTTTCAAAAAGTATTTTTACCATTTTATTTTGACCTTATCCATCAGGTTGACCTATGCATTGAGCTTGAAAGAAACACAAAATTCCGTCCAGGGTTGTGGGAATTGGATTCTGATAAATCTAGAAGTTTCTTCAGTTTAGCGCTTTAGAGAAGAGAAAGTTTTGTTTTAATCTAACGTTCGACTTATGTTTGTTTTCTCTTTTCATACTCTACTCCTGCCATTAGGATGACTAATGTATTGAGATTGGAATAAATATAGAACCCTGTCCATGTTTGCTGGAATAATATTCTGATAAATGTGGAATTTTCTTTTTCAGTGAGGGAATAACCTGAAATTATAAACCGTCAGCTACGTGTTACTCATTATATCTTGCGTTACCCACTCGAGAAGTCTAAATACTCGAGAGTTAGCTCTCATCACACTCGAGTAGTGTCTCGTTTCTCCCGTGACTGACCTTCAGACTCCTCGCGAGATTTCGTTTCGCAAAACGTGTCTCGCGTTCTTCGCGACATTATTCTCATCTTTCGCACGTAACACCAAGTTACTCGAGGAGTCCTCTCGTGGAGTGCTGGAGAATAACCTATTTCAAAGTCAAGACAAACGAAAATCAAAGATTTTCGATACTTCCCCTCAAAAAGAGAATTTCATTGAATTCACTTGCCAAAATAAAAGATTAAACGTAGAATTAAGAGAACAATTTCAACTACATGTGTGGGATCCCTTTGCCTTCTGTCCTCGAGGAAATTATTTAGTGCCGGGCTCATCGTAATAATAATTACGCTTATGTCAGTGAGTGCGTCTTTCCTTGATCTAGCACGGGTTTGTTAACGAAAAAAATTTCACAAGATGAAAGTAAGAAACTTCTGCCACTAGCTCTGTTTACAGCTTAATTACAAATCCTTGAACTTTCACCTCCGTGAACAGCGTGCCCGTGTATGTGACTTAATCCTGAAAAATAAAATTAAACCTAAAAATAATCCCGCTGGATAATCAGAGGGGATTTCCTGTAGATCCATATTTTTTTTGTACGATACATGAGATTTAAATCTAAATCTATGCTGTCTAACGACTCGAGAACGAGTAAAAAGTCAGGCAACCTCTATAGTCAAAATAATTTGTTTTTTCGAAAATTCTTTAGCATACTATGCATAAAGGGGCATACTCTATTCTATTACATGAATATGTAGAATATCTAAAAGTCCTTTGTATATTGTTACAGCTATAATCTAATCCCATCCCCAGTTTATTTCAGTTTTTTTGGACAAATTTCCATGTTGGCATAGGACCAAATTTGAAATTGAAATGGCCCATCCGTATTAAAAGTTTAATTTTAGCTTCGAAAAGAACTTCCAGAAAATTCGTGTCACTTACATGACAGGTAGAAAGACCTGTAATAATTCCCTCTACCTTTAAAAGGTCAAAAATAAGCCTGTCGAATCACATTACAATAAAAAACGTGTGTCGCACGAATCCAGTTTTTGGACTTTAGGGGACTTGACATAATAAACTTGTTTGCTTCTTTAAGGTTTTGAATTAGTGACCCTAGCTTTCGTTATGTCATTGTCGGAGCCTTTGCAGCTTTTATTTTCCTCTTTCCAATTTGCATACCACTTCAAACTTCCATTTCATTTCCTTTTTGCAGACTTTTTTTTTCAAGTTTTAAGCTTCTTCTTTGGTCTCTCCTTTGCCCCTCTGAAATCTCTCCTTGTCTTTCTTTTTTTCATCCGCTTCTTTTCTCTTGTATCTTGTATCTTGGTACAAAACAAGAAATAATAACAATGAAGTTTTAGTGGCGAAAGCAGATCTCATAAGAGCCGAAGAGACATTCATTTTGCCTTTATTTTTATTTGTATTCATAGCTTTCCTTTGTTTGGTTTTTCAGTGTTTTCTCTCTTTCTTCATCTCTTTTCTGAACAAAGTTTAAAATTATAAATAATATCGCCAACAGATCCACCACCACCAAGAACATTCTCACGACACGACTAGAGCCGGAAGTAAAAATAGTTTATGTAACATCATGGAATGATTCTTAGCTTATCTCGTGTACAAAGATCAAGGGTGTACCTGTTGTTCATAGAAGAGAATCAAGCATCAGTTGGTACCTTATGAACTTTCTGGAGAAAACACCTTATTTCAGCTGTTTAACCCTTTAATGCCCAAGATCTCATTAGTAATTCTCCTTACTGTCTGCCATACGATTTTTATGATGCTAGTTCTGATAATTTGGTACTGGATCAACTAGCAAATCCTCAAACTGATATTTTTCTTTATTCTCGTCATCTGCCTGCTTGACATCGTATTGATATCGTAAGGAGAAATTCTGTCCTGGTCACTCATGGGAGTTAAAGTTATTAATATAAAGAAACAGTCACTATTTTTTGTGGAATCAAGAGAGACTGGAGGTTAGCCGGAGACTTTTTATGCACGGTAGCTAAGAGCCAACCGTGATCAAATCTTTTAATTTCTAAAACAATACTTGATATTTCCAACGGAGCCCTGATTGGCTTCTCTAAGAATTTCTGATGTCCTTTCATTTAAATTCAGCCTCCCTCCTCTCCTCAGGAAATGAATGTTCGAATCGTTTCTAGGCGGTTATAAATATTACCTTCAACTGCTCAATACTTGGCCGCCTTACAATTGCCCTATGAGCACGGAGTTGGCTAAGCAGTATCCACAACTTTTGAGCAACAATAATTCTCTTGCCGCTATCTCGGAGATTTATCGCTGTTAGTGAAGTTTGTGGAAATTTAGATATCACCGGCTTATTTTCGTTCATTAATGTATGTGATACCAAAATTCTTTTAATATCACAAAGCGAAAATTAAACTATACTTGACTTGGTGACAGAGATAGGTGTGAATTTCTCCGATCGTCAGATAATTGATCCTCAATTCACAGTCACTTTGAGCGTTTGATGAAATATTTCCTTCTCTAGTATCCACATTAAATTTCCAACTTTTCATTTGCTTCAAAGCCGAAGTCAGTAAAAAAGAGCCTCTCAGTTTCATGAATAAGCATTTGATATTTTCTTTATTTACTCCCACTGTTTCCGGCCAAACCTATTAAATATCACAATCTGTTGTGTAAACGAAGATCATCACGAGCTTACGGCCAAAAAAACGCTCTCTTTCGTGCGGTTAGTATTTATAAGCTTGATATCGCTTATCGAACTTGCGACACACTCCTGGTGGGTCTAATTAACTGGGAGTTGCAAATCCTCTTTTCGCAATCCTTTTTTTTTATTTCATGTCTGTTTAAAATCACGTATCTGTTGAACGCCTGGAGAAAGAAATTTACTCAGCACGTAATCGGTGGCATTTCCAACCCACACCACCACCCGGGGTGACGGGAAATATTTCACGCAAAGGACGATTTCCGCGCTTAGCCGTATACAGACAACAAACATAGATTCTGCACCTTGGAATAGGACGCACGGTCAAAAACGCTTCCCAAGAAACATAGATGACGTTTTAATGTAAACGGACTACTACAGTAATGAAGACATCATCTGTCGTTGTGGGGACATTGCTGTTGATTTTTATCAAGATCAGGATCACACAGGGGCAGCAGCTGCAACGTAAGTGACGCACCGTCTGTTTCTCCTTTGACATGTATACATAAATTTGTCTGAAGAATTTATGAGTCTAACGTTAACGTAATGGCAGTATAGCATGTGTAGTGGCAGTATAGCGTACTTTGCAATCAGGGTTTTAACTGTTACATAGTTCCCGCATGTATTTTCCTTCTTCGGAATGTAGCGGTTTCATATACGTTTATGATATCATTTTGCAGGATTTAAACATGGCGGCAGCATAAGTTTCCTCGGTGGCCTATAACTTTGATAGATAGTGATTTATAACTTTAAGAATGTCCTATGAATTATAAAAGAGTCGACCGGCAGTATTTCTGCACAATATCCAAGGTTTCATTTCAATTGGAAACCGTTCCTGTGTCTTAGTGTCTTAGTTCGTTAAATAATAGGCTTGCTTGATAATTACTTTTCGAATATTCAATACCGATAAGGAAAAAAATTTCTTTTTTAATTAATCTTCTGGATTTGAGTCGCAACTTTAAGAAAGCATTAATGAGTAAATCGGGCTAATCTGCAGAGTATCCAGCTACTTATTTGTATCACTGCATATCTGGCATTTGACTCATTTAGCTCTTCAAAGCCACCGACGACGTACTCACCTACACGCGATATACTCGCGTTCCAATGTCACGTACGAGGTTTTTTTCGTCAATCTTTATCTCACAGTTAACCCTTTACACCACGACATCAGTATGCATATTCTCTATACAGTTACCTAAACATTCCTTGAGGTACTGACATGGAGAATTTGTCTAACAATCGAGATTTCTTTAGTTTGTGATCATTTCTTTAATTCTCGTGACCTCAATGCTTGATCAGATCTGATATCGTTGGGAGAAATTCGATGCTACTCATTCTTAGGGGTTAAAGGGTTTATGAGCACTTACAGCTATGGTGGCTCAGTTTACGAAGTCACACATTATCACGTTTAAATCTGCACAACTTAAGTTTCTTCAATTGAAAAGTAAGATCTCGGTTACCGGGCAAGAAATTTACCCTTACTAAGGAACACTCCAGCTTCGTTCATGCAGTTTATAAATCTATTAAAATTCCCCATGCCTGACCGCCATTGCCCGCATTAGGTGTACGAAAATTTACAAATTAAACAGGCGACCTTTCAATCCATCAAAACAAATACCATGCAACATTTGTCGTCGGGCTTTCATCGCCATTTGATGATAACTGATTTTTTTTTGCCATACATAATTTATTTTGTTCATACCATATTTCTCTTCAACAACAAACAGCAACATATTTTCCATTCAAACAACTTTATTCCTTAATGTCACGTGTAAAGGTGGAAAGCAGAAGGTGAAAAAGGGATATAAATTGCAATAACCGCCTTCTCATTCCCATGCTCTTGAAATTTAAACACGCACCCTCCATCAACACAGGCTTGCCCCACAAAAAACCAGGCGTAAATATGTCTGGAGAAGCAAAGCTTGACTTAAAGTCTAACTCAAAAGCCTAAATTCTTCTCTCTCCTGTTCACTGTTTTGGACACACGTCTGCCAACCTTTCCTCGAAAAAGATGAACCTTAGGCTGAAACTTGACTTTATTCCTAGCTTTAACCCCCCACTTCTCCTCCTCCCCTTCCCCCTAGCCAGCCCAGCTGGAAACCCATTGGCTATTTCTGGACACGTTTTGGAAATTTCAAGCAGGACTATCTATCAATCGCGATTTTCGAATACAATGATTTAACGAAAAGTTTTGTAAAACGTGGCTTGCTATACAATGCTTTCGAACCGGGAATTTAGTTTTCAAGTTGCATTTGCTATGTTACTTTTGGAAAACGGTAATACGAATCTGTTATTCCAGTTGTATAACTTCAAAGGAATTTCGTTTTATTGGCTCCTTCTGTTTTGCATGCGGTTCGCCTTGACTTTTTCGTGAGATTATTGCTATAAAGTTATTCAATTTACAAATACACAATAATTCCCAACTCATAATATGATATACTTATATAATATACAAATACCTATAGAAAGTTTCTTGATATTCCAAAGGTATACGTGAAGGAAGATGTCCGCCAATAAGGAGGCGAACTGACTGCCCGGCCTTCGTATGGGACGAGTGTACCTGCGACTCTGACTGCTCTGGGAAGCAAAAGTGCTGTCTTGACGGATGCAAGTATGCATGTCTTGATCCAGGTAACCAACCATTAACTTAAACCAGGTGTGATAAGCATGTAACTTCTCACAACAATATTGATTCCCTATTGAAGAAATAAGAAAATAGGTATAGATAAACTAATCAACTTGAAATTGCAATTTGGATATCATTCTTTTGGAGGGCTCATCTTCTACAAAAGGAAAATGTGGCTCATCAGTGACAAAAGTTGCTGTGGCGGAAAGAATGAATCGATTGGGCTTGAGGTACACTGAAAATATACTAAGAGATCTGACTGCCGAATCAAAATAAAGTTTGTTTCTCGTTCGCCAGAATGGTCAGATCGAGGTTGACAGGGCTTATTAGGAATCACCAGCCATCAAGTGAGCTGTCGATCCATTGATTGTCACGGAAGGGTGACTTACCCTTAAAAATGGTGGCGTTTATCCAAAGGGGAGAATTAAGGTTATATCCTTAGCCAAAATACCAAGCAATTGTCATTTTAACGATTATTTGGACACGCAGCGATAGAAATAAAATATTTTCCCTCGCTGAACGCAGGGGATCTGTTGAAATAAGTGAACAATCCAATTCTAAATTTTCGTGGCAGAGCTGAATAACATTTAAGCACGTCGCAAATATGCTAATGAATCCACAGTAACATAACTATGAATGGTGTTAATTCAAAAATAATAATAATAATAAATAATAATAAAGATAATAATAAATAATAATCATGATAATAATAATAATAATGCCTTAATATCGTTCATCTGATGATACCTCAAACTCAAACAGACCGTTATCGCGAAGGGCCGCTTAGCACACAATAAGAAAACCGTTTTTCTGAATCACCTTTTTCCTTAGGCTTAGAATGTAAACGCCGATAATTTGTTGTTTGTCATACATTTATGGATCCTTTCTGGAAGTGAAAGGTTCAGCAATTTTCTCTTTATTATGAACCTGTTTTTTAGCCAAGGTTAGCAAGTTTTTCGTTTTTCATATCGGTAAGCTGACCTTCATTTTCATATTGCTTTGCTTCATTTCATGGAAAGACGAAGGAACGCCTTCTGTCAGAAATAAAGCCGATGTAGTGTTCATAATGGACTCGTCAGGAAGCATCGGACCTGATGACTACAATCGCGAAAAACAGTTCGTCAAAGATCTCACGAATGTGTTTCAAGTCTCTCCTACTGAGGCCAGAATCAGTACCATCATATACAGCGACGACCCAAAACTCATCTTCGATTTTGACACATTCAACGATAAGCAAAGTATCAACACTGCTATAGATGACCTGGAGTATTTAGGAAACAGGACGCGGATCGACAAAGCACTGGCAATGGCCATGGAGGTGTTTTCAAAATCTCGTCCAGCTGTGCCCAGAATTGCATTTGTCCTCACCGATGGAAAGCAGACTGACGACTATGATGCGAAACCGCTGGACATAGCTGTCCGACCGCTTCATGACTTAGGCGTTCACGTTTACGTCATAGGGATTGGCACTTACGTCGACCCTGAAGAACTCAGACTCCTAGCAAGAAGACAAGAAGATGTATTCACCGTGGATTCTTTTGAACTACTACTCCAACAGACATATCGTATTGTTAATCGAATAGACACCTACGGTGAGTTTGCTTCATTTTACGTTTTAATTTATTCATTTGTTTTCTCGGTGAGGTAGGTTAAAAAACAAATATTCATTTGTTCTAATAAGCTCTCGTTGAAATTATATACGTCTGGGGCTTTCAAAGGGAAAGGGACTTATCTGAACGTGAAATTCGATTCGTTATCTTCCTCTGAACTGCAGGCGATATTTATGAAATAGCACATGCATAAAATGCGTCTCGCTTGTTTTAAGAAAAATTCAATTTCTACAACGGAATATTTATTTTTGCGGAGGAAACGCAAAAAAGATTTATTGCCGCAATTTTATTTCTTTTTATAGCATTTTGGCTTTTAATTTTCGAATAACATCCTACGGTCTGTCTTACAATCAGTCGAATATGGCCTGGCTGAAAGTCGAGAAAGACTCCAAGCCAAACCATTAAATAAAAAAGATCCGATGAAATTGAAATTATGTTGCTTTTAAAATCAAGTCTAAAAAATAGAATAAAACCAAGGTTTGGAACATGCAGCATTTTTCGGCTCCACTTTCTGTTCGTGTTTTGCCCCGTTCTACAAAGCAATACCGTGACATATTTTGTCCATTCCGTTGCTATAAACTGGCTTAATAATGAAATGATCATAAGTTGTTATTTGGGGAGTTCCATGATGTGCTATTATATATGCTCGCCACTTTGAAGATTCCCTCTTTAAATTCAATGGTTTACCAACATAAGGTCCTAAATTTTGTTATTTGTTTTTCTCAGATGCAATTCCACCATTGGAGATCACAGCCGATATAATGTTCCTAGTAGATTCATCTTCAGCTATCCCTAGAGCAACGTATGGAGACCAATTAAACTTTCTGCAAACAATTGTAAACCAATTCAGAATATCACCTCGTTATGTTCGAGCGAGTGTCATCTCGTACGGAAATACTGCACGGCTGTCCATACCATTCGGGACGCGTACAACTAACGCAGCAATGAATCGGTCCATCGACTCACTCCCTTACGTTGGAGGCCAGAAACGAATCGATAGAGCACTATGGCTGGCTAACCAAACGTTTTTGCAAGCCAGACGTTTGGTACCCAAGATTCTGCTTATTCTAACCCATGGTGGACAACTGGCGGATGTTGGCACCAACTTACGGCTCCCTGTCAAGGCTCTTCGTGACCAAGGAGTCAGTATCTTTGCAATCGCCATTGGTGATGGGGTGGATTATTCAACGTTAAACTACATTGTTGAAAATGATAATCTCATCGTTGACAAGTCTTATAAGAGCTTGGAGCCATACCTTCCACCGGCAGCTAGTTACATCAGAGTGAAATCAGGTGAGGTTGAAAAATGCTGTAAGTCAGTTAATTGCCACCGCTTCGTTTGTACGAAATAAATAGGATTTTTAAATCTTATGACGCCTGGTAGCAATGGTTACTTGATATAACGGGAATTGAATGAACAGTTTTAATTCTTGGAAAATCAGGATTAGTCAGCGAGATTAATCAAATCCTAAAACTGACGGGCTTTTCATTGACCCAAAATAGGTTTTTTTTCCTCCCGTAATAACGGGGAATTAAGTTCGAAATGTAAATTTGTGCTTTGTGATTTTCCTTCCTTATCGCTGACAAAAGATCTCAATGAACCTCTTACTTAGAGTCAATCACGTCCCTTATAACCATTTTCCAATAATTTTATTTAGATTTCTCAACTCCGTTGAGTAAAGATGCTGCCGTTGTCTTCCTTGTGGACACTTCTGAAGAAGTAGAAACGATGGATTTCAAGCGACAAAGAGAGTTTGTCATTTCCTTAGCGAAGGCTTTCGAGATTTCTGCAGAAGGGGTGCGCGCAAGTGTGATAACATACGGCAAGTACAGTCGTCCAACCGTGCAATTCAAGGACTCTTCGGATGTCGACAAATTTATAAATGCAATGATCAGAACCAGTCAAATAAAAGGACGTCGAATGATAAACCAGGCCTTGTTGATGGCAGCCCGCATGTTCCGCCATCATGACGAGGTAGCACCGAGGGCGGTGATACTATTCACATCAGGCCCTCATGCGGGTACACTTGACCAATTGAAAAGCGCCAGCAAAAGTGTTACGGACTTAGGTGCGCTAATATACGTTGTTGCCATTGGTCCCTCAGTGGCCAACAGCCAAATCGAGGAACTGGTGAGCAGTTCTGATGACATCAAAAAGTTACCTTCGTTCATGGATTTGCAGTCTGAAATCCATTATGTTGGGAGATACGTGAGCCTACAACAAGGTTAGAGACATAAGTTATCTTAGGAGTCAGATGGGCGAGACACGATATTTTATTACCGCAAAATCTCCATGAAGATGTTGTCGCTATTGAGTGGACTGGTGCTTAACAACCGACCTATTATGATGACCTAGGGAAATTTAGTATATATAAAATCGATGACCGTTTTCTCAGTATAACGTCTAGGAAAATTATTCTGTTTTCAATCTAAGCATCTTATGTAATCCCCTTTTTCACCTAAAAGGTATCTCCACTTGTAATTAAAAATATTTCCCTATCCCATCACAATACCATATTCATCTTTTTTATTGCGTGTACTGACTTCAAAGAGTAAGAAATGAGAAACAGTTAATATTAACCTCGACTCCCAAGAACAGGTTTCACTTACAACCCGCAAAAACAGTTAGAGAAGTAGGATTTTTAAGATACTCCTAAAGTACATGTTTAAGGAGAAATGTACTTCTCTTGTGGCATTCAGTCATGTAATTCTCCCTGAAGAACTTCTAAAAGCCACCCTGCCAACTTAAAAAACCAAAGAATTTATCATTTGTGAACAAACTATGTGTCAACTGAACCTGGATAACCTCGTTTTTCTTATTAAGTTCCAGGACCTGGTTTTATAGCAGATGTCGTTTTCCTAATTGATGCGTCCTTTAGTGTGGGCGTCGTAAACTTCCGCAGGCAAAAAGACTTTGTTAAAGCGGTAGCCCAGGCCTTGAACTTTGGAGAACAAGCCACGAGGGCCAGTTTAGTAGTATACAGTAGCACAACGACGCAGGTTACGGACTTCAATAGCCACAGGACACTGGGAAGGTTTAACGCCGCAGTGGACGGGGCGCCCTATTTGCGCCGTGGGCGGCGGGTCGACACAGCATTGACAAATGCAGCTCGGCTGCTTTCCAGGGCACGACCGGGTATTCCCAGGGTAACAGTTCTCATTACCTCCGGGAGGCGAGATGTAGGCACCCCACTCAAAGACATAAGTAGACAACTGGAACTTGTCGGGGCGAAGTCATTTGTGGTTACCATTGGTGCTCTGCCAGATTTAAGGGACTATTTGGTTCTTAGCAAGCAAGAAGACATCTTAAGACTACAGTCATTCGTCGATCTTCCCAGAAAACAGAAGTCGTTTTCGCAACATATAATTTCTTCCTTCGGTGAGCGATCAAGTTCATTATATTTAATCATAACTCACAATATGAGTGGTTTAAGAATTGTTTTGTTGAACAAATTTCTGTAAATTAAGAAAAGAGTGATTTCCTTTATTTATTTTTATTCTTGAATTGATTACTTTGACTCGAGCTTGGGAAACGAAATCCTTATTGAAGTTTAGCTCTGTGCAGCTTCATCGAATTTCAAAAGAGTTGGAGAAACGTTGTAACGACGTTGGGTAAAGAGATCAAAAGATCCAAACAGAAATAAAGAAGAGAAAGATTTTCCATACCCAAACAAGGACTCGATTGACAAGGATTTAGATCAGGGACCATTTGAGAACAAAACCAAGGAGTGTAGGAATAAAGGGTTCTAGTCAATAACTATAAAAACACAAGACCAACATTCAACCTTGTTTCATTTCGCCGGATTCTATATTAGTTTATGTTTAGATCAACATTTCAAATAACTTCGAAACGTTTGAGTGATCAGAGTACACAGCATCCCCAAAGGTAATACCGCTACATTGTGTGATACTATACGTTTGTGCTTTTTGTAATAGGATGAGTTGTCTTGTGCAACAAAGGGTAAAACTATTTTCAAACCCTTTTTATGATAATTATCGAATGCTTCTGTCTTACAGATGTAAAGGAGCCAACTCCAACTCCAACTCCAACTCCAAGTACACCACCTGATAAAATATCGCTAAACTTCATAGCAGATGTAATTTTCATCATGGATTCCTCTTCTTCTGTGTCTTCACGAGACTACAGTAAAGAAAAAGAGTTTGTCAAATACCTTGCCACCTACCTTAATGTTTCACCAGGGAACTCGCGCGCAGCCCTGATAACTTACGGCAATGCCGCGTCTGAGGTTATCGAATTCGACATCAAACGACTGCGAGCAGACTTTGAAAGTGCAGTTGAAAAAGCGCCTTTTGTGGGGCGCAATAGACGAATAGACCGAGCTCTTGAGAAAGCATCCCAGATGATGGCCAACGCCAGGCCTTGGGTAAGGAAGATAGTTATATTGTTGACCTCCGGAAAGCAATCTCGAGAGTCTGGCAGCAAAACACCTGGTGAAGCAGCAATTCCTCTCTTAGACAAAGGAGTTTACAACTATGTTGTGGCAATAGGCCAGGAGCCCGACATCTCTGAGCTACGGCCCGTGGTGCAGCAGCCAGCGCAAATCTTCCGGATGACTTCCTTTGATGACTTGGAGCCCCGAAAAACGACGGTTGGAGGAATTATCGTGGAAACGTCAAGTAAGTTTTATAAATTTTTGGTAATTTCCGTCATAATCTCCTCGTCTATACGCCTGTTACTTTGCATTTCGTCTCTCAGGTCGAACTAAAAGTACGCAAAAACTCTAAAACTTCATTGTTCGCAAGCTTTCTTTAGCGAATTCTTTTTAGTTTGAATTCAGTTAAGAAAGACCATCTATAAACGTAGCAATGATGAGCAGTAGTAAATGCAGAAACATTTCTTTAGTCCCTTCGGCTTCTTCAATCCTTTTTACCTACCTTAATGTTTCGGTAGTGATATCGATGGTGATACGTCTGTAATCTTCTATGTCAGAATGGTCGCAAGAGAGATGATCCTCTCTTATGGGTACTTAAAGGGATCACATTATCGAACTTTTGTGAAGTTCAATTGTTATTGTCCTTAAAACCTGTAAATACCTAAAAAGCGTGTGATGCATGGCGTAAAATAATTGATCTCTGTAATTTTTTAAAAGCAATCGAGTATCTCATATTGACAAGAGAGTATCTTTTAATTTCAGGTGGACCACTAACAGATATCATCGCTGATATCATCTTCATTTTGGACTCATCCAATGATGTCACACGGGATGAATACAATAAAGAAAAATCTTTCATCAAGGAATTTGCTAGATACCTGAATGTCGCGCCTGGAAAGTCGCGTGCTGCAGTCATAACTTACGGCCAAAGTTCTGACGTATTATTCAAATACGGCGGGTATGACTCGCTGACAGTCTTCGACGTCGTCATCAACAGAGCATCGTACATCGGAGGGACTCAGAGAATGGACCTCGCTTTAGATGACGCAGGCCGTTTGCTAAGCGAAGCCAAGCGTTGTATCCCTAGATGGGTCATTTTGTTAACTGCGGGAAGACACCCAAGTGACCCGAGAATAAAATCTTTACTGGAAGCGTCAAAACCCGTGAGAGATCAGAGTGACAAGGTTTATGTTGTTGCTATAGGCAATAAACCAGATCCTAAAGAACTTAAAGATATAGTTAAAGACCCCAAAGACATATTTTCAGTTGGTTCATTCCAAAGTTTGAAGTCTCAAGCCGGAGTGATTGCCACTACAGTTGCAAACAGAAGTGGTAAATAGATTAATTTATCTGATCAGATTCAACATGTCTTTTTTGCACTCTTTTTCCTCATTTCAAGCGTCCTAAGGTAACTCGTATTAACTTCGTCGAAGTATCCATCAACTTTCCTTGTAAAAGGAATTTAAAAACTTGCGTTCTACATTAGGCTAGCCTTCAAATGTTTGCATGAGGTTTCTCTGACCTTATTCTTTTGCTTGCAAACAAAATGTGACTTTTCCCTAAAATATTTATTTGTTTGAAGTCTTGTGATTGCTTTGTTTTATTTGATGGTCCTTTTCTTCCCATGATAAACCGTTTCTGTGAACCTTTTCCTTCATAGTTTATATATACCGTCTGATTAAGGCAAACTAAAAGAACACACTTTTTTACGTTGCCTCTCACTCTATTATTTTTTCGAGACGTGGATCTCTGTGTGATCAAGACTTTCCAAGCCACCATAGTCTTCCTCGTGGACACGACATCACCGATTGGAACCTTGGATTTCAGACGCCAAAAAGAATTTGTGAAATCCGTGGCTAAATCTTTTAACGTTTGTCAAGACAGCTCTCAAGCGGCGATAATCACATATGGCTCGTTGACGTCGCAAAAGCGGCCGACGGATATCTACAAAGATTTGTCTGCATTCGAGCAAGCAGTGGATAAGTCACAATACATGGGTGGACTTCGCAGGTTACACCTTGCTATCGATACTGCAGAACAATTGTTACGAACAGTTTCACCCAGCCAAAAAAGGATTGTTGTGATTTTGACAGGAGGACAACCTCTGATACAGGATGCCTTGTCGTTGAAACAATCCTTCAAGACACTTCGTAATGCTGGAAATGGAGCGTTTGTCGTCGCCATAGGTAACAACTACGATAAGGATGAGTTTCTTCCCGCTGTTGATTGGCCAGAGGACATTTTCAGCGTTTCTTCATTTGATAACCTTTTGCCACGGGCCTGCTCAATTTCGAAAGCGATTGCTAAGAGAACAGGTAACGAATGGGCTTTGTTTTCTACTGATAACGAACTGACATCATCCCTAATTTCAACTCCATATCGATCTGGACAGTACAATACAGTTCCTAATTAATTTAATTATTTGAATTTACCAGTGGTCAAGATGACTAATCGAGAAAGCTAATCTTCTGATTTCCATGGAAGGAATGTAAGGAACCAAAAATGGCTACGATTGGTCTATTTTGCTGTTGGTTTTTTCATTGAGTTGGTTTGTTTGTTTTTTATTTTCGTTTCTGGTTTTTTTTTTTTTTGCGTACCCTTACGTTACCATGGCTGTTAAACCTGAATTATGGAAAGCACCTCCAACTACACGAAAAACATTGCTCATTCCATGATGTTGTATTACCATTTTAATTGACCGTTTCCCAACAGTTTATCACAGCAACAGATTTACATGTTTGATATGAATTAAAGAGGCGCATGTTCAAACATGTTTTTTATCACTTTAGATACAGATATCCCGCGTGACTTAATGGCTGACGTAATCTTCATTATGGATTCCTCCGTCGATGTTTCGCGTGCAGACTACGAGAAAGAAAAAGATTTTATCGAGTCCTTAGCAGGTTACTTGAGGTTATCCCCAGGTAGAACGCGAGCAGCGGTGCTGACTTACGGTTACACTACGACCCTTGTAGCTGAGTACGACAGTTATGAAACACTACAAACTTTTAACAGTGCTGTGGATGGAGCTTCTTATATTGGTGGTACGGTGGTTTTACTTAGGGTTACGTCTTACCTTTTAGCTGTCTCGTTGAACGCATTGAGATCTAAATTCTCATTCCGTAAGAAGCCACAGTATGTTAATCTTTTCTTTGCAATCCGGCAGTGAATGAATTTGTCAGGAACAGATAAAAGCTGTTTGAATTCTTGTTATGATATCTCCAAGGAGCCGAGGATATGACCAAATGTTCTATAATGACTGGATGGGCTCATCAAATGAGGCCTGTGAAATTAGTTTGGAACAATCTCAGTAATATCTGCCGCGGAACAATTCATCTCGTTAGGTATGAACTGAGTACACAAAAATTGTCGAGGTTGTGTAGGTACTCACGGTTTACAAAACGTAGTTTTATCCACCACCTCTCACGAAAATTATGAAGACTGAATAATCTTTGTCTCGTACTTTTATTATTATAGGGAATGGACGTCTTGACTATGCCCTTGAGTACGCTTCTAGGCAGCTGATAGACACCAGCCGACAATTAGTTCCAAAAATCGTTCTACTTCTCACAGCAGGTCGACTATCCCCAGACCAATCCCTGAGATTGTCAGCCCAACCACTGCATGATTACGGTTTTAAAGTGTTCGTTGCCAAAATAGGCGACAAACCAGATGTGAATCAACTTCTTCCGACTGTGAAAGACAAGGCTTTTGTGATTTCGGTTCCCTCGTTCGACGATCTTTCGCGAAGAGCGTTGCCTGTGGCTCAAAAACTCAGCAAACATACAGGTAGATAACATAACTGACTCTGCACCACTTTATAATTAATGGACAGGTCTTAACTTGGCAAGTCTTTGAGAACCTTTTAGCACAGAAGTAGAATAACGTTCTCCGTAATTGAGTTTTGAGCCACCGTGCAAAGTAAAAAGGCTATTCTACACCAAAAATCCCCCACCTGATGATGCTTATGTTACCGGATGGGAAGCTTCTGCTTTCATTATTACCCCTGAGGTAGCAGAGTTTTCCGACAGCCTTTTTGTTGTGGGGTAAGACACTCAGGGAATGGAGTGTCTTGCCTTGCTCGAAAGCAAAATACTCTCGGTCAGAGGTTAAACTGGCAACCTGCCTCTCGTTATAAAATCATACGTACCTGAAATAAAGCCCTTATCTCTACTCTCCACGCAGTAATCTATATCAAAATTTGTGTTAACTTTGTTTTCGAAATGAGCCTCAATCGAGCTCTTAGAATGTTAGAACCAACCACATCAACATCAGGTTTTGTATGCATTCGCAAAATCATCTCGAAGCACGAGACAACTCTTGTAGAGTTGTTGCTTTTAATACCCTTTTCTGTAATGCTAATTTTCATTTTTATTCTTGAAAAAATGTTTCATAATTTCTTTTCGCTTGTCAACTAAAATATGTTGAAGGTTTTCTGAATATGTTTTTCCAGATCCAGAACTACCAGCTGACTTCCCAGGAGCAGATGTACTTTTCATGGTGGATTCGTCATCTGACATTTCGAGCAACAATTACGAAAAACAGAAAGACCTCGTGAAAAATTTGATAAAAACTTTAGATTCCTTTTCATCCAAATCTCGAATCTCCTTCATAACTTACGGCAATAGACCTCGGGTGGTGTACGGTCTTGACAACAATATGAATAGCGAAGCACAGCAGAGAGAAATAGACTCGGTGCAACCAATGGGAGGAAGACGGAGAATCGACCGCGCTCTTGAAGAAGCAGTTCGGATGATGCAAAATTCTCGGCCGGATGTTCCTAAAATCATACTTCTTGTTGCGGCCGGAAAACAGATTGAGGTAAGAAAATAATGAAAGCTATTATGTGGCAAGGAAGTCTCTCAATGAAAGAGAGTTCTCAGATCGTTTTTCTCCTGATCAGGATTTTGTCAGACAGGCTGTTTCAATGGCAAAGGGTCAGATCCATGTACTTTTTGTTTATGCAAACTGCAGATTTAAAATTTTCGACTTCAGTCGCGGAGCTTAGACGAAACCACTTAAAAGATTGATATAATACAAAACTTACGAGCTAAAAAGGATCCTAGTGAGAACTAGTCCATAGTATGCTGTGCTGTTCCTCTTTAGGAGTTCAGTAAGTATAAAGCTGGACGCTTCTTGTGGGTAATCAGTTTTTCAATAACTTGAAACAGAGTAAAAATTTAGACGAGGAAAATCCTTACCAATTCGAAACCTAACCACCCTCTGCGTCGCCTTAAGTTCTCAGCAAGTAATTGGTGAACCTCAGCGCTCAAATCTTGACTAGGGTCTCAGTTTCTGGTTCTGCACCAGCTTGTTTCATCATTTGTCATTCAACAACCTGGGCAAAGCTTGCCATTTCTCATCACTTTCGCATTAATTTAATCTGTAAGTGGTCCTCTCATTTGCTTAAACGCGACATGATTTATTGAATTCTGTCGTTTATTATCAGCAAAATGGGGTACAACCCCTAAGCTCGTACGGTACAGCCCTTCAAAGGCTCGGTGTAGATGCTTTCGTGTTAGGAATTGGTAAAGACATTGAACATCGGGACCTGGGACAAGTTGTTCGAGACGCAAAGAATGTATTCCTGGTACAAATGTTCCAGAGTCTGAATTCAATTGACCGGCAACTGGCGTATGAAATCGTCACGCGGACCGTTGGTAAGTCACATAACATTAGGTCGTATTACATGAAGCCTCCATTGATGGAACAAATTCCGTTGAAATGATGAAATATCTCCCGGTACGAAAATTCTTGAAACAAGAACTGAAAGTATTGGGTGAACTGGAAACAAAGATAAATATGTATCAATCTTTGACATATATTGACATATTGACAGATTGAAATCTTTCAATTCCTCGGCGCGGTGTTTGCGACCGAAAATGTTGTGATCGTTGTAGGAATAACTCGGTAAAAATCATCCTTTTTTGCAATATCTCATGTTTTAGTATATAATTAAAAATATTCATCCCAGTGCCGGTGGCTAGCAGTGGATAAATACCTCGTCGCTTCGCGGCAAGGTAAATATTCACCACTGGCCACCTCCAATTCGGTATACAATTTTAAGTATGAAACGTGACACGATCCAATATGTCGGCGCACACAAAATTTCAGTTTGAAAATTTCTACCAACAAATTTCTACCACTTGTGGATGGATCCTTTGCTTTTTTAAATCACATTCTCACGTATTACGCTTGGATACCTGCTTAACTGAGTTTTTTTGTAGTCTATAACAAAGACTTAACTACGTGAGCTGGTGGACCCCATAAGTCATTACTGTAAAATTCATCAAACATGGCGTCTGCATATTTGCCGCGAAAACTTAAGACCGACAAAAAACCTGTTAAATTCAGTACTTCTCGATTGTAACTTGTTTTTTATGTTCATGAAGTTTTGATAGCCAACGACTTGAATTCAGAATTTCTTTATCAGCGATTTTATCAGTTCTTGCAACTTCCAACAGATAAGTAATCACTACAAAAACGGGTCCTGCCCGGTTTAGGAATACGATGATTCCGCAATTTCCCACCTGCATGAAATTGTGTATGCCATTAAGATAAAATTTCTCCAATCGCTTCTCCTTCATTTATACTATGTATCTTTTGTTTTTTTTTCCTTCACTACAGATGGCACGATTGAAACTGATGTTATATTCGTCATGGACTCGTCCTCTGAGGTGTCACAGAGCGACTACGGGTACGAAAAGGAAGCTGTCAAATCCATGGCACGTTCCTTGAAAGTTCCTTCGGGTCAGTCTAGAGCTTCAGTCATAACATATGGAAACTTTCCCTCTCCTGTGGTCAAGTTCGATGGCTACAAGTCATTTCCCGCTTTTGAAAACCTTATCGACCGTGCACAACGCATTGGTGGGCGACGTCGAATAGATCTAGCTTTGCAAGATGCTGGTAAATTGCTGAGGGAGGCAAGGCCCTCTGTCCGTCAAAATGTCATTTTGTTGACATCTGGAAGAACACACCCTTTATCAAGAGACTTGTACGTGTCAGCGCAACGAATTTTCGGGAACAATGCAGACTTACTTGTCATTGCTGTAGGTAGAAGACCTAATTTCAAAGAACTCACTGCGATTGTACAGAAGCCGAAACATGTTTACAATGTGTCATCATTTTCCGACCTACGCAGAAAATCAAATGAAATAACAAAGATCGTCTCTCAAATGCCAGACAGTAAGTAGAAAAAGTTCGTTGGCTTTTCCAAATCATTTACAGCGGTAATCTTTATCAGTGGTAATGTATAAGGCCTTTCACTCGCCTGCTTGTTAAGAGAGAAATTGATAACCACGGATTAATGAACACTTGAATAATCATATAGTCATTCAAGCCGCACCATTCCGCAATGGAACTGCACGTCTAAAATGAAAATGTACAAATTTAAATAAGGAAAAATTGAAATGGTAATGCTGATGAAATTCGACATAAAAACGATCTTGTTGACCACGCACCTGTCTAACTAAACGCAGAAAATTACCCTGATGAGAAGGAGCTTTTGGTAGTAGTGTAAGGACTGCCTAAAAAGCTTATCAGCTTAACAGGCAAAAGAAATGTAGATAAGCCGATTCAAAGAATTCTTACTCTGTCAAAAAAACCTTCCTTTTCTTCTCTAAACATGATCTCGAAAAATCCCACGAGAAGTTTCTTTATTATGTTCATCCACATTTCTTTCAGAACCTACAATTTACAATAACTTCGTCGCAGACATCGTCTTCTTAATGGACTCCTCCTTGACTGTTGAACAAAAAGTTTATGACAGGCAGAAAAACTTCATCAAATCCATGGTGCGCTCCCTCAACTTGTCCACTGATAAATCGCGAGTTGCTGTTGTCAATTACGGAGGTGATTCAGTAGAAGTTGTTCGATTCTCGTCGCCGCAAGATGTAGCTGCTATCGAAAATAGAGTAGACAATGCACGAAGGGTAGGTAGAAAGAGGGAAATTGCCAAGGCTTTGCAGTTTTCCGCCTCTCTCCTGGAAAAATCCAGACCAGATGTCTCTAAGGTGATCATCTTCCTTACGTCTGGGAGTGAGCTCTACCTCACGTCTCCATCCCAGGTACTTAGGGACTATGGTGCTGATAGATACGTGATCGCTATTGGATCAGATTTAGATGAAGAAGAGTTAACTCCCATCATAGACGAACCACGTGACATGTTTACCATAAGAACTCCTCCGGAACTCACATGGAAGACTGAATACATCATTGATGAAATTATCAAAAGAACAGGTAAGCTTTTTTGTTTGCCAGTAAGCAGTTGATTTCCGTTCCCATGGCATGAATCGACTAAAGTACTGCAATTCCTCTTGGATGAGATGCTTTTCCAATTCTTGTTGCCCCAAAAATCTCCTCTTCAGGCTCCATTTATCCCCAGCACACGAATGTCATGATTGATGTAAGATTAAACTTTTTTCATTTTGTACAAATTGTAAATGATCTCGGTGAAATTATGAAGAAACCTTTTTGGAAAACATTAGCCATAAGAAAACTTTCTTCACAAAGGGCAGCACAACCCAAATGTAGCACACCAAGGAGAAAAATACAAATATCAATTTGCACACTCTTAATCGTGGCATGTAACAGAGCCCAAAGTCTTCTGGGTTTCACATTTTTATGAAACCATATCGTATTGGTAACAAAAAGAATAAACCTGACAACTTAAAACCTACTCCGGATTCATACTCAAGCATACATAGCCAGTTTCTTCGTATAAAATTACTCAATTCAAAGCGTCTTTTTTTTCATTTCAATATGAAGATTTGGTGTTTTTTTTTGGTTTTGTTTTTTTTTTCTTCAGTTACCAGAACATCCGTTTTACCTCTTGACTTTGACGCTGACGTTTTGTTTCTGGTTGATTCATCTTCCGACGTGAGCCAAGAAAATTACAACAGAGAGAAGAACTTTGTTAAATCATTGGCCTTTATTCTTAACCTTAAACCTGGAAAAACACGTGCTGCAGTTGTAATATATGGCAACTTTGCAAGGACTGTGATCAGATTCACAGACTACGCCTCCCCGTCATCTTTCTTTAGGAGGATCGATACACTGCCTTTCCTTCGAGGTAGAAGGCGTCTGGACAGTGCGCTAATCGAGGGAGGATCTGTCTTGGACACAGCTAGACCGTCGGCTGATAAAGTCGCCATACTTCTAACTGCGGGTCGGCATACTCAAGAAGTAGGAGCTCCGCCTTTGAATCAGGCCGTGGAATCGATACGATCACATAATGCAAAATTGTTCGTGGTTGCCATTGGTCAGCGAGTGGATGAGACGGAACTGAGACCATTGACAAGAGAGGCTATCGTTGTATCTGGATTCAACGTTTTGATAAGGAATTCAATCAGAATTGCCAAGGATATAAAGAATATTACAGGTATGCTGGCTTTTTCACCCATTGTTAAGTTGTTAGATCTTACACACCCTAATTTTCATGGATAGCTTTTTAGCCCCTGTTTGACCTTTTAAGTCAAAACTATACTTTGCGATTCACCATAGCTTATCCAGCTTTGTCTGGAGCGTATCAATTAGTTAGCTGAAGTTCGGTTAGTTCTCCAAGCTAATTTATTCTCGACATTAAAATGCTTTTTGCTAAGGGGTAGTAACTAGTTGGTCATACAAATTAGAAAGATAAGTCGAACCAGAATGGTAACGTTTTTATCTGAAGAAAACTATTACCTACCACATACATACGCAGGTAAAATAAAGCATTGTCATGAATGCATTGGATAAATAAAATTTGGATAAATAATTATTTTGAGTTGTTTCATATAACTAATACAGTATTTTATCTATGCGAAAATTTCCCTAAGCAAAGCGAGGATTCCGATTTCCATTCTAGACTTGTCCCAGATGAGAACATTTCATTCGTCAAATCAGCATGGTTACACTATATGAAAGATCCACATTATGCTTTGATTGTTCGTGTAATGTCACGGTAAATAACTAAACGGTCTCGTACTGTTCCACCGACTTTCTTTCTTTGAACATTCCTCGACAGATCAAACAGACGTACCAAAAAGTCCAGGCGCGGATATAGTTTTTCTGGTAGACTCCTCTAGTGGCGTCACCGAGGACAATTTCACGAAGGAAAAGGCTTTTGTTACTTCCTTGGCGAAACAGCTCAATTTTGGGTCAGACAAGACGCGCGTGGGAATAATCTCTTACAGTGATTACGCCACACTGGCAGCACGCTTCGATGTCGTTAAGAACGAAGAAAACCTTCAAAGGTTACTCGATGGAATTAGACGGCTTCAAAGGGGTAGAAGAATTGATAGGGGGCTACTAAGGGCAGCTCAGCTATTCGGGGAGAGTAGGCCTAACGTTCGTCAGGTACTAGTGCTACTAACAAGTGGAAGACATACATCTAACGTGGAAAATCCTTTCCGGGATGCCGTGCAACGGCTGAAGACGAAAGGTGTCGACAGGTTCGTTGTTGCTATTGGACCAAATCCAGATCCAGAGCTGACTGCAGTTGTGGAAAGAAGAGAAGACGTTATCTCAGTATTTTCCTTCGACAGCTTGCAGCCGCAGGTCATACCGATTGCAAGGCACATAAAAGGTTGGTTATATCACTCATGAAATATGAAGCTTGGATTATCCCAATATGAATAAAATGAGCGATAATACAAGCCACGTCTGTATATGTTCTCTGAAGGTGTCCACAAGCCAAGGGTTGCACGTTGCTAATATGTCGTGCCTAGCACAAGTTCGTAAATTCTTCTTGTTTTTGGATTATTAAATTTATTGAATGATATATATGGATTTTAAAATAACTCATACCTCAATAGTGATTATTTTTAAAGTATTTGGTTGCTCTAAATTAAAAGAAAGAAATCATGTTGCATAGGAAATAGTACTTTAGCCAGATCATCATCCATATCCGAGACACAATCCTGTCTTTGCTTGCTATGCAGAAGAAAAGATACCACCCGGCTTCAAGGCTGACATTATTTTCCTGATCGACTCTGCGTTTGAAGTCACTACCAACAACTTCAACAAACAGAAAGAGTTTATTAAGGATCTCTCAGCTTTTCTCAATCTCTCGTCACGTGGCTCTCGCGTGGCAATAATTCTTTACGCCTCCTCTCCCAGCCTAAAGATGGCGCTTGGAACACTGGAAACACCTGAGTCCTTGAGCCGTGGTCTTGACAGACTCGCACCTCTAACAGGAACGCGTAGAATGGATCGCGCCTTGGAGTTTGCCTCTTTAAAGTTTGACAACAAACGTCCTCAAGCGGTGAGGAAAATTGTAGTCCTCTTTGCCTCTGGTAAACAAGCTGGAGGAGGTAAACCCTTAAACGAGGCCGTGAAAAGATTACAAGAAATCAACGCAGAAACATACGTTGTAGCCATCGGTTCTCAAGTCAGTGAATCCGAGTTACAACCAGTTGTTTCTAGGAGGAATGACATCATTCGAGTGCCTTCCTTTGACATACTCGCCTCCAAAGTAAAGCCTGTTGCTGATCAAATTATAAATGGTACGTTCTGATTGAATTTATTTTATACTCGGCCCGTGCACTCGAACCTTGGAATAAGCAGAGCTTCGTATTCTAGAGAACATTTCATGAGAGCATAGAATGTTTACGTTTGAAATCAATGTTAGAGCTTGATTTACTTAGAAATGAAGGCCAGTTTGTTTAACTTTAGTTAGCCACACGTTGAATTTCTGATTGCTAAAAGTGTTGCTGAGAAAGTGTCTTCATTTCCTTTAAAGATTAACAATTTTAAGAGGTAACTGCAGCAATGAGTGGGGCAAATTGTTACCTCTTCAGTTAAAACTGCAAATTTCTTTTGACATACAAAATCATGTTTAGAAATCAAGATCTGATAAGGTGAGACACCGTGACCACATTCTGCCATTAGCAACAGCCTTAAGATAGCAGGCTCCTGATAAATAACTCGTTTGGGTGTAGCGTTCACATATTGAAATAATATCATATCATCCGCTTCTTCACTTAGGCTCAAGACCAATTCCACCTGAATTTAAATCTGACATCCTTTTCATAATGGATTCGTCATCCCCTGTCAGCCGGGACGACTTCCAAACACAAAAAGACGTTGTTAAGTCGATTATGAAATCCTTTTACGTCAGACGCGGACAATCTCGAGCCGCTGTTATCACTTATGGTCGGTATTCGGAAAAGCTTTTACGATTCAACAGCTATTTGTCTCTAAATGACATCGAGAGTGTCGTAGACACAGCAACGAGTATTGGAGGCTCGCCCCGAATCGACGAAGTGCTGGTTGATGCCGCTGATGTCTTAAGAGATGCCATTCAATCAATCCCGAGAATTGTCATTATGTTTACAACTGTTCGCGACCTCACTGATAGACATAAGAAAGCTGTTGACAAAGCCGCGGAGGTGATTCACGATACGGGAGCCAGAGTCTACGTTATTGCTTTCGGAAAGGACGTTGATGATTTGAGTTTAAAAAAGCTGGCTGATTCTCAAGAAGATATTTTCAAAGTACCGACGATCAAAGATCTAAATGATTCAATGGCTGTGGAGATTTTCCGAAGAGTTGGTAAGTTTTTTATTTTCGGCGCATATTGTAATAGAACAAATCAAATAATTTTCATACTATTTTTCGCATTCATCTCATTCCATTTTCATACAGTCATGTTTGTTAATTTATATATTACATCAGTTGAACACCGATGCAGGATAAACGTAGCCTCTTCTTTTACTTTTCAAACATAATTATATTGCATCAAGGCGTTGCAAACGACTTTTCCTGTGTTAGAAGTTAAGATCTTTTTTTTCGAAAATTAAACAGAGATAAGAGAACATCGCTTTTACCATATATTAAACTAAATAGTGTTGCTCTTTTCATTTTTTCTGTAAGCCGCTGCTGCAATATCCAATGCGATAGAGAGAAACCGAAAAATCGCTCATTTTCTCTGTCTATTTTTTTATCATTTTGTCGTGTTAAATCTAGTTCTCTTTTAAGTTTTTAAGATTGATAGTCTCTCTCTTTTAAGCATTTCAAATGATTTACATTGAATTTTTTTGTAATTATAACAGTGAAAGTGCTACTCGTAAAATCCTTACCTGCACTGGGTATTATGTATGAAAAGTGTCTCGTTAGTGTGCAGTATCTCTAACACAGGAATTCACCAGTTAGTTACTAGAGAAACTGGAGATAATAAACACTTTTTTTCTCGCATCATGAAATGTAGAATTACCTAAACCAGTGGTACCAATGGATTTTACGGGCGATGTTATCTTTCTTGTGGACTCTTCCTCCGAAGTAAGTGAAGAGCAATTCAAGAAAGAGAAATATTTCGTTGCGTCGTTGGCTAAAACCCTTAACCTCCGTCCTGCAAAAACCCGAGGATCTGCGATAACCTATGGAAGATATGCATTGGTTGGAATCGAATTCAACGATCATCCAAACCCAGCAATGTTTGAGCAAGCTTTACAAGGACTCCCCCGAATTGGGTACGAACGTAGAATGGACAAGGCTTTGCAAAAAAGTGTGGATATGGTAAAAGTTGCCCGTTCCTACGTCCCTAAAATCGTCGTTCTTTTGACAGCAGGACGTCAGAGCTCTCCAAGAAATACATTGCCTCAATCCGTTAAGCCGCTTAAGGACCATGGTACAAGTGTCTTTGTTGTTGGAATAGGCTCACGGCCAGATAGTCAAGAGTTACGCGCTATTGTTGAGGAGCCTGGAGACGTGCTGAGGGTATCGCCATTTAATGACTTTTCTCCATCGAGGACGAGACAAATCGCGAGGCACATAGTGAGCAGAACAGGTGAAAACAATGTTTTGCTTATCTGAACTAAATAATAATTCCCAGCATAACAAAGAGATGAAAACCACACGTGTTTATTGGGTACTGGGCCACTTGTTTATTGACGAATTTCTAATCACACGTCAGCCTATCAAAATTCAGTTAATCATTGATGATCTTGTTGATTGAATAACTCTGAAAATTGTGAACAACGATAGAATGATAAATATTGGTCCGCGCTAAGTTATTTGAACGTTTTCTTGGGCTTACGTTTAGCTTAAATGAAGCATAATCTTTCATGCCCTTTTTTTGCAATATCAATCGGAGTTTTCTGTGATGTTCGCTAGTTGAACGGTGAGGAAAACGTGCGAAAAGCGAATCATAAAAGTGCTGAAATTGAATAACTGATAATCTCTCACAGGATGTGTACACTCAATTGAATTCACCTACCGAAAAAATTTGGTGGAGTAGTGCATACGAATGATGAGCGATTTTTCTTGAGTCAAAACGATAACTTTCACGTGTAAAATGTAACAATTTTTTGACATGTTGAAAAATCTAACTAGGTCCTCGCAAAATTTTAGATAATCTTCCAACGTCTCCCTAGTGACACACTATGTACTCAGTTATCACTTCTTTCTAGGCAACATTGCCACAGATTCAACGTTTTTCTTTCTAAGCAACATTACCACAGATGAACGTTTTTTTTTTCATTCAGAAAATCGCACACTAGACGTCGATGCTGACATCGTTTTCCTGTTGGACGCCTCCAGTTTTGTGTCTCGAGAAAACTTCGTAAAAGAGAAAGACTTTGTCAAATCCATGGCAAAAGTGTTAAATGTTGCTCCTGAGTCTTCCAGAGCCGCTGTAATACTAATTGGCACTTTTCCCGATACGAAAGTAACGTTCAATGAGTACCGCACTTTGAGAGACTTCAATGAGCTTGTAGATAAGGCACAGTCCTTTGGTGGTTCGAGACGAATCGATCGCGCTCTAGAGGAGGCATCAAAAGTGCTGGTGGACAGAAGGAGAGGTGTACCTCACGTTGTTGTACTCGTGACCGGTGGAAAGCAATCACAAAGTGGAAATAACGTTCCCTTTGAAAACGCCGTTAAGCCATTAGATAAAATTGGTGCTCACACGTTTGTCGTTGCGATTGGGCATGATCCAGATACATTAAAAAATGTTTTACCGGTACCCTCCTTTAACGACCTTCAGTCTCGTGTTTACAAAATGGCAAGACAGATCAAGACCACTAGTGGTAAGTACTTTCATTATGTGGGAGGTTTCCCTTGCAATTTATCAAAGCTCCTGCAAAATGACTTTCAAAGTTCAGATCACCAAATACTACATTTGTAAAATTTAAAGACGGATTACTTTTGTTTATTAGTGAAGCCAGTATCAATCATTATCTCAAAATCTCATACCCCAAAACTCGACTTTTGTAGTTTGGAGAGTTCAGGTACCCCTTTGGGATATCGCAGGTACAAAGTATTTTAAAATTCTGGAACGTCAAGCGCGGAGGGTTGGGAATACTTACTGATCTTCTTGCGCCATAAGTTTAGATTTGCCAGCAAAGAAGTTATCAAAAATTGTTGAGAGGGTATTTAGGGAGACATTATGTCACATATTTTGGTAAACCAACCCCATGATAGCTTGATAGCTTTTATTCATGTAAGTTAATACTGTATGAAGCGTAAAACATTATTATAATGACTTTGTCAATACATATCTTATTGATGACTGATTGCGATTTTTCCCCCATTTTAGAGCCAAAACCAGCAAATATCTCCGCAGATATCATTTTCCTTATGGACTCTTCAACTTCTGTTGACCGAGAAGGGTTTGATAAACAAAAGAGCTTTGTGAAATCCTTAGCAAAGTACTTCAATGTCTCACCAAGAAATTCCAGAGCGACTGTTGTCGCCTATGGTAACACCACTCGCACCGTTGTCAAATTCAGTGAATATCAGTCGGAAACAAACTTCAACGACATGCTTGATAGACAGCCGTGGATAGGGGGTGACCGACGTATCGACCGCGCTCTAAGGACAGCAGAATCCTTAATGCGCCAAGCACGTTCAGAAGTTCCAAAATTCCTTATCCTACTTACAGCAGGCAGGCAGCCCAGAAGTCCTGATGTTACGTCAATCGGAATAGCTGCCCAGCCATTGAGAAATATGGGAATCAAGAACATTGTTGTCTCGGTTGGAAGCGAAATAGATCGCAACGATCTGCTTGGTATGGTTCAAAGTTCAGATGACATATTCAGCGTGGCGCTGTTTGATGACCTTCGCTATGAGGTGCAGCCAGTTGTGAAATACGCTGTTAATTTTTTCGGTGAGTAGTTCGAAAAACATAAGCAACAGCCTGAAGATGATATTCGTTCGGCTCAACAAAATTAAATATATTTACCATTAATAGTTGAACTAAAACCTCCTGCGTCAACAATTGTATCTGTATAGTTTAATATGAATCCACTCAAAATTTGTTTTGATTAAGGGTTAAGGTTCTTAAGAAACTGTGGTGCTGAGTAGGTGATGACTTGATTTTGATAACTTAGTTGAAAATGTAAGTTGGCCACCGTAAAGAGCTTCTAAAACTGACGTTTCGAGCATCAGAACGTCGTCAGAACGAATGACGAAAGGCTAGCGCCCGAAAACTCAGACTCTTTACCGTGGCCAATTTACACAATAGGTAGCTCAGTCGAAAAAACCAAATTATCTTTTTTTCTTTTTTGCTTAGCTTGAACAATGTCTCAAAATTGAAGCTTCCTTCCTGTACACTTTACATAACTCAGAACTAATTTATTTTGTAAGATTCTACTACTACTAGATTTTACCGAGTGGTTTGATGAAAATTTCATGCTACACCTGTATGTGCTAAAAAACCTTACTAAAAGGGACTTCAGGTCGGAACTCTTAAAAATCTTTATCACTTTGGTGCCATCTTCTGAACTCTTTTCATCCGAATCGGTGTATGAACATTGTTCTAGTAATGTTAGACTGTGTTAAAAACATATCGGCTGCCTTAGAACACTTTTCTTTACCAATTGATCAAAGATCTAATTTAGATTACGGGTCACCGGTATCTCTTGACTCAGAAATGAAAAAAACACAAAAGAGATAAAACTCTCATTGACTAAGTTTACAAAATTCTAGGTGCTTACTTATTTAATTGTTTATTTCTTTTGCCTCTCTTTTTACTTCATCAGAATTGCCCATCTTTGATATAAAGGCAGAAGTCCTCTTTCTATTAGACGCCTCAGACCAGACTGGGCGAGAAAACTTTGAAAAACAAAAAACGTTTATCAAACTACTGGCTCGATCTCTTAATGTGTCTCCCGGAAAATCCACCGCGGCGTTGATAGCATACTCCACAATTGCGACAATTAACATACCTTTGGGTAGTTACAACTCTGTCCAAGAATTTGAACGAAACGTGGATAGGACACGTTTCCTTGGAAACTCTAGGAAAATGTATCGAGCATTGGAAGAGGCGGCTTACTTGTTTCAAAATGCAACAGAATCTGACGCTGAAAGAAAGGTCATTCTGATAACTGGTGGGAGACAGACATCAGACGAAGATGAGGAGCCATTGGAAAAATTTAAGAAGTTGCTCCTTGATGTTGGAGCGCTCCCATTCATCGTTGCCATAGGGAAAGACCATGACAACCAAACACTGAGAGCAGCTGTTGAGGATCCCGGCGATATTTTCAGGGTTCCAACGTTCATTGAATTGTCATCTTCTGTATCTTCCACTGCTGCCAGGGTAGCTAACAGGAAAGGTCAGTCACTTCCGTTTTTGCCATTCAAAGCATACATTTCCTTTTTTTTTCTGGTCGAGAACCTACCGAGTGACCTGCAAACGACTGCGTAGAAATGATCGACAGTACTGTCTGAGCGGGATTTTTTTTTTTAAATCATAATTTTTCTCAATCCAATAGCGGGTCATAAGGGTGTCAGATCATAATTATGACCGAAAATCACCAAGAAAAACAAACGCTTATCAAAGGATGAAACAACTATGTATAGTCGCTTGTCCTATTAACGAGCTTAAATATCGTAACTTATTAAATTGTATGCAATTTTCGATTGGGAATTTTGTGATTTCACAGAATACAGAGATGTTACTTACTTCTAATTCGCACACGGTGTATTGTAGACATTAAGTTTATTTAATACAGTTTTGACACAGATCTTTCATTTGTATCATTATTAGCGCCTCCCATAATACAAGACGAATACATTATCTTCCTCATGGACTCTTCATCTACCGTGCAGCGAGAACAGTTCCAAAGACAAAAGAACTTCATTAAGTCTTTGGCAGAATATTTGCAAGTTGGAAGCTCTGATAAAACCAAGGCTGCCGTCATCAACTACGGAAGTGTCCCTTCAGGAATAATTACGTTTGATGATTACACGAATATTCGAGGCTTTAAAAGTGGTATTGATGGGATTATTCCTGTTCGAGGAAGCAGACGAATCGACCAAGCCCTCGGCGAGGCTGCTGTCATCCTGAGAGGAATTGATCAATCGTCCAAGAAAATTCTTGTACTTCTAACGGCTGGGCAACAGGCTAAAGAATCTGATGTTACCCCTCTCGATGTAGCTATCCGACCAATACGAGACATGAAATCCCACATGTACGTGGTCGCACTTGGAAATGACCCCAGCACGCCAGAGCTTCGTCCGTTAGTGACAAAACTGGAGGATATGTTTCGTGTGCCATTTAATTTCATGGAACGTATAGTGCCAAGTATCGTTGATCACATACGTAAAGGTATTTGATTGATGAGTTTCTTCACTACTTAACATAAAGAAACAAAAATATCTGAAAAGTACACGACGGCTGCACTTCTGCAAGCGACCTCTCTTTAGTATTTTATATCATTTAACGGTGTTTGTTTTGGTTTTGGCCTCGATGAAGCGCAAGTGACAAACGTATTGACCACCATAACGCTGGACATAATCAGCGTCAAGTGAAGAGCTGCCGGTTTGCTGACCGAATGTTACGATTGAGGAGAATAACTTTTCTCAATTTTGATTGGTGATTCTCGTTCATATCATGAAGTTGTGTATTCGATGGTTTGGTTACGTAAGTTAATGATTCATTTGCAGGGTGAAAACTTCTGTTGGCTTGTAATTTTTCAGCAGCTGTCAGCATCCTTTAAATGAAATTTTTTTTTGTCTTTGTTACTCTGTTTACGTAAATCATTTTTGTCAGTCGTGTCCTATCAAGGGAAAACAACTCTAGATCGCTAGAAAATTCGGCTTAACAATTCTCTGCTCCATTTTGATATAATCATAGGCACTAAGTTATTGAAATTTAATGCACATATTGATGTCTTTTAATTTTCGTGCATGTTTCAGAAAATCCGTACCCTGGGCCTACACACGACGTTGTGTTTCTAATGGACACATCTGATGTTAGCAGATCCGATTTCTACCAAGAGATCCTCTTTGTGAAATCTTTAGCCAGGGAACTGAGTGTAACTCCATCTGAATTTCAAAAGGCTGTTGTCAGCTACGGAAACAAATATTCGCAAGTAGTGCGTTTTGACAGTTATGACTCTCTTGGGGATTTCTACACTGCCATCGACGCCAGTGTCTATCAAGCTGGAGCGAGAAGAATGGATAGAGCATTTGAGGCGGCGTCGATGATTTTGTCATCAAGAAACCCAGCATCAAAGAAAACAGTAGTTCTTCTGACCGGCGGTAGCAACTCTAGGGAGGCTGACCCCAACTCTCTTGCACGTTCAGTTCAACCTTTGTTCAAAATGGAAGCAACTGTTATAGTCTTGGCATTCGGCAACAGATACGATGTTCAAGAACTTCTTCCAACTGTGAAACACCCGAAAGATGTTCGCCCAGTGCCGCAAGCTTATGATCTTGTCCGATACGTCAGCGAAATTTCAAAGCGCATCATTAACGGTCCCGATGGTACGTATAGTGTAGATTGTCTTACTTTTTATGCACCATTTGCTATCATTACAGATAATGGCTTACAAGTCAACCGTGTAGCGATGTCAAATCGGTGTATTTATTTTTTGAAGGTTTACTTTTTTATTACCCATCTTCGGAGATCCACGCGTAGCTTTCGAAGATAGCGACCTTTCTTCCTTCATTTAATTAACTGAAATAATTATTTTCATGTAAAAAATAATAATAATAATAATAATAACAGGCTATATGTTCCAGCATTGCCAATCAATCAAGTAGAACAAACCTTTAAGAGTTGCGCCAAAACCGCTCCAATCGAAGATGAAGAATAAATTTTAACTTCGTATGGCAAATTGCTTTTGCGGAAAACTTGACAAATATGATCAACTGTTCAATCATTTTTCCACGTGTGATTTGTCTTCCTCTGTTTAAAAATCTCATTCTTCTTCGAAAATTAGCGATACTTATAATCATGAAATATTTTCTTTGTTGTTTATAACCGATGTTCATGTACTCTCCCTTTTAATGGAAAACTGTTTCAGAGCCCAAGACACCAAAAATGGATGCCGATATCCTATTCATCATGGATTCTTCTTACGAAGTCAATCAAGAGGAGTACAAATCTGAGAAAGACTTCATCAAGTCTCTTATTCGAAGCCTGAACGTGTCGTTGGATACATCTCGTGCGGCCTTGATTTCCTACGGTGATTTGGGGTCACTAAACTCCCGTTTCATTGGCCTTAAAAGCCTTTCTGACTTTGACAAGTTGGTTGACAATGCTACGTACGTTGGCGGAGAAAGAAGGATTGACAGAGCCCTGGAAAAATCGACACAAATTCTGAACGAAGCAAGAGCCGGATCGTCCAAGTTTGTGATATTCCTCACTGGTGGAACACAAGCAAGTAGCGGAAAGCCTCTTGACGAAGTGGTGGGACCGCTTCGCGAAAACGGTGTCAAAACGTATGTCATTACTATTGGAACGAAATCAGATGCGCAGGAATTGAGACCACTTGTCGCCTCTCCAGAAGATTTGGTTTCATTACTTTCATTTAAGGAGTTAAATTCTCAGATATCAAAGATTGCAAGTCACATAAGTGAGAAAGCAGGTAAATAAGAGGCAAAACATTAATGATAAAACGCAAGTGGTAGTTTTTGTATACGTTTCGATACATTTTTTCCACCATCATAAGTGGTACTGAGACAAAATCAACTATCCAAAAGAAAATTTAAAAACGCAAATATATGCCATTTTCTAAGGTGTAATCTAAATAAAACCTTGTCATTGTTCGATAGAAATTCATTGAAATCTTTCAGTTTCATAGAGCTCCAATTCAAGTGTATTTTCCTTCTGTTCCATTGCAATTGGGATAAATTCGTGTTATTACGTGTTATTATGAGTTATTACACTTGTTGGAAAGTGTAACAATCAATTTCTTCTATCAATCTCATTATTCTTTTTTAATATGGATACGCCATCCCAAATCTTTTACCGTCTGCCATAAAATATAGTGAACACTCCCTTCCTTCTCAGGACAAATAAAAAAGAGAAGTTGAATTAGTATTTATGAGCATGGTATCACAACGCTGAGGTATAGCGCCAAACTATTGGTAGGTCTCATATTTCAAATAGTGACAATTCAAATTCGTTACGTCTCCTTCTTCTCCATTTCGTTTCAGTTTGTTTGAGACCAGATTACATCTTAGACGTCGTTTTCCTCATGGACACATCAACTGAAGTCGACGATCTGAGCTTAGACAAGGAAAAGGCATTTGTCAAGTTACTGGCTAAGTGCCTTAATGTCTCACCAGGGAAATCGCGAGCTTCTGTGATCACATTTGGTACCACTACTTCTCGTGAAATTGATTTTAACAGTTATGAAAGTACACAAGCATTTGAATCGTTAGTAGACCGCATATCATCCATAGGCGGAGACCGTAGGATAGATAAGGCCCTCGAAGCTGCAGCAGAGGTTGTTAAAAACTCACCTCCCTCCGTCCCCAAATTGGTTGTTCTTTTGACAAGTGGTCCACAACCCGCGAATGCTCTATCTTTCTCTGTGGCTGCAATACCCCTGCACTCAATAGGCGCCATGTTTTATGTTGTTTCCATTGCCAATGATCTCGACAAGAAGTATTATGAAGCGCTTGTGGATCACCCATCACAAGTGTCCCAGGCGTCCTCTTTTGGATCACTGAACTATGTTTTGCCAAAAGTGACACAAGTGGTGGAACAGGGTGAGTTATAATTTTCTTAAAGTTTGAAGAGGATGTGTTTAGTTTAGCACAAAGTGATACTTCGATTGACATTCGTGTACGTTACTACTTATTTTTGGGAAGCAATGTATCCAAAAGGTACTACATAAAGATGGTAACTTCATCATTTAATGCGTCTTTGCTATGAATACTTTTGACAGTATACCGCGCTCAGAGTTTTTAGAAGTGTTGAAGCCTTAATTGCTAAAGAGGTTTTAAGCGATCCCATAACACACCGTCATGCTAAAAACAAGGCTTTTTCTTCTTGAAGGTGCCAGTAGCCGAATGCATTTGAATGCTGACGTTGTATTTCTGATGGACGCCTCCACGGCGGAGAACACAAGATATTTTCAAAGTCAGAAGGACCTCATCAAATCAATAGCAAGGAGTATTGGAAGTTCACCTGCTAAACTGCGTGCAAGCTTGGTCATATACAGTTCTTCTGCAACTGTGTTAGCAAGTCTGAATTCTTATACTAACTTGCAGAAATTTGAAGTAGACGTTGACAGGGCGCCATATCGCAGAGGTATGTATTGCCATGTGCATGAAATTTATAAACGAAATAACAATGGGTGGTAATAAACATCTCAAATGATTGGACGCGTGAATGAAAGTCTGATGAACTGACTCATGAGCTGCCTGACATACGGACTGACTTGCACATCGACTGACGGAATGACTGACTGGCTGTTTAATTTGGTTTTATGGACTGAGTTGATATTGTAAATTGGCCACCGTTAATACTTGTTAAGCCCTTCATCTATTTGCTCCAACGAAGGGCTAACGCTCGAAACGTCAGCTTCAAAAATTCTCTACGATGACCAATTTACATAACAACTCAGGTAATCAACCAAATTTCCTGTTAAACCCCAACCGACGCCGCACCACAGTTTCTTTAGAAACTTTCTCTCTTTATCCATATGGACCATTTGACTGGATGATTTATGCACTGACTGATAGATTAAATGACGAACTGATTGACTACCGAACTGACTGATTGACTCACTGACTAACTGACTAACTGACTAACTGACTGACTTACTGACTGGCTGACTGACTGACTTACTAACTAACTGACTGACTAACCTGTTCAATAACTGACTGATTCACTAACTATGAAACCTAGTTACTGGTTAGGATTGAATTTCTGGTTGACTGACCGACTGACTACCCGATTTACTAACTAACTCACAAATTGCAAAGCCGAATACCGTCCAATATATTCTTTAAGTCTACATTTTGTATCGCGTTCTTTCACCTTTTTGCAAAAATTCTAAACTCACGTTATCACAATTCTGTTTAAATTGGAACTTCTTTCACCTGATTGTTGTCTTTGTTTGTTTATTCCTTATTTTTTTAGGCACAAGGCGAATGGACTTAGCTCTTGCAGCCGCTGCCCGACAGCTGTCGCAATCGAGACCAAACGCCGCGAAGATTGTCATTCTGATCACTACCGGACTACAGGCTCAAGTGGTTGGCATGACACCTTTAGATGAGGCATCCAAACCATTACGCGAAGCTAACGCTAACATATTTGTGATTGGCATCGGTAAACAGCCCGATCTCCGAGAGCTTGTCCCCGTCACGAACAATCCTGTCAAGATCATTCCAACCCCAGACAGGGTCATCGTTAACCTACATTTGTGGTTAAGGCAACTGAGACAGCAGGTCAACAACGGTATGAGGACAGTTTAAATAAACTTTATCGAATATCGAATTATTTTATGAGGTCGAGTAGCTCCATAGACTGGTTCTTCGTCCACTGATCTCGAATTGGTGGGAAATCTATTCGGTTTCTGTGTCTAGGTATATGTATGTATTAATGTTGGTACGGCCCCGCGCACGCAATCCCACCGAATGCCCTGGTGACAGCTGACGTGTATAGGGCTGGATTTTTTGATGTGAGCCGTAAGCCTTCCGGCCCTGCACTCACAAGGCTCTTTTGCATTTTCCGAAATGTTGATTGAAGTTGTGGATTTCACCTTGAAATAGAAAAGATGTGAAAATCAATCAGGGTTCTGGATAAAATATGAGTTTTTGACTCGGAAAAAAGAGAGTTTTCCTTTTTTTGTAGAACCTTGTTGGTACTTTTCCAGTGCGCGCCCTTCTAATGTATGCAGTTATACGTCTTTTCAGGCTAGAACAAAAGTTTCCGAATTTTTAATACTTAGTTTTCATATGATAAAATGCTTATTTCCTTCCTCGTAGAAAAAGAATCACCACTCATATACAAGGCAGATCTCATATTTCTTTTGGACTCGTCCAACGATGTCAGCACTAAAGTTTTCAAAGAACAGAAAGACTTCATCAAGTCAATCGTTGGAAAATTCCTTATCGCATCGAACAAAACCAGGGTGGCGGTGGTTAGGTACAGCTCTAGAGCTTCATCTGTTATTACTTTCAGCACCTTTGATAACCTTCTCGATCTGGCTAGAGGCATTGATAGCATTCGGTACGATGGTGGTATCAGGCGAATGGACGCAGCCCTTAAAGAAGCCAACAAACTTCGAGAAACAGCTCGATCAGACGTCCCGATCTATGTTATATTTCTGACGGCTGGGCGTCAAGCATCGACAGCAGTTTCTACTCCACTCGACAGGGCGGCGCAACCAATACTTGACTCCACCGCACGTATGTTTGTTGTGGGCATTGGCTCTCGTCCCGAGGAGATGGAATTATTTTCCATGGTGGAACGTAGTAGAGATGTCTTTAGGTTTCCCTCAGAGAAAATGAAAGAAGAAGTTCCCTTGTTTGTGATTAACATGGCTTCCCAAACAGGTATACATGGACTGAAACATGTAGGCATAATCGATATACTGTTGTGATGATTTTAAGTGCTCTTAGCGCAGGATTGCGCAAATAATTGAACAACTAACAACTGATAAAACACCGAAAATCTGAACATAAGTCGGAGCCATTTTAACAGTACTCCTGCTCACCGCTTCAGGGTTTCGTGGATAACACGGAAGTATCAGTGCGATCTGCAAGTAAGAGTTTCGCCGCCCTTATTGTATCCTGAAAGCAGTCACGTTGCCTACTAAGTCTTTTGCCTCATCGTAGTTTCACGACAGAAATTTGGTTAAGAATGCTACCATATTTTTCAACTGCACTTTTACCTTTTAAAAGTTTTTGAACCTAGCCTTCATTAGATATTTTACAACTATTTACCGAAGTGGAAATGGCTAGAGGTAAATATTCACCGTTAGCCACCGACGCTAAGGTCAATATTTGTTTTAGTATATACTAAAACGGTGAGATAAGATAGCTCATAGAAAATTTTTAATTAATCTATTTCTGAAACGATTGCAATATTTACGGGTGCAAATCCTGCGCGAGTTTCTCGGAGGTGAATAGCAAAAGAGATTCGTGGTTTGAGCAGCCAGTTAGAGTGTGCCTTCAAGGCTATCCACTGTTTTAGTATCTACTAAATATATATGAAATACTATGAGGTTGACGCACTCACTTGAGTGTCAGGGAACATTTTCAGTTCGTCCAGAAATCAAAGATGTACTTGCTTCTATTTACAGGTGCAACAGTTCCGAGAGACTTTAAAGCTGATATTCTGTTCCTGGTAGACTCCTCCCAGACCATAAGCAAGAGAAAGTTCCTACAAGAACTTGAATTTGTCAAGGCATTCGCTCGCAAGTTTGATGTCTCTCCTGAGAAGTCACGCGTTGGCGTTATAACTTTCGGTAACACTCCGATTCTCAGCATTCGATTTGAAGAATATGGCAACATATTATCGTTTTCAGAAGGAGTTAACGCTGTTCCTCATCAGGGAGGACAGAAAAGTCTGAACAACGCGTTGGTATTTGCAGCAAGAGTTCTAGATCTATCTAAGACGCGACCAAAAGCTGATAAAATCCTGGTATTACTAACAGATGGCCAGCAGCCTCTTGGTTACGACCCAAAGGAGGGGTCCGTTGAAGCACTCCGTCAACTAGGGGTGCACATCAATGTCATCGGAGCTGGAGGAAATGTCTCAATGCAAGAACTAAGAAAACTGACGTTAAGTCCTGATGATTTGTTTTACTCGAGGACGTTCGATGCTTTGATTCTTCAAGCTCCTATTGTTTTCAAACGCACAATGAACGGTAGGTTTACCATTTAGACTTTTGGGCTATTGTGGTTTCAAAATGTTTATGAAGGCTCTATTTTATTACCCCTTATAAAAGAACTAGAAAAATGTAGCCGAGGTATAGTAACTGTTGTCACGGCTTGCATTCATTATCGAGATTTCATTTCGATGGTCATGTGGCCGTGACAATTACGGCAAGATGAATCTTACGTCAACACGCCTCAATAAAGGAGGAAAAAATTTTTCTATTTATGATAATCTTGCTCTGTTTGGGACGGATTGCTTTCGCCGAAGTACGGCCGGAGTACGACCCCTAGCAAAAGGTTTAGAAGTTTTTTTCTTTATTTTATCTGTATATAAAGGGAACATTTTATTTCTTGATCGCCAAGAGTATGGTTTTCTTTATCCTTTTATATTGCCATGTTTTGACAGTTGTGCTATCGCATCACCAACTTCAACATGGCGTTTTCCTTCTCGAGTCATCACTCTTTCGCACTAGAGGCGAGTTTGAAAGCCAGATCAATTTCGTCAAGTCAATAGCTAAACGTCTTCAGGTGTCCCCGACCGGAACACGTGCTGGTGTCATTCTATATGGTGATGAACCCAAGCTGAGTATAGGCCTAAATGATTACAGTACCCTTCCGGAATTGTACAATTTATTGGATAATCTCGCTCATGAAAGTGGAGGCCGTCAACTTCATAAGGTAAATAACTAAGTACCAGTAGGAATTATATTGTATAATTGAGAGAATGAATTGAAGTAGAAATGAAATACTCGGAGTCGTGGGAGGTTTTGGAAAAATAATGGGAAACTAAATGGGAAAGCTATTTACTCCAGGTTATTTAACAGACAAAATGGCGGACCCATGGCCTGGCAGGGATTAAAATCGCGTCTCCAGTGTTCGAACCAAAATTCATCTAGGGAAAGTTATTCCACCTGACAGGGCTACCCTACCTGCCGTGGAGGGATGTATCATTCAACAAGTTTGTAGCTCCAATTTAAACCAAAAAAAAATGAATAAGCTCGACAGGGCAACTCGGGCGGAAGTGGTTTCCTTGGCAACCCGAGAGCGTGTAAATGACCCTCAGACAAAGCCTTAAATTTGCAGTCTGCTACCCGTCATTTAAACTGACGCTTAGGTCAAGGAAACCTGTGACTATTCTAGTGTGCAATCCGTGCTGAAAATAACACAACTTTCACATTTTTCTTTCTTAAAAGGCGCTAACATTAGCCGGGGAAACTCTTCAGAAATCGCCTCAGGAAATACCTAAGTTCGTTGTCGTCATTCTAGAGGGTCAACAGTACTCTTCAGGCTCATTATTATTACGTGATGCAGTCAAGCCTCTTCAAGCCCTTGGGGTCACTATCTATGTTGTTGGAATTGGAGAAAAGCTGAACAGGCAAGAACTCTACACCATGGTACAGACCTCCCGATACATTATACAGGTGCCGCGTTTTACCGAACTGTTACGCCAGATGGAGTTCATCGCATATCGCATAGGTAAGACAAAAGCTATGCCCATTAAATTGTATATCGAGATACTTGGTTTTAATCTATAAACTACGGTGTTATTCAAGGATTTCCAACCTAGAGAAAAGCCGTAATAACACAAGTAAAAAAATACGATATTTTATCACGTGTGTTTGATATCGCCAATGAGCTGCTGACACGTCACTTGCCTTTCGCGCCAATCAATCAGGTTGATGAATGAACGGCAAAACCCTCACTGTTCTAAATCCATGGTCGTTTGTCGAAATTTTCTCGGATAATGGCTCCTAAAATACCGAAAATCCGTTCCGCTTACACACTGTGACGTTTAAAATTTCCTAAAACGAGAAGAAAACCGAAATAGGAAAAGAAAAACCGAAAGTTACGTATTGAGTGGCTTTGTTGATGGCATTTCTCGCTGCTGAGAATTTGCCATACGCCGATTTTGGCAGTGTACCTGGAAGATTTCTTCTGTCAGTGAGGACCAAATCAATAACTGAGAATTTTGTATATGGAAAATTACGCCCATTGTTTTTTTTTGAAGTGACTCAACGCATTTTCTTCTTGGGCCTTAGCGCTAACGCACCTTACGATTTTTATTCGGGGATTGTCGAGTCTTTTATTTTTTATTCGCTGATAAAGTCGACTTTTCTTGTCAGCAAAGGGCTATTGTGTTTATATGATAAACAAAATAATTCATGGTTGCTTGTAGACATGAAATTTCTCTTCTCGCGTTCAACTCGGAGAGAAATTCCATATCGACATACTCATGTATTATTCAATAATATAAATTGGCACCTTAAAATTTCTTAAGCTGTCGTTTCGAATTTCAATTTACTTTATCAACTCAGTTGGTAAAACCGATTATCTTGTAACACCCCCCACCTTCAGTTTCTTTAGCAACTTATCCCCTTTACTGGTAAATCTACCGACGACTGGACCTCATGCTTAATTCGAGTGACTGAGTCTTATGGAAAACCTGAAAGATTTGCCGGTCAACGCACTTTAGAAAAATTAACTGAAAATGACGTTAATTCAGCTGAGAATTTTTGCCCATATTACGCAGGGATTCTGTCTTACGGTTAGGAATATATAAAAGCATTGTAAATCTTAAAAAGGACTTGGCTGGTTTTGACCATTTTTTTTGCGCCTCAGGGAAAGATAAGGGACCTTCCTTGCAATTGACTCGTGGACTCTGACGGCTAACGACTCAGCTGCTAATACAAAGACGCTACTTAAAATTCCTTCCTGATTGCAGGCCTCTCCTTTATAGCGTGTGTAAACAGTGCTTAAGGCATTAGTCTACCATCCTCCCGACCTGCTTCCTGTCACGAGCCCGATCTACTTGACACAACGTACCCTCTTTATAAAAGAATACGAGAAAGGAAGTAACGAGGGGCCTTTTAATAGAAATTTAAAATACGTTTACCTTTACATGAATCACTTTGGAAACTGAGTTCACGTTTTTTTGTTTTTTTTGTGTTTTTTTTTTTATTTCTTCAAAGAAACGACAATAACAGATCCATGTCACGAGACCCTTGATGTGGGATTTGTAATCGATGCATCCGGCAGTGTGGGGATGGACACCTTTTCGAGAGAGAAGAATTTCGTAAAGCTGGTTTCCAGACGTTTTGCAGCCACATCTCCTAACACGAGACTTGGTCTCCTGGTGTTCAGTGATACGCCAAAGCTATTCGTCGACTTTACTGACTACGAAAGTAAAACGATCGAACAATTTCAAGCAAACGTGGCTCAAGCAACATTCCAAGATGGAAGATCAAGAATAGACCTGGCTTTAAGGGCAGCATCACAAGATTTCTTTACCAATAGACGGAGTGGAGTTCCAAGGGTTAGTAAGAAAAATAAAGAAAGTCTCTAATGAAGAAATGTAAAATGGTTTCCGTGTTTACATAGCCTGATGTAAACACGCGGGAGGTTGGGAGAACACGAGATAAGAGTAGGAAACCACGACGCGAAGCGGAGTGGTTTCCAGCTTATCGAGTGTTCCTCCAACCTCCCAAGTGTTTACATCAGCCTATGTAAATACGGAAACCATTTTACATTTCTTTTATAAAATAACTAATGAAAGAGGAACGAAAACCGTGTTTACATACGCTCATGTAAAATGGTTTTATGGCCAATCAGAGCGCGCGTACTATTTGAATTATTTTATAAAATAACTTTTTTAACACATCAGTTGTGACTTGGATAATTGTTTCAAAAGTCTTTTTTTTTAGAACGTGTCTTAATTAATGTTTCCACCCGTCTTTAATAATTCTTATCCCGTTGATTCGGCTTTGTACGGTAGTTGCAAATGATATCGCTAGAGGTAGGAAATGATTTTTCACGCTTAGGCCAATGCTATCGTTATATCACCTAGGTCTTAATTCTGGTCTCGGATGGACGTCAGTCTGAAGATCCCGGATATTATCCGTTAGCTACAGCTGTAAAACCTCTGCAGGCTCAACGGGTGAGAATCGTAGGCGTTGGTTTTGGAGACAGTGTCGACGTTGAGAATTTAAAAGAGATCACTGGAAGCAAAGACCGTATTCTTTTGGATCAAGAGATAAACGACATCGATAGACTTCAAATGGAGCTCGTATCAAAAGCTTGCGAAATCTAAAACAAGTAAGTAACTCAGCTGGTAAAGATCCAAACTTCCCTCTCAAGCCAGCCAGCAGCATAGAAGTATAATGCGTCGTTAACGTGCCATGATGTTACCTGCTGTTACCGTCATTAACTTTTCTGCTTTCACAACCGCTCAGAGCCCGTCTTGTGTCTGAAATCATTAAATGAGTCTTAACAACAAAGATGAGGTTTTCAGAACAAATAATAAACAAGTATTAACTGCCTCAAGTTCACAAATTAGATCTTGTGGGGCGGAGAGGCTTTTAGCAAATAATCCTTATAATCAATTTCCTGAGGTTCCAGACATTTCCTCAGACATCATTAAGTTTAAGAGCATTTCGACAATGCGCACATAGTCTTTTACCAGCTGTTTCTTGGTTCTTTTTTTAGAAATCATAATGATCTTCATATTACAATGCGGTTTAATCAAGGTTTTTGCTTAACATTTTTCAGGATGCTTGAAGAAGAAGCTGGATGAGAAAGTCTGGAAGGCAATATTTACAGTTTAAATATAAGAAGAACCTAAACTTTGTAATCCGCCTGCTACATGCTTTGCATGACTTTTTTAGAAGGTTATGTCTTAACTACAGATGAATAAAGGGATTAAGTTTCCAAAGAAACTGTGGTGCTGGAGAGTTTAACAGGGCAATTTAGTATTATCAACTGAGTTAATAACCTCAATTGGCCACCAAAAAGAGTTTCGAAGCTGAAGTTTCGAGCGTTAGCTCTTCGTCAGAGCGAAAGAAGAGGGGCTAACGTCCGAACCGTCAGCTTTAAAACCCTTTACAGTAGCAACTTAGCTGACAATACTATATTAAACTCTTAACTACAGAAACAAATTCAGTTCTAATTTACTGGGATGGAGACAGATCGTTTATTTCCAATAGGCTGAGGCCTCTGTCTCTGTTTGAGCACAATTCCTTTCCAGTCTCCTCGAGTAAATCTTCCTTTGCTTTGCCAAGTTAGAATCCATAGCGAAAAGCCTAAAAGTTTAACCGTGACTCAGCTCGAAAAATAATTATTTCATATTTATTTTTAATTTTTTTTCCATATAAATTCGTGGATATGTTCTGCAGATTTGCACTAAATTTCGGGAAATATGCTTTGACCATAAGTGAACTCTTTCGTTTTTCGTTTTAGTCAATAAGGAGTACGGCTGATTAAGGCTTAACACTACCTGATTGTGCGGGCTATTGTTTCCATATAGTTAGGGTTCCAAGGTTTCCCTCTTGATTTAGGTTACTTCACACCTTCAGAGGCCGAAAATCGATTTTTCTTTTCCTTAGCTAAACTAAATTCAAGCATTCAACCTAACGTTTCCATAAAAAAAAATTTGAAATCTTTAAAAACACTCGAGATATTTAGAAAAAACATATTTTCAAGTAAAAGTTAACAAATCAGTAAGGTGTCATAATCTCGGACCTGCGCGAAATCCCTAAGGGAATTTCCGCGGCAGCCGCTCATGCTGGGACTCGTTTTTTCATGTTATTTCCATATTTTGTTTACACCGTGCATTTTACTTAATTCACACGTGGAAGCTCTTTGCTTATGGAAAGACCTTTGTTCATGGAAAAACCAGAGACGGAAGAAATTCCTTGGTAAAAAAAGGGGAAAAAAAAGGCCCAAAGATGAAAGAAGAAGTACCATTCTATCAAGAAAAGAAAAAAAATCCCTCTGTGAAAGCGACTAGTACTGGCGGAGCTACACGCTGGCGTCCAGACTTCGAACATAAAGGTCGCCGTCAAACCAAAATTTGCCATACATGATGTTAAAAACGAGGTTTCCTTTTCTTTATGCAAGTACCAGCCTTGATACAAAAACATTAAAAATCACCTCGAATCGTAATTATGAGAGCTGGTTGTCGATTCAAGTCGTCCTTCTCAACGCCTTACTAAGCGATCGAGATTCAAAAAAAATGTCTGCAATGGGTTACTTTTCCCGGGAAATCTTAATCCATCGTCATTTACGCCAGGAGTTCCCCCTGTCCCTTTGGTTTGCGATTAATCTCCTGGCGTGGCGCGAGTTGTTTGCGAACCGTTCATAAGCTAAAATCTCTCATTTGATTTTGGGAGGAATACAACCACTTTGAACGGATTTATAGGGTATATAGATTTCACCGATTTCCGTCAGATTTCGCCAAAACATTCAAGGAATAATGACAAACAAAAATATGTCGGGAAATTTTGATATTTGAAATATTTGTCCCGTGGTGTCAATTTACGCAATACGCCTTGATGTCTTGTGAGGAAGACAGTGAAGCCATTTTGCTCGTGCTACGGCGTCCGATACCCAATAAATTCAATAGAAGAACTTTCGGTCGTTTCACGCCTTACCGGCTCCTGACACTTCCATAAAAGAAAAGTCGCTTAAAGTATATTTTTATGGTAATCTGCAGTAAGTAAACTTTCGTCTGATGTATAGTTTGCAAGGATTTTAGTGGAACTAGCGCGCTTATGAATGTTTTCCCGAAGGACCTCCGCGAAGGTGGGAAGTAAGCTTAAGTCTAAGTTTGCATGAAGTCAAGTTCTTATAAGACTTAAGTCCAAAATTTTGAACGTTCTCTTTTTGCGTCGGATTACGGAAGCTTTCATATTGTTTCTCGAAGTAGTGGTGTTTGAATACTTAGTCAGAGATTTTGAGTTGTTCAAGTCTACTTGATTGTTTTGTATTCTTGAAGATTCCAAGGCCTACAAGACCACACATGCAGTCATTTTTTCTCACTAGTGGGTAGCCCTTGGCTTTTTTTCAGGGCTAAATTCTTGTAAATTACTCCCATGTGAGTGTTCACGTTTTCATTCTTCACCGACCTTGCTGTTATGCTCTTTTTTCAGCTTTGGCAATCGAATATTAATTGTTTAATTCAAAGAATATTACCTTGTTGTTCAGTTTCGAGAGTCTCGTAAAAGCTTTGAGCGCAATCTAGCTTTTGTTAACGAAGTTTTTAAAATCATCCTATGTCATTCGGCTCGGTGCCCACACATGTTTGCCGAAAGAGTATCCAATAATCAACAATTATGGCGTGTTCTAGAGATAGTAGCATGTACTTGGTGACTTAGACGAGACATACCTACGACCTCGCCAGACTGCCAAGAATATTTTTTTAGTTGTTGTTGGCGGCTTTGGAATTCGATTAGTGGCAATGATTTTCCCCCATGTTGGGAATAATGTTGTATTAACGACTAGGCAAACAACGGAGCTAGTGTCCCAAATTTGAATGCAGCTAATATGAGTTCTGAAGAGTCTATTTGACCACGTGGACCTGACTCAGGTTTGTAAAACCTGAGTATAGGGCTTCGTAGGAAACCTTAGTCGAGTCGAATGATGTAAACGGTCACAATTAGAAAAACGAACAAATAATTAAATATATTTGATATTTTCATTTAAGCTGGGTTGACTTTTAATTCTATAATGTGAAATCTGATAGGGGAAGCACGTTATGACAACTTCGTTGTTATGGGACACATGCAAGAAAGATATTTTATTACGGGCTCTCTTACACTATACATCTTCCGCTTAAAAAAACGAGCATAACTTGGGACCATTTATAAACCAGACACGTGGTTTTTTTTCTTTCTGTGTTTGTCTCGGGCTAACGTTTTGTTTCTTATTTTCGTTTCGGAAGTCATTGGAACTTAATCTTTAAGAAGCGGCCTCATTACGAGTCGCGATCTAATTAAATTACCATCAACGATAATTTTTTGGTCATGAATTCCGTAGGAGAGTATCATGTGAAGGATCAATTGATGAATGCGAGAAAGTTCGAATGACGTGATGAATAAAAAACGTGAATAAGGTATATACATAATTACCGCTGCGACAGAGATGCAAACCAAGGATATGTTATGTTCATAAGTGAGGATAATGTACTGAGGTCGCAACTTGGACAAAGTTAAGCAGACAAGTTCATTTCATTATCCGATAGATATGCGGTTAAATTTATGTCATCAGTTTTCCACGGCAAGTACGGCCCACTTTTCACCGTGGAACTTGGAGAAAACACTCTCCAAAGCAAATCTCCAGAGGTGTCGTAGGCCAATCCCTACGTAGAATTTTCAAAATAATTTAATGAGTCGTTTTGGTGATAAATCTATCATTCAATTCAGTGAGCTTCACAGACTCATCCACTTGTCATTTCACTCTTTAACGTTTTCATGAAAAAAAATTTAGCGACTAGCAAGTGAGCCCAAACAAGCTATAAGTAAATTCTGTACATTCTGTCTTTGTAAAAGGAAGGAAGGAATGCATAATTGAACATCGTCGGTATCTTTCGTCGGGATCTTTCATGTTTGGAAGGTTAGAACGAGGGAGTCCGGCGAAACGCAGGTTTTATCGACAATTTGTCAATGAGCTATCAGGTAGTCAGTCACTAATGTATCGGAGATAAACAGAAAGAAACTCAAACTTAACAGTGTAAAATATGAGAAAAAACTGGTCCTAGTACTCTCCTCAATGTGGGCGACCTTCCTGCATGGGGTCACCATGATATTCATGCATCCAAGCCCCACAATACCACCATGTTCACCCAATACCAACCAAGCATACCGTCGACGTTTGGTTGATGGTTTTGTAAACAAGTTGTATAAACTGATTTCCCAGATGAATTGAAAAGTAATATTCTAGGAGTACAGAGCAAAGGTTTCCTGTACCACAAATTACCGCATTTACGTGTTGGACGAAAACTTATAAGTCATCAAGATTTGTGGCCAACGAAATATTGACATGGGTTCTCTTGATAGCTTTGGTAAACATATTATCTCTCGAAATAGGACGAATCTCCAGAGGCCTCAATTTAAGTTTATGGTTGTTTGGATTGTTCTAACGGAGATTGAGATTTTATGAAGCTGATTGGAGATCACTCGGTCAAATTAAAAATATCTCAATGTGTTTTCGTCTCTGTGTTTACATTATAGATATCTATGATGAAATCTCTAGAGGAACAATCTCGCAAATATCGCTTTAATTTGCGTCATCTACTCTTTAACAAAACGATCATCAAAAAACGTTAGAAATGTATTCACTTAAGGTCCAAGAGTTGCAACTTTACTCTCGTCGACAGAAGCTGTGGTGTCAACATTGTCTAGCTAACAGCTTCGAAGAACAGCGAGGAATGTTTCACCAATGCCATAAAAGAAATAGTTCCTTTACGTTCACAGGTAAAATTCTTCCCTCCTAGTAAGTTACCCTTCACTTTTGTCTGTAATAATCAACGTGGAAAACTGCTGAGAAACCAGGAGGAAGATCACCAAGTCCAGAAGGGCTGTGTGAAGAGGGAGTGAACTCAATGCAACAACGATTTCCTGTATAATTGCGTTGCGAACCCAATGAGCACTGTACATTACAAATAAAATTTATGCTGCGACTAAACAACATCCTGAAAAACTAAAGTTGAAATGATGGTACGTTGGTTTGCTTCGACTCTTTAGAAAGTTTCGAGCGGTGAAAATATGCGTATTGTGTTGACAAATTTTTTAATGTGATTGGACAACAACAAACGTCCATTGACGAATAAAGACTTCTAGGAACAAAATAACGTTTGTTATCAGCCGTGGACTCAATCGTTACTTTGCGACTCTCGGGCGGCATAGACGATGATGATGATGACAGTGAACAATCAACACCTCACCAGGAGTGTGTAGCGCACATGGACCTTAAAGTCGCATCACAGTTGCCCGTCATTGTTACTTTTGGTGACCCTCATAAATATAAACTTGGATACCACGGATGCACTGTCACTTTGGGGCAAAATAACCAAAACGTATCCCTTGGATCAAACTCTTTGTCTGCAATTCGAGACGGTTGACAAAATTTCCAAGCTGTGGTAAAACAGAAAGTTGACCACATAAAACCACACCTGGATTCCTTGTTGAAACGTTTTTGGGTCGGCTTTTCTTAAGCTCCGACCTTTCAGCGCTTCATTGAATACAAGTCGCAGTTTATTCTAACGGTTCATATTCGGTCAAGCCCACGATGTAACTTCATCCAAGATGAAGGGGAAAATTCGGATGTTTCTTCGCCGGGTTTTGACTTTAGTGATCGTATTTTTCCAGCTTTCAGCAGCACAAGGTTAGTAATCAATGTTTTGTTATTGATGGTCAGTTATTTAACAAAATCCACCGAGATAATACAAATTGCTTCCACTTCAAAATCGCACTGCATCTATGAGAATTTGACATATTTCCCCCTTAAGGCGTTCTCTCGGGTCTTTTGCCAACCATTACATCTTACGATTCTTTAGCAAACCAACATGAAAACCACAAACCGTTCAAAGCACATTTTTTTCGCTACTAAGCCATTATTGATTAAAGATACTGAAAACCAACAAAATGTGGCCAAAAGTCAATTCTGTTGTCTTTAGATCTCAAAGAATTAATATTTTAAATAACTTTCGATAGTGAATATTACTATTCATGCAGCCATCATGAACTAAAGGTCAGTTAGCAATGTATGTGGTGCTACCTTTATCCATAAGATGTGCTTTGGCTGTATATTTTGGTTCTCCTCAACCAGAAGCGATCCTTCCTCTTTTGGTTTTGATAGTCACGCAGCTTTGTATCCTATGTGGGTAATGTTTTTAAGACAACAAAAACTACAAAATGTAACTTTCGCTTTTCTTATAGTTTGTCTCTCGATTATCCTCGTTATTTCTTTCTTTCCCGCGACTGTTTAGAATTAAAAGAGGATAAAAACCCTCTAACGAAGCACGCGAGTTTGGTTTTTTTTTTAACCTTCATTAAACAACATTTTGCACTACGAACGAAAAACAGTGAAACAAATGTTTTAAGTGGGTTTGTTTCAGAGTTGTTTCGGTTGCTTCAGTGGGGATTGATCAGTCCGTTTTTTGAGTTTGCTTATTTTGCTATTGTCGTTATTTTTGTGTTTTTGTTCTTGTTTTGCTTTCAGGAGGTACAACGGATAGATTCCCTGCTCGTTAATAAGTCGTTGAGTCATTTGCATGCGTTTCTAATCTAATTTTTTTTCGTTTCACCTATGCGCATCGCAGGTATCTGAGATTTCCAAAGGATCGGCTTTGTGCCTTTCGTCTCTTGACAGAGATATCAATTGCAAAAGCATGCCCGCAAGGTCTTTCGAGAAAACACGTTCAAACCGTACACTCCGTCACACCCCAGTAAAACAATTTCATACTGCTTACATTAAAACATTTGTAAGAACCGACATGAGGCGAAATGATCGAGCTCACATTATTTGCTCAGAAGCCCACCAACAATTACAAAAGGGAGAATAGCGAAAAACGCAATATGTTGTACTGTCTGAAAGTAACAGGAAAAAATCCCAAAAATCAAAATTAATTAAGCAAAGACAAAATCACCCGCTGATTCCTGTTTTTTTGATATGAATTAAGGTCTGGATTTCATAGCTCTTACAATGGAAGCCAAGAAGGTCTTTCATGTTTTTTTCTTAGTCTGAATTTTACACTGTCATCATTTCATTTTTTTTTTTTTCTGATTGATTTTTCCCATACCTCCGTAATTAATATTCGTGTTATCTTTCTTGAAACTTAAACCGATAATTTACAATAGCCCTAACCCTTCAACTACCATGATTTCATAGGCAATTCTCCTTACTGTCTACCATGAAAATCATGTGATGTTAGTTTGGAGAATTTGGGATGGGATCAACCAATAATTTTCTAATTGATATTTTTCTTTACTCTCATTACTTGTCTGCTCGATATCGTACTGATAGTGTAAGGAGAAATTCTGTCTAGGTCAGTAGTGGGACTTAAAAGCTTCATCTTGATCTTGGAATGAATTCAAAGAATTTAGAAAATATTCGAGGCAATGAATGTTTCCCTAAATATCCGAATAGGCCAATAGAGTTCGTGTATGTACCAATGTGAAGTATTTATTTTCTAAGCAACTTTAAGCTTTGTTTCATTTCATTAACGTTCAAGCGAACGCTCGAACACCCGAGACAGCATAAAAACCCAGCCCATAACTTGTATCGTTTCTGGGCCCCATAACTTAATTAAGTGACTTGGCAGACTCGAATAATTACTTTTCTTGAAGCAACCATCAGATCCTTTCAGACAAAACGTGATAGTTGTATATACCTCAACTCGTAATGTTTCTACTGCTGTACATATCCCAAAACCTAAAAAAAAGGACTGCTCCTGGAATCCAGGCAATTCGATGGAGAAGTTATCTTCCCCCGATTATCATAGATCTCAACTAATAGATTGTGACTTATGTGTGAATCATTTTTTGCATTATCAGTCACAGAAAGATGTAATCCTAATGCTGACATTGCCTTCTTGGTGGACTCCTTCATTTTTCATACCAGAATAAATATTTAGAATGGAACTCATTAAGTAGGGTACTGTTGTAATAGAAATGTTAACTTAACGAATTTTGGGAAAAAGAAAAAAACGTTTCCGAAAATTCACTCGTCATACTAGTAACGGAAATAATGCATCAGCACGAGATATCTGCATTCATGAAAACAATCCTGTCCTCGATTCGCAAATATGACTTCTCACCGAAAATTTAATCCCGCGAAATAAAACAATCAAATGAAAAAGTCTGCATGCGATTTATTTGTCATTTCCAACACACCTCTTTCATGCTGGCGAGCATGATTCTCGTTCTTTCATTGGCATGATTGGAGGGGGGGTTACCGAAGTCCATTTTGTTGGGTACGTGCCACTGGCCCCTACCCTATTGAAGCTTTTTTTGAGGCTAATTATAAACTTCATCTTAGACATTTAGGGTGAATGCAACAATCTTCCCATTGTTGAATCCCTACTTAACAGAATTTTCTTACTCCCAAAATACCGAAAATGTGCGACCCATTCTAGTAACTCTATTAAATTTGCAACTCCATTATATTTAACCTAGTGGTGACAATGCGAATCCATCCAGTGCAACATCAGCCTCTTTGTAGGAAGCCCCCTCCCTCCCCAACGGTCATTTACGAAGAAGTATATTTTTAAAGAGGCACAATTCCGCAAAAGATTGTTTTTGGGCAAGTTTATATTACTATTTTGCTGAAGGTACTTTTCAGTGCCATCTGGTGATGATAACTTCAATAAGTTCTCGGTCAAAGCGTTTTTGGCGTTCTGAATATATCTTATAAAACTGCTAAAAATCTGTCAGGATTCTTATTTTCCAGATCTGACTCGCAGCAGAACAAAAATACTAAACTGGTAGATAGTTCTTATGAGCATAATTTCCAGTTATATTCATCATGATCTTCTCTGACAGAATGCCAACCTGATGTGGACGTCGCTTTCCTGATAGATTCATCCGGAAGCATTTCTTTTAGAAACTTCCGAAAGGAAAAAAATTTTGTCGTGGAACTGGCTTCAAAATTCGACATTTCCCCGGGAGGATCCCGTGCGGCTGTTATTGTTTATAGTACAAGAGCAACCACGAGGATCAGGTTCACAGATCACTCTACCTATGGGTCGTTTGCAAATGCTGTGCAAAGCTTACGACATGAACGAGGTTATACCAGGATAGATCTTGCTCTTCAAATGGCTCATTTTGACGTGTTCAGTCGTCGAGGAAAACCCCGCTTTCTGGTGCCAAAAATCGCGTTCGTCCTCACAGACGGAGAACAGACAAGGGCTCCAAAGCAAATTAAACTCGATGTGATTTCTGACCGCCTCAAAAAGAGAGCAGGAGTACGAATCATATCGATAGGAATTGGAAAACGTGTGAACAAGAACCAGCTTACAGTAATCGCCAGTAGCGAAAAGGATGTCGTGATAGCTGAGTCATTTGATGGGTTGGTATATGAAGTGGAACCACTCTTTCAGAGCGCGTGTAAAGGGAATGAAGGTTGGTTCATTCTTGAATTAGTGCTTTAACTCCCACGATCTGATTGTTAATTCTCCCCTCTAGCCATTACACATTCCCTTTTTAATAAGTTGCAAGAATTTGGCGTTAGATCAAGAGAACAACCTCAACCTGATAACTTGAAGTATTCTCATTACCAGTTTGCTGTATATTGTATGGATATATAGGGAGAAGTTACATGTTAATCACCTCCGGGAGTTAAAGGGTTAAAACAAACATCTACTAAAAATCATGATACAATAATGTGTCGTTTTCTTCGTGGCTCTCCTCAAGAGTAAAAAATTAGTTTGAACTGTCAAAACGTTGGAAAAAATTATTGTACGGACATTAATAGTGTTTGACTGGGTAAACCAGGGCTCCTTAAGATCATTGACCGTTAAAAGAGAAATGACCTTTTTTAGATGAAGGAACTTAATTGTCTTATGAATTGTCGTTTTTAAACCACATGAAACTGATCTTTCCTATTTTCACAATACTGTTTGTAAAGTGAGCAACTAACTCCTTTCAACACTATTCAATTTTAGAGCTTCCCCGCTGTGGAACACAGGTAGATATCGCTTTTCTTGTGGACTCATCTGGAAGTATTTCGAGTACCAACTACCGAAGAGAGAAAGCCTTTATTAGCGCAGTTGCCAAAAGCTTTGGAATATCCAAAGATAAGTCTCGAGCTGCCCTAGTGCTATTTAGCAGCTCAGCGTCAACAAAGATACGATTTGAGGACCATTCAAGTACAGCGTCCTTTACAGCGGCCGTCGAAGCCCTTCCTCACTAGCGAGGCTTTACTCGCATCGACCGAGCCTTGGAGGTTGCCACTCGAGAGGTATTCCCAAATGCCCGAAAAGGTGTCTATCAGATTGCCATGGTAATAACAGATGGAAAACAAACCCAAATGGATGATACGAAAGATCTTAGGGAGGTGTCCAAACCGTTGCGAAAGGCCGGAGTAAGAGTATTGGCGCTTGGGGTTGGTTCTGGAGTCGATGAAAAAGAGCTACGACTTATAGTCGAGAGGGATGGAGATGTTTTACGTGCCAAATCTTTTACAGAAGTGATCAGCAGAGTTGGAGCATTGATCGAATCTACGTGTAATCTAGCAGGTAAGAGCTTTTCTTACAGTAAAGATTTCATATACAGGTGAAAAATTGAGTGAATGGTAGAGATATATCGAGAAAGTGCAGCGTTCGAGACGAATGGCCTCAAGTTGTTACTAATGGCACATTGATGGATCCGTAGCATTTCAATCGTTGTAAACCGATTTTAAAATCGTCAGTATGAGCAAATAAGTTGAATTGTTGATTATACCATAGTCATCACCCGGCAAAACATATTATCGAATTTTTTTTCTTCGCTCACAAATCCCTTAAATGTGTCAGCATTTTTTTACCATAGCAAGCTATTTTGATATTTTCAGGCTTCTCTAAAAGTAAATGGTTTTCAGCCATCTTTCCTGTTTTGTTTCAATATCAGTGCGAGTTTGATTTCGTACTTGAACTTCCCAACCTTAAGATCTCTTAGATATTGAGATCAGGATGATTTGGACTTACAAACATTGTTTGATCATGTAAATATGCCAGGTACAACAAGTATAATTATATGGGTTGACCAGGTCTCAATAGTCTCTAAGCTGACTTGTTGATGTAAAACTTTACGTGTGACATAATCAGCAATTGCATATTTTTCAACCATTTCAAATTTTTCAGGGAAGTCTAATGATACTTATGGAATTTCGAGAATCGTTCTAAAAAGCACGTAGGACAAACTCGCTAAACAGGCCGTTCCTTACCCGAAAATATTTCCCCCTCACGCCAAACTTTCTTTTTTCAGTTCCAGAGCCATGCGACATTTCTGCAGATTTGACTTTTATATTTGGATCAGGAGGCATAGGAGCGGGTAACTTCCTCAGACTAAAGACCGTTTTAAAAACAATCGCGACGAGCTTCGGCATTTCGTCAAAAAGGAGTCGTGCCTCCATCGTGACCTTTAGTGATTCGTCTGCTTCTGTGAGTGCATCGTTTGAATCTTTCACATCCACAAAGGAATTCCAGGACGCCCTATCCTCCTTAACATATAAAGATAAACGAGGTGATATCCGTCTGGCACTGAAATTTGCAGAGAAGAGGGTGTTTCCAAAGGCAAGAAAGGGGGTGGCAAAAATCGCAGTGGTCGTCATTGATGGGAGAGAGAATGATAATGGACAATGGCAGGATTCTTTGTTGTCGTTGAGGAAGGCAGGTATCCGCGTGTTACTTTTGGGGATTGGCACAGAAATAAAACGCGAATCCTTACGACAACTTGTTGAAAAAGACGATGATCTCGTCATTAAGGATTCATTTATAACTCTGCTGAAGAATTCTGTTCAAGTGGCAAAGACCACGTGCTCTGCTGCTGGTAAGTACAGTTAATCTCTGTTAGTTGCATTTCACGTTTCCAAATAGTGCCAGGCAATATAACTCTACTAGGCAATTTAGTGTGAACAACTGAGTTGAAAACGTAAATTGGCCACCGTAAAGGGTAAAAAAGCTGACGTTTCGAGCGTTAGCCCTTCGTCAGAGCGATTGGAGGAATTGTGGGTTGTGTGTGGGTTTATATGCAGAAAGTGGAGCTACGCTATTGGTGGGAATATGTTGAATATTGGTGGGAATATGTTTATATGTGGGTTTATATGCAGAAAGTGGAGCTACGCTATTGGTGGGAATATGTTGACGAGAAAACAGGAATAAATTAGTTGAATGAAAAGCGCTCGTTGATTCGGTGGGGATTGAGGGTGCCGATTTGGAAGATAAATTTTTGTTCTAGTGTTTTGCGGCTTTCCGAACTGCCTAGATGTAAGGAAAGGCCGCAAACTGCCATATGCTGTTTCGAATGATTAGGGAGATTAAAGTGTCTAGCGACTGGTTTGGATGCGTCCTTGTCATTTCTTTCCACGTCGCGAAGGTGTTCTCGGAATCGGTCAGCTAGTCGTCTTCCTGTTTCGCCAATGTATAACTTATTGCAATAAGTGCAAGTTATGCAGTAAATAACATTGGCGGAGGTACACGTAAAGTGATCAGTGATCTTAATGGATCTATTGGGTCCCGATATTTTCTCTGCACATTGCCTCTGATTTTTCGGAAAAATCAGAGTCGTCACTACATAAACGACGAAGTCTGAGAAACTGTGAAAAAGGTATGGAGTTCTTGACGTGTGATGGATGTGAAGATGAATACAACAAGTAACTATGTGAAACTGTAGGTTTCTAGTAAACACTAGTGCATAAACCGTTGCCTTCAATTGAAATTCTGATGTCTAGAAAAGCCGAGTTTCAGAGCTTTCATTCGAAACACCAATAGCGTAGCTCCACTTTCTGCATATAAACCCACACACAACCCACAATTCCTCCAATCGCTCTGACGAAGGGCTAACGCTCGAACTCTACTGGCATTTTCCCCCACAATTTATTTTTTGCATGTTATGTGACAATTCATAGGGGTGGATCTGGGGGAGGGGTTCGGAGGGCCCGGCCTCTAAGAATCGCAGAAGAAAGAACCGGCCTCTAAGAATCGCATAAGGAAGAAAAGCCGGCAGGGCAAGCGACAACCCCCCCTCCACCCTCCTTAGCTCAAGGTCCGGATCCGCCACTGATCCACGACACGTCACTCTTGGCGTATCACAAATTTTCTCAAATATGCAATATTTGGAGTTGTGATCCGTAAATTGAGGCGAATGAGTGCAAAATGAAAATCATCAAAACTTCCCTTCAACTTTGACTGAACATAGGTTTTGACCTCTTTCAGGAAACATATCTTTCAGTTTGATTTAAAAGTTCAAATGAAATTCTAAGACCTTGGCGTTTGAAGTGATAAGAGTTTCTGATTGGCTCTTGACAAAGAAAAAACACTAGTACTGTTCATTCGCTAGCCAACCTGGTTGCCTTATTTTTTATAAAAATTCAATTTCTTTTTTCTGTTAGTTCCTCCGCCGTGCCAATATCCAGCAGACATCCTCTTTATGATAGATTCCTCCAAGACTTTTGACAAGAAGGAATTTTTACAGCATAAAGCCTTCGTAGAGATCATGGCAAAAAGTTTCGGGAATAATACTCGTTCTGCAGTTGTAACCTACGGAGAAAAACCTTCCATAAAATCAACCTTCGATGACTCTTTGAACATAACTTACTTTCTGAGCGTTGTTCGAAGTATAGTGAAAGACGACGTAAATGATAATCGACTAGACACAGCTATCAATATGGCCACAACTGACCTATTTCCAAAAGCACGACCTAGTGCGGCGAAGTTGGCAGTGGTCGTCACTGATGGAAGTCAAACAAGTGGACCAAATGCCTTGGAACTCCAGCAAGCTTTCGATGCTTCCGCTAAGGCAGGTGTTCGCACGGTTGCTTTAGGGATTGGCGAGGCCTTGAACGTGGAAGAGTGGCGCAGTCTTGTTCCGCGAAAAGAAGACTTCCTTCAAATTGAGAATTCTCAAGATATGACTTTAAAGATACGTGACATAGCAAAGCAAGTTTGCGCAGCAGCAGGTAACAAAATGCGAATAGTATATTATCTGCCTTTCCGGGACGTAAATGCTTCCCATCCAAAACAAAATGACGAGGGAGGACTAACCTCCTCTTCCCCTCCCCTCATAGCCATCATGGAGTGCACAAGGACCGCAAAGCACCACAGTTGCAATACTGAAATATGACGTAAGAGCTTAGAGTGTCCAAGATGACTATTTAACTTTCCTTAACTGATGGCATGTGATAGTGTCGTCTTATCGTCTGGATGGGTGTAGTCCCGAGAAGGAGTGTTGTCGGTAGTAGTGACTGACGTTACAACAAACTTAATTTAGCAGCTGTAGTTTTGTTTTTTCAATCAAAATTTTCTTGTTTAACACGTAGAGCCGATCGAGGAACCAACCTGTGGCTACGCTATGGATATCATCTTTCTTGTGGATTCTTCAGACGGAATCGGTATCGAAAACTACGACAAACAAAAATCTCTTGTAATATCCATCGCAAGGAGTTTTGGGATCTCTCACAACACCAGTCGTGCGGCTGTAGTACGGTACAGTGACTCCGCATCTGCTTATTTCCAATTCGAAGATTCATCGAGTACCAATAAATTTGAAAGAGCTATTCATAGAATGTCTCTCCAAAAAGGTCCGCCAAGACTGGACAAAGCGTTTGATGTCGCCTTGGCAAAAGTCCTTCCTCAAGCTAGAAGAGGAATACCTAAAATAGCATTTGTTGTGACGAACGGTAAGCAAAATTCTGGCGAGGATATGAAAGCTCTAGACGCAGCTTCTGAGCTGTTAAGGAGGGCAGGGGTCAAGGTGATCGCCCTGGGCGTTGGCACAGAAGTTGACCTTGAAGAGCTAAAGATCATTGTAGAAGATGAGGAAGAGCACATTGTGACAGCTGAGTCTTATAGCGAATTGATTTTGAACAAGGAAAACATCAGTGAAAAGATATGCGAACAAGCAGGTTAGTGCAATTTCCTACGAGTCCTCAAAACATGTAGGCAATTTACCCTCCCAGAGAAAGCAGAAGTCAAACCAGCCCCTGAGAAGTTATTAAATTTAAACTTAACCCCACTATCTAAATAATAATAAAATATTTGTAGTTTGTTTACAAAAAGTCCTTACAGAAAAGAAGTCTGAAAAAATTCAGATGCAAAAAAATTCTCCGAAAAAGCAAAAATATAAAGAAAAAAAGACCAGATAAGGGTGTTTATATTTGGAACATTACAGGTGATGAACTAAATCTCCTCATTCTCAAATAAGGAAAAAGCCTAAGTCAGTTATTACTGAAGGTAATGACAAAAGATGTTTATGTTTACGAGACATTTTTTTCAGACCTTCTGTTGTTCAATACTAGAATATCTGATTCCTCTTTGTTCTATGATTTATCGAGTGTTTCCATAGCACCCTGTCTACCATTGAGTGAGGCTCCTCTGTCTCTTTATTACCCCATGGTCATTTCAGGTGAACAAATGCTTATGCTCATTTTAGGAAAATCTTATGTCGGTTCTGCTTTTTGAAACTAGTTAAGCACCTTTAAACTCTTTTGCCTCATCTTTACTTCTTCCTGTGCCCCCAAATACTATTTAGGCTAGATTTCTTAAGAGCTATGTACCTATGATGACTTTAGCTGCAACTAACCTGAGAAAACCAATTCGTAAGTTGTTAAGCCATCTCCTGGTCATCTAAATTTATTTTATTTCCACTTTTTGCAAATAGACTGCTCTCCTCAGTAAAATCTCTCATGTTCACTTTCATTGCCCTAACTGTGTATCAGTTGCATAGCATAACATAATTTGTTTCTGAGACAATCACTGGCAAAATGTTAATGTACCTAAATTTCTATCCGGGGTAATTACAATCAACAACACAACATTTTTGATCAAAAAAAATTCATTGATTCATTCACTGATTGATGGAAATCAAGAAAGCTAATGATGCTCGCAGGCAAGCTGCCCGTTAAAGCCTGAATTTTCTCCAGGCTTACTTTCCACAATTCCTCAATTCCGCTTTACTATAGCGCCCTCAGTTTTATCATATTGTAATATTATCACCGACCCCGATTCCCTACGGATCCACGTTGAGAGTAATTTCACATAAATAACCTGACCATAGTGGCCGAGTATGAAGTCCTCGTCTCACGGTCAACACTAGCTTTTGCATCTCATTAATGTTTACGGTTTGTCATCGTCGCTTTTTCTGATCATTTCAAACCAAATTCACGTACATTATCATTGCAACTGAATTAACACAACACAAATCGAGTAAAGCTCCCTTTAATACCTCACGTTGTGACGCAGCTGCCTTCACACTGTTTTCCTTGTTCGGCCAGTTAGCGCTCGCAGAAACTACATCATCCCTCTTCAATCAAAGTGAACATGCCAAAAAAAGGCTCTGCATAACTGAGGCACCCTCAAAAGGCATACTAATCGATAAGCAAATGATAACCAAAACAGACAGAACTTGAATTTCAATGCCGTAAGACAATTACGTCACACGCCTGCGCAAGCGTAACACAAAGAACAAAACAACTTACCGAAGCCTCAAGTCTTCCACAAAAACTTAGTCGAAGCCGTTTCAATTTCTCCTGTTCGCGCCAAGAATTGAAAGAAATTACTTTTCTCAGGTTAGTATGGAGCCTTTACAAAGTGTCCTAGAGTATCTTTAAGCTCGCTATTGGACTAAATTCATGAACAAATTCAACGAAACGAATTTGTTCCCTTTCGGAGTTACCTTATTTGGCACACTCCGGAGGAGAGCTTTGTAAAATGTCTCCAGTGTCTCCAGGGAAAAACAAAACCACCATCTGAACTCTCAAAAGTTCTTATTCAATCTTCAGCTAAAAATATCTAAAAACTCATCCAGCCCTGGAGACTTAAAAAAAATACTTACAATCAAAACCTGTTAGAGGTCGAGCGCTCGATGGAAGTGAACATCCGGGACTTCTCGTAAGATAATGACCAAATACGAAACGGAACGTACAAGTTTGTCACCTTATTTTCGGAGTTTCCTTTCGTTGCGTGCAAATCGCATCAATTTGAACTTTGCACAATACTAGTCGCTCTCTCCAAATGGGTCATTTACATCGATGCCCTCCTAGCCTCCCAATTTGACAGATTGTTTTCACCTGAAGCCTGAGCTCGACAAAGGCAATTCACAATTGAATGGGATTTTCTCCTAGCAAGCCGGGCGGCCGTTTTACATGTTTTTCAATGGCCACAACTAGTCTGACATGTTGCCTTTCTTTCTCCTCAGCACCACCGCCGTGTAGCACTCCCGTGGATCTGGCATTTATCATCGATTCTTCGGGCAGCATTAGCCGCACAAACTACAAGAAACAGAAGAACTTTGTCAAGGAAGTGGCGAAGACTTTTGGCCTATCTCCAAACGGCAGCCGAGCGGCCATGGTTCTGTACAGTAACTGGGCCTCAGTGAAAGCTCAATTTGGCCAGTATACGGACCAGAAGGAGTTCGATGGAGCTGTAGACAGTCTGCCTTACGAGAGAGGATTGACACGAATCGACAAAGCACTGGACCTAACAGCCAGGGATATCTTCGCTCAAAGTAGGTCGGGCGTGCCCAAGATTGCAATGCTGATAACAGACGGTACCCAAACCGCAGCAGCCGACGCCAAAGGCCTAAAAGAGGCTTCCGAACCATTGAGACAGGCAGGTGTTCGTGTTCTAGCCGTAGGTGTTGGCAAGGGTGTGGACAGAGAAGAACTTCGACTGGTCACGGAGAGTGACGAGGATGTTGTGGTGGCGGCTGACTTCGAAGACCTGCTGTTGAAACTCAGCAACCTGACCAGCCAGGCTTGCCGACTTGCAGGTAAGCATCATCAGAAATCTGTTCGTAGCACTTGTGGCCTCAGAGCTGCTGGGGCTTGATAAGCAGGGCAAACGAATATCAATTGAAGGATCGTAAGCAGCTTTTGTCCGTATCAGCCGGGTGTTCTTTTTGTGTGTGTTTGTTGCCGTCTTCGTCGTCGTCGTTGTTCTTGTTCTTGTTGTTGCTGTAGCTTTGGTCTTGGTATTGCTTATTCTTCCCGTTTGCTTTGGCCTTTTTGTTTTTGCCTTTAATTATTTTATTTTTTTTTTTTTTTCCTTTTTGCTTTTGTTTCCTTTTAATTGGTCTTTCCCATTAATGTTCAAAAAAACAGAAACAAAAACAAGTAAGAGTTTCGCCGCCCTTATTGTATCCTGAAAGCAGTCACGTTGCCTACTAAGTCTTTTGCCTCATCGTAGTTTCACGACAGAAATTTGGTTAAGAATGCTACCTCATTTTTCAACTGCACTTTTACCTTTTAAAAGTTTTTGAACCTAGCCTTCATTAGATATTTCACAACTATTTACCGAAGTGGAAATGGCTAGAGGTAAATATTCACCGTTAGCCACCGACGCTAAGGTCAATATTTGTTTTAGTATATACTAAAACGGTGAGATAATATAGCTCATAGAAAATTTTTAATTAATCTATTTCTGAAACGATTGCAATATTTACGAGTGCAAATCCCGCGCGCGTTTCTCGGAGGTGAATAGCAAAAGAGATTCGTGGTTTGAGCAGCCAGTTAAAGTGTGCCTTCAAGGCTATCCACTGTTTTAGTATCTACTAAATATATATGAAATACTATGAGGTTGACGCACTCACTTGAGTGTCAGGGAACATTTTCAGTTCATCCTGAAATCAAAGATGTACTTGCTTCTATTTACAGGTGCAACAGTTCCGAGAGACTTTAAAGCTGATATTCTGTTCCTGGTAGACTCCTCCCAGACCATAAGCAAGAGAAAGTTCCTACAAGAACTTAAATTTGTCAAGGCATTCGCTCGCAAGTTTGATGTCTCTCCTGAGAAGTCACGTGCTGGCGTTATAACTTTCGGTAACACTCCGATTCTCAGCATTCGATTTGAAGAATATGGCAACATATTATCGTTTTCAGAAGGAGTTAACGCTGTTCCTTATCAGGGAGGACAGAAAAGTCTGAACAACGCGTTGGTATTTGCAGCAAGGGTTCTAGATCTATCTAAGACGCGACCAAAAGCTAATAAAATCCTGGTATTACTAACAGATGGCCAGCAGCCTCTTGGTTACGACCCAAAGGAGGGGTCCGTTGAAGCGCTGCGTCAACTAGGGGTGCACATCAATGTCATCGGAGCTGGAGGAAATGTCTCAATGCAAGAACTAAGAATATTGACGTTAAGTCCTGATGATTTGTTTTACTCGAGGACCTTCGATGCTTTGATTTTTCAAGCTCCTATTGTTTTCAAACGCACAATGAACGGTAGGTTTACCATTTAGACTTTAATTTGGGCTATTGTGGTTTCAAAATGTTTATGAAGGCTCTATTTTATTACCCCTTATAAAAGAACTAGAAAAATGTAGCCGAGGTATAGTAACTGTTGTCACGGCTTGCATTCATTATCGAGATTTCATTTCGATAGTCATGTGGCCGTGAAAATTACGGCAAGATGAATCTTACGTCAACACGCCTCAATAAAGGAGGAAAAAATTTTTCTATTTATGATAACCTTGCTCTGTTTGGGACGGATTGCTTTCGCCGAAGTACAGCCGGAGTACGACCCCTAGCAAAAGGTTTAGAAGTTTTTTCTTTATTTTATCTGTATATAAAGGGAAAATTTTATTTCTTGATCGCCAAGAGTATGGTTTTCTTTATCCTTTTATATTGCCATGTTTTGACAGTTGTGCTATCGCATCACCAACTTCAACATGGCGTTTTCCTTCTCGAGTCATCACTCTTTCGCACTAGAGGCGAGTTTGAAAGCCAGATCAATTTCGTCAAGTCAATAGCTAAACGTCTTCAGGTGTCCCCAACCGGAACACGTGCTGGTGTCATTCTATATGGTGATGAACCCAAGCTGAGTATAGGCCTAAATGATTACAGTACCCTTCCGGAATTGTACAATTTATTGGATAATCTCGCTCATGAAAGTGGAGGCCGTCAACTCCATAAGGTAAATAACTAAGTACCAGTAGGAATTATATTGTATAATTGAGAAAATGAATTGAAGTAGAAATGAAATACTCGGAGTCGTGGGAGGTTTTGGAAAAATAATGGGAAACTAAATGGGAAAGCTATTTACTCCAGGTTATTTAACAGACAAAATGGCGGACCCATGGCCTGGCAGGGATTAAAATCGCGTCTCCAGTGTTCGAACCAAAATTCATCTAGGGAAAGTTATTCCACCTGACAGGGCTACCCTACCTGCCGTGGAGGGATGTATCATTCAACAAGTTTGTAGCTCCAATTTAAACCAAAAAAAAAATGAATAAGCTCGACAGGGCAACTCAGGTGGAAGTGGTTTCCTTGGCAACCCGAGAGCGTGTAAATGACCCTCAGACAAAGCCTTAAATTTGCAGTCTGCTACCCGTCATTTAAACTGACGCTTAGGTCAAGGAAACCTGTGACTATTCTAGTGTGCAATCCGTGCTGAAAATAACACAACTTTCACATTTTTCTTTCTTAAAAGGCGCTAACATTAGCCGGGGAAACTCTTCAGAAATCGCCTCAGGAAATACCTAAGTTCGTTGTCGTCATTCTAGAGGGTCAACAGTACTCTTCAGGCTCATTATTATTACGTGATGCAGTCAAGCCTCTTCAAGCCCTTGGGGTCACTATCTATGTTGTTGGTATTGGAGAAAAGCTGAACAGGCAAGAACTCTACACCATGGTACAGACCTCCCGATACATTATACAGGTGCCGCGTTTTACCGAACTGTTACGCCAGATGGAGTTCATCGCATATCGCATAGGTAAGACAAAAGCTATACCCATTAAATTGTATTTCGAGATACTTGGTTTTAATCTATAAACTACGGTGTTATTCAAGGATTTCCAGCCTAGAGAAAAGCCGTAATAACACAAGTAAAAAAATACGATATTTTATCACGTGTGTTTGATATCGCCAATCAGCTGCTGACATGTCACTTGCCTTTCGCGCCAATCAATCAGGTTGATGAATGAACGGCAAAACCCTCACTGTTCTAAATCCATGGTTGTTTGTCGAAATTTTCTCGGATAATGGCTCCTAAAATTCCGAAAATCCGTTCCGCTTACACACTGTGACGTTTAAAATTCCTTGCAATTGACTTCCTTGCAATTGACTCGTGGACTCTGACGGCTAACGACTCAGCTGCTAATACAAAGACGCTGCTTAAAAATTCCTTCCTGATTGCAGGCCTATCCTTTATAGCGTGTGTAAACAGTGCTTAAGGCATTAGTCTACCATCCTCCCGACCTGCTTCCTGTCACGAGCCCGATCTACTTGACACAACGTGCCCTCTTTATAAAAGAATACGAGAAAGGAAGTAACGAGGGGCCTTTTAATAGAAATTTTAAATACATTTACCTTTACATGAATCACTTTGGAAACTGAGTTCACGTTTTTTTGTTGTTTTTTTTTTTATTTATTTATTCAAAGAAACGACAATAACAGATCCATGTCACGAGACCCTTGATGTGGGATTTGTAATCGATGCATCCGGCAGTGTAGGGATGGACACCTTTTCGAGAGAGAAGAATTTCGTAAAGCTGGTTTCCAGACGTTTTGCAGCCACATCTCCTAACACGAGACTTGGTCTCCTGGTGTTCAGTGATACGCCAAAGCTATTCGTCGACTTTGCTGACTACGAAAGTCAAACGATCGAACAATTTCAAGCAAACGTGGCTCAAGCAACATTCCAAGATGGAAGATCAAGAATAGACCTGGCTTTAAGGGCAGCATCACAAGATTTCTTTACCAATAGACGGAGTGGAGTTCCAAGGGTTAGTAAGAAAAATAAAGAAAGTCTCTAATGAAGAAATGTAAAATGGTTTCCGTGTTTACATAGCCTGATGTAAACACGCGGGAGGTTGGGAGAACACGAGTGGTTTCCAGCTTATCGAGTGTTCCTCCAACCTCCCAAGTGTTTACATCAGCCTATGTAAACACGGAAACCATTTTACATTTCTTTTATAAAATAACTAATTAAAGAGGAACGAAAACCGTGTTTACATACGCTCATGTAAAATGGTTTTATGGCCAATCAGAGCACGCGTACTATTTGAATTATTTTATAAAATAACTTTTTTAACACGTCAGTTTGTGACTTAGATAATTGTTTCAAAAGTCTTTTTTTTTAGAACGTGTCTTAATTAATGTTTCCACCCGTCTTTAATAATTCTTATCCCGTTGATTCGGCTTTGTACGGTAGTTGCAAATGATATCGCTAGAGGTAGGAAATGATTTTTCATGCTTAGGCCAATGCTATCGTTATATCACCTAGGTCTTAATTCTGGTCTCGGATGGACGTCAGTCTGAAGGTCCCGGATATTATCCGTTAGCTACTGCTGTAAAACCTCTGCAGGCTCAACGGGTGAGAATCGTAGGTGTTGGTTTTGGAGACAGAGTCGGCGTTGAGAATTTAAAAGAGATCACTGGAAGCAAAGACCGTATTCTTTTGGATCAAGAGATAAACGACATCGATAGACTTCAAATGGAGCTCGTATCAAAAGCTTGCGAAATCTAAAACAAGTAAGTAACTCAGCTGGTAAAGATCCAAACTTCCCTCTCAAGCCAGCCAGCAGCATAGAAGTATAACTGCGTCGTTAACGTGCCATGATGTTACCTGCTGTTACCGTCATTAACTTTTCTGCTTTCACAACCGCTCAGAGCCCGTCCTGTGTCTGAAATCATTAAATGAGTCTTAACAACAAAGATGAGGTTTTCAGAACAAATAATAAACAAGTATTAACTGCCTCAAGTTCACAAATTAGATCTTGTGGGGCGGAGAGGCTTTTAGCAAATAATCCTTATAATCAATTTCCTGAGGTTCCAGA